TGACTTAACATACAGTATAAAGTCTTAATACTGAATGCTTCATAAAGTGCCTTGGAAGTTGACACAAAAACTAAAGAGATGCAACATGTGTAATGTTTCCTTCCTTGATTAAATATAGACCTGTAAAAATAACTATGCAATTAGTGGAAAGCTCCCAATTGTTTTTAATCTGTGTTACCACAGGCCCAGAGAGATTCTGCTTTATAAACCAATTCCAATAATGTTCCAAAAGTAATGAATACCTTTTGACATCTTCCAATGCCCTGCAAATTACAAGTGCTATAGGCAGGCACATATTTTGCCAATGTTCACATAGTCAGAACCTACACATGATTCTTGATTTCAATGGGATTTACTCCCAAGCGTGCATACAAATGAAATATGAAGTCAATATTTTGAATATTTCGTCAATATCATCCCACTATTCTTGCGCATAAATTCTGGGTTCCTTAGCTAACTAGATCTCCACAGCTGTACAATAAACTGTACCAAAATTAGGTAGGTTATGTTCAGAAATACCTAATTTCTATAATTTATTGATTTCAGAATTTGAATCTTCTTGGTGAAGTTTGCACAGAATATACAAAATCTTAAATTTTAAGAGCATATTTTTGTATGCACTTGAAACAGAAAGAATATTATTAGGTGCTGTAATTCCTAATAAATCTTTCTCTTAACAAAACTAGATGGAATAACTACACCTACAGAATTTTAGTACAAAGCAATGTGTAAAGCCACTTTGGTTTTTTCTTTCTGTATAATGAATGAACGAACAAAAACTGACATTTCAGGAGTTTAAAGTTTTTTGTAACTTTAACAGGAGTACTGTCAACTCAGCTAATGAGTGACAATTCCTTCGTACATGTGTGCACTATATGTTCTCACTTGCCTTAAAAAAAACCAGCTAGTCTGTTTCAGTCACAGAACTCAACTGAATGGTAATTTGTGACAAAAGATTTTTAAAGGTGCAATGCTACAACACTCACCTATTTCAGAACACAAACAGTTGCCGTTCAAGTGCTGAACCAATGTCTAGGCAATTCTCCCAAAGTTTAGAAGTTCAGTACAGCTATTATAGCTCACTACTTGGCTTATCATACATCTGCAAACAGAAAGCTTGACAAGCGCTGCAGTGTATTTCAGGGTAAGTGACAGCAGGGCCATAGGGACTTCTCGGGGGGGGGATGGGCACTCCTTAAAGCTATAGAGAGCAATACTATACAAACTCTAGGACAAATAATGAAAAAATAAAAATAAAGAACATAATTCTTCTAGTCTACATGGAACATACCTGGATAAAAGATGCCTTGTTTTGCCAAGAGAAAACTGTCTTTGTTTCCAGATTATTGGTGTCCCCCCCCCCTTTCTTCTCTCCTACGATTTGGTCAAATGCCAGTCTCAGCCTCAAAGCAATGACTCAGAATTTCAAAGAGGACAGCGAAGGGATTCATAAGGTTCTCACCCACTGCACTGGGATTGCAATGTTATTGTTGTTATTTTTTTCTTTTCTGCACCATGTGGCAACCCACAGAATATTGCATCTGACTCATAAGATGTATTTTGTCTTCCACCCACTTCCAAACAGAAGTATGTTGGTAAGAAACAGAACTCAACCCTGACAGTCATTTTACTTAATTGCTCTCCTTTGTGCGGGCATCTAGAGCAGGTTCTGCCCCTTTGTATATGATGGAATGAATTACTATGAAATTTCAACACTTCCCTTTAGAGTCCTCAGACTTCTTCCACCTTGAGCACTGACAGTGGAACAAGTCACTCACTTTTACAGGACATCTTCATGTTTTCTCTATTCAGCTTCAGGGTCCCGTCCCCCTCGCCAAGCTAGAATATCTATCTGTCTGTCTATCTTGATATAGATACAGGCATTTGAAATTTCCACCCAGCTGTGGTGGTAGTCCTGCTGTAGGAATTTCATTCTCTATCAAGAAGGAAACAGAGCTCTATATTGGAATAATGAATCCAATCTAACAACTGGTGCCTTTCCCACTCAACCCCCACCAATGTCATGTACTACTACTCCTGTTAGCTCCTGCCAGCATGATCAATGGTAAGGGATGATGGGAGCTGTAGTCCATATGAGCTGGAGAGCAGCACATTGGCAACCCTTGCTGTAACACAAAGTAAAAGAGAAGTGCACATAAAACCACCAAATCTCTTAGGAGGCCAAGACAGTGCAAAGGCATACTTGGCAGGATATGTTTTATAGTTGCAGTTAGCTCTTAATTTTATATTTCTCACACGTCATCATCATCAGTTGATGTCAGCACAACTCTAGGAATGTTATTTGTTAGCCTCTTGTTTGTTACTGAGACAATACATAAACCACAAATCATGTTTTATAGGCACCACCAAAAAATTGTGACTATATTTTTTCTTTAATTTGCCCTTATGCAGGAAAGATGTTTAGAATGCAAGAGACTTGTTATCTGTGAAATTTTTACAGTTTTTCTTGGAATGGAAAATTTGGTGTATTCTCCCATAACAGCAACTTGGCTGTTGTAAAATAGTTGGCATAAAATATTATAGTTCTATAGAGTTTAATGAAGCTAAGCCAATTTAAAGCAACAGCATGTCTGTTCTAGCTAATGTCAGCAAAATATCCTGCTCAGTTGACCTATGGCACCATATGTGATAGTTTACCATTTCTTAAAAACTATGCCTTCCTGTTTTTCGAAAACCAAATAAACAAAATGGTATTTCCAGAGCCCTGTCTTTAACTGAGACTTTTACAACCTTCACCAAAAATTATAGCTTTTTTTACTTTGAAAACAGCAATTACATTACTTTGACCTAGATTACATTTTTATGTGTTTTATCCTTCATCACTTGAACCTCCTTGATCTCAGTGGCACTTGTGAGGAATTGCACACTGTCTTTTTATGGCAAATTTTTATATTTTTGAAAACCTATCAAGTTGTTCTTTAAACTTCAGCAAAAAATATAATTCCGTCTCCCCCTCCCCCCCCCCCGCTGCCCTTTTGCCATATAATCTATGTTCTTAAGCCTTTACCATTTCAGCTGCTAGCTAAATCTACCACAAGTTGAACGATTCCAGGAGAGAAAGGAAGATATCTGAGCTGTACCACCTGGACTTTTCTCTCCCCGTTCATAGGTCTTTTGCCTTGTGGAAAAATTCTAGGAGAGAAAGAGAGGCAGAAAGGCAAACACGACCTTGGAGTCTACTTTATTTGGGTTCTCCACAGAGGGCTATCTACCAACAACTGCCCTGTGGGAAGATAGAGATTGAGGTAAACAAAGAAGACATCCTCTACCACTAAAGACCCTCTGGTAGGGATAGGAGAGAAATTTGATTCAGTTTGCATTTAAAGGAAACCTACCTAATTCACACTTTCCAAAGCAATTTACAAAATGAAACACAGCCATCCTTCAAAATTCACACTTCTCTGAATTTTGCAATGCAGTTCTTCACCAAAGTAACGTGTACAAAGATGCATTACCAAGGTGAAGTATGCATAAAAATGTATATACTCATGAAAATAGCAAGTGCATTCTGTTAAGGGAAACTGCTTTGCAAAAAGCTAATATTAGGCAAAATTGCATTAAAATGTATATTAGGGGAAGATAAAGGTAAAGGGACCCCTGACCATTAGGTCCAGTCGTGGATGACTCTGGGGTTGCAGCACTCATCTCGCTTTATTGGCCAAGGGAGCCAGCGTACAGCTACCGGGTCATGGGGCGAACCAGAGCAGCGCACGGAAACGCCGTTATCTTCCCGCCAGAGCGGTACCTATTTATCTACTTGCACTTTGACGTGCTTTTGAACTGCTAGGTTGGCAGGAGCAGGGACCAAGCAACAGGAGCTCAACCCATCACGGGGATTCGAACCACCGACCTTCTGATCAGCAAGCCCTAGGCTCTGTGGTTTAGACCACAGCGCCACCCGCACCCGCTTGGGGAGTCTGTCCCTGCCCCAATTCAGAACAATATGGTAACTCTGGGGAAGCATCACCAGAAGTAATAAAGAGGAATGATGTATGGATGGTCCAGTATAAATCTACCTCTAATGCCCTATTGTTGCATCAATGACATATTAAAGAAAACACTCACAAGAAGTCCACCAGGCAGGATAGGCCCTTTCTGCCACACACACACACACACACATTTCATTGCGCTACCAACATTGCTTTTCTTGCAGGGCTCTCAACTTTTATCATTTACCAAACACGAAGAAATTTAATTGGTTCCATTTTTCCATAACTTTGTAAATAAAGATAAAAAGAGCCTGGCAGGATCAAGCAAAAGCTTGTCTAGTCCAGTGTCTTGTTCTCAGAGTGGCCAACCAGATGCCTATAGGAAGCACCACAGCACTCACCCCACTCATGATCCCCAGCGTTTGGAATTTAACATGTATCTGTTCCTGGAGTATAGCCATCATTATTAGTAACAAATGATAGCCTTATCCTCTTTCATTTGCCTAATCCACTTTTAAAGCCACCTAAACTGGTGACTGTCATCACATTTTGTGGAAGTGAATTCTGTAAATTATCACTGCTGTTTAAAGTTTTTGCATATCTAGAAAAGCCTCACCTGACAAAAATGTGCAGGATGCAACTTCATCCCATGAATGAAGGGGGGGAGGGGTTAAGTGCCATGGCCAGGCCCTACATAAGGCCTTGGACTTGTAAAAGCAGCCCAAAAGAGGAAAGTCCACCAATTGTAGCTTCTCCCATTAGTGTGGCTTCATCTGTGGAAACACCATATTGCCAACCATAGTAAAAACCAAATCCTCTCTTCTGCCTAATATTGGGTCATTTCATATGGGATAAGGTAGTACATAAAATACCCTGTTTCCAGAATAGAAAGCTTAAAGGCCCAAACCAGCACCTTGATTTGGTCCAAGAAACAAGCCCTATAAGCATGTGGGTAACAGAGTCAGAACTAAAAGAAATGTAACCATAAGCCACATGTCATTGGTTGATGGAAGTGTTCTGATTCCAGCTCCCATCTTACTGTAACTGCCACTTTGAGCAGTTACTGGTTGATATGGGGAAATGAAAGGCTGAGATATAGAGCTATTACAGTCTTTCTTGAACCTTGGAGCTAGGTCAAAGTATTGCTGCAAGTCTTGAGCTAGGGCTGAGTTGGGAACAGGGAACTAGAAAAGAACAGAAGGAAAAATGCAGGTTAGGATTGTACAGTGGTTTAGATAATTAAGGATGCTGTGTAAGGTGCAGAAGATTAATAAGCTAACAACTTTTTCTGACAAGCCTATTATTGCTGCCTGACAGGCAGAAACTTAGTTGGTGAAGTTTTTCCAGTATGGAGATGAAATGAGGGGGAAAGCTTTGCTTGCTAAATTTCTGCCAGCCAAGCAGCTGTTAAAGACACAGGAGCCCTACCAGGAAAAAACAGCTTCGAATGTTTACAAGGTACGGCAGCTAGAAAATTCACCCATGTTATAGTTGGACATTACCAGGTGATAATGCAGGCTTAAACTGCCAAATTCCACATATCAAGATGCTGTTAAAGGCACATTAGCAGGCTAGGCTGTCCCCTCCCTCCCTAGCTAAAAACAAAGCAGAACATAATGATTTGTGTGTTTGATTTTACTATTTTATCTAGTACTTAGTAGAAAAGGACATAAGACTGATCTTCCCCTGCCACAGTGTTTACCTCTGAGAAGTCAGATATATCCATTTCCAAGTTTGTCTATTAATATTCCCTGACTGCTTACAAATACTGGAAAGTATAACAAGTTGATTTTTAACCATCTTCCAATACATTTGTCTCTATATGTGGAAATGGAGAAAAATTAAGATAAGAGCCTTCCTTTCTCCTTTGGGAGAAGACAGAAGATAATCTAAAGAATTTGTGAATACAAACAAGGAGTATGTAATCTGCAACTTTAGACCTTATAGATTCGTTGTTTTTGAAAAAATGTAAACAAGCTCAGAGACTGCTATTGACAGTAAGTTGCCTATGAAAATATTTTACTAGAACATTTTGCTTGATTTTTATGGAGAAAAGAGTTCAGGAATGTATGGAAAATGGTGAAATAAATTTGAGTGAAATTGGATACAGGCAGAATGTATCAGCTGGGAGAGGCGTACATAGTCACTAAAATGGTGCCTACCAGTCTGTACATATTATAGAAAGAAAAGTGCAATCCTAATTACATTTACTAGGAAGTAATTCCTATTAAACATCAGTAGAACTTGAGTCTGAGTAAAGATATCCAGGGACTCAATTGGATTTGCCCTATTAAAAACATCTAGCTCCAGGCTGTAGGGAGAGCTATATGTGCTTGCTCCAGCCTTTGTTGTTAAAGCAATTTTTAGTGACATTTTATTTTATAGCAGCAGGTTGAATTGTGTCTTCAGATGGGCTATAGAAAGTTTTGGAGGAAACACTGTTTAGAATAAGTCAGGCTATCAGCATTCTATAGTTGATCTCCTTTGTAATGCTTTTTTTAAAATAAAATAAAAATCTTTTAAGATATTTTAGTTTTTTGTTAGACACTCAAAGCAACATATTTAACTACCTTCAGTGATGTATACTATATAATTTGATGTTTTCATGCAGACTGTAGACAACTTTGAGATTCCCCCCCCCCCAAAAGTATAAAGTGGTATAGAAATGAAATGAATAGTAGTAGTAGTATATTGTTGTTATTATTACTACTACTACCATTTATATACCACTTATAAAGTGCAAAGCAAGCCACAAGGAAATCAAGCAAATGTAAATACAGTGTAGAAAACAATAAGAGCATCAAAATCTATAAAAGAGGATTTCACTATTCAGTACCTACTAACCATCCATATCTCAATCTGCCTGCACTTTCACCCACACAAAAACAAACCCACATGCGAACACCCTTTCCTTCACTCTTAACAGTTGCCAACCCCAACAATCCCCTGAATACATATACAAAAAGACCATACATACTTGGTTGCTGCTGAAAGTCATTAGCCTGCCAGTTCTGTTGTCCTGTATCAATATTTTTAAACTACTCCTGATAATGCCAGTTTGCTCTTCAGAAATAAAACAGGGAGAGTATACTAAAACGCTGGCAGCCTCACAATGAGACTAAAATCCTATCTAATTTAGGACTACACCAACCCAAATAAGAACCTCACACCATTCACCCAACCCTTCATTTAACAATCACATATGCTTATCATATGGCTGAGAAATAAAGCTCTCACCCTAGTCAGCCACCAATTTCCACTTGAGATGTGGTCAGTCTCCAGGCCCTCCCTTAATTGCTCTATCCTCTCACCCTGGGGCAGCAGCACACATTCCCACATTCAACCAAAACACAACCCTAACAGGATCAGGGCCCTCACAACACCCAAAAGCTGTAACACCGCTTTAGAACTTCATATGCAGAAGTGGAAAGTCCAGCACCCTCTTCAGTAGTTCTTGCTGCCAGGAGATACTGATTTTGGGGTGAACAAAGCCCACCAGGAGGTGGTAAGTGCTGCAAATACCTCCAATTCTTACTGCTCAGTTTGAAGATGTTAACAAGGTTGCAGCTCCTTGGGAACAGGAGACCAGGTATTCTCAATTCACCTTTGTGGCCCAATGATTTGGCTACAGCTGCATCTCATTATCTAGCTACTATTTCCTGTCTTCCACCACATGAGAGCCTTCATGTCCTCACTCTTCAGCTTGTGACAAGGCACAGGCTTCATACTGCATGCACACTCCTTGCTAAATGGGCACGGCTGTAAATTTTCCAGTGAAGAAGACAAACATTAATGCCACAGTGGCCATGGAGACATGCGCACTGCCTTGCTCCTGCAATTGAGGGGGCTAGGGCTGCACAATGTCAGCATGCCATGTGCACATACCACAGGGTGTGCTGCCATGCCATGTGGACACCCCCTGGCTTGCGAGCATGCCTCACAGGGGGCATGCAACCACCACCTTGCTGAAAATTTTCAGGGGGCCCTGACCCCCGCTTTCACCTGATCAGATAAAGCAATCAGAGTACTATTCCTGTCAAAATTAAAAGTAAGGGCCCATGTGTAGCTACTGTAGACAGAGACACTGAATTCTTTCCGGTGAAAACAGTAAATTCTGCTGTGGCTGTCTACATACAAATAGGAAACATTTACCTAGCTGTTCCTGCAATAAAGCTTATAATTATTGTTTCAGTCCACATGACTACACAGCTGTTGATAATCTATCATTCTAATCTCTCTCCTATTCTCGCTTTTTTTCTCTTTACCTGTCAGGATGCTGATTCTTTAAGTTTAAAGTGCCTTCTGCTGACTGAGGTCCCCTGTTCAGGTAATCAAACTACCTATGCTAATAATTTACCGTAGCATGCCTGGTTTCATATTTATCTATTTTTAAGTGCCAGGAAGACTTTCCTCTTTGCCTGGCTTTTGACCCTTATTATAAAGGGTTTCAGGCATTTGTTTAATGGGGCAAGGTCTGTAAAGCCTGTCTTTTAGCTGTATGTTTTTAGAATGCATTGGTTGTGTTTGTTTTGATTAATTTTACTGTAAAGTTATTTGGGTTATTTTTGTGAAGAAAGCAACTAACACATATGAAATAATAACTGTTACGGGAATGAGTACATTGCCTCTGTTCATATTCCAATGAACAGAAGCAACCTTCTTGTTCTGATTAATCAGTTTTTTGTGGATTCTCCTTTGAATGGTAGCTTTCAAATCAGTAGTGGAATGCCCTGTGAGATGAAAGCATTCACCTTTTCGGTGGGAAGGGTGAGCAGCCTCCAGCTGTACACCTGTCCATGATTTCAAACCATGATTACACAGGGATCCTGACCATGTGGCTGCTTCTATGCACATATAGCTGTACAGGATGCTTTCAGGCATGCAGCCTAATTCAAGGATGTCGGGGTATACAGTGGTACCTCAGGTTAGGTACTTAATTCGTTCCGGAGGTCCGTTCTTAACCTGAAACTGTTCTTAACCTGAAGCACCACTTTAGCTAATGGGGCCTCCCGCTGCTGCTGCGCCACTGAAGCACAATTTCTGTTCTCATCCTGAAGCAAAGTTCTTAACCCGAGGTACTATTTCTGGGTTAGTGGAGTCTGTAACCTGAAGCATATGTAACCCGAGGTACCACTGTATAGGTAGATGGTGGATTAACAACAGGTGTGTGGCGGGCAGGGCATTCCTACATCCTTTCATTAGGGCTTACGTTTCATCCTCTTACCACATGATAGTGCATTCAGACAAGATATTATTCAACACATACAACATCACTTCAAGATGTCTGAATTTTACATATGCACATTCAGTTATAAATGTCATGGACTATAAATTATCTAAGGGACAATTGTAATCTTCCAGTGGTTGAAAAGGTAAATTATCATCTAGCGGGTGGCGCTGTGGGTTAAACCACAGAGCCTAGGACTTGCTGATCAGAAGGTCGGTGGTTCGAATCCCCACGACGGGGTGGGCTCGTTGCTCGGTCCCTGCTCCTGCCAACCTAGCAGTTCAAAAGCACATCAAAGTGCAAGTAGATAAATAGGTACCGCTCTGGCGGGAAGGTAACGGCGTTTCCGTGCGCTGCTCTGGTTCGCCAGAAGCGGCTTAGTCATGCTGGCCACATGACCCGGAAGCTGTACGCCGGCTCCCTTGGCCAATAAAGAGAGATGAGTGCCGCAACCCCGGAGTCGGCCACGACTGGACCTAATGGTCAGGGGTCCCTCTACCTTTACCTTTAGTGTTTTGTGTAATTTGATAACTGACAGTGCTTGGTTACCAGTTGATAAGTGTTTCAAATTAAGGTCAAACCCTAACTGCTATGATGGAGGGCAAAGGCCAAACTACAGGTTACATTAAATGTGTTGTTGCAATTAATGCATCTGGGGGGTTAAAATAAAATAAACAAAAGCAGCCACAAGAAGTGGACTCAACCTTTTTCCTTTGCACCAAGGACATTATGACCTCCACCCCCCCACACACACACAAATAAACACTGCTGTGTATGAAAGTTCAAAGAAAGGAAAGAGAAGGAAGGAAGGAGGAATAATATATTGAGTTTTTGCCTTAAACTGGCAGAAAAAGAGCTTTACAAAGCTTACATAATTGAATTCTCCTTCACAGAAAATAATTATCTGCACATAGAAAACTAGATTTCAAAAAGAAGAGTGTCTAAATATTAATCTGATGGGTTCTACCCCTCACTCGCTTAGTCATGCTGGCCACATGACCCGGAAGCTGTACGCCGGCTCCCTCGGCCAATAAAGCGAGATGAGCTCCACAACCTCAGAGTCTGTCATGACTGGACCTAACGGTCAGGGGTCCCTTTACTTTTACCTTTACCCCTCACTCCTATTAGCATACTATACGAGCCCCCATCTGTAGTTCAAAGTGGTACAGTCAAAGCATATGTTTGCCACTTTATATACTGTTTTTGAGAAATAAGACACTTCCAAGTGGTCTGTTGATTGAGAATTCATCATGATTTGTTTGCACAATATTTGCAAGGAATTTATATTACACAGCATCAAGCAAGTCTTATTCCACAAAATGTCAGGTTCCTATTTTTACTTTTGGAAGTGCCTTTGTTGCACAAGAACACCCAATCCACTTTAATTGCCCAACCTGAATTTGCTGGTATGTGATTGAAATACAACAGCAAAATATTGGTAGTCTGGAAGCACCCCTTGTCACCCAAGTTTTATTTATAAATAAATAGGTGTTACAAATATCTAAAGGGTTCTTGCCTCACTGTCTAACTGAGCATATAAAAGGCTATCCCTTAAATTTCCTGTCCCTTGGAAAATGGGGAGCATGAAACAATATCTAACCAAGACAATGAGATAGGTTTTTTAGAAAAAAAGCTTAAATCTTAACTTCAAGCAATAAGATGGTCAGATTCTCTTATAAAAAAATTATTTATAATCTAGAATATTCGTAATATTATGACTAGCTTTGTTGCATTGTCTGTTTGTAAAAAAAAATGCAATTTAAGAACTATCGTTATTGCTAAGTAATCTTTTGCTTTGCCATTATAGCATTTTAGCCAAGGCCTGTTTCCTTGAAACTTGGCAAATGCCACTGGAAAGAGACCAGCAGCCATCCAGGTATATTTCTGTGAATAAGGAACAACTGGATTCTCCCATTTCTTTATCTAAGGGTATGTGATTTTTTTTTAAAAAAAAAGTCATTTTCATTGTGAATGATTCTCAGAAAAGAAGCCTTTTCAGGCCTAGCATTTGAATTAAACTACTGCTCATACAGAACTGGTAGCCTGGCCCAGTTTGCATATTTCCCATTACATTTTTGAGGAACTAAAATTGACCATATCACTACTTCACAGAAAAGCAAAAGAAATAGTACCATCTCTACATAAATATTCATTATACATGAAAGCATGCATATACATACAAGCATGCATATACATGTATTGTAAAAGAGAGCCAGAGGTGTTGTCAGCTCAGTCCAAAACACACACACACACACACACACACACACACAATAATTTTAATAACTATGAGTTTTATAATAATTTTGCAGACCTTGCAAACGTAGCAAAGTGATTTGCTTCATTGCATTGGCTGCAAACATGGCACATTCCCCTTTTCTGGGTGTTAGAAGTAGCAGGTCCTAGTGGTTCTGAGACTACCTAATTTTATTCTTGGGCATATAGCTATGTATGTAGAGGAAGAGATGTACTTTGAGATTTCCACTCCATTTTGGGTTGTTCAGCTTCCAAACCATGTAGCCATTTAAGCGAATCACCACCATTTGATAGTGTAGTGAAGCATATGTGAATACGATCAGGTCACAGGTGTCAAAGTCAGTTTTAGTTTTTATTATAACAAAAGAGCAATCTTAGGCTTGGATTTGTGGTTATTCATGGAAGAAAGGAGAATCACCATGCTTCTTTTGCACATAATTTGCAATTGCATACCCAGGCACAGAAGCATGTGGACCATCCGGGACAGCTCCAGGAAGGATTAAGATTTATGACACCAGTGCTTGGGTTGAAATAGGCCACAACAATATTGATTACAGGTGTAAGCAGGCTTTGGAAAAGGCATTGGCTATGAATTCTGCATCAGCCAGTCTGCCTGAGCTGGGTTACTCTGGATGGAAGGTTGCCCTATGACTCAAACTGGGGCGCTATCCTTAGGACCGCCAGAGGTAAGGGTACTATGGCTCATCAGCCCTATGTTGGCTCCAGGACATAAATATCCTCCTGGACCCCTTTAACAGGGTACTCATTTGGCTAAAATTCAAACCCCATGCCTAATCCACCATAAATTATGACAATTGCTATGAGGCAGGCGAAAACCTACAGACCAGCCAATTTGTCAGCAAGAAAAATATTCTCCCAGACTCTGAATACAGCAGCTGAACATTCAATACCAATGTCAAGCCAACACTGTCCAGGCCACACCATCCTAGACAAGGTGGAGAATCCATCAATGATCAGAGAGGCAGAGGCAAGGCACAGCTCCCATTCTAAATCTCTGGTTAGGACCTGGTTGGAGACGTCCCACACCAAATCTGCCTCCATCACCACACCTCTCCACTCTCTCCTGATTGGCCTGTTTGAATCAGGCACCCTGCAGCTGGCCTGCTCAGTCACTGGCTGTGCAGACCAGATTTAGGCTCCAGGCAATCTGGCACCATGACTCGCCCATAAACTGCCACTCCCCAAGCATTCATGGGTAAGCAGTCAGTGTCAAACCTTCTTGAAAACCGAAAATACTGCTACTGACACTTCTGGATTCGCAGGCAAGGAATTCTGGAGATATTTCTGGTTGGATGGTTTGTTTTCAATGCACCAATCCGAAAGATTTGGAAGATGATTTGGAATTGTAACAGCCAGGTGTGTTTTTTCCATGGTTTGTGAGTTTGAGCAGTGTTGGTCATCTTCCACTATACGACACTGCTTGCCGATTGAAACATTCTCATATGACACAGACACCTTTGAGAGTGTCTTACAGTGTGAGTTAGAATTACCCCAAAAGCAGAGCCAGCATGTTCTGCTCAATATATAAAAAACTGATAATGTAAAAAACACAAGGAACATTCTAATTGATTGTGGGAAGGGCATTGTAAACCTGTGGGGTATTACTAACCATAATACCATGTGTAGTGATATTAAGTGAAATAAGTAAATTGTGTATTATTGCAATAGACAAGTCAGTTTTCACCCTCTGCTCCTTTCTCACAAGAAATGGAAAGAATCTGGTCTGAGCATCTGCATACATAAATAATAACTAAAATATTTAACAGCATTTTTCAGGATCACTCCATCTCTTAGTAGTTTTGTGCAGTTTTTCTTTCATTCCAGTATGGGTATAATTGTCCCCAAAGCTGTTAAAATATTAACGTGATTTTTTTACTAGATTTAGGAGAGGTCACTGAAATATATGGCAAATCACAACTTACTGTGTTTGAGAAGCATCTGGAACAGGCTTCCTCAAACTCAGCCCTCCAGATGTTTTTGGCCTACAACTCCCATGATCCCTAGCTAGCAGAACCAGTGGTCAGGGGTGATGGGAATTGTAGTCTCAAAACATCTGGAGGGCCGAGTTTGAGGAAGCCTGATCTGGAACATGGTGTTGTGGAAAACTGACACAAATCACTGTTGGAATACATTTGCGTGGAATCTACACACATGTTAAAAATTTGTGGGAAAGTTTTTTTTTAATCGTTTTGGAAAATGCATTGAATTTGCTATAGCTCACAGTCGTCATCTAGTGTCACAGTTGTATATTGCACTTTACAACACATTCAAAACGTTTTATTTGCAGCTGTATAGCTGAGTCCTTGACCTCACCTGTTAATGGAGGGTTTACAGAGCTATGGAGAAGCTCATAGTTTTCCTGTTTTTGTGATACACCTAGCTACACCTCATTCTAGGGCTAATGGTAAAAGAAAGAGTTTCATTTCCTCTGTACCATTTTTAAAAAGTTTACCCTTTTTAATATTGTAAGAAGTGCCTTTTTTAGGTAAATGCAATAAAATATGTCTCTAACCCTGTTTTAATGCTATTAAAAGTTTCTGGGTTGTTATTGTAAACTGCAGGAAGGCAGGATGATGGTGACTCCAGTCAACTTTGAGGCAACAGACTTTAAGATCACTCTCCCAGAGTTGCAACATTTGATGGAATTTCGAAAGAAAGATGCAGTGAAGAAAATAAAGGAACTTTATGGTGACATCTTTAAAATCTGTGCAATGCTGAATACTTCCCCCACACTTGGGATACTTGGTTCCAAATCAGAAATAGATGCAAGGAAAGCTGTATTTGGAAAGAATTTTATACCTCCTAAAAAGTCCCTAACTTTCCTGGAATTAATGTGGGAAGCACTGCAGGATACAACATTATGCATCTTAGAAATTGCAGCCATTATATCACTGGGACTTTCTTTTTATGATCCAGGAGGAAGTGTTGCAGAATGTCAGGCAAATGAATTTGGAGAAGAAGAAGAAGAAGCGGAGGCTGACTGGATTGAAGGATTTGCAATACTTGTATCAGTACTTTGTGTAGTGTTGGTAACAGCTTTCAATGACTGGAGTAAGGAAAAACAATTCAGAGGGTTGCAGGAGCGCATTGAAAAGGAACAGAAATTTACTGTCATCAGGAAAGGGGAGTCAGTACAGGTGCCAGTAGCTGAGTTAGTGGTTGGGGATGTTGCACAGATCAAATACGGTGACCTTTTGCCAGCTGATGGTTTGCTCCTTCAAGGACATGATCTAAAAATTGATGAGAGCAGCCTCACAGGGGAATCAGATCATGTCAAGAAGTCTTTGACAGAGGACCCCATGTTGCTTTCAGGTACCCATGTGATGGAGGGCTCTGGAAAAATGGTTATTACAGCTGTAGGTTTAAACTCGCAAACAGGAATTATCCTCAGTTTACTTGGAGTTGGAGAAGATAATGAGAAAGCAAATCATAAAAAGCCAGCCAACCCTCATAAAACTGCTGGAAATGAAAAAAAGGAAAAAGAACAAACTTCAAAACACAAAAAAGAAAAATCAATTCTACAAGCAAAACTCACAAGATTGGCTGTTCAGATTGGAAAAGCAGGGCTGGCAATGTCTATAATCACTGTTACTGTTCTTATAGTCTATTTTTTAGTTCAAACTTTTGTGATTGAGAAGCATACTTGGACTGCTGAATGTACACCCATTTATATACAATATATTGTGACGTTCTTTATTATTGGAGTTACAATCTTGGTCGTAGCAGTACCAGAGGGCCTTCCACTTGCAGTTACCATCTCACTTGCCTACTCTGTGAAACAAATGATGAAAGATAATAACCTAGTGAGACATTTGGATGCCTGTGAAACTATGGGTAATGCAACAGCAATTTGTTCAGATAAAACAGGAACCTTAACCATGAACAGAATGACAGTAGTCGAAATTTTAATTGCTGGCACACATTATAAACATGTTCCTGAACCTAAATTAATTCATCCAACCATGCTGAATTATTTGCTTAAAAGTATTTCTTTAAACTGTGCATATACTTCAAAAATACTGCCTCCTGACAAAAAAGGAGGCCTTGCTCTTCAAATTGGCAATAAGACTGAGTGTGCTTTACTGGGCTTGCTTGTGGAATTAAAGCAGGATTATGAGGCTATGAGGACTAAGATACCAGAAGAGAAATTGTTTAAGGTATATACCTTCAATTCTGAAAGGAAATCAATGAGCACAGTTTTGGAAAACCCCAATGGGAGTTATCAACTCTTTAGCAAAGGTGCTTCTGAAATACTTCTTCAAAAATGCACCCATATACTGGATGCTGCTGGGGAACCTATATCCTTTACCAAAAAAGAGAAGGAAAATGTGATAAAAAATGTGATTGCACAAATGGCCTCTGGGGGACTTCGCACCTTATGTCTAGCATTCAAAGATTTCCCAGCCGGCTCAGGACCAAACTGGGACAAAGAAGATGATATTTTCAGTGACATGACTTGTATCGCAGTTGTAGGTATTGAAGATCCAGTGAGACCTGAGGTTCCTGACGCAATAAGAAAATGTCAGAGAGCTGGTATTGTTGTACGTATGGTTACTGGGGATAACATTAACACAGCTCGTGCAATAGCTGCAAAATGTGGAATTCTGCAACCCGGGGAGAACTTTGAGTGCTTAGAGGGGCATGAGTTTAATAGACTAATACGTGGTCCAGATGGACAGATTAAACAAGAGCTTATTGACAAGATTTGGCCTACGCTTCGTGTGCTTGCAAGGTCCTCACCTGCTGACAAGTACAACTTGGTAGAAGGGATCATTAACAGCAATATCACAGAACAAAGGCAAGTGGTAGCAGTAACTGGTGATGGTACAAATGATGGGCCTGCATTAAAAAAAGCTGATGTTGGCTTTGCAATGGGTATTGCTGGAACAGATGTAGCTAAAGAAGCTTCTGATATAATTCTTACTGATGACAACTTCTCAAGCATTGTCAAAGCTGTCATGTGGGGTAGGAATGTATATGACAGCATTTCCAAATTCCTTCAGTTTCAGCTTACTGTTAATGTAGTAGCAGTGGTAGTTGCTTTTATTGGAGCAGCAGTCACCCAGAATTCACCTCTGAAAGCTGTTCAGATGCTGTGGGTCAATCTCATTATGGACACACTTGCTTCTCTTGCTCTAGCAACAGAAAAGCCAACAGAGACTCTGCTGGAACGAAAGCCTTATGGCAGAAATAAACCTCTTATTTCCCGTACAATGCTAAAAAATATTATGTTTCATGCTATTTATCAACTTGTAGTTGTCTTTGCACTTCTTTTTGTGGGTGAAAAATTATTTGATATTGAAAATGGACGAATTGCACCACTACATGCCCCACCTACCCGGCATTACACTATTGTTTTTAACACATTTGTAATGATGCAGATTTTTAATGAAGTCAATGCACGCAAGATTCACGGGGAAAGGAATGTTTTTTCAGGAATATTCACAAATTCCATTTTTTGTTGTGTTTTTGTGGGAACATTGATTACACAACTAATCATTGTTGAGCTCGGAGGGAAGCCCTTTAGTTGTGCAAGTCTTACACTAGAGCAGTGGCTATGGTCAATCTTCTTTGGCCTAGGAACATTGCTATGGGGGCAGCTGATTGTATATATTCCAAATAGGTTCCTGGGGTTCCTGTGGGAAGTTGGTGATCAACCACCACAACCTGTTGAAGATGAACAAATGGATGGTGACACAGTGATTGACTTAGGTGAACAAGAACTGAAACGCAGTAAGTTTCTGTGGTTCAGGAACTGGACTAGAATACGAGTTCAGTGCGCAGCAGTGAAATCATTTCATGAGCCCTCATATAATAAAGATGTGCATTCAACAAATAGTAAAACTGCATAATACAACACGAGTAATGAATATGAAAACTTCACATGTTATTGTATTTCCATTTCAAAAAAAGTAATGTGCACATTAGCAATATTAGGAAATGGATGGATTTTTTTCTCCATACTGGTGAGTGAGATGCTTTTTAAAAGATCTCTGACAAAATAGATAGACCTTTCTAGAAGATATAGGAAACAACATAAGGAATCAAAATAAAATCCTCTTCAAAATGTCTTCATATATGGGTCTGAATATTATATTAGCTGACTTTTAATGTACCTTGAGCCTTTAAATTTCTTTTTTCCAAGGCCATCTTCAGAAAGAGGGAAAGTGATTGATGAAGCCAAAAGCCGTGTCGTGATTTTTTTATATTTCTTGACTTAAATGTGGTATTATATTATAAATTATAGAAGTTGAATAGCTTTTTACTTTTGCTCTTGTTTATACTTATAACTGATATCAATTAGCTGAGCTGCCTTATGCCCTCAATCACCTGTTTGGAAATGTGTTACTTTCTCAAGTATTTTAAACTCTTTCTTTAGCTGCTCTGCTTTGAATGGAGGGGGACAGATCTGACTACAAACAAGCCAAGCTTATTTGCATTTTGTTATTGCTAGCTGCTTATAAGCAAATATTATTAAATAATAAAAATGCTAAAAACATTTTTACTCTTGTTGCTTAATTAAGAGGAAGGGGCAAAACAAAACAAAAAAACCCCCTAAAGATGATGTCAAAATAATAATTAACTACACACAGAAGGAGACATGGTAGACTAATGACCCACCCTAGTTTATTTTATATTCCCTTAAAAGGGGATACAACAGATAGGGGTCTGTAAACCCTCTTTTTACCCTACTTTTTGTAGAATTTCAAAGATCTTCAGCATTTCATCCTGAACTAAGAACCCATGCTTTGCATTAGGAATGGGGAACCCCTGGCCCTCCAGAAGTTATTGGACTCCAATTCCCATCAGCCCCACACAGATTTTAAAAGAACAGGTCCCCTGCCTAAGCTGAAAATTGACTTCTCAATAGCCAAAGGAATATTTCCCAAAACTGTATTGTTGCACTTGAACTGTGCAATTGTTACTCAGTTTTAACACAGTACATGGCAGCGAACCTCTCTTGAAATTGCAGCTACCACTGCCCCCTTCATGATTAAAACTGTTACAATGGAAGTGTAAAATTCAGGGACACATTTTACATTCATGCTTCACAGTATCAGAGTTACACTTAGAAAAAGTAATCTAAAAGTGTGGAAAAATGACCAGGGGATTCAAATGATTGAAAAAACTCCACAATATTGAGTTGCTCAGAAATGTGCCCTCAGTTAGGGCTTTCTCTTAAGAGTTATGAGGGCAGTGAGGATATGACTGTGGGAGTGTTACAGGCACCAAATGACTGAAGTACACAATGATGCTAGTGACATGACAATCTGCCCTTCGACTTTAAACTTATTTTCTTTTCTTTTCATGGTGCACTGTGTCCCTTCAGTGCTAAAATGCACACACACATCGTTTCTTTTATTTAGAAGAAAAATTAGCAAACTTCCCCTGCAATTGCAAAGAGCCAGCAAACCAACAGCTATTTTATCCCTGCTTTCTTTCCATCATTTTAAAGAGGGCTTCTTCTCATTGTTTCTAGTCCACCAAACAAAAAGAAGAGGAGCAAGGAAGCTAATAGCAGCAACAGTGCTGGTGGTAGCAACCCACACAACTAGTCCAATATGCTGCTGCTTCTACTCATGTCCATACTCATAGCACAAAACAACATAGCACAAAGCTACTTCCCATAAAACCTCTATTTTACACCTGTAGGAATTGTATCTTCAACCTCTGCCCTCCAGATGTTTTGAGACTACAATTCCCATCATCCCTAACCGCTGGTCCTGCTAGCTAGGGATAATGGGAGTTGTAGGCCCAAAACATCTGGAGGGCTGAGTTTGAGGAAGCCTGAACTAAATGGTGGGGGGGGGGGAGGTATGCAGAGACCCAAGACTGAGTACAGTCATACCTCGGGTTGAAGTAGCTTCGGGTTGAGCGTTTTCAGGTTATGCTCCGCGGCGACCCGGAAGTAACGGAACACGTTACTTCCAGGTTTCACCACTCGTGCATGCACAGATGCTCAAAATTATGTCACGCGCATGCACGGAAGTGGCGAATTGCGACCCGAGCACGTGCAGACGTGGATTGCATTCTCTTCAGGATGCGAACGGGGCTCCGGAACAGATCCCGTTCACATCCAGAGGTACCACTGTAATAATACTCTTAAAGGTAAAGGTACCCCTGACCGTTAGCTCCAGTCGCGGATGTCTCGGGGGTTGCACCACTCATCTTGCTTTACTGGCCAAGGGAGCCGACGTTTGTCCGCAGACAGCTTCCGGGTCATGTGGCCAGCATGACTAAGCAGCTTCTGGCAAACCAGAGCAGCACACAGAAATGCTGTTTACCTTCCCGCTGGAGTGGTACCTATTTATCTACTTGCACTTTGACGTGCTTTTGAACTGCTAGGTGGGCAGAAGCTGCGACCTAACAACGGTAGCTCACCCCATCACGGGGATTCGAACGGCTGACCTTCTGATTGGCAAGCCCTAGGCTCTGTGGTTCAGACCACAGCGCCACCCGTGTCCCTAATAACATGCTTAAAAGCTAGTAAAATGAAACATTAAAGAGATCCATAATTAATATTGAGAATAATGGGTGTTTCTGTCTCTTTGCAGATAAACCATCCATTAAATGGTTGGGAATTATATACTGATAATGCGTTTTAACCTGTTTAGCATCAAGGTTCAACTAATAGTTCAGTTCATGTCTCATTCTAAGTGCTGTAGTTCATTAAACTATACAAAAAGCATTCTCCACCCATTTATCACCATATAAATGCATTCATGTAATTATTTAATAAAAATTATATACCACTTGACTGTAAAAAAAAAAACAACCTTCAAAGCAGTTTACAGACATGCTTTGTAGACATTCTTCCTTTAGGCTTTTAGACATGCTTCTGAAGGCAAGTGGAATTCAGAATATTGTGGTGTAGAATTTCTTTTATTCAGCCTGAGGGCACCCATACTATTATACTATGCTATACTGTTATGGATAAAAGTGAAATCTATTATATTGGAAAACAAATGTGAACTTGGGGAAAAAGATAGGAAGTGGAGGAGAAAAACAGCAGGGCAAAATTGAAGAAATGTGTCCTCTTTTTGCTCTTCACCTTCTCCCCTTTATCCACACTTCCTAGCTCTCATCCAACTATGGCAAGAACAAAGAATCTTTTCCCTACCTGTACCCTGAAGCTGTTCAGCTACAACTTCCACCATCTCTAACTACTGGCTCCGCAGACTGCAAACTCCTCATCCCTGTTCTAAAAATATCTACATGCAGAAGCAGCTTTCCACAGCAACATCAAGAACAGCAGACATAAAGTGCATGTGTATCTATCTGCATATTCAAGTTCAGATACTATTATTCTGTGCTGCATGAATTTCAAGGGCATGTGCATTTTTGTAGTGAATATTTTCCATTGAAAGCAATGCAGTATGGTTAGATTGAATCTGTATTTGTGCAGAAGGTCTGCAATGGCTGACGTGGAGATAGGTCCATGCAGCTAAGCATTCTGATCCAAGTATGGAGTTCTGTGCATTGAAGGAAGCTTGCAAGCAAGTATTTCCTGGAACAAGAACTGCAGATAAACCAAGTATGGGTGCAATATATTTCAGTGGAGTGTGCACTCAGGTACAGGAAAATATCTGCAATTTGAACAAAGAACACTTGAGGGCACCCTAGCACTAAAATAATTCATCTTTATGCTACAGTCTGCATAACTTTTTTTTCTTTTTTTCTTCAAGGACCATAGGAACCAAAGCACTTTATTTTTTCCAATGGACTTAAAGCAATTACATAGCAGAATAAGCTGTAATTGTTTTCTATTAAAAAAAATTGGAGCATATATCTAAAAGCAGCACAGTGTTCAATGTTAAGGAAGCTATTTTTGTAAGCTTTCTGACCACAGTAGAGAATAATAATGAAAATCTGCATGTGAGTTAAAAAACATTTCCATGATGGAATATACAACTGGATGGAGTATTCTAATTCTTTCCTCCACTAACAGTCACAAATCCACTCTCAAAGTAGAGAAAATGCTCTGACTCTACCTGCTTCAAAATTATGTAAAGAAATTAGAAAATACTATGGGTGCCATCTACTTCTACTTCTGCTTCATTGACTGTGCAAAAGCCTTTGACTGTGTCGACCACAGCAAACTATGGCAAGTTCTTAAAGAAATGGGAGTGCCTGGTCACCTCATCTGTCTCCTGAGAAATCTCTATGGGGGACAAGAAGCTACAGTTAGAACTGGATATGGAACAACTGATTGGTTCAAAATTGGGAAAGGAGTACGACAAGGCTGTATATTGTCTCCCTGCTTATTTAACTTATATGCAGAATTCATCATGCGAAAGGCTGGGCTGGATGAATCCCTAGCCGGAATTAAGATTGCCAGAAGAAATATCAACAACCTCAGATATGCAGATGGCACAACATTGATGGCAGAAAGTGAGGAGGAATTAAAGAACCTTTTAATGAGGGTGAAAGAGGAGAGCACAAAATATGGTTTGAAGCTCAGCATCAAAAAAACAAAGATCATGGCCACTGGTCCCATCACCTCCTGGCAAATAGAAGGGGAAGAAATGGAGGCAGTGAGAGATTTTACTTTCTTGGGCTCCATGATTACTGCAGATGGTGACAGCAGCCACGAAATTAAAAGACGCCTGCTTCTTGGGAGAAAAGCAATGACAAACCTAGACAGCATCTTAAAAAGCAGAGACATCACCTTGCCAATAAAGGTCCGTATAGTTAAAGCTATGGTTTTCCTAGTAGTGATGTATGGAAGTGAGAGCTGGACCATAGTGAGAGCTGATGGACGAAGAATTGATGCTTTTGAATTATGGTGCTGGAGGAGACTCTTGAGAGTCTCATGGACTGCAAGAAGATCAAACCTATCCATTCTTAAGGAAATCAGCCCTGAGTGCTCACTGGAAGGACAGATCCTGAAGCTGAGACTTCAATACTTTGGCCAGCTCATGAGAAGAGAAGACTCCCTGGAAAAGACCCTGATGTTGAGAAAGATGGAGCGCACAAGGAGAAGGGGATGACAGAGGACGAAATGGTTGGATAGTGTTCTCGAAGCTACCAGCATGAGTTTGACCAAACTGCGGGAGGCAGTGGAAGACAGGAGTGCCTGGCATGCTCTGCTCCATGGGATCACGAAGAGTCGGACACGACTAAACAACAACAACATGGGTGCCAGCAAAACAAGCTACAATGAGAATGATCAGCAAATATTCAGTGAATATGCAGGGAGCCCCATCTGACAAATCATTTCAACCCCAGTGTCAAAGGCTGGACCTAGACACATCAAAAAAACATTTCAGGAAAACGCGTTGTAAACCTCTTTACAATGGGAAATCATGTTGCTGAAAGACTGAATGCTATAGTGCCATCTGGTGTCACAGTGTTATAACGCATTTAAACTGCTTTGCTTTTTTTCTAATGTAACTGAGTCCAAAGTGTCAAGATAAAAACATTAAGCACCTGTACAAGGAAAAGCAGAAGTTGGGGGTAAGCTAATTAGGGGTACAAAAGTAAAACAGACTTGTGGTGGTGACCCCCTCTCTGTCCCCACCATTTCACCTGCACTACCACCTGGCCTGCTACCTCAACTGCACCCTCTCCCACAGCTGCACCTGCACTTCCTCAATGATGCAGCAGTGAGGGTGCAATGTTAGCAGTGAGGGTAAGGGTTCTGTGGTGGCGGTGATGCAGGCAAAGCTGTGGGACAATGCAGCCAGAAGTGGCGCAATGGTAGGGTGGGAGTCAAATTTACTGCCTGAGGCAAATTGCTTCAGCTCACCTCATGGAAGTGCTGGCCTTGGAGCTCCACAAGGATGTCTGTATCACCAGCTGAAGAAACATTTAGTAAGGAGGTCAGGGCCATCAAACTTCTCCCCTAACTTTCAAAGTAAACATGCTCAAAAATCATAAACAGTTGTGAAGGTGGAAAGTCAGAATATCTAGTTTATTATATCACACATATACTTGTCTGCAAGCTTGGCAGGTATTCCAGGAATATGCTCTCAGGGAACAAGTTTGTTCCCTTGAGGTCGAAATAGCTGACCTGAAAAAGAGAAGTTTGTTGACATGGCCTTCAGGGACATGATATCCATGTCCCACTTCCAGAGTGGCAAATTCTTTGCTGTCATGGTGAATGAGGGTCTCAAGAAAGGTGACTGTCTCCCTTCTGAGGTCATTATTAGGACTTGCAAACTCTGTAAAATATGAAACAATATGTTGTGAGCTGGGAATATTGCCTTTATCAGTAAGAGCATGGTTGAGGACCTTGAAATATTGGATCTTCCTCCATTATAGAGCCCTATCCCCTAATTCTCTACTTTACGATCTTTTAAGTGATAGTGCAATCTACAATCTATCATTGATTTGTAGGAGAAAACTGGATTCGATAGGGCTCACTCTAATTGATTTTGAAACCTCTGATCCCAAAGACATATGGGAAATTATCAGGAAGACTCTTACAGAAAAAAGTGTTCTCGCCATGCTTGAGGCTGCAAAGCACAGCACTTGCTCTCCTATCCACTTAAATCTCCCTTTGTGTAGAGATTTCCAAAGGGATACATGACAAATCTGAAGAAACATGAATCGTGTAGGCTGTTTATGTTGGCCAGATTCAACATGTTTCCTCGGTGGTAGTGAGAGGAAGATACTTAGCTATCCCAGAATCAGAGCGTCTCTGCAAATGCAGAAAACAGGAACCCGACACTCTAGAGCATATATTCTTTTCCTGTGATTTTGGTAGTTATGCCAGAAAACAATTATTCGAGGCCCTAAAAGTTAATAGACAGATTTTTACTCCACCAACTGTTCAGGACCTGCTGGCGGACAGCGATGATCAAACCACTATAATAGTGGCTGAATTTTTAAGTGCTGTCCATGAAGAAAGAATGGGCCATGATAAAGAGACTTAGTGGTTTTTAATGGTAGGTGATGTTGCTGTGTTGTTGTATTATATTATCTATGTACATCGATTTATTTCTTGGAGTTAAGAATAGGACTGGGATAAATTGTGTTCGCTGAGCCCGTATTTTATACAGTCTGTATATGATGTTTGTTTGTTATTGTGTGGTGTGCTATGCCTAATAAAGGATTTAAAAGTAAAGTAAAGTAAAGGTGACTGTCAATGAGAAGGGACCAATTCTTTGTTCATTGAAACTTTGTTCATATAAATTCAACATTTTCTCAGAGCACAACAGGAATCTGTTGACATAAGCTATTTTCTACAATAGGTCATGCCATAATAAACCAATCAGCCACTAGGGTGCCAATGAATGCTTTTTTGGTACAGATCAACACAGCTGTTTTGTTGGATTTTTCTCAGTCATGGAATGGAACAATTGGTTCTAAATCTAGGGGGCCTCACCAGCCTGCCCTCTCCCCAGTGCTGCAGTCTCCCCTCTCCCAAAATTGAAAACCCAAGACTTCATGTGAGGGCAGGACAACTTGGGCCTCTAAAACTAGGGGGCCTCGCCAGCCTGCCAGCTCCCCAGAGCCGCAGTCTCCCCTCTCCCGAAATTGTAAACCCAAGACTTCATGCAAGGACAGGGCAACTCAGGCCCAGCAACTATTAGAATCAGGGCTAGCCAGTGGAGCCCAATTTGAAGCAGTGGGGCACAACTTGATTTATTTATTTTTGTAGGGCCCTAGTTCACAGCCAAAGTCTGCGGCCCACGGGGTCCAATTTGGCCCAATTGCTCCAGTTGCCTTAAGGTCAGCCCTGATAAGACTGTGCAGGGGTTGGACTTACAAGCCCTGCACCTTCTAGGTCCCTGGTGTCACCATTCAGAGTACAGACTCAAGAACTTGTTCTGGAAATAAGGGGGGGGGACTTATTGGAAATCAGTTTTGTCACCTCTTCCCCCCAAAACCCTGGGACAATGAGCCCAGCCACCTTTTATTCACAGTCGCATAAACACTACACTACACCATGGCCTTAAACTTGTACGTTCATCTGCTGAAATATACACCCAATATGTAGCAATGGAGATTTATGTTACTGCTTTATGAATGAACACTGTGTTTTATGAATGGACTCTGTATTTTGTGAATTACCTAAGAGCCACCAATAGGGAGCTCCAGAATCTGACAGCTAACCAATTGGGTACTACCAAACAGCAATACCTATTGCTGAAAGCAGGTAACCAGCAGGGAATGCTTCAGCTCAGCCTTTGCACTGTTGACTGAACACCCCCTGCTGTGCAGATAATAGAGAAAGCTTGTAAATTGTATTCTTTCTGGCATCCTGGCCAACTATATTACGCTGGTGTAAACCCTGGTGCACCAGAAGCACAGAATAGCAGCAAATAAAATCTGCTCATATGTCAGCAACTGATAAGACTTGTCAACCAGTTCTTCCAGAGTCTTCCTAAATTATAAAGCTCCAAAATACAGGCCAAAAGAGAGCAGGTCTGGGAAGAGCAAGGTTTACAATGGGCACCACCAGTGAAAAGGCCCTGCTCCGTGTAACTCCTGCCCTGTCATTTGATAGAGTGCCCACTTGCCCTCCTTCTTGACATGGAATGCTCTCTATTGGAGTCTCCAGGTCCAGTACAAAGACCATAAGAAGGGACAGCAGAGACCTTGAAGTTCCCAACAGCTGTTAATCAAGCAAGCAAGCATGCAGGTCACCTTTGTAACAGTCAGGATGCCTATGTCCTGGCCAGGCCTGCATCCAATCTTGTTTTTGTACAATCTTGTTTCTCCTCAGTAACCAAAACTATATTAGCAACATATACTAGCAGAAAAGTTGTTTTCCTTCATTTGCAAGGAATCATACAAAACAAAGTGGCACTAATAAGGAAAAGTTCCAGGGTGGCAACAGAAAGCAAACTAAAAATGCTTTTGCAGTTCATCAAAACTATCCAGCAATATCAAGTTATAGGAAGCCTGGCGCTATTAACAGTAATCCTTCTAGTTGGTTAATTGGTTTGGCAACTTCCATGCACATGATGTGTAATGCTAATTATTTTCCCCAAGAGTTAAATGATAACTAATCAGAAGCAGCTACAGGAGATCTATGAGATTCAGGTGCGGGTCAGACGCCTTGTAAATCCCAGAAGGTATATAAGAGGACAACCTGGCCTGCCCAGGCCTCAAAGGTTTACAAAGTTCAGTTATTGCATAAGTTTTTCAGTGTTAATTTTATGCATTTTTAAAAATCACCATGGTATTTAACAATATCTTATGTCCTTTAAAGGAGAAATTGTGAATTGTAGCATTTTAAATACCCGTCATCATCCTTGGCTTCACTCAGTTTTGTTTATAATACTCTTCCATTTTCTTCTGGTTGTGAGGGTGGGGGATGGAGAGGGGCCTCACAAGTGGAGTAGCCTCTTCCTCTAAATCCAGCCCTGTGTGCCAGGGTGGAGATGGGCAGGCTGCCTGACAAAAGAGGGCATTTGAGAGCCATATCGTGACAATGTGGGTATAGCATTGGGTGGCAGCTTCCAATGTTTTATAGATGTCACTTGTGTTGATATCTGTTATCTGTCACGAAAGCCCGTTTATTCTTCCACACAGATTACGATTCCTGTCACCTCACCACGGCTCTGAGGTAGAGGTCTGTGGAGAACTTGGGAGACTTCCAGTCAGTGTGGCAGCTAAATCTTTCTTACCTCAGGCGCTTTCTCCTATATCTCTGTCGGGGGGGGGGGGGGAGCTTTTCTGCCAGCCTTTTGAACCGAGTTTAAATTATGAACTACGTTCAATGACATGAATTATATTGGGGCGACGGGACTGTTTTGGCGGGGGAGAGAGCCAAAACGCCCTATGAAGCTGGGGAAGAGTTGTTCATCTGAGGGGAGGATTGTGGGTCTCTGGAAACAGCACTACAGGGAGCAGAAAAGGGATGACATCTTTCGCGGTGCTGCCTCTTCGGCGCCTCCGGAGAGACGCCATTGCTCGGCTGGATCCTGTTTTCTAAGAAGCGCCGCAGCTTTTGTGCGAGCCCGCCTTTCCCCGGTCTGGATTGGAGGAGCGGAGAAACGCCGTTTTCTGGTTGGGCGCTTTAACTTTGATTGGCAAGCGAAGGTAAGCAGCAGATGCCATTTCCTGTTCTGGTAAATAACTCTGTTTGCCTTTCGTTTCTATGTAGCAGCGATGGCCGAGTGGTTAAGGCGTTGGACTTGAAATCCAATGGGGTCTCCCCGCGCAGGTTCGAACCCTGCTCGCTGCGGAAGTGCGAGGGTTACTTTTTTATTATTTTTATACCCTATTGCTTGGTAAGGGAACTCGCAGCATTTACTAGCGGTCGTACCATAAATATAAAATTGAATGAAACATTCGAGTGCATCGTGCCAATTTAAACGTTGCCTCCTTTAAATGCCCACGGTCGGTGTGACAGAGTTCGATCTTTCATTTATTTATGTGGGGGAAAAAATTAAGAAGTCATATATTTTCAAGACATTCTTTTGAATAACGAACTGAAGCAGCGACAAATAAATTTTATCCAGCCTGCCTCATCTCTATTTTGTCTTCCCGATGCAACAGTTAACAGAACTCACAAATCGTAATTGCCGCTGTATTAATTTTGTCCCATCATCAATGTAACGTGTCCCTGTTTCGCGCATAAAGTCACCCCGCTTGGATGAAATAAGGCAAAGCTTTGAGTTATCCGTTTGCTCGAGTGAAAGAGAAATATCGCGTGCAAAGGAAGCACAACCTTCCACGCACGCACAGAAGGCAAATAGTGAAGTTTCACATTTTCTGGGTTCACATTTTTTTACATTTTCACATTTAGAATTAAATTTTAAAATTATTTTTTTTTCACATTTTCAGTTCACATCCTCAAACATGCCCAGAGGCTGGAGCAACGCATACCTCGGAAGGGGGGGTGGCAAATTGCAAGCCCCCTGGGGAAGGGCTGCTAAAACATCGTACATCTGAAGCAGATGCCTCCGCTGCCCCCGCCTCAATATTCCTGGAAAATATAGTTTGCCAAGGGTGCTGGGAATGGTAGCTCTACGAAGTGCAAAACTAGAGTTTCCAGGGTCCTTTGGGAGAAGCAATGTGCTTTAAATGTACGGCGTTTAATGTAGTAGGCACTCCTTTTCAGACCTTCGTATACTGGCTGGAAGGGGTCGGGACTGCTCGCCCTGTCTCGGTTGCACAATCTTCCCGATTAGTCCTCCTGTGTATGTACAGAGCCGGGCACGCACACTCGCACGTGCGTAACTTTCTCCGTGGCGTCTCGGGTACAAGTTGTACGCGCGCACATTCCGCATTCGCAGCCAATCAGCGCGTAGGCATCGTGGGCAGGGACTGCTGCCGTGACCTCGCTCGCTCGCCCTCCCTCCACCCATTGATTTTAAGGGGGGAATTTGAAAGCCTGGCAAAGGCTTTAGTTTTATGGACTTGGGCAAGAATCCCACCACACACCCCTCACCAAATTGTGCAACCGTCTCATGTTTCACGGGCACGTTGGTCTTTAGAATTGTTGTATTTGGATCTGTTCTATTTTGTGGGTAAATTGCCTTGAATGCTAATTACTAGAAAGGCACTGCAATAAAATAGAATAGAAATGGAAAAAAATATAGACCTGGTGGGAAATGTTCACAGTTTGTGTGCTTTGCTCCTAACCTTTTCCTTGAATCTCACCCACCCATTTTTTAAAAAATTACTATAAATTAAATGCAACATCTGTTTGATCTTAAACAGCACTTTTCATTTGCAGCGTGCAATTTTTCGTGGTGGTTGGTTTTTCTTACCCCACCCTTTCTCCAGATTGGAGCAGGGCTGTTAACAGAGGCTACACAAGGATACTTTTTGTTTATCAAGGTTGGCAAGATCTTTTTGTGTGTGTTTGTGTTGCTGAGGGCTGTGAATCGGCACATGCTTAGAGTATTTGTTGCTTGTTGTTGTTGTATATTTGTATCTAGCTTTTCCAGCAGCTCAAGTCTGCAATCATTGGCCTCCCCTCCCCCAACTTTATCTTCAGAACAGCCCTGTGAGATGGGGTAGATGTAGAGTTGGTAGTTCAAAGTTGTGAACCTGTAAATACTTGGAATATATATTTTTTTTGCTTGTTGATATTTATCAGGGTTGGCATTTTCTTTCTCTATTTTTTTGTCTTGGCCTTTCGCCATAAACATCAGAACTATGAAACATTGCAGTTAAAGCAAAGGGTGGGCTGCTTTACTGAATTTATTGTGTGTATTTATTTATTTATTTAAACGTTTGAAATGATATTATATAGATATACAGTGGTACCTCGGGTTAAGAACTTAATTCGTTCCGGAGGTCTGTTCTTAACCTGAAGCACCACTTTAGCTAATGGGGCCTCCTGCTGCCGCCGCGCCGCTGGAGCACAATTTCTGTTCTCATCCTGAAGCAAAGTTCTTAACCTGAGGTAATATTTCTGGGTTAGCGGAGTCTGTAACCTGAAGCTTCTGTAACTTGAACGTATGTAACCCGACGAACCACTGTACCTTGATGATTCTCCCTGGAACTCAAGGTTATGTTTATTGTCTTTTCACTTTTTATATTTTCAACAGCCCTGCGATGTGGGCTAGTCTAAGTTTAGATATGCAAGCAGCAGTTCTTGCCAATAGATTGCAAGGGGGAGCAGGTGAGAGATGCAGGGGGCCAAAACCACATACATTTTACAGGGCCCAAGAAATTCTGTTGGCATCCCTGCTTGCCACCAGCACCACCTGTGCATCCATCAACAACACCAAGCCCTGAACAGTTCCTAAATTGTAGTTCGTACCTGAGCAAGTGGTACATTTGTAGTGAGCATGAAAATTCTCCTTATTTGTCATGACTAAGCAGTTGTTGATAGACAGTCACTGTTCCCTATGTACTCTTGCCTGTCATCGTGCTGGTGGCATCCTCTTAACAGTGACAGAATTCTCCTTTGATATTTCCATGAAAATCCCAAACATTTCCTTCCCAGCTGACATGACAACTCTAAACCTAGTGCATTTTGGCAACCTTCTCCTAAATTTTAGCTGGAAGCTTTGTAGAAAGTCAATGAAAAGGCTTAGAAAAAATATCGATCTCCTGTTTTCTGTTCAAACTGACATGCTAATAATCCTGTCAATGCAGTGACAAAGATGAAATCATCTTCTGCCTCCGAGTTATTTTGCATCATAGAAAACTGTTTTGCATTCCATATTTCCTCCCTCAGTTGTACTGAACAATCCTAAGCATATTTGTTCAAAATTAAGTATCACTCAGTTTAATGGGGCTTACTCCCAAGCAAATGTAGGTGGGATTGCAGTTTTTAGGACAAAATGTTATGCACACTTAATTGGAAGTGTGTCCCATTGAAATCAGTGGTACTTTCTTCCAAGTAGACATGCACAGGATCAGGTTGTATGACTGATTTGTTTTCGGGTTTTCCTGGCAACCAGCAATTAAGTACCCACATATTTGAACTACAAAAGTAATTAAAGTGGTGCTACTTTTCTTAGATAAATCAGTGGGACTTATTTCCTAATAAAAATAAGTCTGTTAGTCTGTTTCTTCCTCAAAAAGACTCCTGATCACAGTTAAATTTCATACAGTGAGTTGAAACACAATGGTCTGCGTCTCTTGATCCATGCCAAATGCCCTAAGTATAGGCCTGGTGTGCATCAAGCACATGAAACTTTATTAAAATGTTAATATGTGGCTCAGTTGACTTCAGCAAATGCTCTTGAATTTAAACTGTCTCAGCCTCATTGTAGTCAATTTGACCAAACTGATTCAAACTAAAATGTTTGCTTTAACTACCGTACTTTGTGTAGTGGGATTATTAGATACTTATGTGTAGTGGGGACTTACCAGAAGATTTCCCCATCGCATCAAAAGTTTTTTGTTTACTAACCTTTCTATTAAGTGTTGTTAACACTCAGACACTTAGGCACCAGGATTTGATGTCAGCACTCCATTCCAGACATCCACATCATAAAAGGCATGTGTTCTTAATTTTTGTTATTCGCCACAAACCTTTACAGTAAGAGGAAACTACAAAGGGCCAAACCATCTTATTTAATAACTATAATACTTGACAGTTTCCAAAACATTCATTTTTCTGCATTCAATTTTCTGTCCCTAGCGTTTGACATCATTTTATTTAATGCAACAAGTCTGTATTGTGAATTTATTCATCCTTTGTGCCTAGAGTGTAAATGGTGGTATCACGTGTCGAAAAATGAGGAAGTGTAGGTCCAAGGACTAGCAAAGTACATTTTCTCTGAACACTGGTTCAAAATATAGACACATATATATCTGAGATAAACCCCACATGATAAGCAGATGCATGCATTAAAAATCACACTGGCTGCTTCTCCTGGGATAAAATAGCTCCAGTGGCCATTTTCAACAAAGAAATAGCTAGGGAGATGGATGCTTAACTCTTCTTTCACCCACTGCCTTAGGGTTTCAGATGTGTAAAGTATTTATCTCTTTTGCAACACATACCTGGAAACCATCAGGGCAGGAAATCAGCTTCTGGGGAAGGTGAGAGTGGTAGCAGAAAAGCAAAAAAGCAGGGGAATGGTTTCCATCTCCACCAGGACTGAAGCTAGTTTGAGAAACAAGATCAAGCGTAAGTATTTTATAAGAAAGGACAGGATACATAATGCATTTAAGATAAATCTAGCAATGGAATTGCAGTGAGTGCACAGTAAACTGAAGTGTGAACACAGCCGTGGTCCTTCACATTGCACTGAAGCAACCCTCCTCTTTCATAAAGTCGTCTTTTCACCCACCCTCTGAGCTAGGCCTCTATCAACACATAGGATTCCTTGAGTCCACTGAGGGGATCCAAGGCACCATTTGAAAAAGGTAGACACAGCCAGCTGCAGAGTTAGCTGGGAAGTTGTAGGGAATGAACCAATAGGACAGACAGAACACACACACACAAAAAGGGCTGTTTGATACTGGAGCTTAGAGAGCGTTGGTGACACTGACAGGTCAAACAGATGCTGAGAAGCAATAACGCCAAGAGCTAGCGACTGATGCATATCACAACATCTGAACCTGAAAATATACAAAGTATTTTATTGTGCGAGACAGTTTTATCACTTGCTTTGCAATTACATCAGCTTTATAACATTTCATGCGCTGCCAACCACACCAAACTGCCCTTGCCATTCATTTTTTATGAATTTGGAAGGAGGTGGTGACTGCCTTCAGGAAATTAAAACCCCTCAATTACCATATTACTCATCAGTAGCACTTGCTACTATTGATGTGTACGGTGCTATTGTCCTGTTGCTCAGAATAAAAGGAAGCAATCTTTCTTGCTGGCTAGTCGTAGAAAGATAAGTATTTTGAATGACAAGCTATTTGCATTCATGCTAACTTTGCATGAAGATGTATTTTCAGCTGTGGGGGAGGGTATCCACTGAAAATTAGACTTTAGAGCTTTGGTATTATTTTAGTTCCAGATTCATTTAACCTATTAATTTACCACAGGCCCTACAATGGATGAGCATCACTCATCAAAATCCCTTTGTTTAATCACTAGATAAATCCTTGGGATAACTATTAACGGAGGTATGTAGAGTCTGCGGACATAATTCTAGAAGCTGAAATATGTGGCCTAGAAAAATGGTCAAACTAATTATCCATCGAGCCCAGTGGCTCTCCATAGTCTCAGGAAAATGTACAGTGGTGCCTCGCAAGACGAAAAGAATCCGTTCTGGGAGTCTCTTCGTCTAGCGGTTTTTTCGTCTTGCGAAGCAAGCCCATTGATGGGATTAGCGGATTAGCGCTATTAGCGCTATTAGCGGCTTTTAGCGGCTTTTAGCGGCTTTTAGCAGCTTATCAGCTTATCGGATAAGCAGATAAGCGGCTAGCGACTTAGAAAAAGAGGGGGAAAAGGGGAAAAAAACCCCAGGAACTCGCAAGACATTTTCGTCTTGCGAAGCAAGCCCATAGCAGATTCGTTTTGCGAGGCACCTCCAAAACGGAAAACTCTTTCGTCTAGCGAGTTTTCCGTCTTGCGAGGCATTCGTCTTGCGGGGCACCACTGTATTTACCATTCTACTACCTATCCTGTTTAACTGGAGATGCCAAAGATTGAATCAGGAATCGTCTACATTCAAATAATGTACTCTACTGCTAAAAACAGTCCTTCTCTAGGAGTTCTACAATGTAATGTAGTTTTAACGTGTAATGTATCTTATGCCTAAGAATGGCTTCCAATGCATTTCCCAGCTCATTTTAAGGTGTTGTTTATTACCAATTAAATATTGTCACACACCACTCCAAATCTCCAAGCAGTGCAAGATTCCAGGGGGTTCCAGTGCCTTATTCAGGATTGATGTTTTCGTTTGGAAACGAGGCACAGCAGAGACTGTGGTGCCTTTATGATATGTGGTTTATTTACACATATATACAACCTGAGCCTAGAATGGAGGGGTTCACAGCCTAGAAGAGTCTTGTTTCTCCCACAGCTGCAGCCCTGGATTCAAACAGAAATCAAGCATTGAGCTCTGCCTCTGCCTTTTCCATCCTGCCATCTTTCCCTCATAGGGAACTCAAATCTGACTTTGTCCTAACTATCTAAGAGCTAGAGAAGGGGAACCAACTCATATACCATTGGCACAGAGCCCCCTCTCCTTACTTTCTTAATATCACCTTTCCCTTGCTTTCTTAATGGCTCATCATCCCAGGCAATTACCTCCTCAGGAAACTAGCCTGGCTTGTATTTCAACCCTTGCTGAATCCAGGAGTTCAGGACGCTTGATTCAAGCACTTACTGGATCCAGGAATGTAGGGGGCTGGCACCCCGAGCTCATAACAGTATGGTCTGGCACTGGATTATTTCACTGAACAAATCTTCCTATATGATTTTATTCGCCCACTGTCATCCGAGTTGGTGACTATTACCACATCTTGTGATAGGCAATTCCTTTTGTCTGTTCTGAATCTTCAACAAGCAGCTTCATTGGATGGCTATGGGTTTTAGCATTATCAGAGGAGAACAAAGAGGGCGAGAGAAAGAGAACCCTCTTTATTCACTTATTCCATCATGCCCAATTTTATACACCTCTGTCATGCCCCACCCTTGCTCACCATTTTTCTAAGCTAAAAAGTTCCAACCTTTCATAATAGAGGGGTTGCACAAGATCTACCCACACTGGAGGAATGGCAGATGAAAATGATGGACTATATGGAATTGGCGGAAATGACTGGCAGAATCCGAGACCAGGGAGAAGAGTCGGTGGAAGAAGATTGGAAGAAATTTAAAGACTACTTACAGAAATATTGTAAAATTAATGAATGTTAGAATGATGACGGATTGAAGTTAAGCGGTTTCTAGCGGTAATGGTATAAAAATATGGAAAAATTGGTTTTTAATATGTAAAAATTTAATGTTATAATTTATCAAGATTAAAGATTAGGATTAAAAAGGAGGGAAAGGAATTGCTGGATTAACATACTGAATTGGAATACAAAAGAGGGAGGTATGAGGAGGTCCGGGAAACAAGTAAATGTAAAAGAAGTGAAGAAAAGATGGAATTGTTTTTAACTGTTTTTTCTTTTTTGTATTTTGTATTCTTCTTTTTTATTGTTAATTTTCTTATTAATGTGATTTTTCTGCTTTTGAAATTTTAATAAATATTATTTTTTAAAAAAACAACATAATAGAGGAGTTCCTCCATTCTCTTGATCCCGGCTAAAGTGAATCACCCAGGCAGAGGCCGATTTGGTTTCTGGAGATACTAGAAAAATAATTTCTTTAGCCGCTCAAACAAATAGATCTAAAATATCCTCAAAACTTGGAAAATGCTCCCTGACTATATGATATTTTTTTGTGTGGAATTGTCTGCTTTCCCACTGTACTTCTCTGTCTTGTGATTTACTCAAATGGTTAAACAGAAAGAAGGGGGGAAATAAAACAAAAAGGAATAGGCAACTTTTATACTCAACTTCAAAATAATTTATTAATATAAAGGCAACAGAACATACAAGAAAAGAAACAGATCAGACTACACATCACCTTTTGTGTTCGATGCAAGATGTCAATACAGTTTTAATAATATACAATAGGCTATGGTTCAGGCACACAAAACCATTTCAAGCTGAAATTTTAAATGACTGACAATGGGCTGGTGCCACACTAAACTCACATATACAAATAGCTTTGCTTTCTGCATCCCATAAGATTGGTACCAGGCACAGGTCTTTCTTTTTAAAGGAAGGGTCTGGTGCTTACAGCTTCAAATAAGTGCTTAACATGTTGACGTTGTGTCTGGTAGAAATTCCCAAAGCAGAGCTTCTGGTGCAAGGAAGGGAAATATTCAGTGCCCACGTGCCTGCGCTGCTGGTTGAATGATTTCAGTGAACATTGTAGAGAGGAAGGTGAGCACAGAAAACTATATTACATGCACCCCCAAACTCGGCCCTCCAGATGTTTTGGGACTACAATTCCCATCATCCCCGACAACTGGTCCTGTTAGCTAGGGAGTTGTAGTCCCAAAACATCTGGAGTCCAAGTTTGGGGATGCCTGCTATACTACATGTGAGTCCACGGAAGAGCAAGAACAAAACATCTGAAAAATAACATATAGCTGCATATAAGACAGATCAGTCTTCAACTGTTAACTATGAGTTACAATTATGTTATAGTAATATTATTATTTATTTATATACTGTAGTGCCATCAATGTACTGTACATGATGTTTACAGAGTATTACAAGCAAAGAAAGAAAGAAAGAAAGAGGCAGGTAACCGCTACAACAAACTTCCGTTCTAAATTTTGGCAATGAGGAAGCAAATGAGGGAAAGGAAAATATGTGTTACATTGGAGAAAAATTTAAAGATAGCTCCGTCAGTAGAGTATGAGACTCTTAATCTCAGGATTGTGGGTTTGAGCATGAAGATTTATGCCCACACTGGGCATAAAGATTCCTGCATTGCAGGGGGTTGGACTAGATGACCCTTGAGCTCCCTTGCAACTCTACAATTCTATTATTCTATGTTAGGCTATCCAAATTAACATGTAGTTTGTCCCTCAGACGATAGGACAACAAGAACTAAATATGAGTAGATGCTGTTTTTTATGTGGGGGATAAAGACTCAAAGGGTTATATTCCAGGAAAGGTGGGTTTTGAAATGATACTGAGTGGTAGCATGAGAAAGTTAATCGGGAGAGAGAGGGAACTAGGTATCAACAGCTGGTGGCAAGAGAAAATAGGAAGAATACAGGATACCTTTGGTTGGCTGAGTGTGGTAAAGTTAAAGGGCTAAAGGCTGTTTGAAGGAAGATAGAAGGAAAATAGGGCAGAAAGATATAAGGGATCAAGGATGTTGAGCAACATGTGCTTTTCCCAGCTGTTCAATAATGATAGGAAACAGCTCACATATACATTAAGTTTGAATGTTGGAAAAAACAGTTAACTGTATTCACATATTACTTATGCTAATAATGAATAAAAGGAAAGTACCTGCCAACATTTTAAAAAAAAACAAAAAACCAAGCAACTATACATGGTATTTTGCATGGGAAATTGTGGCATCAATAGTACAAAACTACCTAGTTAAATAATATTCAAAGACACTTCTTTATGAACATATGCAAAATACTGAAATGGTGAACACGGTGTTCAACATATATTTGGTCTTCTGCATGGTATTTGGTCTTCTGCTTCATATTTCATAGTTTCTAAACTTCCGCAAGAGTTCAGATGGGGTGTCACCAGACCAGCGAAAGCGCAAATGCCAACAGTTTGGATCGGAAAATCCTGTAAGGGGGTGGGGGAAATTGAGAGAGAGAGAGAGAGAGAAAGAAGAATCAGCTAGTAGAGAGGAAATGGTACTTTGGGTTTATAAAGTAAAACTCCTTTAATACAAAAACCACCAACTCCTTGCTTATCCATTCATTTAGGAAAGGCCAAAAACTGTAGATGAAGCTTAGGTAACTTGGTGGAGGGGGGTGCATTCAAGCTGTGCACACAACTAAACCTAGTCCTGGGTTGTCTAAGTACCATACGCACACACACAATAATAAGAAACCAGCATCACAATGTATCCCAAAGAGAACCTGCATAGTAAAGCCACTTTGAGGTTTAAGGAGCAACGCTTGCCAAATTGTTGGGTTTCTTTGTCCATACAGTGGTGCCTCGCAAGACGAAATCAATCCGTTCCGCGAGTGTCTTCGTCTAGCGGTTTTTTCGTCTTGCGAAGCAACCCTATTAGCGGCTTAGCAGATTAGCGCTATTAGCGGTTTAGCGGCTATTAAAGGCTTAGCGGCTTAGCGGCTTAGAAAAAGGGGGGGGAGCGGAAAAAGAATCTCAAGACTCGCAAGACATTTTCGTCTTGCGAAGCAAGCCCATAGGGAAATTCGTCCTGCGAAGCAACTCAAAAACGGAAAACCCTTTCATCTAGCGGGTTTTCCGTCTTGCGAGGCATTCGTCTTGCGGGGCACCACTGTACATATATTTTGGGCCAATAAATCAGCAGCACTGGCTCCCACTCTCCCTAGGATTAGTATCCCCAATCTTTATGGTACTTTATCTCTCCCACCAGCTGTCCTTCAGAGAGAAAGGTTTGAGGAAGTTTCCTGCCCTTCTTATTCTGCACCTAGTTCATCCACGCATGCACATCACTTGATTTCTCAGCATTTGTTACTGTACTGTTAACGAAAGCTATTCTGCTCTTCTTCAAAATCATCTGAAAATTCCATCTGAATGTGTGGCCTGCTACACTGTGTTTGAGATGATAGGGAAGCTCCATCTGTGATGTTTGACCTGCAATCTCACACTCACACACGACGTTAGCACTGGATCCTGCAGTCTTCAAGGGACACTCATGCACATGTGAACTAGCCCCAGCTGAAACATGAGAGGTATGAAGCGCAGCACTCAGAAAGACATGTGCAGCATGATGCCCTATATGGACTACACCATCTGAACACCCTACAATTTCTTGGGTGTGCTATGTAGGAGATTCAAATGAGCTGTGCACAGGTGCCATGCAGCTTGAAGGGGTCAGGTACACCAAGAAGTATACCTGATATTCATGCAAACCCACATGAGGACAAACCCCACTCCTGAGAATAAAAGAAGGCTGCATATTTCACTTATCTGGTGCCAGCCCCAATTATCTGGATTTTTTTCTGTGTCTAGCACTGGTACCGCAAACTATTTACCTGGGGAATCAGGGCTCTTTGGTGACAGCAGCTTCCCAGTAGTGGGGTCAAAGTCTTCTAGCCCCTTTTGGTCATCCAACAGTTCATGATTGTTGTTTTCAGATTTCTGGGGGAAATTGTCAGCCATCTTATCATTAAGATTTAAATCGGGAGCTTCCAGCATTGGCTCTTTTTTGCCTCTGACAGCCCAGTGCATTGACTAGACAAAAAACAAACAAATCAGTGGCATTTGTGAGTTGTAAAACAGCTACACATGCTTGCTCAAGGATGAATGGTATCCGCACTGATTCCCATTCCCCTTGCTGAACAATGCTAGCTAGCAGAGAACTTCCCCACCCACAGAATGGCCTCTTTCTTTCTATTCCCCAATAATTATAGATGCATAAACCAAAACTAACAGTTTTGACTGAGTTGCTCAGAGCCTCCCACTGCTGGAACGGGATGGTAATCTTGCTTCTCCTCCAGTAATCATAGCGAGATCGGCTCTCTTCATTGGTAAGGATTTCTTTAGCTTGCTGTAGCTTCTGAAAATTCTCTACTACAAATCAGAGACAGAAGAAAATTTTATGAAAATTTTACTGAAATGTATGTGTTGCTTTTTCTGCTTTTAATTATTTTATGTGTAAATGACTTTCAGTCAGGGATTTAGAAGGCAATAAATAAATTAATTGCAATAATAATAACAATAATCCTTTGTTGGAGATCACCCAGTGTGAAAGATATATCCACTGTCAATATTTTGCAGAAGGGATTCAAGTGCATTATAAAAATGTAGGTTTGTACTGTACAGTTAAAAATTATTAAAGCACGCTGTCTCCTTAGCATGACAAATTCACTTATTCTTTTTTTAAAAAATCAGACTTATTGCAGTTTGGGAAGTGACAGGAGACATATATTGACAGGTGTGGAATGATTATAGGAAAGTGTTCAAACACCCCAAAAGCAAATCAGAACAAATGCTCAATAAATATAGTCTAACCCTCCACAAAAGCATTGCGCAAGCAAATCAGGATGAATACCCAATAAATAGGTCACCTGGAGGAACCCTTAGTTTGATTTTGAATATTTCAAATGCAATCGCGATGACTAAAAAAGAATTAGTCATCAAAGGCAACCAGGTATATACAAGTGAAACAGAACAAATAGTTCCAAGAGCATCATGGGAGCAGTGATATGCACATATTAGGTCTACTACAAAACAAAAACTTCCCGATCGTATTAGGGTGATCTCATTTTTTCCAGTGGATATAAAAGTTTCCATACTATAATAGAAACACAAGTCCGCATCCTTAGTAACCATCTGTGTAAAGGTTATGGAGATTTATATTTTATCTATGAGTCACCTTTCTATTATATGATCGTTATTATTATATTCATTTATGCCAGTTTACTATACTAGATAGATCTTTTGAAAGGCACTGAATTAAAATGCTAACAGGGACTGGCAAACACAAACAAAACGTCATACAGTTTAGTTTTCCAGTTATGTTTCTCCCCCACCCCTGATTGGCAAGCTGATAATTCTTCTACAGGAAGCAATTTAGATAAAAGGGACAAGGCAGTTAGTATTTTAACATCTAGTCATGACGTAAATCATATGAAAAATAAATATACATTCACTAGACCCATAAACATGATTTTTTTTTGTATGTGGAAAACCTACTACTCCTCATTCTTATTTGCATAATATACAATTTTGTCATTTGCCCCTGATTTTTTAACTACATATTACATGGAAATGTGTGTTAGCAGTGACCCAACACCATTTTAGAAAATCTCTTTGGAAAGAGATTTTGAGTGATTAAGTGGGAAGGCGGGTACTCTACCTTATTTTTACTCCAAAATGTCCCTTATGGCAACATTTCCTCCATGAGGTTCAAAATATGTTTCACTTGGGGACAATTTGGTGTGGATAAACAGTGGGCATGAAAGGGGTTAACCACATTTAACACAAACACAATCCCATTACCCCCTTTCCACATTTTAGTTATTCCCAAGTTATTACTCTGCACAGGTCCAGAAACAATGCACTGCCAAATATAATTTTAATATTTAAAACAAAGGGTTATATCCAACTAAGTCCTACTGAGCTTAGACCCCTTGGAATTAATGAATCTAAATGAGTCACACCTACAACTTCAATGGGTCCACTATGTGTAGGATTAACATTGGATAAAACCTAAAATGTGTAAAAAATTATTGAAATGCAAATAAATCTATACAATATTAAACACCCTGAGTTTGCATAGTCTCTTATAACTATTTCTTGTTCAAAACATAAGTGCACATGTTAACAGGGTTGCAACTTCATAAAGCCGCATCTGTTTGCTTAATGGTTTTCTTTAGCTGTAGATCATTTGGAGAAAGAAAGCTGGGCTGTGATTTGTTTCAAAAAAGGGAAGTGAAGCATTTGATTTTGTAAGCCACCCTATTAAACCTACGTTGCCAAACAACTGCACTAAAGAATAGAGTAGCTATGATTTTCCTCCAGAATCAATGTTTGTATAAGCATTAGGGCAATATAGTTCAACTTGCTGCTGAAAAGGAAGTGTGCCACACAAATAAAAATAAAACAAAGTGTGCTGCATATATATAAATAGGGCAAAGTATAAGGCAGGAAATTGAGGATACTTGTGCCTTCTTCTCTCGTAGCCAGTGCCAGCAAGTGACAAGGCTGGGCATTTGCTATGGCCCAGATATTTGTAGAGCCTGAGGGTGAACTTCCACAGCAGGCTTACCAGTCTCACCTTTCACAAGAAGGCAGGAAAGGGAGCATGTTTTGGAATTTTTGATTTATGCCCCACTCCTTTGTCAGGGTTAGGGCTAGGGTATGTTTGGCCAACGGCTCTCAAAATCCTGAATCCACTGTTCTGTGTAACGTCACCTGTTTCATTTTGAGAGAGAAAAGGAAAAAACACATACCAGCTCGAGGGTTTCCAGGATGCTTGTCAGGATGACATTCGAGGGCTCGAACCTTAAATTCTGAAATAATTTGTTCAACCTAGACAAACAATTGAAGAATGGATGGAACTTGTTTTCTTACGAAAAATATACCTATGGACTTGTTTCTTACACAAGTACGTATGTGGCACCATGTGTAAAACTCATGGATTTGTATTATCCATTTTACTGAATGTAAGATTTACTAAACTGGCAATTGGTATTCACAGTGAAACAGCCACTTACACCATCTTTACCTGATACAGGCAGCAGTGCATATGGGAATATATTTGTTTCCCCTTACAAATACCTGTGTCAAGCAACTCTTCTTTTGCTATAGGTTGACACTAGAGCCTCAGTACACAGCAAAATAGTCTATGCATGTGTTCATGCACCATTTATTCCACAGAAGATCCATGGAAGTCAAGGTCAGATTTCCTTGGAAATAGTCTCCACCAACGTTGGGGTATATGGGAGCAGTCCACTATATGTGTAAATATGGTAAATTAATCCCAAAGCTGTTTGAGTGCAAAACATTTTCCATATATCTAGATTTTTATTTAATTCTAAAACATACATAGGTTCTGTTGAAAATTGCAGACTCACACAATACCATGGCTGTCAGCAATCTCTTGTGTCTACTGCTCATGGTTTGTAATGTGAAACATCTCTGTCTCCCTAACATAAATCACTTTTGTGCAGTGGATCAGCTTTCAAAGCCAGCAGGCAGCTTTTTCATAAAATGTTATTTCTGTTTACTTCACTTAGGATGCTACCCACTTGTTGTGGTTCAAAATGACTATCCCATTGACACAGCTTTTCATTACAAAAATCAACCACGCTGACTTTTCATGCAGGCAAAATCTAGTGGCCCCTTGCTGGAAGCCATCTCAGCAAACCTTTAGCGGGTGGGCAGAAGGCAGATCTGAATCTACTGGTAGATCTCTTGGTGGTTTGCAGATCAGAAAGGATTTGCAACTCTCAACTTGTTTAACAATAGCAGCAATAAAATTATCTCCCCTCTTCCTTCTTCAACTACTGAGGTGAAGAAAGTTTGTGGTAACTGAGAGTGGATTTTTGCCTGAAACAGTTCCATTCCTCTCTGGTACTCAAAGCAAATTTCTGCGCTCAGCATTCTTTTAGTCTGTGCTTTTTTCACCTCACTTTGCTTGGTGGATCTCTAAGTTCTAGTAAAATGCAAGTGAAATCCACAAGCCCAAAATGTGCACACTCACGGTAACTTTTTATTTACTGTGAGAAGGCATATTATCTTTTCAAAGTCAGCAAGGATTACATCAACATAGATCTTTTTAAACAGAACAACTGTAACTACATTCTGTGCCATTGTAACCTCAAACAATCTACTGAGGCTTTGGATATTAACTGGACTATTTAAGTTAACACAGGACAACTAGAGAATGCAGAGAATTCCTTAGGTATATACCAATTAAAAGGTTATTCAAGTGCTGTTCCGATAATTGTATTTCTTCACTGCAAAATGAAAAAATTCAAACTATTCTATTGAAACAAAGCTGTGTGAACAGTTAATTGTGTTCAACAGCTTAATGTTGCATAGGTCAAAAAAACTGAACTGGGGGAGAAAAACAGATCAACTGCTAAAAATATGTACAGAAAACATGGGGAATTTAGGGAAGAACAGAAACAGCACATATACACCAAATCAAACCAATTAACAAAGAAAGAACATTTTTTTAAAAAATTGTAATGAACTAAGGAGGAGAATAGTAAAATCATAATTAACTAGTCTTACTGTAGACAATTCATCACAGCCTAGCAAGCTGTAAAAATCTTCCATGTCCTCCAGTCTGCAGTTCAAAATTGCATCCATCTGCTTCAATCTGGCAAGCGCTTTCCCACTTTCTGAAAACAGAGACACAAAAAGCTTAAATGCGTCTTTTAACCAGTTCAGAGCTATTTAAAGTGATTAGAGAGAAACCGATAGGTGCAGTGATGCTGAAGCTTCTCTACAGATGGTTTTATACACTGAGATGTCACCCGAGACTCTGTAAGCACACCCTCGAATGAGCCTGCTCTTATTGGTGGAAGCGAATTCTGATCACAGTTTACAATTGCAAAGCTCTCTGGGATTTGTAGTTTACAGAGTGGGGGGGGAATTTCCAGCTTTATGATTCATGTTTCCACCTGTAAAGAGTTTAACTTTTTAATGGTTGTTTTGAAACAGTTAAAATTGCTTTTAGTTTAATATTTTGGCCACGGGTATGTGCTTAATTTGGGGGTTGTTGTCTGTTTTATATTGTTTTGCTGCTGATTTGTTAGCCACCTTGAGTTTCTTTGGAAAACTAGGCATGATAGGAATTTTTAAAATAAATAAAGAGGGAAGTTTCAGAGCATAAGAAATATTTTTTGCCATAATCTTAGTTTTGGAAATTAACAGTTTTGATATAAACTGTAATTCCTGATTAAATTTGATTTGATAAGGCATTGTTGCGATTCGTTCACATTTATTTGTTTTAATAGGTATTATAACAGTTATTTAATGGAGCAACAAAGTATGTTCCTTCTCACTTGTGAGAATAAGAAAATCAAATCCAAATCTAAAGACAATTTAGAACTATATATTTAAAAAGAATTTATAAAGGGCACATAACGCAATTTAAAAGATGATGCAACAAATAACAGCGAGGAATAAGTGCCAACATCTAAATGGATTCTTGCCATTAGTTTGCCTATGTAGTTGCAAAACACTGTGTACAAGTCTGTTTGCCCAATCTTTTTACAAGTGAGCGTACTAGCATGACGTGCAGGATGATGAAATCTAATATTTGAAGTTCTGACAGATGTGGGTATTATGTTTTCCCCAGCTTCATTTATTTTTTTTAAAAAAACCTCCTGTGCTTAAAGTTCTGGTTTACAGAGTAACATCCACAAATACAGTAATAAGGAACAGACCAACCTAACTTTAGTCTAGTTTGCAGTGGGCAAGGTAACATCCCTGAATGGCCTAGATTTCTGTATTGATTTGAAAGAAGAATTAGAAAGTGGAGTTTACTCTCACTGAAAGCCATACACTGCAATTAATTAATTAATGACACTGCTGTCATTAATATCTATCACCAGTTATAGTATAATAGGACCAGTTCAGCCAGCTTGTTGGAAAATGCTTCATTGATTTAGTTCATCATGTACCAAAATAACTGTCCCACAGTTAATCACAAGGCCTTGGGCAAATATTTATGCACTGAACCCTATATACAGAAAAACAGTATACAGGTGTCTCATACTGGTCACCAGCTATAGTGTGGATCATCAAAGAAGCAGAACAGGATGGAGTCCCTACCATTCAAAAGCACCACATTTACCACGGAGGAAACCCTTCAAATTCTTGTAGAGGACGAAGTTGCAGTTCTTCCCACAGGACATACTCAACCTATGCAATTTGCTACCACAAGGTGTTGCTACCAATTTGGATGGCTTTAAAACTGGATTAGACAAATTGGTGGAAGATATTGCTACTCGTCATGATGGCTGTGTGCTGTCTCCAGTATCAGGGAAATAATGTGTATGAATACCAGGAAGAGCTTTTGTGCTCATGTCCTGCTAGAGAGGGGGGTGCTCCATAGGCATCTGTTTGGTCTCTGTGGGAACAGAATACTGCTTCCCACCTCTTTTCCAGAGGACTAGATGGCACTAAGGTTCCTCTCCAGCCTTTTCATTCTATGGCCCCCAATGAGTCCCATTGAAACAGTTATTAATTCTCTGTTTTCTTTTCAAAGTTTTAAAAAATATGTTAATGAATACTATTTATTGAGGATCTTAGCTGCCTTGAGCAGTGCGAGCCTTCACATATTTACTAGGAGTAAGGTGCACATCCCCCAGTAAGAATACCATCTGAACCATGCATGTTTATTTCGAAGTCTCATTGCATTCAGTGGAGCTCACTCTTATGCAAGTATGTTCAGGATTGCAACATTAGTCACTGAACCATTGTAACACTTGCAAATTTCAGTCATAAGAAAAAGAAACATAGTTTTGCTCTTTATAAAAAGTACATGCAATATTGAAACAATTGGTATTCCTGTGAAAAGAATCGCAGCATAATTGTTTACATTGTGCCTAGAAATGATTTAGCTTATTTGAATGTTAGCCTTCAAGAATGGAAACAAATAAAGAAGACCAACCCCGCCCCCAAACCAACACCTTTGTCTGAATGCAATTCTAAACTAACCAAGAAGAAAAGGGAGGGGAGAGAATGAGGTATATCTAAGCATGGGGATGGGTGAATAGGTAGAAATTGAGAAGCAAGTTACAGAGCAATATTAACTATAGAAAGTAATGCAAGTTACACCAAATTAGGTTACTAGTGGCAAACTCTGTTCAGGGTGAATTCAGAGGAATTTGCCTTATGACACCCTTTGTGACAGGTTTTTATCCTGTCATGCTCCTGCCCCACTCCCAGAACATCCCTTTTGGGGAACTTGCACTCCACATTGGCTGTGCTGGGGTGAAGTACAGTGGTACCTCAGGTTAAGTACTTAATTCGTTCCGGAGGTCCATACTTAACCTGAAACTGTTCTTAACCTGAAGCACCACTTTAGCTAATGGGGCCTCCTGCTGCTACCGCGCTGCCGGAGCACGATTTCTGTTCTCATCCTGAAGCAAAGTTCTTAGCCCGAGGTATTATTTCTGGGTTAGCAAAGTTTGTAACCTGAAGCGTATGTAACCCGAGGTACCACTGTACTTGCGCCAGCATATAACCAGCTCAGCCATGGCTGAGCCAAGAGACCCCCAAGCCCACCAAATCCAAACTCTCTTACCCTGACAGATCTTGGGTTAGGATTATGCTGGAATTCTGATTATTTAGGAAAGAACAAAAATACAGCATCTGCATTGAAGAGTATGTTGAGATGTCTGTGTAATATATTAAGGTGACAGATATCTATTTACTGAGGTCCTGCTAGAAGTGAAAAAGATAGGTTATTTATACACCAAATTCAGGAACAAATCAAGTGAAAAACAGCTGGCACAGACATACCCTAAGGCAATTTTAGTGAGTGTATGAGTCCTTTGGAAAGCACCCAATGTGACTATAGCTATACCATAATCTTTATGAAACCATTTTAAAAAAAGAAACCTGAAAAACAGGTAAATGATGCATTGAAATGAATTGCTATGTCCACAAGTATGGAAAATGTGTTTACAATACCAGCAAATACATCAGGCTCTTAACCTGAATTGACTTGTGGGTGCTTTCCCTACAAGGGTGCTTTCCTTTGTCTCCTTTACAAACAAATTTAACCTGAAAAGTATGTTTAAGAGTGGAAAAAAGAGGTTAACTTCTACTGCACTCTGTCTTGATTACAGATTTATATTTATAGAGATGCCAAAACAGGAGCTATGAATCTTACTTAAAAAGCAAAAGGAAACCCAGAACAGCATGAAAAATCACTTGCATTCCTAAACACGTTCCTTCTGAAGCCTGCCCCAATTTATTTGGTGTCGTGTAGATGACTCGCACAGGATGCTGAATTAGTTACCTACCTATTTTTATCTGCTTTTATGTATAGCGTTGTGGTGCTTAAACTTTGCAGCTTTGCTTTACATTTGCATGAAATGTAAAGCTTTAAAGTATTTAAAACAGGTAAGCATTTCAGTGGGAGTGTTTCCAATCTACAAACTGATGCTTATTTTAATGAGTGCATTATTAAATCCCACCTTTAACTGCTTTAATGTGTGTAGTATTTCATTCTGCCGAAGGCGGCGGCCTTCCGCTGCCTCTTAAGGCTCCTCCCCTCACGACCCCTTTCCAGAGCTTGCTGCGACTCCCGGCCCACTAGCGCCTTTTCCCTTCTTTACAGTCTTTGCCCAGGCAGAGCAGAACCCGGGAGCTGCTCGCCCATCCAGCCTTCGCTGCTCCTTCAACGAGTTGCTGCGTCAGCGCCTTTCCTCTTTCCTCCCTCAGTTCTTTTGTTTATTCTCCTTTCGCTTTTATTCATTTTTTGGGGGGGAGGGGGAGGGAACACACCAAACACTACAAAAGCATATAACGATCTTCTCCCTATCCATATTCACGCAGAAATAAATCCCACTGAATTCAAAGGGATTCCTCCCCCCCCTACCCCGCACTCCATAAGTTACGTTAGAATCCAAAGGAATTCGTTACGGTATTTTTAGTTTCAAGTTTTATTATAAAAGAGTCGACAAAATCTAGGTGAATTAATCTTTTTTTAATATATAAAGAAGGTGGGCACGTCAGAAAAATTCGGGGGGGTCACGTGACTGCGGACCCCGCAACTTAGCCGCCTCGTCATTTCACCCCCCGCCCGCGCCTGCTCGGCGTCACGTGATCCAGTTTGTTGTTGTTGCGGCCCTACGCTGGGCGGCTGCCCGCGTGGGCGTCGACGGGGTCACGTGACGTGTTTAAATCTCTGTGTGTGTGTGTGAGCGAGAGGTGCGGGGGGGGGGGGAGGACTGTCTTTTCCGTCTACGGGGAAAGGTGGGGGGTGAGAGCGAGCGAGCGGGCGGAGAGAGAGGGAGGGAGTAGTTGCTCCTTCTCCAAGATGGCGGACGGGGAGACGCCGCTCCTCCAGTGCCGGAGCGGCGGCCGCGGCAGCAGCAGCGGCGGCGGCGCGGTGTCAGGCGCCTCGGAGAGCCCGGAGCCAGCTGTGAAGCGTCAACGCCGGGGCTCCACTGACAGCGCCGGCCGGGCCTGTTCGGCCGCGAAGGAAGCCGGCGGAGAGGCGGAGGCGCCTCTTTACATAGGAGGCGCCGCAGAGGAGGCCCTGGCGGAGGAGGAAGAGGTCGCTGCTGCTGCTGCTTCCTCTGGCAACAGCGAGCCGGGAGAGGCCTCGGCAGCGGTGGGAGAAAGAGGAGGAGAGGAAGGCTGGGGCTGCGCTGGGCTGAGGCGGTGGGGCCTGGCCCGAGAGGAGCCGCCGCCGCAGCCGCCACTACTGCAGCAGTTGCCGCCGCCGCCGCTGCCGAGGTGGTGGCCGAGCCAAGGGGAGGGAGCAGAGGCGGCGCCCGCCGGAGACGCAGCGGAGGCGGCCATTGGCTGCGGGGCGGCGCAGTGTTCGAACGGCGCTGCGGAGGCAGCCGCGCGCCCAGGTGAGGAGCCGCTCCAGAGGCGGAGGGGCGGCAGGTGGGCGCAGGGCAGCGACCGGGTCACGGAGGAGGAGGAGCAGCATCAGCATCGCTCGGCCTGCTCTTTAGCGGCACGGGAGGGAGGGACCCGAGAACACCGGCATCCTCTTCTAACCCCAGCTCAATGGGATTCGCGCTGTCGGGGCTGAGGGAAGTCAAGGCACTGCTTAGTCCTTCTCCCTCCCTCGATCTTCAAGAGCCGAAGGCCTTGGGAAATCCTCCTAAACACAGTCTTAATGTTTGCAGTAATCTGTGGCTCCTCCCATCCCATCCACTTGTCACCGCGGGAGCGGGTGGGGGAAGAAAGCTGGGAGAAGGCGACTAAACGTGCAGCCTGGTCCTATACAAGTTTGCTGTAACTGCATATAACTTGCAGCCTTGAATAGCAGCCTGTGCCTAGGAGGATAAAGTTGACCGAAGCCAGTTTCACTTGGGCTGACGGTTTGCTTAGTAGCAAAAAGCTAGTAATCCCGTGCAGAATACAGGGATCTTGGGCAAGCTAGGTTTTTTTGACTTCTATGGCAAGTGCATCATGTGGAGGTGAAGCACCCTCTTCTATGCAACTCTTGAAGATACAGAAGTTAAAGCAAATCTTACACACCTATTATTTCAACGGTACCTAAAGCTTACATAAATGAGTATGAATGAAGTAAACATGATTAAATCCCAGTTTAAAAGGAATCTTGCAACTTCTTGTAGGTGAAGTAAAAGCATAACTTGTTCTAAATGTGATGGCCCTACTTTTATCTGATAATAGTTTTTCTCTGTTTAATGTCTTTCAGACAATATGTTTTTTAATGATGAAATAATTGCAAACGGCTTCCATTCCTGTGAGAGTGATGAAGATGATAGAGCCTCTCATGCAAGCTCCAGTGATTGGACTCCAAGGCCACGTATAGGTAGATATTTAGAATTCAATATAGGGGTTCCAATTAAATATCTTGTAAGATTACACCTTCATTCTTGCTTTTATTTTCTTGGGCAAGTCATATCTTTATATTTGTGACACTGTTGTCTTTCCTTCATGTAAATCTGAACTCTGAGTGGTTTGTTGAGGTGCCTGTATATTTTGCTGCTTATCTTGGCATGAGTTGCACCTTGGAAGAGTAGCTGAGTGGCAAATTGCCCCTGCTTTTATCCTTCCATATTATCACCTCTACACTGCACAGAACTATGGAGTGCTCTATCTCTTTCCTCAGCTCTAAATCCAGAATTGGCAATTGAGGGCAATCCGAGGTGCAAGCCTGAGCAGTGTGTATGGAGGTCCTGGGCTGCCCAGACAACAAGACCCTCTCTCACACTTGCTCATGTGGTCCAAAGGAAAGGAAAGCAATACATTTGGCACCAGCTTGGTGGCAGGAGTTGCGGGAAGGAGGCATACAAGACACCATCCAAGTGCCTTAGAGACTCCACTCCTAATTTTTGCAGGGTTTACTCCCATGCCTTTTCTTCTCTCAAGGATGTCCTGCAAGGCAGCAGGCACAGATTGTTCCTTAGGGTTTACTCCCAAAGCCTTTTCACATTACATGTAGTTCTGTAATTTTTTTTCACCGATTTTTTCCTTTGTTTTATGCAGCAACTGAGGTTGCAATCTGAATTGGGGATTAATTCTGCCCTACCGCTTGAATTGTTTTCTTACTGAAAATAATCTCCTTAGCTGCTTTTACCCCACAAAGGAAAAAAGATATGGGAACCAATTATCCTATTCATGGGATTAATACAAAAATGCTGTGGTTATTTGTTGCTCACAGGATGCCTCACCCATGATGCCAATGCATGCCCTTTTGTGTGCAGTACATTACACATTTTTCAGATTGGTATGCTACTTGCTCTGTTGAAAATGTGATAAACAAAAAATGTTGCAGAATTTTCTCCATCAGTTGAATATTCTGCATCAGTCAGATGACAATTGCTTTATTTTCTATTACAGGCCCATACACTTTTGTCCAACAACATCTCATGCTAGGCACAGATCCACGTGCAATTCTGAAAGACTTGTTGCCAGAAACTATTCCGCCTCCTGAACTTGATGACATGACATTATGGCAAATTGTTATTAATATCCTGTCAGAACCACCTAAAAGAAAAAAGAGAAAAGATATCAATACAATAGAGGATGCTGTGAAACTACTACAAGAGTGCAAAAAAATAATTGTCTTAACAGGAGCTGGGGTATGTATCTAATGTTGAATAGAATAAGTAGAACATTATTTGAGATTTTAATTATTCTGATGCAAGTATGTGGATCATGTGAATGGATTGCTCTCTGCTGTGCTACAGTAATGCTAGAGTCACTCCTGGGCAGATGTCTTTCTATATCCAACACCAGCAAGGGATGGTTGTCCATATCACAAAGCTCACAGTTCTTAAGAAAATATTTATATCCCATGTGCCCAAATATGCTGAAGGAAAGATACCTGTGTGCCCTAGTGGAATGTGAATGTTGTAGCAAATGCAATGATTTTAAGACCTTTCATCGTGGGCAACAATTCTGTACTGCGGCCCAGATTAAACTAGTTGCACTTGTGGGAGCCAGTGCAACAAGTGCCATTCGTGTCCTCCCCCCCCCCCATCAGATTTGGAGGGGTGGGAGAACTCCTAGAACAGTGTGCGGTGGTGGTGGAGGGGAGAGCATTCATCCAAACAAGCAGACAGAGTCTTATTGTGCATCCTGCAGAGCACCTGAGCAAAGGGATGAGCAACTAACTTCTATCACTAGCACGAAGGAACATTTAATTCCCTTGCTCTGATACTGTAAGCACTGACCTTTCATTGAGGCACTAGCAGCTACCCTTGTTTCAGTAGTTCAAGTATATGTAAGTGAATCTTCAAAGGTAGGTAGAAAGACTAAGGAAAGTAACTAATTTCTGGTAACCCACTATTGTTGGCCAGCCTCCAGGAGACTGAGGCAGCAGTGTAATTTCAGCCTATTTCCAAACCATTGTAGTATCATAGAATTTTACAGTTGGACACTACTAGTAAAGCATTTGACAGAGTTTTAGGAAGTAAGTGGTAGAACTTGGCAACGATGGTCATTTGCATCATATACAATGACTTTAGTTGGAGTGCAAGCAGAAGCTTGTTCTGCAGCAACTAATGCCCTGAATAGAATCACACTACCTACTTTCATTTGTCTGGAACCAAGATGATACCTGTTAAGAAATGTTTTACTGATTTTGAAGTGACTGAACTGAAACGTTAATTAACTCTGCAGTTCTCTAGCCTGTATGCATATTGTGCTGGGTTCTCATAAGTAGTTTTGCTATAGTTGTAAGTGGAATTTCCTAATCTGCAGTTTTTTAGGTGCCCGAATAATGGATAGTTCTAAAAAAAAGTAATATTTTATTTGCCAAAAGAAAATAAGCAAACAGTTGGGGTGTGTGACTATTTTTAGTTAATTATTTAGTTAGTTATTAAAAGCATTTATAAACCTCTCACTGTTTTAAAAATCTCTAAACATTAAATTTTACAGTGTATAATCCAAATATTTTACAGCAACAAATGTTGTTATAATATACAATTGATCTTTATTATGGTATGTAACCTATTTCAGGTATCTGTTTCTTGTGGAATCCCTGACTTCAGATCAAGAGATGGTATCTATGCACGCCTTGCAGTAGATTTCCCAGATCTTCCTGATCCTCAAGCAATGTTTGATATTGATTACTTCAGGAAAGATCCAAGGCCGTTTTTTAAGTTTGCAAAGGTGCCTTTTCTCTCTTGCTTGTATGAAAAACAGATACCTTTAAACAACCTGTAATCTTTATGTATCTAAAACAAAGACAGTTTTCCTCAAAGCTGTTATGCCCTTACATGAGCAAAGGGGCACATTGATTATTGCACCAATATAAAATCGCAAATAATGATGTCATGCTTGCTTTGTAGTGTGTTTGAGTAATAATCAGTGCTCTCTTTCTCTTGTAGTGGTTCTTATTTTTATGGGATATAAAGAAACTAAAGAAGCCAAAGTTTATAGAGTAACTATCACTGTTGCTTCTCCTATTAAGAAGGCACTACTCTTTTTTTTTTTTTTTACTCGATACAGTAGCGATATGCTTATAACAAATAGGTGGAGTCAAATGTGTGAGTGAACTTTAGCTTACACAGTAGAACTTCATCTTCCTCTCCAGCCCTCCTCCTGCCTCTGGGTTCCCCCTCCCCCCCCCCCAAAAAAAGTTTAAGATGATCTCCTTCCCTACTCTGAATCAGATTTTGATGGTGTCTGGATGGGAAGAGGAAAGTGAAATACTTCAGTGTGACTAAAAGTCTATTCCACTCATGGACAGTTCTGAATACAATCAAATGTTTAAATACCATTATGATTTATGACTTTACAATAGCATTGCATATACTGAATCTTGTTTGATGGTGGCGGGTGGGGAAAACTAATTTTCTGACGGTGTATTTATATGCCAAGCTATGGCATAAATATTTTTGGCTTAAACTTAAGGCGTCCGCTGAAAAAGCAATAATATTGTTTTGGAAGCTTTCCACTTTATGAACAAATTGTATCTTTCATAAATTTAATAACATAATTAATGAAAATGGCACAAGCTAAGTTGACCAACATAAATACGTACAATGCTAGTAAAATGTAAAATCAAAGATTTTTCAGTGGGTTTCAATTATATGTGATTTCACTGATGCACGTGGTGCCTCGGAACATAACTCCCACATAAAAGGGGGCTGTCTGTATACTTTTTTTAGTACAACCTATAATTCATTTGGGGATCTTTCTGGATGTAGGATTGTGCATGCTAAATAGCTTTTCTTTTCATTCATACTTTTAATGATTAACACTGATCAACTGTTGTAATGATCAACATTTTCGGGGCTTGGAAGATATACTTTTTCAGAGGAGTGGGTTGTATTAAGGTTGTGCGCATGCAGAGTACCGTTCACAAAGTTGGACTTCCCCTTTCTCTCTTCTCCCTGTGCTGCCTCAAAATACCCTTTGAAGGCTCCTGCAGCCCTCTGGAGCAGATTTTGAGAATCCCTGGAGGTCTTCAAAGGAAAGGATAGGAGGGGGAAGTTCTGTTGCATGTGGAAGTATGCTGTGCTATCAGAACAGCAGCACTGGACATGACTCCATATTTAAGCTGTGCATAGCATGTCATATGTTCAATGGGGGTGGCAGGAGATGGTGTATACATTTCCCCCATTTAAGTTAATGATGTATATTAGTAGTATTTTCTCCAAGCCGAAAGGTTAACACAAGTTACAATCAGTTTAAGAAAATGTTGGTTCTAGTAAGCAATAGCTAATGTATGGTGGCTGATCTTTAAACAAAAACTGAAATGTGATATTAGCAAAATTTATTTTTTGCTTTTTTAAAAATTCTACAGGAAATATATCCTGGACAGTTTCAACCATCTCTCTGTCATAAATTTATAGCTTTGATGGATAAAGAAAAAAAACTGCTTCGCAATTATACTCAGAACATAGATACACTGGAACAAGTGGCAGGAATTCAAAGGATAATCCAATGTCATGGTTAGTCAATCTTAAATTCTATCTAGATCTCATGTTAATTTTAATGTGCGTGATAAGGGATATGTGGAATCTTTCAGCATTTTGCATATCTCTCACTTGGTTAGTTCCTGGAGAATATAGAATAGGATAAATGTTTTGAACTGTACATTTATGAATACATCTGAAGAGGATTGTGCTTCCGCTCCCTGACAGTGAATTCTATTGCAGTGCCCCCATAGATTTTCAGGATGAACAAATGAAATAAAACAACAATGGGTAGTATTCAACTAATTAATACTTGGAGTGAACCCATTGGAATCCAAGGGTTTGCTTACAGTGGGCCTACTCTAAGTATGACTAACTGGATATAATCCAGTGAATTTTATCAGCTAAGTGTGAACATGCAAATTAAGTCATATATGTTTGTATGTGTTCCTATGCTCAGATCAGTATGACTAGAATAAACTAGGTCGGTTAATATATGAATCCAGACAACTGCATACATCCTTATTTGCTTTCTGGTGTGTGTATGTGTTTCAGGTTCCTTTGCAGCAGCTTCTTGCCTCATCTGTAAATACAAAGTTGATTGTGAAGTTGTTCGAGGAGACATTTTCAATCAGGTAGGAATAAAACCATAAATATTATCAGGTACATTTAAGGCTGCATTCATAAACAGGCTTAAGGAGTAAGGCTCACTAAGCTTAACTGATCTTCTGTGCAAACATGATTAGGAATGCACTGTTAATGAACAAAAAGTATGAGTGTTACTAACTATCAGATAAAATGTTATCCTTACATCTAGAAATGTGAACTGCAGCAGTTCAAGAATTCAGTTTACATAGAAACAGTTGTAGTTCTCCAGACAAGTGCAGTTCTTATTTATTATCATTGTTGCATGCCACTCCAATCTCCAAGCAGTACAAGATTCCAGAGGTTCCAGATGCTTACCTGGGGGTTCAGAAAGCTAGCTTGGCTTGATTGGCTTTTAACACTTGCTGGATCCAGGGCTTATAGGGGTCTGGAATCTTCCCAACCCCAAATCTCATAACACTATATTTATATTTCACCATTGCTTCAGTTGAGCTCAAAGCAGCTTGGAAAGATCCTTCAAAGTAGAATATTTCTTGTAGGTTAGTTCAGATGTGACGCTTGACCTGTCATTCACTGGAGGACACTTTGACTTTTATTTCCCTAAGTATTTTAGCTCAGCTGCCTAAGATTAGAGCTAGCAGTGTCAGAATGATTTCAGTCCACCTTCTATTTGGGAAGGGAAAGTTGCAGGGATATAATTTGTAAGCTCTAGGGAAAGAAGCAGCTTTGGGGAAGATTAGGAGGAGGGAAACTAAAGGATGGGGGTCTGGAGACAAGGTGGTTGAATCAAGGATGCATAGTGACAGTAGACTGAGAATTGGGAGGAAAGGCTTTGTGAGACTAGAAAAGGAGGAACTAAGGCATCCCTGGAAACTACTATCCTGCAAAAATTATTATAAGCCTGCTAAGAGGCTAGTAACCTGGGTTTCCATGCTGGCTATGGAAACACATGACTCTAATGTTTAATTGATGCATCTTCATTGTATGCATCATAAGTTGTTTCTGTACAATAGAGAGAGAATACATATGTGAGGCAATCCTTCACAAAAGCTGATAAATATGCAACATATGCTGTGCTTCTCTTTGTTGGGACAGATGAGAGGAAATATTTGTAAATTATTCATAGAATAGTTCTCTGGAAAACTGTAATCTCTAACATTTTCACGAGTTTAAAAATAATTTGTTCAGGTGCTTCATGGGAAAAAAACTGGTTAAAGTATTAGTCTTTAATTCATACTTGCGTGTCATCATCAGTTTTGTTACACTTGGAATATTATTTAGAAAAGCTGTGGATTATAACATCAGTCATTTTTTATAGCAATCTGAACTTCTTAATAAATCTGTTGCAGCTAATGTTTTGACCCAGTGATTTGCTAATTGAATTTAGCTTCTATAAAACTAAAACTAAAAATAATAATGCAACCTTCTGTATGCAGGTTGTTCCTAGATGTCCCAGGTGTTCACCTGATGAACCACTTGCCATCATGAAGCCGGAAATAGTGTTCTTTGGTGAAAATCTACCTGAGCAGTTTCATAGGGCCATGAAGTATGACAAAGATGAGGTTGATCTTCTCATTGTTATCGGGTCTTCACTTAAAGTAAGACCAGTTGCATTAATTCCAAGTAAGTGTTGATTGCTCATCTCTTAGGCATATGGAGGGGAGTCTCTGTTTCAGAATAAATATATACGGAGCTTCCATACAACTGTCATGCTGTACAGTGCTGTAATTATTGAATTTAGAGAGTTTTTTAGATCTGGGAGGAATATAAGAGAAAGGAGTGTATTTATCTTGCATACTATTAAGTAATATTGCAGAAGCAGAATTCTAGGTCACTTTTTAGTGCATTTACAAGTAGTTCCTAAAACTAGTTGTCACATTTGTTAATAACAGTTGACATTATATTTCTGTAACATACATTTTGTTTTATTTTTCGTAAACATGTAGGTTCTATCCCACATGAAGTGCCTCAGATTCTAATTAATAGGGAACCATTGCCTCATCTACACTTCGACGTGGAGCTTCTTGGTGACTGTGATGTCATTATCAATGAATTATGTCATAGATTAGGTGGTGAATATACAAAACTTTGTAGCAATTCAGTCAAACTTTCAGAAATAACAGAGAAGCCTCCCAGACCTCACAAAGAATTTGAAATACATTCAGCTGAATTACCACCTACTCCTCTAAACATTTCTGAATATTCTAGTTCACCTGAAAGAATTGCACCACAACATTCTCAGGTGGTACGTTCAGAGCAATCTTCTGAATATAAAGCAGGAAATTCTGATGCTTCCTTGGAGTCTAAAGAGAACTGTGTAGAAGAAAAAATTCAAGAAGTTCAAAACTCTTTAGAGAATGTTGAAAGTCTTTCTGACCATCTAGAAAACCCAGAACATGTGAAGGAAAATGGATCTAACCAAGAGGAAAACAAAGAGAGAAGTGAAAAAACATCTGTTGAAACACTGAGAAAATGTTGGGTTAATAGATGTGCAAAAGAGCAGATTAGCAAGCGGCTTGATGGTAAGTGCTTAAATAATTTGCAAACACCTACATTCAAATTAAACAATACTTTCAAAGTATTAAACACAGCAATTTTGTTTTGAAGGAATTCAGTCAATAGTGAAGAGCATTTTGTAAAAATGATCTGATCTTGCAACCAGAGAAATGAAAACATGTACATCCACTTCAATAAGAAATACTTAGATTTATGTTGGTGCAGTACAATAGGAAATCTTGAACAAATGAAAGAATTCCTCTGACTGAACCAGCTGATTACTTCAAATGTTTGCAAGCTTTCAAACTACATGTAGGCAATATGAACTGAATTTACTTTGTATGCCTTCAAAACGAATGTCTGCATTTCTAATATACTTGTTTTATCTCTTTGCTTTTCTGCCTTACAAAGCTATTGTCAGACCCATATGAAATATCTATTTATAATTATATCCCACTTTGTCCCTGAAGGTGGTCCTACCCATGGCTGTGGGCAAAATCCAAATTAGGATATTTGTAATAAAACAATGTAGTAATCTTTGTTTTGTTCTAAAATGCAACAAATCTAGAAAGGCGATCGGACGTGAAACACTGATAAACACTTGATGAAGTTGTGCAGTGCCTTTAAGTCAACTCCCATCACCTTCATTTGGCATGACTTGGTCAAGGATCATGGGAGCTGTAGTCCACAATAACTGGCATCACATAGGTTACCACTGGTTTCAGCAAGTAGGCTGCAGTCCAGACCTCTGATCTGCCACAGGTAGGGTGACAGGGGCAGCACTATCCCTCCACCCAGCCCAAAACAGCTGTATTGGGGGAAAGCCCCCAAACAGGATGTGCCAGGGAGGGGTTGAGCCAACCAGGGATACCCTGGATCCCAGCTTGGCCCCACTGACATCACTTAACCCTCACACCAACTCCAGGCTGGTAAGGATTATTGAGTTCAATGTGGCTTACTTATGAAAAGACGTGTATAAGATTGTGCTGCCAAGTACATTATGGGCGATCCCACACAATCTAAAAAGTGGCAATGGAAATGGCACTTCTGTGTGTCGTGTGAAGGGGAGGGGAATTTACCGTATTTTTCTCTCTATAACACGCAGATTTTTTCTCCTAAAAAGGAAGGGGAAATGTCTGTGCGTGTTATTGAGCAAATGGAGCCGAATGGCGCGAGTGGAGGCAAAAATCAGGCAAAAATCAAATCGCGTCTCTCGGAGAAGGGAAACCTGAAAAGAGGAAGCGGCTGCTTTCCTGCATTCTGCCTCAGGGTCTTACTGCCCACCCTCTCTGTTTCGTTGCTGTGTTTGCTCAAACGGAACAAAGAGCAGGGAAAGCCCCTCCCCTCCAGGCAAGCAGAGGGGAAAGCAGAGCGTCCTTCCTTCTAATTCCTCTTCATGCTCCAGAGGGAACAATGTTTGTGAAGGGAAGAGAGATTACAGGTTCAGCTTAAAATTCTGATTTGACTTCCTGCTTTTGTTTTTGAGGACACACAGCATTCAAATATGCTTTCTTCCATTTAAAAGGATGAAATCCTTAAACAGTGTTTTGCCTGTAAATTCATGCGATCTGGAAGATTACAGTGTCTGTACCTCTTAAGGGATGGCAAAGCTTAGGTTTCGCTGCTAAATAGTTCTTAATGCAGTTAAAATGCTTTCTTCTGTCAAGGCAATTAAAAAATATATATATCAGGCAGCCGGAAAACATGCAGGTGGGAGAGAGAGAGCGCGAGCTGGCTGGCTTGGGTGGGTGGGTGGGGGGAAACTTTTGCCTTCCTTTCCTCCCTCCCGTTATACCCCTCTCCTGCATTCTTAGCCAGCTGCTTCTCTGCACACCCCTCTCGTGCTCCTTGTCCCTTCTGTGTTTTTCCTTCCCTCCCCACTTAAAATGTGGTTACAAAGCATGGATCCACATGGATCCTCAGGATCTTTGCATTGGGTCACCCCAAATTCACCATCAGAGCACATAACATGTCCATGGCTACAGCCTGCCCCCAAAAAATCACGCACCCACTGTTGCCTTGGGCTGCAATGGTGCAAAAACGTGGTTAAAAAGCATGGGTCCACATGGATCCTCAGGATCTTTGCATTGGGTCAGCCCAAATTCACCATCAGAGCACATAGCATGTCCATGGCTACAGCCTGCCCCCCAAAAATCACGCACCCACTGTTGCCTGGGGCTGTAATGGCGCAAAAACGTGGTTACAAAGCATGGATCCACAGGGATTCTCAGGATTTTTGCATTGGTCACCCCAAATTCACCATCAGATCACATGTCTGTGGCCACAGCATGAAGCACAAAAATGATACATCCACTGTTTCATTCAGAATGTTTTTTCCCTTGTTTTCCTCCTCTAAAAACGATGTGCGTGTTATGGTCAGGTGCGTGTTATAGAGCGAAAAATACGGTACATATCCCCGTGGATATTTCCTCCCTGCATCTCCCCACAGGAAATATGCACATCTTTTGTTTCTCTTCCTCCTCTTCTTTCCCACTCCCTCGTCTTTTCACAAAAGCCAGAAGCAGCAAGAGGGGGAAGGGTCAATTCAGGTAATCCTCAAACATGATTTGCAGGATTCGGAATTACTTCTACACATTTGAGCAGCATTGTTTGCCTGATTAGGACATCGTGACAAAATTAAGTTTTGCTTTAAGCAGAAAGGGGATCTTGAGTGCAGGGGGCGGGGCGGGGAGAACATGTGAGGCAAAGTCTCACTCCTGAAAATCTAAAACAAGGTTTGAAGGATTATCTAAACCAACCCAAATTTTAAGATGCAGACTTCTGTTATTACCACTGCTTTTAAGCATCCAAATCAACTAAATTGCTGCAAGAAAAACCTGAAAAGAATTGGGGAACTTGTTTTCCCCTCAGTTTACAAGGATTGGTGCACATGGCAGTAGTTTTCAGTGCCAAGCTATTTCTATGAAGCCATTCCTTATATGGACTATGTGAGTTTTCTCCACACCATCCAATTTCTTACTTTTTTTGCAGTGCCATATAGAAATTGACTTGGTATTTGTGGCAGCTTGCCTGTAGAAGTTGTAGTATGCACACCAGCACCAAGCTTCTGGTACATGTCTGCCAGATGTGATACATGGATATGTTTTTTGCATTACAAATTGTATTAATATAGAACAGTATGCTTTCCTCAAGTTCAGAATGTCTAATAGTATACTGGAGATAAAAATATGATTTTCTGAGTAAAACAAAATCTCATTTAGATGCCTGGAATGGGAGAGACTTGCAGCACGAACAGGTTGCAGCAATACCAAGAGTTGTACAGGCCTTTTAGTGTAGCTTTCAATTGCACAGCCCATCAAAAATGGTATTTCAGTCAACTTGCTTTTAATAAGCCTTTAGGTGGTAAGCTCTGAAGCAATTGCTGTATTTCTTAGATAACAGTCATTGGCACAGTCTGACGTCATTGCTTATTAAGATGTATCTTTGAGAAAAGTGAAGGGAAAGAAGTGGATTGTAGACTTCATAATTAAACCACAGAAATGAGTTACACATTCATAACTGCTTCCCTTCCCTCAAGATCTTTGACTGTGGCCACCAGTAAATGAGAGTGGAAGGGACCTCTTCCTTTGAGACAATATTGGAATGTGTACATTATGTGTACAGTGAGAAACTTGGAGGGGGGTGCTGAATAGTGAATGCCTTCATATGTTGCTGAATCCAGTTAAGCACATAGCAGCATGTAGTGAGCCTTTAAAAAGGGATTCCATAGTCCACAACATGTGAAATTAAAGTGTAATAAATTTTATGTATACCTATTTCCTTACCTAGAAACAGTAGTGCTTAAAATAATGACAACCCATAAGCATTAATGTATCGCATTTAGGACTTCTTGGGATTATTAATGCTGAAATAACTATTCTTGCTAATCAAACATGTTTCAGGTACCCAATACTTGTTTTTACCACCAAATCGCTATATTTTCCATGGTGCTGAGGTATACTCGGACTCTGAAGATGATGTCATATCCTCCAGCTCTTGTGGAAGTAGCAGCGATAGTGGGTCCTGTCATAGTCCAAGCTTAGACATAGAAGACGAGAGTGAAATTGAAGAGTTCTATAACGGTATAGAAGAAGATACTCCTGACAGAGAAGAGGAGAATGGATATGGAGAAGATGGAATTGAGCTTCAGGAATCTGAGTCTGTGTCGGTAAACGAAGCTGTAGGATTTGACCATTCGACAGACAAACTATAAAGTAATTACTGACTGGTTTCAGGAACTTTCCCACCAGCATTAGCAGTTTTGGCATGTTGGAATGAATGTGTACTGAATTTAGAGCAAGGAAAATATAAGGATGTAGTGTTTATAAGCAATTAGAATAGATTTTCATGCATAGTTTTCTAACTTTTCCAATTAAATTCTATAAAGGCACACTCAACACTAATCTTTTTGAATTTTGAAGGTACTAAGTATCTTTTTACTGTCACTCATTCATTTTTATTAAGTTTAATCTGTGTGAGCTGTGTGTGTGTACATATACAGTATTTTTGCTTAACAAATTTCAACCTTTTTTTTTTTTGAACTGTTTTGAAAAAGCCATTGGAATGTTAATATAATATAAAGGGAACAGCTAATCTAGACCAAAGAATGGTATTTTCACGCCTCTTGCTTTGTAACACTTTGATTTATTTAAAGTCTCCTCCCCCCCCCCCAGCTCTGTTACTGCATAATCTGTTTAACACTGGTATTTCCCCAAAAGTTAGTATGGCAGCTATGTTTCTAACATTAGTCTTCATGTTGAAATGCATGTGAGCATATTGAAATTAGGCATCATAGTGAATACCTGGAAATCCCTGACTACTTTGATTATTAGAAAGTGCTACTGCAAAACAAAAAACTTCCTGTGGATATGTAATAGTGCCTATTGGCTTGCAAAATTATAGCAAAATGGTGTTCAGTTAAATAGTTGCTCATTAAACTTTTTTGTGACACACAAAGGGTAGGTGGAACAGGAAGTCAGTATACAAAGCTAGCACTTAATGTATAAAATCTTTTGTGAATGCTGCCAAAATGTGAATATGTAAATGTACTGAAGGTGTGTATATAATATTCAGGATATGGGAGCAGTCTCCAAAAGAGCTTCTGTACCCAACACAAACCCTTAAAAGGAGAAACTTAAACTTCCAATATAAAACAGAAAGTTCAGTTTAAGCATAAGTTTAAAATATGCTGTTTGAGAACGGGCTTCTGTTTTGGATAACTTAATACCACGTGTTGGTACTGAATTATACAAAAAGCAGCTACAGAAATTGGTCACAACGCTGCTTCTTCAAGGCTGCCTTTTAAAAGTGGATGTCACACATACTTCCAGCTGCAGATTGTTTCCATCTTCCACAATGTGTTTCCTCACCCTGTATTTAATAGTAAGTTTTATGTTTATTTGTGAAACCACTTTTCGGCCGTATCCCAAGAGAGCTCTGCCAGTTATTGATCATTCATTCATGTACATTGCTTTAATATTTATTCCATTTTGAAATATGTAAAGTGGTTGTCCTTTTTAAGCAATTAATACATCTGTTCCGTAACAATAGCATAAAAAAGTGTTAAGAATGGCCTTCTGTGTTCATCTGAAAAACATTGGCATGTTTTCTCATGGTCCAGGTTCTAAATAGCAGAACTTGCTAGACTACACTAAAGAATGCAATATGTTTAGCTTTGCTTGCATGTCAAAATGTATTTGTGCTATAGGAGATATTTTAAAATGAAAATATTTTGTTTTTAAATTATTTTTACAGTGTGGATTATTTTATGCTTTTATATTGTATATAGTGTCTTTTATGTAACCAACTGGCAAATGTTTTGTAGAAGACTGTTTTAAAATGACCTGGCTCTCTTCCTGCAACTTTTGAAATACAAAACCAGTGTTTTATACTCGTATAGTCTGTTTTAAGGTCTATTAAATTGTCGTTTAAATTTTGGTTGCTGTTAATAATGTGTGTGGAAAGCCTCTCACTCCTCTCTTGCAACTTCTTGTTTTACCAACAGATATGAAATACAATACAGCTTGTGGAAAGTATACTATGGTGTTTCTCCACTTAGGGTTTTTAATGGATGTGAACAACACCATGGCTGGCTGTAAATTTAGTCTAAGCTTAATGTGAGACCAATATGATCTTTTGAGCAATTTAGACCAAGCCTCCATCAAATGTCTTAACTTTTCATTTTAAAGAACGAACAGGACCACTGCAGATGCAATGCAGCCAACTTCCTCTTACCTGTGCATAAGGTGGCCTATTACTTCTGTGCTGCTCTCTTCAGATCCTGCATGTGAGATGCAAACACACCCCATCCTGTTTTAATGCTTGAAGCCAATTGTGCTATTTCTTCACTTTGCCTACTGTTGCTGCCATGCTATAATTCACAGCATGAATTCACACAGTGAATTTGCAGTCCCTGATTTGAGCTAACCCGTGAGTAGTGCCAACAATGATTATTTACAGATGAACAGAGAAGAGCAGCCTGACTGGACCTTAAATGTTTTCCATCCTTCATAAGAAGCCTTCCCTATGTATGTTTTACGCATTAAAAGGAGCTGCTAGAATATCTCAATTCATTAGGATAACTGAATTAGCTGCCTCCATGTAGCAAGCCATTTCTGACTGCTGGTTCACTACATGAATTGCCAAGTGTTCGCCATGCCAGTTAGTTTTTTCTCCCTATGTTTTGCCCCAGAAAATCACTCATGCACCATCCAAACACCTTACAAGCTGTTTTGTTTGTTTAGTCGTGTCCGACTCTTCGTGACCCCATGGACCAGAGCACGCCAGGCACTCCTGTCTTCCACTGCCTCCCGCAGTTTGGTCAGGCTCATGTTTGTAGCTTCGAGAACACTGTCCAACCATCTCGTCCTCTGTTGTCCCCTTCTCCTTGTGCCCTCCATCTTTCCCAACATCAGGGTCTTTTCCAGGGAGTCTTCTCTTCTCATGAGGTGGCCAAAGTATTGGAGCCTCAACTTCACCTTACAAGCTAGAAATAGCTTAATTGTTCCTTTTGGCAGCCATCTCCCTATAATAGTCATCTTTCCATATCAAACCTAAAGTTAATGTTCAACAGTTATTCTACTGGCTGCCTACACAAGGGCAGAGGCTTGCATGTGAGGAAAGGGAAGTATGTAATCCACTTAAAAGTATTTTAATTCATATTATTGTGTGAGCAAAAGTGTATTAAGATACTCATCTTCAGGTGACTCTACAACTCAACAGATGGAGGAGAATCTGCCACAGTTCAGCAATGTAACTTTCAAAGTAAAAACAAAGGAAATTTTCTATCTGATTTTATTTTAATAATATATAAGGCCACTCAAAAACAGTGTTCACTGGGTGGCTCATTAATAAAATGATAAAATGCAATTAATACTTTGTATGTAAATATTTTAATCTGATAACCTTGTATTTATGAAACCCTAAGAGCAGCTGTGCAACTGCAACTGTAAAAGACCTAGTGACTTAAGGAGGATGTAGTTGTGTGATCAAGGATTGCCTGTCTTTTTTAGGAGTGAGACTCCTGTAGAGTAGAAAATAGGACAGTTAATATGGGCAGGATAATAACAAATTCCCATATGATGTGAAGAAGCATGAATGACTTTGTTTGTTTTTTAAGTAGGGAGACCTTTGACTTGTCATTTTCTCTGGCCCTAGCTGTATTTCATAGCAAACTGTTCTGTGAGCCCCCTTGCCATGTGAAACACCCAGTAAGGGTCATCTTATTCCACACGGACATACCTGAGTTCTAAGACCATTCTTGGAGGCGGTTGCTCATCTTCTGAAACAAATAACCGACACCTCTTGTTAAAAAGTGTGGCACTTACTGTAACAACTTCTTTGTGAGTACCAGCACCTATTTTTCTAGAAAGAAAGCACTGGTGCAACCCTTCCTGGCCCTTGCCTCTGCGCAGGTGCTGCATTGCAAACCCCCCCCTCCATTCCTTGGGTTAACCAAGCCTTCCCCAGCCTGGTAACCTCCAAACACTGGGGATGACAGACCCTCCAAGTGTCCCCGTTTTCCAGGGACGTCCCTGATTTAGTGAAGCCGTCCTGGTTTCTGCTTTGATCCCGGGAACATCCCGCTTTTCCTTAGGACGGCCCTATTTCCATTGGGAGAAATCTTGGAGGGTATGGAGTTAATATTTTATTACGTTTTCATATATGTTGGAAGCTGCCCAGAGCGGCTGGGGCATAGCTGTCAACCTTCCCTTTTTTGTGGGAAATTCCCTTATTCCAGCGCTGCTTCCCCGGATTGTTAGATATCCCGTAGACTGTCCCCGGGACAGGTGAGGCTGCTGATCCCTTATTTTCAAATCTGAAAGTTGACAGCTATAGGTTGGGGCACCCCAGTAAGATGTGTGGGGTATAAATAGTAAAATTATCATTATGAAATGGGACGTCCCTGTTGTCATCGGAGAAATGTTGGCAGGTATGGGATGGTGGGAGTTGTGCTCTTCACGATGGGGGGAGCCCCAAGCTGGCGAAAACTTGGGGGGGGGAGGCCCATGAATGACCCACAGCCCTGAGCCTGGGGGCGCTCAGCCCCGCTTCGGGCTGGTGTTGCCGGCGGTGGCCCGCTGCCCCTCCCTCTGGTGGGAGTGGCCGCCTCCCGTGAGCGCCGGCGACAGCTGCAAGGCTGGCTGACCTTGCTCCGCCGTCGGATCCCCGCATCTCCGCCATGGCGACCAGGCTGCTGCTCCTCCGGCTCTTCCCGCGAGCTGTGCGGGCCACGGCGCCCGCCTCCATCCGAGCCATGAGCGCCGGGGGTGCGTACAGGCCGACGAGGGGCGGCGGCGGGGCTGAGCGCGTTCTGCTGGGCTTGCGAGAGCGCGCTCCGGGGGAGCGAGGGGCTGCTTTTGCCTGGCGCTCGCAGACCTCGGCAAGGTGACCTCAACTCAAACCAAAGCGCGGCACCCCCCGCCCCGTCCAGGAGGCGCCTCCTCGGGGTTATGAGGTCGGGCTGGGCGCTCGAGGGCCCGTCCCCCCGGGCGCTCCTGCCTGCTTTTCCGCCAAGAAACCAAAGCCCACCCCCCGGACGTGTGGCAGGCGAGAGCCGCCCCTGGCCCAAGGCCCCCTTGCGTCCCTCTTCTTGGAGGGAATCACGTGCCCTGTGGGGAAGACACGTGGAACAGCCCCCCATAGATGGCCTTTGAAGTGAGGCAGGCAATGGTCTGTTTGCAGAGCTGCACGTGAGATTTGGGGGGAGGGAGTCACCATTGGCGACCAGCGGGCTAATGATTAATAATTATGATCTAAACTTGACAATTGCCCAAAGCAAAAGGGTTGTTTGTTTGTTTTCTGCTGAGGCTCTGTTGTAACTCTCGTTTGACCTGTGGGTGGAAGCCAAAGGTTACGAAATGGCCCCTTCTCACCACAGTTCTGCCACCCAGCCCCCTTCCTTGGTTAACTCTGCTGGTGTCTAGGGGATATGGAGTAATTTAGGAGTATGCTTTCCTACCACCCCACTTAGGTAAAGGGACCCCTGACCGTTAGGTCCAGTCGTGGCCGACTCTGGGGTTGCGGCGCTCATCTCGCTTTACTGGCCGAGGGAGCCGGCGTACAGCTTCCGGGTCATGTGGCCAGCATGACTAAGCTGCTTCTGGCAAACCAGAGCAGCACATGGAAATGGCGTTTACCTTCCCGCCGGAGCGGTACCTATTTATCTACTTGCACTTCATGCTTTCGAACTGCTAGGTTAGCAGGAGCAGGGACTGAGCAACGAGAGCTCACCCCGTCGGAGGGATTCGAATTTTCAACCTTCTGGTTGGCAAGTCCTATGCTCTGTGGTTTAACCCACAGCACCACCCGTGTCCCACCACCCCACTTACCAAATTGCAAACATCATGTCCCTGAACAGAGCCTGAAGGCAATAGCCCAGTAACTGGGATTCAATGGAATACTTTCTCTGATGTAACTAGTGATGGAAATATGCTCCCTTTTCTGCACTGTTTCTACCTCTACAACATCCTTTTTGAGCTACAGCTAAAGCTGTACACAACATTCTAAATGTGGCAACACCATAGATCACAGAATCAAAATTATAGAGTTCGAAGGGACAACGTAGTCCAACCTGCTGCAATGCAGCAAACCTTTGCCCAAGGTGGGGCTCAAACCAACAACCCTGAGATTAAGAATTGCGTTCTCTACCGACTAAGCTATAATGTATTGTGTAAGGACATTGTGGTACTCTCAGTTTTCATTTCAGTCCATTTCTTTATCATCTGAAGCTGTCTTATTCACTGCAACGTACTGATAATTTCATTGAGCTCTCTGCCATGACCCCCAGGTTCCTAATTAGACCCTGCTACAGTGGTGCCTCGCAAGATGAAAAGAATCCGTTCCGCGAGTCTCTTTGTCTTGCGGGTTTTTTCGTCTTGCGAAGCAAGCCCATTAGAGGTTTAGCGGCTTAGCGCTACAGTATTAGCGGCTTAGCCGGCTTAAAGATCAGCTGATAAGCGGCTTAACGATCAGCTGATAAGCGGCTTAGCATCAGCTGTTAAGCCAGCTGATAAGCGGCTTAGCATCAGCTGTTAAGCGGCTTAAAGATCAGCTGATAAGCGGCTTAGCATCAGCTTTTAAGCGGCTTAAAGATCAGCTTATAAGCGGCTTAGCATCAGCTGTTAAGCGGCTTAAAGATCAGCTGATAAGCGGCTTATCCATCAGCTGATAAGCGGTTTAGCGGCTTGGGAAAAAGGGGGAGGGGAAAAACCCCGCAGGAACTCGCAAGACATTTTCGTCTTGCGAAGCAAGCACATAGGAAATTCGTTTTGCGAAGCACCTCCAAAACGGAAAACCCTTTCGTCTAGCGGGTTTTTCATCTTGCGAGGCATTCGTCTTGCGGGGCACCACTGTATATCCCATCTGATCAGTGTACTTAGCAGGGGTGGTGGTAAAGAATATGTAGTGCATCCTAAAATATCACCTTCAAACCAGTATGATTTAGAAGTGCTTAATTTTATTGGGATTGTTTCATTCTCCACTTCTTCCTGGGGTTCATTTAGTTGGTTCAACATTTAATATTAAATTGCTACATCCTCCAAGGGCCCATGAAGCTCAGATTTTGGAAATTAAAACAAATTTTCAATTTGCCTGAAGCGAAAACAGAAAAGACTGGGAAATACACAGGACAGCTGAGTTTGGTGGCACCTTCAAGAGAAGTGGTATACCCAGTAGGTGGGAATGTGCATGGATTTCTCTTTTCACACTCTTTTTCATTAATATCTCAGTACACCTCGTCAAACCATAATGCAGGTGCCCTAAAGTGGGGATTCTGTAAAACAGGAATAGACAACATGGTGCCTTCCAGTTGTTTTCAACTACAACTACCATAATCCCTTATCATTGGCAATGCCGCCTGGGGCTGTTGGGAATTATAGTCCAAAGTATCTGGAGGGCATCAAGTTGGCTGTCCTTGATTTAATGTGTGAGTTACAGGGTTTTTAAAGACTTTTTTTTTCAGCCAGTACCTGCTCAGCAGTTAAGGATAGATATATCTAAGCATGCAAATAGGTGTGTAAAAGAAGAGTTGGAAACTATGACAGCAGCAGACTCCAGTTTGGTGCTAGATTTTTTCCTACAGCAGTTATTAAGAGGAAGAGGCACTGATGGCAGGGATTTTGCTCATATAGAATCCCCTCACACATGGCCTGTTAGTTACCCAGAGGTGGGGGCATGCCTAGTGATTGGATAGGTTGGCTCAGAGTGGCTGGGAGCCTGATCATCCATGTACACCTCAGGCCATTCCTCCACTGCTCTGGATGGCTGGGTGAGATATGCAGGCTCCTCTGGGTGCCAGGATGGAGAAATCAGATTGCTGCAGCCCTGAGGGCCCCCCTCCCCAGGCGGCTGGCAGCGCTATTAGAAGTGTGAGTAGAGCACCCAGCAGGACTCAGAGGAACAGAACACAGGGAGAGGGCAAGAGTGGAATGGAGGCAGAAGGAAAAGAGGCAGAAGTCAGGAAAATGGACTAATGGAGATGGTGGGGAGGCAGGGCAGAGCAGACTCAACCCCAATGTCTGTGGAGGAAGTCACTGGCTGAGTGCAAAAGCCAATGAAAAGCAACCGTTTTGAGTTTCTGGTCCACGGTCTCTCCCAATACAGCTCCTTGCCAAAAGCGCAAGGGACAGGGGAGGCAGCAGACTGATGTGTCTCCTTGCTAAGGACACAAGGGAGCCTAGTTATGCCTCTGCCCAAAGGTACAGTGGTACCTCTGGTTGTGGACACAATCCGTTCGGGGGTACCATTCGCGCCCCGAAAAGTCCGCAACCAGAGCAGCGCTTCTGCGCATATGCGAACTGTGCAGAATGCTTCTGCGTGTGTGGCGAAACTTCCAGGTTTGCTGTGTTCTTAACCTGAAAAAATGCAACATGAAGCATTCACAAGAAGAGGTATGACTGTAGTTGTTATCATCAATGCCAACAAAGCAGAATGTAGAATGACACATAGAGAGAATCTCAATCAGTGCATAAAGAGAGATGGCAATTACAAAAGAAAGAGCTAGCTGCATTTGCTATGAAGGCCTGAGATTTGCGTACTTAAGCCCAAGTTGACCCTACACTTAACAGTTGATTTAAATGGGTTTAAGTTTGCATATCAGTGCATAGTGTCAGATAGGCAATCAAATCTGGGGGTTTTCATTGTTCTTTTCAGGTATCCCTACGGATGAAGAGCAAGCTACTGGGCTTGAACTGAAAAGTATGCAAGCCTTGAAGAGAGGGGAAGTAAGTTTAAAGCAATTGAAGAGTTTCACTGAAATATGATTTTGTTTGGTTTCACACTCTTGACTAATAACTATCACTATCAGTGGAAGATTTTAAAAAGAAATTTAACCTCCAACCCAACACATCTCCCATTGCTTTTGTTGACTACACCATTGGCTGTGGTCTCATCATGCACTGTGACTTAGAGGTCTCAAGTCTTTACGGGCCCTGTAGATTTTTCTCAGCATCACTTAATTTACACATCAAGCTGAATTTAAAAGCAATGAAATTCATGCGGATGAACCAAGGTTGGAGTGGAATACAGCCTTAAACTCTTACTTCAGTCACCCAAGATTTATAACTTTTTTGTTCTTCCACTGTATTCTAGTTCTTTAAAAATCAACCCTTGGTCATTCAGTAAAGGAACTAACACATTTTTTCTTTATAAAGGATCCATACAACGTCTTGAAGCCCAAGAAATATCCAGGAACCAGAGAAGAGCCTCATATTGTTCCATCAATTGGGGACAAGAGACTAGTGGGTTGTATCTGTAGGTATCAGAATTCATTTGACTTCAGTACATACTGTCTTCCTGATTCTCATATTGCATAGTCTTGTAAAACCTATTAAGCACCAGACATTTCAGGTGCAATCCCGTCCCACCATGGTGAAGCAATCGTCCTTTGATTCAAACAGTAGAGCCTTTCCCCTTCAACACATCCCTCAGTGCATGCATGCACTCAAAGTGGGATAATTATAGAGGCAGCATGCTCAGACTTCCCATTCCCTTTCCTGGGCTGCCTGTGTGCATGCACAAGGGGAAGAATCCACTGAACCCAAGGGGAGCTGAGGAGGGTAAGAGTGGGTGTAAGTATTCCATCCATATCTTATAAATTACCTACAGCAAAATTTCTGTGGTCATCGTGTTGATTTTTAACAGTGGTTTCTCGCTGAGTTGGGTGTGCTTTAAGAAATTTTAAAAATACTGTAAAGGCATACTTATTGACCCTGTTACAAATGAAGCGGCATGTAAAATATGCACAGCCTGAGTCTTTGGTAGAAGATGCATACTATATTAAGATACAAACGTGGCATTTTCTATGATTCTTGCTTTGAAACACCAAGGAGCTATTGGCTCTTTCCCAGGTTGTTTTCACTCTCTGGCCTTGTTTTCTTGTCTGACACTAACAGTCAGCAGGGTGACAAGTTAAACATTTCCTGCCAATTCTCCCCCACATTCATGCATTTGGGAGTCTCTTTCCCAGAGTCCCTGTGTAGTTATGTCCTACAATGATAACTACACAAAAGATGCAGCAACATGCAAAACTACTTCCCACTGATCTGGTAGGAAAGATGCCATAACCAACTTCAAAAATAGACCAGCTTCAAAGCCTGCTGTTCCACTATTCTAGGGAACCAAAACTGTTGTCAAATGTAACTGGTCCTTCTCTAAAGTCCTTCAAGCTTTCTAAAATGTGGGTTCTTAATTAACAGATAATGGAATTTTTTCTTTCTTTCTGCAGGTGAGGAAGATAACTCCACTATTATTTGGTTCTGGGTACACAAAGGAGACAGCCACCGTTGCCCTCAGTGTGGGTCTTACTACAAGCTAACTCATTATGAACTCCCCCACTGAGAACTGGTACCAAGAAAAGGTGTTTTTTCTTTCTTTCTTTCATTGTAGACTTAAATAAATCTGCCTGCCTTTAGCTGCATCAACCTTAGTTACCTTATTGCACCTGCATCTAAAAGCTGAGACAGAAATACCATACAAGAGCTCTGTACAGTATCCCTTTTTTGGGATCAAAGCAGCCAAAGTAGGTCTGGTTTGGATTATGGCTGCAGCTGTGCTGTTTTTTCTATTTTTAAAATCACTCTCACCCTCCTATAGCTGCTATTTACCCCATTAGGGGAAACATACAAGTGCCTATATGCTGGTGGATGAGGTACAATTAGGACCTTGATAGCAATGCATGCACCCGCATTGCTCATAATCTCCTACCACCTCAAGTGTAATAACAGCATATGTGTGTGTGTGTGTGTGTGTGTGTGTGCGCGCGCACACACACACACACACACATGCCTGCCTTCATTCTTAAAACTCCTGCTGACACACAAAATATTCCTTCAAAAAGCTCATCATTTTCACAGGAACTACTTCAACAAGTTATTTGTGAACTACAAAAATGGAGATGATCCAAACTGCAACCAACAGAATGGTAGAAGAACCTAGCTTCACATGGCACGCTTGGTCAAAGTAACAGATGTCTAGGCTGAGCATTATTACAATGTAACACATGGTTATGGAACAAACATCTGCAAGGGAAGTAGTGATATGTTGGGAACTTAGTAGGAAGGAAAGACAGCTTACTTAACAAGGTATATGCAAGGAAGAACCCATTCATTGTAACGAGTAACTTGGGTTACTGCTTTCCCCACTTCCATTATAACAGGGGTTGGCAAGGCTTACCGGCCACGGGCCGGATCACTCCTGTAGAGATTGCCGTGGGCCAGACCGGCACAGTGTAATGCTGGAAATCACATCTGCGCGTGTCCGTGGCACCAGAAATCACTTCTGCGCATGCCCAGACGCCAAAAATCGCACCTGCGCAGAAGCGCTTTTCAGCGTCTGGGCATGTGCAGAAGTGATTTCCAGTATCTGCACGTGTGCAGACATGATTTCCGGCGATGCTCGGACACTCCCTGCACAGAGCGCAGGGGACTCGCTGAGCGGGTGGCTCGGGGGCCAGTCAAATGGTCTTCATGATCTGCATCCGGCCCATGGGCCACACTTGCCAACCCCTGTATTATAACATACAAAGTACTGAACATATGCGTAAGCATGGTCCATGTGTATCTGATCCTTTGCTAAATCATGTCCTATCATTTCAGCGTATCAATATAAATTGACAGTATTGCATTGACAGTATCCCTGCTTCACTCTTATGTGACATTGCCAGATGGACTTCAGTCATGCAGACTACAGAGCCTACATGGGTCTTGTCAATTATGCAGACGCAGTCCAGCCAGAACTAGGAGTTAAGGCTGAACCTCATATGAACCTCAAAATAATTATCACAGAGATGTGTGCTAAGTGACACACTGCTATGCTAACTCCTGCACAGAATCAAATTTGTTGAAAGAATGAAACACCTACATGCACACTTGTACATAATTCATTCAAGAATTTTTTTATTTGATGCTTGAATTGTTTCACTGCAATTTATAAATCTAAAAAAAAATAAATATTTCACAGCTGAAAGTCACATACTATCCATTAACATGTAAACATTCAGGAACTTAAGCTAGCCCCCACCCCCTCAATCCTCATGTTTAATTTAATATCATCAAGAGATGTCTTACTGAAATCCAAAAAGTCTTTTAAAAAGAGAGCATTTAACAATTATCTGAAAAAGTGTAAACTGAACCAGAACTGCAAAACTGCTCTTTCAACATTTGTGAATGGGAACAAAAGGATAAAATTCTCAGCTCTACTGAAGGTAAAAGGCAAAAAGTGGAGCTGAAGCCAGGCATTCCTTGATTATTCTAATTACCAACAGTTGCCAAGGATTGAATTCCAAGATTAAATAATGGGTTCCATTCATAATTTTAACAACTGATAGTTGTTTCATGCTGCCATGAGATTATCAGACAAATTATCTTTCACATTGTCTTGATCTCTTTTTTTTATGTTAACAGGAGCCATATTTGTTCCGGTATGAAAGGGTTGACATAAAATTTATGGCTCCTCATTAGATTTTTACAAAAAGACAAGAGATGCATATCTCTTAATTTATCAGCTCAAATGTTAACGCCTTTTGGGTGTGTGTCTCTTTTTATAAAATAAGCCCCAATTCAGTTACAAGCAATAGATACTCTACTGCTATTGGAGCACAGGTATTTTATTACAAAAAAAATATATTTACAAAATGAAAAACCTAATGTGACTGTTGCAGTGATGGGGGGGGGGGGAGTAAGCACACCTTTCACACACACAGCAAGTCATTTTGCAATATGTGAAGTACTAAAATTTAGTTAGTGAAACCATTGCTTTTATTCCAAAGTTGAATTTTTATTAAGATGGCAAAATGTGGCTCCAGCATTCATATCAAGACAGTTTATTAGTGTAAGGATTTTTGGCTGCCATTAGAGGATCCGATCACTGAACATGTTTACAAGCATTTCTTATAATAGCTCCGCTGCCAGGCTTTTCACCTTATGTGACACTGCAAGATAGATGCAAAATTAGTTCAATGTTCCCACGTTAAAGAGTTGCTGTGTTCTTAGCTTCTGCAAGTTATACTAAATTGAAACCTTCATTGTGATCAATAGCCTGGATCAGCTTAGATCTGAGTATTTCTTTATCTGTATATTTTGGAAGATCAAGAAGATTAAAACATGTATGAGACACGGGGAGATACTCATCACCACCTCCAGTCGGCTGAATGACAAGACTAAGGCTCTTCATCCCAAGAATAGGAATACGATCACTGCCTGTCAAAAATACTACCAAGAAAATATAAATAAGTAAGAAGCCTGGGTACAAAGGCCAAAAACTTAGTGCTGTGCTATAATTTTCATTTTACTTTTTAGACTGATATAGCCCAAATCAAAAATTCTGAAAATGTAAGGCAGTTATAGCCATATGAAATTGTTTCTAGTTCATTGTTTTTGCTTAAAATTATTGTAAACAAATTTTATAGTTTAGAGAACTTATTTATTATATTTGTTCATTGCTTCACCCAGAGGTTCTTTGGGGGGGGAAATATAACTAAAAAGAGAAAATCCATATAACACCGTCGAGTCCAACCCTAAAAAACAAGTGTGGTGTGAAGTGATTTAATTAAGTTAACAGTTTCTCTTGGCTAAATAAATAATTATTTGCTTGGAAACAGGTGTGCAAGGTTTTCAACCTTTAATGAATCATATCAAATCAAGCAGAGCAGCTGCATGGGTGCTTTCAACTGGTATGATGTGTTTCACCAGAAACAGCTGCAGTTAATCTATTCATATATGTGCCTGTATGCATGTTAGGGTGTTCACACATTCAAAACTCAGGGTGGAATCCAGACTTAAGTTAATTTAGGTCCTACTGAAATCAATGAAGTGAGCCAAACCATGATGCATGTTGTGCTTCATTCCCATTGAAACCAGCCAAAAAAAGTCTGGATCCAACAGATAGTATTTGAAACATAAGTGAATAAGCAACTTGCAGACCTGATCCTAGTAGTTGTTGTTTATTTCTGTTTAAAATATTCATTTTTTTAAAAAAGTGAAAATGCAAATTCTCCCTTGGACAGAATCCAAAGTCAACTTAGCATTTTAACCATTCAAAAAACCAAACCCAACACTAACACTTGGGCTTAGCATGACATGTAAACCAGGTCTACACTGGTTTAGCATTACAGTTCCAAGTTTGAATGTAGGTTGTTTAAAACCATAGGTAGATACTTCCAATAGCCGGCTATGCTGAAGCCCGAGGCTCACTGCTGCTTAGCATATAGTGCTAAATTATGACTTAGTGTTACATGAAAAATAAGCCAGTGGTAACAATTGCCCTAGAGTTCCTATTTAGATTTCTTATTTTCTTACACAGTTTTGTATACTTACATAAAAACTGTTTCTTCTTCTCCAGTGGTAACTCATGAAAAACTTCCCAGAACATTTTAATTGTTGGATTCTCTGCCCAATATTCTCCTTTATATTGAGTATTCTAAGAACAACAAATCAAAATCACAATATATCCCCCTCAAATTTACAAATAAAATGCTGTATATTGAACAAACAAAAATACCTATGCGTAAACGTATTTATAGAATTTTATGTATTTTAGTGTTTTTCTACATAATACAGAAAAGCTCTATTTTGGACAATCGCTTAATTATACAGGATTCTTTAGTGTTCAGTTGTTGCTAATGTCTGGACTAGTAACATACCTTCTCTAGTTCTTTCCAATCATAGTTTGTATTCCCAATCACCATTGCTTGCAGTTCATTGGGCTGGAAGAGCTGCAGAACTTTACCTCCACACACCTTGTGAAAGCCTGCATGGAATGCGTCATAGAGAGGAGCCACAGATTTATTGAAGATGTAGTCCACGTAGGCATTCACAAACTCTTGCCTAAAGATCAAATGAGAAGAAAAGGCACCATGTTTTCAGAAGATGAGAATGTTCAACCACAATTCCACTAGCAATGAACAGCAACCATTTTAACACTGTCAACAATTATCTTCAGATCTCCTAGTTAAGAACTATAACATGAATGTCACACTGAATCTAGCATACAAGGCAAAGAGGGGAGGCATGAGAAAGGAACAGGCAAGTTTGACACTAATTTCTGACTTCTTAAGCTATGGTTTATGAAGCCAGGAAAGATAATTCAAATGCTGCCAATGTCTTGGTGGCTGCAGTAGGGAACCACCAAGAAGAGCAGCGGAAGGAGGGCAAAACTCATTTCTTAAAATATTTTGCCTGTTTATCACCACCACCACAACAAAGAAAGAAAGAGAAAGAGAAAGAAATTTCTTTTGCAAGATTACAGGTTTGGAATAAATATCTCAGAAGTTGGGTGTAACTCCCCACCACACCCACACCCCTTATAGTTCAATTCTGAGTTAAGAACCTGCATGAAATGAAAAAAAGTATTTCTCCCTGATAAAATTAAGCAAAGGCAAACTATTCTGTCAACCTACCATGCTGAAACTTACCTATTTTGTTTGACAACAGGAATATCAGTACCATTAGGAATTAGCTCCTTAACTTCTGTGGTACCAAAATTTTCAACAGTGATCTATTTAGAACATGAGAGTGTATTTTACTTTTTGTTGCAGAATAGAATCTATAATTCAATACAGGAAAGCGAAGCATGCTATACAAAGTCTAGCATTTTAACAGGAAAAGAGAGACTTGATTACATATTATTACTCAATACACTGGCATTAAAAAGGTGGCAATGGATGATCTCACACTTACTGTAAAGTTGAGGCAGAAGGTATCCTCTATATCATCTTCTGGGTAGTCCAATAATTGCTGCATACTCCTGAGAATAAAATGTCTCTCATCGCAAGTTGTAACAGCACAATTTATTCAGAAACTTACAGAACTGAAATGGTTTTATAGTCTTCCACAGAAATTTACAGTTTAGATTAGCAAAAATCTAGCAGCTATGAGAAGTCAATATCTGTTCAAGTTTTTTTTGCCCTGGAAGGATTTCAATCCTAAAAAACCTACATTTGTTTCAAGTGTGTCAACTAGAAATAAAGACACTCTAAATCTTGTATCTCATCTCCTTAACAAGGTATTGAATTATTTCTTTGCACTGTGAAAGAAGTTATGATGCACAGAAATGTTAATCTACTTACTGTACTTTCAGTTGTAATGTGCTCACCTGCCAACATCAGGCATTAGCTCTTTGAGGTCATCCAGGGAAGGTTTCTTGTTCAGGAGCTTCTTATATAAAGCCAAGGGGAAGTGAAGCTCTACAATAGTAAAATTATATATTGCTAGCCCACAGACAACACCAATCAGATGAAACAAGTCACTGTCTTCAAAGGTCTGTAAATATGAAAAAAACTGAAATTAAACTTTTAAAAGCTTACAAAAACATGCACATTGCTTTAGAGGCCATGCTTGCATTCAACTGCTGCTAGACTTCAAGTGGAATCACAACAATTTTGCAAGCTAGTACACTGTTATTATTCATGTATATATTTGAGGTTGGGATCTATAGGGTTAAAAACTCATCAAGCCATTTTTTCAAGGGTTACAGAAAAGGGTGTTTAATTGCTTTGTATTTGGTTTTGCAATCCCCTCTAGTGTAGCGAGGCAACAACTCAAGTGGCAAGCAACCAGAGTTTTGAGGGTTGGCATTCTAGAGAGAGATGTCCTAATGATGGTTATCTATGATCTGGTGACATCCTGTATTAATGCACTGTCCTTGGTGCTGCCTTTGAAGCAACTAGGAAACTTCAGCTAGTACGAAATACAATGCCTAGGTTACTAACAGAGACCAATTGAATGCAATATATCTCACTCAACAGAAAACTGCACTAGCTGCATCTCTGGCACAGTTTAAGGTGCTGATTCTTGCCTTTAGAACTTTAATCAGCTTAGGAGGACTGCTTTGTTCTGCAAGAAGCTACAGCTCAAGTTCTAAGATCATCCTTGAAGTCCTTTCTCTGAGACACCTTGGTGAAGCCAATTACGACAAAGGAAAAGGGTCTTTTCTGTTGTGGCACATCTGGTGTAGAATATTTTCGTGGGAACGCTTTTTATCATACTACATTTGGATTTTTTATTACACTACATGTGTTAAAAATGCTAGGGTGTCTGTTTTGTCACCAACAAGAGTTTTGTGAATGGCCACTGTTAAAAACGTAATTGTGACTGATCATATGTTCTACATTTCATTTCCCTCTCACCTCATGATTTACAATCCTTCCCCCAAACAACTCAGGTGAACACTTCATGTACCCGATGAAGTGATCTGTACTCCATGCAAGCTTATGCCGTAAGACTTCAAGATGCAGATACTTTTATTTTGGCCCCAACAGACTCTACAAAAACACAGCCATGCAGCAGCCACAAAACACACTGACTTTATCTAGTGCTGTTGTATTCATGGCCTTCTGTGACCACCAGGGAAAGGGGACAGAAATGAGCACATTCAGGATCAAGAGCAAAGGGCTAACATAACAAATGTTATCATAGACTAAATGATGCAGTGTGCACTGGTGCAATTATATCATAGTAGTAATATTCTCAAAGATACCATAGCTTGAAAGTAAATCAAGATATTAATTTCCACTATAAATACACAAAATCCAACAAATTACATACCTTATCTGAGAACCAGATGAGCCTCGATTGTTCATCGTACCTGAACATTCCATACTTGGGATCTAACAGCTCTCTCATGATAAGCAAGAAAAATTCTTTGCGAACTCCTCCTGCATCAACAGCTTCTTCCCCTACAAAAATAACCTAACATTGGCAATGCAGTTAGAACATTACATTTTTAAAAAATAAAATACCACACATACTCATAGATCATAGAATTGTAGAGTTGGAAGGGACCCTGAGTATCATCTAGAACAACCTCCTGCGATGCAGGAATATGCAGCTGTCCTGTAAGGGAATCGTACCTGCGACCTTGGCGTTATCAGCACCAGGCTCTAACCAACTGAGCTATCCACAAGTGCTCAATTTGTTACTTGGATAATGACATTTACAATAAGGAGTCTGACTAAAGGCCACTTCATACATTGTATTTTAAAGTTGTAAAATGTGTTTTAAGTTTTTATAAATGTTTTATTATTATTATTATTTATGTGCCGGAAGCCACCTAGAGTGGCTGGGGAAACCCAGCCAGATGAGTGGGGTAATAACAAATAAATAAATAAAATATGAACATGGCAAATGCATATTTGTAAAGACATACCGTATTTTTCGTCCCATAGGACGCACCTAGTTTTTTGGGGGGGAAATAAAGGGGGGGAAATTCCTTTATTTCCCCCCAAAAACCAGGTCGGGGAACAGCGGTATGGCGGCGCTCCGCCTCCCCGCTGTCCCCCGAGCTTGTGGGGCTGGCCTATGTCTGCCCGGCGCATGGGGCGCTCTGCTTCGGGGCGCCCCGTGCGCCAGGCTGCTATCTGCAGCCTGGGGAGCCCTGCAGGAACTCCCACAGGGCTCCCCAGGCTGCGGATGTCTGCCCGGCGCGTGGGGCGCTCTGCTTCGGGGTGCCCAGCGTGCCAGGCGGCAGGCTGCGGATGTCTGCCCGGCGCGTGGGGCGCTCTGCTTTGGGGCGCGCCGGGCGGCAGGCTGTTATCCGCAGCCTAGGGAGCCCTGCGGGAACTCCCGCCGGCTCGCCAGGCTTGCTGATAGCTTCCTGAAGCCTGGAGATCGAGAGGGGTTGGTGCGCACCGACCCCTCTCGCTCTCCAAGCTTCAGCGAAAGCCTGCATTCGTCCCATAGGACGCACACAGATTTCCCCTTCATTTTTGGAGGGGAAAAAGTGCGTCCTATAGGGCAAAAAATACGGTATGTTATACAGGTATATAGGTTATACAGGTACATTTTTCATTAACCTGGAGCAGCCTCAACTCTATGAATGAATGTTGAGGGGCAAGTTATGAATTATATGCAAGTGTGTATGCTAAAGTTCCAACAATTGAAAAGAAAGAAAATGCACCAAAAGGAGCCTTAGGTAGTTGTGATTTTGAATGATGGGAGGAAGCGAGTGCTGAACCCTTTCTTGGCCAGCTGTTCTCTGCTCAGAATTCTCCCTTCACCCAGTTCTAGGACAAATATTTGCCATGAGAAACGCAGGGGGTAGGGGGTGGAGAAGAAGAGAAAACTGAAGGCCAGGTGTGCATCACAAAAAGGTAAACATGCATGCATATAGGCTGTACCTTAAGAGGCTTTTTGTAGTCAACATTTTTGGTTTTTCTTAGGACTTCCATGGTATCCCCCACAATATTGTCTCTGCGCACAATTAAGATCAGACATGGATTGACAGATTCAAATACTGGGAGAAAAATAGATGAGAAATTCTGTCTGTGAGCCTGGTCAACAGCCATCTGGGAAAAACCAAGTAAAAACCTTAGTGGCAGTAGCAGTAGTAATAAACACTGGATGCTCAAGAAAATCTACAATTCCTAGTAATATTTCCGGCTTGTGATTATACTAATGCAGTACTGCCTGAATCTTTGATATCCAAAGACACAGTTTTTCTCGATAACTGAACAACTGTGATACAAGCCAGTTAATATAAACCGGGCCTAAGTTATATCAATCCAGGAATAACTACAGTGTTTTAAAGTATTTTATTTTTAAATTACTATTTTACCTGCATTTGTAAGACCGCATCTGTCTGCAAGAGTGTTGTCTTTGCCTGTGCATCAAACACAAATGGGTATGTGCAAATTGTAACTGGCACATCTGCTAGCTAGAAAGGCAATAGAAAAAGCTGTTAGCATGTGCAGTATTAGCAACAGTATATATAAATTTTCTTTTGGCAGTTATGCAAAATTTACTTGACAGAGAGATATAATACAGGATATCCAGCTTATGAAGAGATTCATATTTTTTAAACAGTTTTAGATATATCTAATCCATGAATTTATTTCAAGATTATCAGAATTCAAGGCCCATGGATAAACCTGATGTCAGAATCTTTGGGTCTAGTTTCCAAAACTTTACTGTGGAAATCAGATAACTTCTTACCTCATTTAATCCATGGCTGATATCCTACCAAAAGAGTGCATAAGAGGCAGCAGTAATTAAAAGGAAAAAAACACTGTTAGGTGACTCTCCACTTTCCTCCACACCCCCAAAAGCCTTCATGCAGATGCCTGCATTTTTTTTAAAAAAGATGGGCACAGACTAATGCCTGTGTGGCATTCAGAGTAGAGCTATTGAAATTAATGAACCCAAGAGCTTCCTCTTGTCCTGCTGCTTCCCTGCCCTACCCCAAGCAAAACTGCTCTTTAGTACTCAAATGGAGCAAATAGCAAATGGTTTTTCTGTGGATTGCCCTTTGTTCCAATTTAAAGTTAAGAGCAGGTTTTCCCTGGGAAAGGAGCAGGACAAGGGGGAAACTGCTTGGGCCCATGCTTTCTTAGTGTGGACGAGCCCTAACTTAAGTCACTTTCATGAATGTCAATGGGTCTATTTTGAGCAAAATTTAGTTAAATACTTCTCTCTATGTCCTATGTACAGGGACGCAGGTGGCGCTGTACATAGGGTGGCGCTTTGCACATCAAAGTGCAAGTAGATAAATAGGTACCGCTCCGGTGGGAAGGTAAATGGCGTTTCCGTGCGCTGCTCTGGTTTGCCAGAAGCGACTTAGTCATGCTGGCCACATGACCTAGAAGCTATACACCGGCTCCCTCGGCCAATAAAGCGAGATGAGCGCCGCAACACCAGAGTCTGCCATGACTGGACCTAATGGTCAGTGGTCCCTTTACCTTTATGTCCTATGTACACAGAGCAGTGTAGAGAACAATGTATGCTAGTGCACATGGATCCCAGGGAGGTACATGGCATAACTGTGCCCACATACAGATTCACTGCTAATACATGCATGGAGCCTCTACCAAAGTCATGCCTGGCACACATTCACTTCCACAAGATGCAGTGGTCGCTCCTTAGAAAACAGGGATAAATAAAAGTTCACAGAGAGGTTTGGTCCTAAACCGTGCAATTCTACAACTTTAAGATTGGTTTATTCAAACATCTATTCCAGCTCATTTCTAAAGCTTTATTTTTTGTGGCCCACCTCCAAATTATGACTAAACTATTAATGTGCCTAAAAACCAAATGTCACAGGCGCAAAAATCTAGCCTAGGTAGTTTTTTAGTTCTTTTCATCCTTCATCAACATGTTGATAATGGACACAGAGCACTCATGAGCACAACTTATCTATTCAATTAATACATTTATGAATAATCTTTTTCATTTTCAAAGTCTTAAAAAGCAGATTGCATTTCTCACAATCAGTATTCCGAAACCACAGATCCTATTTAACCTACACTGTTTCTAGGCTCTGCTCCAAGCCATTACAAAAATACTTCAGATGCCCGACTTGAGATATATGAGCAGGGAAAGAGACACTTCTGAGCTAAAAATAAAATTGATACTTTAGGGAGTAGTTTTAAATAAGGGTGGGGACCTTCCCTTTGAGAAAAATCACGATTACGGAATAGAAGAAGTAGAGGAACAATGAATTATATGCACAATTGCAATGGTGGGATGTAGAATACAGGTATTCTCCCATAAAAGTAATATATTTGATTAACTCATGAGGAGAGATGCATGAGGGCAGATGACATTTTAAAAAGGTGTTAGTGTTTGATCACCATCATTTAATAAACCTGGAATTTTGGTTCCTGTTGCCTACCTTAAATAGTTCCCAAAAATATTCTTGTTTGTTTAAAAGCCCAACTCTATTACTACCTTCAGTATAAATTATGAATCCATGTTCTGACCTTGAGTGGTATCTCAATTAGTGTTTGGAAGCAAGAAGCAAACTAACTAGAAACTTAAGATACCCAGCAAGTCTTTCATATATCCAAGCAACGCATTTACTTTTCAGTTCAGAGATGTGGCTGTGAGAAATCACCTCTGCTTGCACCCTATGGTTCACACCAAACCAGGGGTGGTTAACCTGTTGCTCAACTGCAACTCCCACCAGCCTCAGATAGCATCACCAATGATCAGTGGTGAGTCGTAGTTCAGGTTATTCATGTCTGTCACTATAGCATGGCTTAGTGCTGCATGAACAAATCTCCCTGAACCCTGAGCAAAGCACTGGCCTGCATGCTCGCCTCACCAATTCTTGTTAGGCCAGGAGAAGAACCTGCACCAAGTTTGGTTTTGCTTTTTGCTTTTTTTGTAGGCTCAGTGCAAATGAATGGACATGGGATTCTGGTGGTTAGCTTCAGGAAGAACTCATGTGCCAAGATGTGACTGTGGTACAGCATGATTTGCCAGTATATCCAAACCAAGCAGTGCATCATTTGATGTACACTCTGTATTCTTTAAAGGAAAAGAAGAAAAACTAGCCCTCTCTCTAACACTTATCAAAGACGAACTTTTTTACTCTGTATGGATGTAATGTTTCAGAAAACTTCATAAAAAGGACGTTGTCCAGGAAAAACTAAAAAGAAAAAGAAAACCCACAACCCAAAACTGACATACACTAAGAACCACTCTAAATAGAACACTTGTCACAACCTAAACTGTTCTTGGCCTGCACTGCTTCAGACTGTGGTGGAGGAGCAGGGGACCTAACATAGTCATGTTAATTAATTTCAATAGGTACACTGTTGAGTGAAATTTTGGTTGAATACCATCCATAGAAATCTAGCATGTTAGGGAGAACACCCTTCTCTCCCACACCTAGCTATCTGTTTGCAGGAATTTATTTCTGTATTGGGAACACTGAGCCATACAACTCATCCAACTGAGCAGCTATGCAATGTGAATTCAAGCTCATGCAGTGTATTTTATAACGCATAGTGAAAACAAAAATGGGACATTTACCACTCCATATGCCTGCTGCTGAATCCAGTGGAAGTAGTCACTTCTTATGTCTATCAAATCCTGTAGTTCATGTATGTAGAATTTATCATATTGTATGATTTGCCCACCTCTTTCATTTACCTGCATTTTAAAGAGAATGCAGTTTGTCACTGAGAATATTTTACATTTCACTCTATTCTATTAAAACTATTTCTTCGGACTTGTATATGAAATGCTATTTGCAATATTTTGGCTGGCCTAATAAAGGTATTGCCATACTATGGAGTCTGGAAGTTGCTGTCTACGTTAGCCAGCCTTCTTCACAAAGAGGAATAATTTGTCTGAACTCTTAAACTATTTTCATTTATAAATATATGTCCTTTCCCAAAGCATAACAAGACTGGAATATGTCAGAGTCACACAATGATTTAGTTATAAACTACAGGGAACAGCCATTTTCTGTGTGCACCGCTTTCAGCTGCAGAATGGGGAGGGGCTGGAACAGGCTGATGTTTTAAGGACGTTTTTGATATGATGCTTTCTCCCTCCCACTTTAGGAGTAGGTATTTGTTTGCTGAATATGACCGAGGTTATTTATAACTGAATAGCAGCAAGAGAAAATGTGTTTTAAATTATTTATTTATAGAATGATACTGTTTATATCTATTAAGTTGTAAACATTAAGAGGTTAGTGTAAAAACAACCATGCATTTTATTCCAAGATGCACTCCAAAAACCAACTTGATAATAAAAGTACTTGCTATTACCAGGCAGCCTGTGAGTAAGACTATTTGAAAAGTGGGGTTCCACATGTTTCTTGTCAGCTATTTCGATATGCAGTGTCAGATCTTAAGACAATGAACCAGAATGCATGCATGTATGCATAGAATTGCAGCCTTAGTGGTTTCTCTTTTGTGGTTCTGCCTTTCCTAAAGCAAGGTATGTTGTTCACAAAATAAATTTTGACTCCATTTGTAATATTGGCATGAACTTTCAACTTCTGTGGTTTGGGTGAGTCCATATACTGAGAGCCATATACTTTGATCTCAGTTCTGATGTCACATTAAATCAAAGTATGGTCTTGCATGTCTCTTCATGAGAACATAAGGAAATACTCCATCCACTGATTATATGGATTCCAAACAAATCTCAATGGTCCACACAGCCACACCTTTCTGTGAAAGTTCAGACTTCTAAACTCTAGACTTCTAGACTCAGTGAAAATCAATTGCATCAATGATACAGTACATCAGCCAAAATGTATCTGGCAGCAGAAAAAAGGATACAAACTGCAAAGACCTACCCTGTGCAAAATTTCCAAAACCTTGAGAGAAGAGTGCAGGCAGCTAGAGAAGATTCTTTGCTCTGAAGTTGGAATGCCCATTTTGTACAATTTAAGAAGGTGGACAACAACATCCTTGTAAAGTTCCACTATTTTAAGGAACAATGGAGGCTCCAATGCAGACCACCAGTTTTCTATCAATAAAAGGGAAAAGCAAATCTAGCAGACGAAAACATTGCACAACTTAACAGGACTTATATGTAACTAATACTGTCTAGATCTCAAGTTCATTAGTTGTTCAGCAATGAATAAATTAGACCATCCATTTTTCCACTCCATATCAACATCCTTTTAATATGTAAGAATAGGAGACATAGTTTTTTGGATGTTACAAAGGGAAGTGCAAAGTTTATTATCCCTGAGGAGATATCTCTCAAACAGTCGCAAGAAACCCTGCTTATTAACTATCATGAATTCAAAAAGACAGTTTAAGAAATTTCATTGGACACTTGAGCAATTTCGGATTTAAAAAATAACTTGGCCTCAAAATTATGAATCTGTATCACAGTAGAGCATAGTTGATAATTTACTATTATTTATAATTTACTATTATGCCTTTCTGGTATATTTGCCTTGTACAATCATACCTCGTGTTGCATTCCGCTCTTGTTACGGACTTTCAGCTTACGAACGTGGCAAACCCAGAAGTGTTTACTTCCGGGCTCACTACCTGTGCATGCTCAGAAGCGATCTGCGCGCTTTGCGCATGTGCTTGATCGCACCGTGCACATGCGCAGAAGAGGCACTCTAGTTGCGGACTTTTCGGGGTGCAAACGGCACCCCAAAATGGATTAAGTCCACAACTAGAGGTACCACTGTACCTGCTAATGGCAAGAGGAAATACATTACGTATTTTTCACTCCAACAAACACTATCAGTAAGCAAAAAACAAACCTTAGGACTGACATAAACCACAATTTCTAGTTTGCATTTAATGCTATGCAAGGGATCACTGTTTCCACCCAGCGTGAATGTGGAGGAATAAGTGGCCAGAGGCAGTGTGTTCATGGCAAACGATTAATAAAGGTTTACAGTGGTATGCAAACAAAGCAACACTTGCTCATAGAGCTACACAAGGATATCTATATGCAACAGCACTTCCCTTTAGTAGTGCAATGAACAGAAGGTGAAAACTGATAGCAAGAACAGTTTGAGAGATTATATACGCCCACAGTTAGTTATGCAAGCTAACACACCCTTGCAGCAGATTAAGGCATACAAATTAAACAAAAGAAACCTTACCAAGTACTTTCAGTGGAGCCTTTTCTAGATTCACAATAGCAGTTGCAAATGGGATAGCTAGTGTCATGTAATTGTTTGCGTCACTCATTAGTGGGCATTCTGGCAGGGTTAGAAACAGTCTTAGGGCTTCAACATCAGGCAAGGAACTAGTCAGTTTAGGAATAAGGTTCTTTTCCAAACTAGCTGCAACCTGGGAATGTGGTACAAAATAGATTCTGGTTTTAAACTAAAATCATTTTCTATTATAATAACTCATTTTACACTTTTTTTTTAAAATGAATTTGAACATAAACTTGTTTTTTTTAAAACAAAACAAAACCCAGAGCTCCTTAATCACAATAAATGTTTTTTATAACAGCTATTTTACAAGAATGATGAAAGTTACCTTTCATATCTGTTCTGGAGTACAACACACATTACAACACGAAAAATGCGGCCCTGAAACACAGTTTCATACTATGGAGTGTTTCTGTTCAGGGGTTGGAGCCATTCTAGTCAGACATAAAACTAAGCCATAGTTTGCTATCACCATGGTTTGCTGACGAAACCAGGACCCCAACCACAGATGATCAAAGAAACTGTGGCTTGTTTTGCCTGGTGATTCCCCCCCCCCCCCAAAATCCTGTTGTGAATAGATGGTTGCTGAGCAGAAGGCCTTTGTGACAATCAACTTATCAACTTACCACTTCTTTTGCCACTGGCCAACTGCAGACAGGAAACGAACATTCTGCTCAAGATCCTTTAATGGCTCCAAAAGCCCCTGAGCAAAGTAATAGTCCTAAAGGTACTATCAACCAACCCTTTCATTGCAATCCTCCTGAGCAAAAGTTCTGTGTGCTCTAGCTATTCTTTCAGTAACAACAAGTGTTTCTCAGAACTAGGAATGAACTGAGTTTATCAGGAAGTGAATGGGTGACAGGGGAAGCTTTTAGATCAAAATCTGCAACTGCATTTGTTGAACTGTTAGAACAAAGGTGAGCTTTTAAACATATATCTCTCATTAGATATTAGGGGGAAATGCTCGTGGTCTCTTACTACTTTTCTTTCTCATAGGGCTCATCAGCAATGAGGCATGCAGGGTAATGAGCCTGTTACTGGGCACAGTAGTGAAGGATGGAGAGATCTGTTAAAAGTATCAGTGATGACCTCTTAGTTGCATGAACAATTTCATTTTCTAGCTGTTTTTCCCTTACACCTCTGTTGCCAGGCAAGGGCTTCTGAGCGATGTGACAAACTAAGCTCAAATCTAAGGATCTGAAGTTCAGAGGTAACTAAAAGCAGAGATTCACAAGCCAACTTCAAAACATAGTTTGAGATAATGATTTGTTGGGCACAAACAAACCATAAATGGTTGGCCAGGATGCTCACAGGCATAGGCAGAACTCACCTGAACAACCCATGGCTGAGTGTTATTCCCAAATCCAGCCATTGAAACACTAACTGAAGTACATTTAAAAAATCTCAAAATGTTGACAACTCTGTGGAGCTACTACAATTTACATTTTTTTTTAAGTATAGAATATTTCAACAAAGCATCAAGCATTGCATTACAAACCTAAATTTACCAGTTCTGTGCAAAAAGAACTACCAATTGTTTAACACAGTGTAATACCTGGGATTTGAAACTAGGTGCAATAAGGATTTCAGGACAAACCTGCTGAGATATATGAGGATGTTCTGGCTGTATAAGTTTGTGAAACAGAAGTCGAGCAGTATTCATGTCAATCCCTGAGTATCTGGCACTAGTTCTGTAGTGATCATCATGGCTATGAAAACAAAAAGCAGTAAGTAAATTCTGCTTCCCACTACTTATTCTCTATACTTTTAAATGAATATGGAATTCTTAATTATTTCCAAACTTTCATTAAATCTTGTGGCTTGGGCATTTAAAATATTGTGTATCACCCACTGACCTGATAGCTAAAAAACTTCCATTTAGACAGCCAGCTGAGGAAAATGTTCCATCGATTTCACTATTAAAAACAAGAATAAGAAAAAAAATATACACAAAGTTAAATTTACTACAATGTTCTAACAGTCTGTAATAATCACAGTTGACATTCTAGTCAATGGCAGTTGTTTCACCACACAGAGTCCTGGAATTGCCACTGGCAGAGTATCTGCCAGAAGGCGGAGATGAGCAATACTGTATTCCATTGCTATACTCAGTTTCTTTTTCACAAAGAGAGCTCACTATGTTCTATCAGCCATAAGGGCCTCTAACACAAAATCTGTTTCCCAACTCCTTTATGCTTCAAATGTCTGGTACAATGGTCTATTTTCTAAGTTAGATGGGTTCCAGACTAAGTTCCTTTGGCTCCTACTTCAGGTCCCAAATTGTGTCCCTAATTCAATTCTATTGTTGGAAACAGGTCAATGTCCACTCTCCACTAAAGTGTGGTGGGCTGCCTTGAAATACTGGTATTTGGCCTGGGGAAGGGCTTACTTTTACATCTAACCAAAAAAGAGTCTGTCAGTTCATGTTTGAAAGCTATGATCCGAAAAGCCTCATCAACTGGTCTTTCACCATCCTTTTTACATCATTTGGGCTACGACATTGCCCTTAAATCCCTGAGGCAAAGGTTATGGGATATTTTATACAGCAATCTTCATTCTATATCTTATGTAACCTGTGGACCATTTGCAACTGGAATCCACTATGGCCATGATTTTCAGTTACCATCGTATTTCATGAATCTGTCTGAACCTAACTATTGCCAATTATTCACCAAAGTCAGACTAAATGTAATCCCTTCAGAAGTACTAAACGGCAGACTGTCTGGTATACCCTATCAGAACAAGCTCTCCTTATGCTCTCAGGGTGTTGACTCTATGAAACATATCCCACTACACTGTGAGCAATTCAAACAAGCCAGGGATCAATTAATTAAACCCCTTTTGGTAAACTGGAAAATCCAAAACCTTCTATCTTAAGTACCTCCTTGGAGATATGTCAAATGATACTATCCTGGCCATGGCTAAGTTCCTCTTGGAAAGAATAAGAAACAGAAACCTACATGCTCTGGATAAAACATAATAACCGCCTTGGAATCCTTTCCCTGTATTTCTGTTTTATTTTGCTTTTGAAAATGTTTTTGTGAGTCTCTGGATCGAAATAAAGAATGTATGTATATTAATAGGTGAAATGGAGCATGTAAGCCAATTTTTACAGAAAAGCATCAATTCACAAGACATATTTCTATTTATTATTAGAGTCAGACACCTATCAATTCATTATAAAGCTATGATATACTTGAGAGATACTGGAATCATGACCACTAGAAGACAGTACAGGAGTAGAATTAAGGGGACACCTTTTCACTTCTTACACGTTTAAAAAAAAAATTCCAATTTCATTTAAAAAATATTTTAAAAATAGTTCAGTTCTGCAAAGGGCAGATCAACCAATAAAGGTAGCAAAACATACAGATAGCCATACTGAAAGGAAACATCCTATGTTACAAGAAAACATAGCTTAACATACACTACACTTGAAAAGACTAAAAGGAGAGAAACTTTCTACAAAGCCCAATCATATTTCTTAGTGAATTTAACGGACACTGTCATGTGCGTTTCCTTCCCTCTCCCATTCCTACTGTAATCCTTTCCTTTAAGCAGAGCTCTTCCTATGTTAACTAAGCTGAGCGTCCATGAGGTAAGAGTAATACATTCAAATGCAGGAGCCAAGTGGATGGTTCTGTAAAGTTAAGCACACAACACCACTATCTGCAAGATATGCCCAAAAGTGTAACAAGCACCATTCTTACTTTGCTATCTCTGTAGGGAGCCTCCCTGATCCTGAAGATGAGCAGTGCAGCAACCTCTGAATGAAGCCTTCATTCACAGTCCAGATTTGTTTCGAAGCACATGGGTATCTGAAGTCATCTGGAGGTTCCAAATCCTACATTTTGAGTGGTAAATTATACACAGAAATATTCCCCCCCATTAACTAGGGCTAATTTCCAGAAATCCCTATATTTAGAGTAGCTACACCATACAACTTTGTTTCATGTTTACTCTTGAGCAGTCCACACATTTTGCCTTTGAACTTGTAGCATATAAGCATTATGCACACAAGCTGGTTGGTTTCTATATTATCTGAGAAGATTTATATAAAATGCTTTTAAAGAATTTGTTTTAAAATCGGAATTTCCCTTTTTTTTTCAGGATCGCTAATTGGAGCTCAGCATATATAATAGCCCCAATCCAGCTGTAGTCATGCTTTACTGCATGCAACTATCACCCCCAGATTAATTCATTAAGTTCAATACACACACATCAGTGCTTCACAGATTTCCCTTGCTGCAGTAGGGCATTTCAGGGCAAGGCATCCTCCATCTAAATTAAAGGCTGAATGGGCTGCTTTTAATAATATGATATAACAGGGATGGGGAACATGTGGTCCTTTGGGTGTTTTTGAACTCCAGCTGCCCCCCGCCCCCACCATCATAGCCAATGGTCAGGGATGATGGGAGTCAAAGTCCCACAACACTTGGAAGGGTCAAAAGTTTCCCATCCTCATAGGTGGAGAGCCAGGATGTACATAACAAGCTGACATAATGGACATTCATATCCTGTGTGTGATATAGAAGGCATTTTTATTTTATTTGCTTGAAAAAATTATATTCTGCACTTCATCCAGGGTGATGAATAAAACATAAAATATACTGGGATGAAACAAAGCAGATAGAAATACATCAAATTTAAAAAGGTTATAAAATTATATTTAAAGAATGCAGACAGTTCCAATAAAACTTTGTATTTCTATGAATTCATACTTCCAGTTTACAGCTTTCCCTAACTTAAAATAAGGATTGTCTCAGTCACTAAACTCTAAATATTATGTATGCACACCAATCCTCAAAAGGAAAGATTGCTTTGTTTAGGAACTGTGAGTTTTGCTTTATCAGCTAACAAAATGAAGCTTAATTTTCTCTAAACAATTTACAAATAACAAATTTCAGATACTTTAACACCAAATCCTAAAGCATACTGACCACTTAAGATATGAAAAAAAAAGTTTTATCTTAAGGTACAATAATACACAGCTGAAGCTACACTAGTTGCACTATATTTTAAAGAATACTCTAGTGAAGCAAATGGAAAGCAACATGAATACAAAGTCAAAGTTCCAGGTATCAGATTCAGCTCTAAGCACTTTACTGAGTAAACACAGAAGCCAACTTATGGATTTTAAAAATGAGATGAACTACCTGTAGAGTAACGTAATGTGAAAAACTTTGGTCTCCACCAGAGAAAATCCTATGTACATAATAATATTCTTCACGATCTATAATTAAAATAGCATGATGTTAACATCAAGAGGATAGCTTGAAAAGAATTTGTCTTTTATTTAGGTAGGAATGAAATTGAGGGATGCTATTTTTGCAAGAACATCAGGTAACTTTTGCCAATAGCAGGTCTGCATACTAGCATTTTACACCACACACAGCAACCTTCCTTTTCGAATCACATTCACAGTTATTGCTCTGCACTCTCATAGATCAACAGAGAAAAACTAGAGTTGACTTGTATGGAAAATGGTGCAGCATTTATTTATTTTTTGGTAAGAATTTTTATTCATTTTCATCTTTAAACTGTTTACCATGGTTGCATTGAGATATATGTTTGTTTACACTAGAGCATAACATGCTGTGGTTATATATAATTAAAGTTTAAAGTAAAACAACACAACAATAAACAGATACACATTTCTGAATATATTAACAAAGTTGTGTCAGTGTATATACCAAAATTATTAGTTATTATGTGTATTGCTTAGATCAGTGATCAAAAGTCAAAGGTATTTTGTATCAACAACTATCAGAATTAATAGGAATTAATGGGAAGGGGGGAAATAATAAAACTTGTACTTCACACACACCAGACTGTGCTGTAAACTATGGGTGCTATTCTATATTATGTCTCATTATTTCTGTAATCAATAAAGTCACACCAGACTGCAAAAATCTGTCGTGTTTATTTTGGCCTCTTGCTACTTTTAATTTTGCTCTCAGTTTTTCCAATAATGCCGATTGCCAAATTGCATTATACCATTGGTTCATAGTTAATAACTGTAACAGTTTCCATGTCCTGGCAATGGTTGTTCTTGTAGCCGTTACTATGATATGTTAGGGGTCCTTGTTTCCAATTTGCAACATATTGGTGCAGCATTTATTGCTTCTACAGTAAACACAAAAATCTCATGAGGCATAGATGCAATACTAACAAATCCAGTCCCTTACCCATTATCACAATATAACTATTCTTAAAATAATTCCCCCCTAACACTCCGAAAATATATATACAACTAAAGAAAGCATTATTACCTGAATTTAGTGGGATGTCTCCATTATAAGGAAGCCAGTTACCTTTCACTGGGAAGGGACTTTTCCTGTTACTGGTTGATCCCATGCCCAACTGTCCATTGCCTCCAAGACCAAAAGAATAAATTCTTCCAGTTGAAGGGACAAACGCAGATGTGTGCTGCCTAGTGCAAAGAAAGAATAGAAATTCAAAAAGTAAGAAACTGAGAATGCTGTAGTATATTACATATGCTATATGTGACTTATCTATCCCCAGTAACTTAAGAGAAGACAGTTGCAATGTTCTGTTCAGGGTATTAAGAGGGAGCAGCCTCTAAAACACATGGAACTTGTAATGCATTGAGATGGAAGGCTACTGTGCCTATAGAACAGCCTTCATGCCAATCCAATTAAACTGCATAATTGGGCTGCATAAACTAATGTCTTAGCTAACTTACAGCAGTCTTTTCTTTATAATGGCACATAATTGGGGTGCCCAACAAGATTTTGAGAATTCCACAGCAGCTAGAGGTAAACTTGCTTCTTACACTTTTCAAGTTGTTAAACACCCCATTAAAATTATTCCATTCTGTGGTCTTACCTTCCACAAGCAATCTGTGTGACAATGCTCCCCATAAGTTCAAAAACTTTTCTTGGGTTTATCTCATGGCCAGTAGAGTTATGACCTAATTGCCCATAGCCTCCAGCTCCAAAAGTAAACACCCCACCTTCCTAAAAAACATTTGAAGTTAGAATGCAATGTGTAGATGACTCCAATACTTTTTATGTACAAAAAATAATAGTTACAACTGTGGAGAAGCACTAGATATTTGCCCTACGCATATAACAAATAAATTGTCTTTACAAACATGCTTATCTTCATAGATACATAGTTTAGTCTCTGCACAACATCCTCACTGTGTAAGAGTATAAACAATAAAATACCGTATTTTTTGCTCTATAAGACTCATTTTTCCCCTCCTAAAAACTAAGGGGAAATGTGTGTGCATCTTATGGAGCGAATGCAGGCTGCGCAGCTATCCCAGAAGCCAGAACAGCAAGAGGGATTTGCTGCTTTCACTGCGCAGCAATCCCTCTTGCTGTTCTGGCTTCTGAGATTCAGAATATTTTTTTTTCTTGTTTTCTTCCTCCAAAAACTAGGTGCGTCTTGTGGTCTGGTGTGTCTTATAGAGCAAAAAATACGGTAAATCCACAGTCCTGTACACCAAAAATAAATCACATAAACTTTTTTTTTTTTAAAAACCCATTGATTTTTAATTTTAAGTAACAAAAAATACCCATGCAAAAAAATCATGTAATCTTTAGCTGAGTTCCAATTTAAAAACACATGGTTGATTAAAAAAATTCCTAAGTTAGTGGTAAGATCAGACTGATAAACAAGATAATGTAAAATGCTATTAGTGGACATTGCACCCTGCCCAATAGTAGGACTACTATTTTCACTTTCATATTTATTTGTTTCAAGAATGACTTCAACTGCAGAGCAAGAATTGCTCAAGAGAATAGAAAGTGCATTTCTCCACATTACCTGAAACAAGAGTTCAATTTTGAATTTAAAATCCCACAGGTTTTTAAATATAAGCTTTACATTATGTACTGAGAAAGCAAACAGTATTTGTTTACATAAAACCTAAACTATTCTTCTGTTTGCAGATACTATAAATGTCATATTCGAATTCTGAATGTAATGACAGTTGTGTAAATAAACCAAAGTATGTTGCATTAAATCAACACACACACAAGACTATAAACTGTGCTTCAGCACTAGCAAGAGAGATGGCATCCATCAGCGGAGCAGCCGCCCACATGGTTATTAGAGCTAGGCTGAATGCAATGGAATATTTCTAAACATGAACTTATAAAGCTCTGAAGGAAAATAAGCACAAGTTCTCCTTTCTTTCTCCCCTCCTCTGCAAGTCAGCAGCAAGTGACACATTACATTTCAGCAGCTCTCCCTCCGCCCCCCGAGCTTATATAAATGCTGGTGTGAGCAGGCCAATGCAACATGTGATCTTGGCAGGTTCACTGACGTTGCCCAAGCTAGTGGCTCAGTACAACTGTAATGTGTGAATCTTCCCTCAGATGAAGGGGTTGGTGCGGGAGGAGTTCACACCCAATATTGGGCAACCATTCTCTCTTGACAAGAGTGCAGGGTTACAAAAAAGCAGACCAACTGGTGACATGAACATGTTTTCTCTCCTACAGACTGCTGAATCCCTCACTACTGAAGCAGTCAGCCTGCATGTGAAAAGCTATCAAATCTACTAATTAGTTAAGAGTGTGAAATACAGTATTTCTACTACAGTACCTTTGTAAGAGCCGCAGTATGATCTTCTCCACAGGAGATGTAAACAATTTTCTGGGATCTTAGTGACTTTAGAAGATTGGGAACATATCTATCTGAAAATTGTAATAAATCAGGAAGTGTAATATACACTTTGCAACAAATTACATAAAATTACATAAAAATAAATAATATAAACTACTGATTTAGTTTATAAACTATTATTATTTTATATAACAAATAGCTTTGTTGCACTTTGAGGTTTATAATTCCACAGTACGTGTTGTTCAGAGAAGCACTACAGTGCAACAAATAGCAAAGCGCCTGGAAGTTATGTAGTATTTTATTCACTATTTTGAAAGTACCGTTATTTCCTACAATTAAAGCATGCAAAGCATTTCAAAGTTATTGTAGTTCTGCACTGCAGTAATATCCACGGTTCCTTTCAGCAACTTTCAGTTCAGTGGATTTCTCATCCACTAACACAGACGCTCCAAGCATCAATTCAGCAGAGGAGCATAATTTGGTTTTACAAAAATAAGCACACATTATCTGATCATAACTAAAATGGAAAGTAATATAGTTCATAGTTTTAAATTTTGTGTACTTACCATTTTCATCATTAAGACCAAGTTGGCCAAATTTGTTGCGTCCCCACCCAAAAACTGCTCCAGAAAGAGTAAGCACAAAGCTATGTGCTCCGCCCGCTGTAATTTGCGCAAAAGGTATCCCTTGCAAAGATTTTATCCGTTGTGGGGAAGTCTGTTTTTTGAATTCATAACCTAAACCTAGTTGACCATGTTTGTTCTGTCCCCAGGAAAAGACTTCACTACCTGTTGAAGAAAAGAAAAGACACACATTTAAGATGAAGAATAACTGTAGGAATTTACGTCACTCTAAGAATTAAAATTACTCCACTATCATACACGACAGAATTCAAATGGTGGCAATAATTTTTCAGCCAAGAAAAAGGGGCATTTTTGAAATTAAATGCTAAAGAAGTAGGGTAGGCAACAAGTCCTACCCTACACACACATTTCCAAATAAAGCCCAATTCTCAATATATTAATAGTTCCAGGTATTGCATGGAATCTCTGTACATTTTAGAATTTGGAGATCAGTGGCAAACATAAATGCTCATAATACACACATTTCCTTTCCTTAACATGAGCAAAGCTGAAAACTTGTTTACTCTTTCTGTCCTCTCAAAGCTATCGAACACTGGCTATTTTACGATGTGAAATGTTTAGTGTGGTTTTTTCTATTGTCATTGTAAGAGTATTTTAAATTTATACAGAAAAACAAGCAGACAGTCCAGAGATTGATTACCTTTGGAGAGTGCAAGGGAATGATAGTAGCCGCAGGCAACCTGCACTATTTGGATGTCTGACAAGCTTTTTATGTTTCTGTAGGAATAACAAGACATAATTAAATGAACAGCCTTTGCACAAAATGCTATAAAAACACAAAGCTTTATTTCCTTACAAAAAATGCAACTTAATGTTTCAACATTACAGTTCAGTGTGATGTAAATGAGCTGCAGAAGTGTTGGACTCACATGCTACCCACTCCTGCTTGAATAGCTCAAGAGTCATTTGAAAGCTTCCTCTCTCACTTTTAGTAAACCCCAACTTGCCATATCATCTGCACCCAGAACTGGGATTAACATTATCTATGGCTAGTTTAAACAAGCCAGATTCATAAACTACTAATAGTTTACTGTTGACTTGTTAAACTAGCCATACTAGTTTGAGCTTGAAAAATTACAAAGATGCAAAGATGAAGCAATAAGCCCTTTTTACAAAAGCAAAAGGAACAATTTTTCTAAGATGAAAGGTTTTTTTATTCAAAAAAAACAACAACAAAAAAGCTTATGTTATCATTTAGTTTTACCTGGGCACTCTGGTATACTCCTCAGTTCCAGGCAAGCCAAGTTGTCCATCTGCAGCAAAACCCCAAGCATAGACTTGACCACTGTCATTTAATGCTAATGTGTGGGCTTCTCCACATGAAACAGCTACAATATTTTGAGCATCCAAGGCACTCACCTGCTCTGTAATCAAGAGAAAAAGCAGCATAATGTTACATTGCTCTTGCCAAACATTTCCATGATGGACTGTACAACTGAACTAGCAAAAATGTGTTCCTACAAACATGTCAGATCTCCTTTACCTGAGGTCAGAGGTGCTACAAGCCACAATTCACTGGCTTGTAGGAAACCACTTCACTATTAATCTGTGCCTAATAAGAGAGGAAGAAAAACTACAATCCTTAAGAACCAAACTTATGCTACCTATATATTTTCACCCTTGGGTGAAGTAACTGCTTTGGTGGGGGAGGTAATTTTAATCACTAAAGTGACACAGCGGATGCTGTCTCTCAGTGCCATGGTCCCTATCCAATTGAGGGAGCCCCAATAAAAATCGAAGATTCTATCTCCTGAATCATATGTAGTTGCACCTTAGTAGCTGTTCTAGTGAATTCTATTTTAGAACAGAGTTGAACACTACAGTGCTATCAATCAGCAGCAGCACATGAGGTAGACACAGTGGCAACTGAGGACCAGACAGTTTTGTAGACTAAAGCATTTTCAATAAAACTATTTCTAGAGACCCCACTTTGTATTACCAAAAATTACTTCATGTTTAGTCCAATTAGTGTGTCATTGGCATAAATAGAAAAAAGTACCTCAGTGGTTCCAAGCACTGAAATCAAGCTGCTGCTGCTTTAAGAATTTAAAATATAACACACTTAATGATCAACTAATGTTAATACATAATTTCTCAGACAAAAATAAAAAGTCAACAATACATTTTAAATACTGCCTCTGAATGGGCTACAGTTAAAAATAATATAAAAAACAGATCTCCAACAATTTCTTAACAAAATATCTTGTTGCGTTTTCAGTTCCATATAAATAGAGGCTTTCACGCAATAGCAGTGGTACAAAAGTCAGAAGGGGGAAAAGAGCAGGTCCTAGCAGCTCTACTAATTTTAGAAATACTTCCATAATCTAAGCAACTGCTGCTGCAAGTATAACTGGCACCCACATACAGAACCTAAAGCAATACGATTATCTAACAGGCACTGTTTTAACTTACCTGGTCGTTTCCTGGATTTTTCATGTCCTAATTGTCCTAAATCATTACATCCACATGTATACACAGTCCCATCATCCAAGACAAACACAGTGTGTCTTAGTCCACAGCCTACATCTCGAACCTTTTTGTTTATGAAAAAGTTGCATCTTCTGGGTTCTAGGACAACTTCTTCATCAATGCCCCCCAATCCAAGCTGTCCAAAAGAGGCATTTCCCCAACATAACATGTTGCCAGCCCGCTCAATGATCTGCCAGCTTCAGCATTCAAACGTCCAGCATCACTGTAATGGAGTGGAAAATAAGTTAGCACTAGAATACAGGTGACTTGGTATTTATAATAGGATTCACAAATTTCATCTCTCAATTATTGTGATTAGCCCAAATAAAAACACTAAGAATTTCACGTCTCATTAGAATAATTCTATAGCAGAAAAATGTAAATATGACTGTTACATGTTCTCTAAAATATTAATCATCTAATTTTAAATAAGTATTTTGCTAGAGCTAGTATTTTTGGACCTCTAAATATCAAAATTGCAAACATTTCTTGCAGGCCAAATGTGGTTGCTGTGTGTTACTCCTACAAGCGAGTAAGATGCGAAAAGGCATAACCAGAACTATTTATGAAACCAGTAATGACAGCAGGATAGAAAGCACCACAACGGCAAATCTGAAAGGATTTTTTTGTGCAAGACAAATTTTTGTGCTGACTATAAATTCAGCATGGAGATTAAATTTTCTGGACATTTGAGACTTGGAAAAGAACAGTTCTCTCTTCCCCACTATTTTTACACATTTTCTCCCATGTCTTTACATTTAAGTCAACCCCTAAGATTATATTTAGCCCAATCCTAAGCATGTTTTACTTGATAAGTAGATCCCACTGAGTTCCATGAGATTTACTCCTAGCTAGGTATGCATAGGATTGCAGCTTTAGACTGAAAACCGCAAGATAATTAACAAAATCCAGCCACACTTACGAGACACTCAAGATGGTGCTGCCAAGAGCTGGAACATACTTGTAAAAAAGTGGCCTTCAGACATCCATGCCAATCACAGCAAATTCAACCTATGTTATAAGAACATAATTAGGTAAAAGTTATGGGAATTCACATTTCTCCAAACCCAATCATATATTTTTCCCCCACTTGAATATCACTGAAAATAGAATTTAAAGAGAGTTCCTAGCTGAAAAAGCATGGTAAATCTTCGCTTCCTCCAGTATCAACCATTCAGGCCCTACAACTGGCAGGGGGGGTGCTGTTAGTGGTGGTTCCCCATATGTGGATTACCCTTCCCCAGTTAGGTATGCCTGTCTTCTTCATTATTAAAATGCAAGAGGAAGTGAAAAACATTCCTGTCCACCCAGGCATATAGTGGCTGAAAGAAACACTTCTTGGCAACCCTGAAATCATTAGATATGAGGCTATTTGACTGGCTTTAACTTTTTTTAGATCTTCTAATTGTTTTTAAATGTTTTGAAACACGTCTTTCAATTTTCATTATATTGTTTTATTGCTTGGTTAATTGCTGCCTTGAGCACCTTTCAAAGAAACAGCAGGAGTGAAATTTAATAAACAACAAAAATAATAATTAGATTAAAATGTGCTAGAAAATATATATCACCCTTCTTCAGAAAAAATAAAAAGGCTTATTCTACTTTCAGTGCAATGAAACAGGCACACAGCAACACAAGGTTACTCAAGCAGATCCAGAGAGTTTTATATATAGCTCTCAGCACGCTTATGCATATTTCTATGATTTATTTTTACCATTTCTTTTAAACAACTTAGATCCTAGATACCTGACAGACAGCCTCTATCCATACTCATCTTCTCAGGTGTTAAGATGTGCAGAGGGAGCTCTCTTGGTAGCTCTGCCATGCTTAGAAGTGTGAGAAGTGGCAGCTTGGGAGATGGCTTACTCTGTGGTGGCCCCTAAATTATGGACTTCCTTCCCATAGGGGTGCATCTAGGGTCTTCACTATACAGCTTTCACCATATGCTGAAGAAGACACTCCTCTTTGTACTCACCTTTGATAGTTAAGTTCTTTTGCTGAATTTATACTGTTCCATTTCATAGGATTTGGCATAAAACAATAGGAATCGACATAAAACAATAATGACGAGGCCAAACAACCAGATCAATATTTTTGAACACTAGATACAAGGAAGTCTTTATCATCGACTAGAATGAACAGTATAATGGCAATATCAAGCCAATTTATTCTCTCACTAATTCAGGGGCTGTGCTGTCCTGCCATGCCATATAGTTGTATAAACATTTTTATTATTAGAAGATTAAAAAGCAAAAATTCCTGAATTAGAAAGGGTGCGGGGGGGGCGTAATACGACAAAGCTTTACTGTATTTCTTTCTATTTAGGTGAATAATGGTTTGTTTTAGTCATACACCCAATAACTCTGAAAAGATTTACTGTATGCACCTAGAGCTTTCCAGAAGCACCTACAGTATGAATCATTGTTGCTACATCACTTATACGAAGCACAGTAATGCTGTGGATGAACACTAGCAATATCTAAATCTCCAGATGTCTAAAGACCAGGGGCTTATCCACATCTTTTGCCCCACTCTTTCTGCACTTTGCCCAGCAGCAAATTGGCAGATCTCTAAGCACAGATATTATACGCTGACAAGGCGTCACTACTGTCGGCAATCATGCTGTAGCATTCTGTATTAACTGCAGCTTCCCAATTTCAAGCATGAGGGAAGCCCCACATAGAGCACATTAATATGGAGGGTAAACTTACACACAAGAGCTTTCTGTCAACGCTGGATGAAAAACAGTGCAAAGCCAAGTTCCAAAATGGTTTTTTAAAAAAGGACCACAACTTTCATTTTCAAACTATTGCACCTTCCAAAACATATCTCCTTTATGCCTACCTCCATTAAGCTCACAACTTAATGTAGCAGGGAGTTAATGTATATGTCTGCTAGAATTTCCTGATCCACATGTGTAACTACTGCATCACCATAAAAGTTTAAAAATTCAAATTATTTCAAAGATGAAAATTAGTTGGTATGGTTAAAGGCACACACAGATTATTTATATTCTAAGCCATGGATGGGGCTTACCAAACTAACCCTTCAAAGGGTGTGTAACTATGACTTGGCAGCTGCAGTTATGAAACAACTCTGACTAGTACCAAATAAATTGCAAAACACCCACTTGCAACTCAACATACCTTAAGCATGTCTAATGGGGAGAAGGAGAAGAGAAAAGCTATGATTTGCTATCTCTGTGGTTCTATGTTAACAGGAACTGTTGCGCTAAAAGAATCATTGGATGAGGGAGCACTGTGGCTACAATATTATGCTCACTTACTTGGAAGTAAGCCTTACAGAATATGATGAGACCCACTGAGTAACCAGTTGAGCTTATATAGTTTATCTAGGTCAACCTTTTATGCATTGGCTGAAGGCTATGTGTTTGGACAGGTAGCATTAAAAAGTGAGCACCTTCTGACACAGGGCTCAAGTCAAGTCTCCTAACAACTTTACAGTAGCTCTTTTGTCCCCCCTCCCCATTTTTGGTGAAGCTGGCAGAGTTTGACATTAGTAAACGTCCAGATGTAGGAGAAGCATAGTTGCAGTCCTAGATACACTTATTTGGAAGTAAGCATCATTGAGTACTACTGGACCTATTTGAATAAAAGGCTGGGGTGCATAATTTCTGTAAGGTTAGCTCTTTCGGGCCTTGACAGAGCATTGCCCTGAACAGAGGTGAAACTGGGCCCTCAGTTTCATTTCAAGCTCCTTCTCTCAAGTTTCAGCTTTCATTTCGATACAGAAGCCAGGAGTACTTCTGCAGCAAGGCTAACTATCATTCCCATCTAGATGGGTATTTTGGGAGTTTACTGTATTATCTTCTTTTGAATTACTGTACTTTTAATGTATATTTAATTTGTATTTACTATGCAGTTCACAGCTCCGGTAACCTTTGGACTAACAGTGGCAAATAAATAAACCATAACATTGCTATCACTTGTTTCTTACTTGTATGAGGAAAAGCGTATTGGTAGCCTTCTAACCAACTGCTCACTAAGAAGTAAAAAAGAAAAGAAAAGCTCCTGTCTTCTGATGTCCCTTCCAATGATGCAAAGGTCACTCAGTAAGCACTGGGTACTTATTAACAAAATAAGAATATAAATATATTTAACCGAGTACTGTACTGTCTTCACTTTAGATATACCCAACTACCTGTATGTAGGCTCCAGCTATTTTAGGCTGCTGGTGTTTTAGTCACGAAAACACACCATCCTGCATTTGCTCAACACAACGGTTTTTTCCATCTAAAAGGCCTGCGACTGGATTCAAAACACACATATATATTATTTAGCAGGGTTCGTTCCCCCCGGAGGTTTCGGCAGCTATGCATGTGGAGCGCCCCACTTTTTCCTCACGCACCCCTCGGGAAGAGGGGCGAGTGGCAGCTGTCAAACCCCACCAGACCCCAAAAGGCTCGTTCCTGGCGGCGCTGCCCCTCCGCCCACCGCCGCCTCTTCGTGAGTCACGAGGAGGCTGAAGAGAAGCCCCCGACCCCCCACCCCAACCGAGGCCCCGGAGAGCCCCAACTCTCTCCCGCAGGCAGTCGGGCTCCGCTGACCCTCCCCTTCCCCTCTTCCAGGCCCCGAGGTCCGCGCTCTCCCGCCGGCCACCTTACCAGCCTAGAAAGCCCGCTTTCTCCTCCGCTTCTCCACCCCCGACCACAGCGTGGACCCCCTCGGGAAAACACACACACAGCAAGGCCGCCCTGCCGTGCCCGACTCACGGCAGCCTCCTGCGCGACAGCGTCCGCCCCCGCTTCTCTCCTCCGACGGAGGAAGCTGCCGGGCTGACTCGGCCCGGTGATTCCACCCCAGGCGGGCCCCGGAGTGCGGCAGCGCCGAAGCGGGAGAGCAGGCAGGCGGGCGGGCGGGCGCGCGCCGAGAAAACAGGCCCAGCAGCGCCGGCTCGCCTTGCTCGCTCTACCTCGCAGTGCGCAAGCGCCGGGCCCGCCTGCGTCGAGCAGCCGAGGCAGGCGGGAAGCACGCTCTGGCTCTTCTCCCCGCGGACGGAATGGGCCCGGGGCAGCTTTTCCCCTCGTGTCGCTTTCGCTGAGGGGGGAGAGATGGGGTTGCTTATTACAGTGGTACCTGAGGTTACATACGCTTCAGGTTACATACGCTTCAGGTTACAGACTCCGCTAACCCAGAAATAGTGCTTCAGGTTTAGAACTTTGCTTCAGGATGAGAACAGAAATCGGGCTCCGGCGGCGCTGCAGCAGCAGGAGGCCCCATTAGCTAAAGTGGTGCTTCAGAACAGTTTCAGGTTAAGTACGGACCTACGGAACGAATTAAGTACTTAACCTGAGGTACCACTGTATCTCCCCCCTGCCTCGCTCGCTAGAAGCTGAGGGAAATGGTAGCAGGTCCTTTCACGTCTCCACACACTTCTCAGTAACTTAGTGGGACCCACTTCACTGTGGAGTAAGTCCCCCACCTACTTCTGAGTAAATTAGGATCAGGGCCCAGCGCTATTTTAGACTGCAAGGCTCCTAGGCAAAGGATGCCGCCTTATATAAAATATTGGGGGGGGGGGGGTAAGCCCAGCCCCGCATAATCGATCGCAAGACTGAGTGGATGAACATTATTTGAATGGCAATGCCCATTAATTTGGCGGGGAGGAAGGCCTCAATTTTTTTATTGGGGGGCCAAAGTGACCTCAGCCCCTAGGAGTTGCCTTCTATGGTCTTAGGGCAGTGCAGGGACATGCCTTTTCTGCCTACTATTATGTTAATACTGTAAAACGCCCAAATATATTTGCTGAGGGATGCCCTATAATACGGCTTAAAGGCATCGTAAAAACAATTTTGTGACAGTAATTGATTCCCACAGATTTGCATACGACTAGAAGGAATAGTTCTGAAGAACAGCGCCCATGGACTTCTTTTGTTTCTTTGTTTTCCTATGATGCGCACACACATGTCACAGCAGGCACCACCAGCAGTACGAGAGAAGTTTCCTCCCGTGAGAAGGAAAAGGGAAGGTCTGTTCTAACATGCTGCCTGCCATCTGTGGTTTTGGCAATTACTTGTATGGAAGTAGTTAACATTTTTTTTATTCACTGGTTAATTGGAGACACGTTTCAAATCCAGCAGTGAAAAGTGCTAAATTGACACTAAATGGTTAAACTGTATGAGTAAAGCAATAATAAGAAAGCTCAGGTTTGCAGCCTAAGACACTTAATATACCTGTTTCTGTTAGTATAGTTGTAGCAAGTTTGAATGTGATGCAAGGCTCTTTATTAAGGATTTTTTTCTCTTTAGCTTTCTGCTGTGCCTGGTGAGGAGTCCTTAGTAATTCAAAACTTGCTTTTTAAAAAACTAAACCAAATTATCTGTTTTCCTTTTGTAACTCAGTCTAATTAACCTCCACATTATAGACGGCATTCCTTTGTTAGGCAGACTGCATGCTAACGATCCAGAATGATCCAGGTTGATAAGTGTTTCCTCAACAGGAGAAAATCGTCAGGAAATAACTGGAGATCAGAACTATGAAGGTGACACATTTCATTTCTAGCAAATGCTAGATTAAGAAGTATATGTGAAGGAGCAAAAGAAGCAGGTTTTCGACCAGAGGGTGGAGAGAGAAAATTGACCTGAAAGCTACAAGCATCTTGGGGTGCAAGGTGCATCTCTTAAGGAATCTCATGTAAAGTAGCAGATCTGTTGCCTGGTTAGAAATGTATGTTGTTTGCCTTCAAAGCACATATTACAAAATTATCCTCAGTTTCCAGTGCTCTCCAAAGCAAAACAAAAGCAGTTAGCACTGCCCCCTGGAACTTCTCATTATTTGGGGAAGTGGGATTTAGAATCAGGTTTGTAAATATTATCAAATATTATCAATTAGTAGAGGAAAGTAATGGTTGTCTCAAAATATTCTCAGTTCTCACAAGTCTAGCAGCTAATGATCAAATTGTAAAGCTAGGATGCCACTGCTTTGGGGAATACTGTAGTTGGTTCCTACCTATTACCTCCCATACTGGTGAGTGTGAACACTTGGTTTTTTTTAATTCTGCTCACATGAATCACAATCAGTGGCAGCACATCTGAATAAAAAGAACTCAGTACATTTCTCTGTGTTGTGATTATATTGATCTGTTCAAGTAGCAATGTCTTTGCCTGCAGGCAGAGGGAAGCAGACTCTTATGCTACAAAGCAACAGCATAATTACCATCAGGACCTATGGAAACAAATGGCAATGTAGACAAGAAGTGATACTTGACTATTAAAGAATACTTAGATATTTTTGTATCTAAGCCTTCTTTTCATAATTAGTAAAGAGATTTGATAATCTGTTGCAAGTCTGCAAGGGTTAACATCTTCACATTCTACTGGGTACTAGTCTTTAGTTATCAGTACTATCAGTTATTGAATTGTCTGCGCTACAGTGTAAAAGCCAGTTCATACATAATGAATAATTGTCAAGCCCTCTTAGCTAAAGAAATTTCCCTTAAAATATTACTGCAGTTGTACTTATGCAGGTGATGTTGATGTTAGTGTGTATCACTATATCTGATGGTGGCCCAAGTAGAAGGCAGCTTACCCAGCCAATGTTTCTCTCCCCCTCCTTACCCCTATAGCCCTACGTACTTCTAAAACCTTGTCCTTAGGACTGAGGGGCCCTGAACAGTGCGGGGTGTATTATACAGAGCTGAAATGGAAGGCAGAGTCCTATGCTGTTTCCTGTTCTCTTTTCATCTTGTTAGAGATTAGAACACATGAATAGTGCTATAGTTGTTCTTGGCCAGCTTGGTTTAAGTGAGGCATTGGGCTTTGGGAAGGAGGTGTGAGGGTCTATCACACCCAGCAGTGTGACAAATCAGTATGCAGTCTGCAGGTTCTGTGTCGAAGTACACTTGAGGCCCACTTGGTATGAAAAGTCAGAGGTGCGAATTACCAGAGAAGAATATGCATCAGTGCAATTATATATACTTAGTTTCTGCTTGCAAAGGTTAAGCTGCAATTGTGGGTTTAGATAAAAGTATTAAGGAGAGAGGTGGCAGCACATAGATACTCTGGATGCAAGTTTTAGCCAACAAATGTGAGTGCTCAGGCCAGGGTCAATCCTGTGCACACTTTCTTGGGAGCAATCCCCATTGAACTGAACAGACTAAAAGGTAAAGATAAAAAGGTAAAGGACCCCTGGATGGTTAAGTCCTGTCAAAGGTGATTGTATGGTGACGCACTCATCTTGCTTCAGGCCAAGGGAGCCAGCAATTGTCCGCAGACAGCTTTCCGGGTCATGTGGGACTGTACTGTTAATGGAGTTAATCTCTTCTCATAGGCCTTTGGTAAAACTGTTTAGATGGTCTGAGGTCTTGGATTACAGAGTGTTTTATGTCTGCTGCTGTGTTTTCTCCATATAGTACTTGAATATCTGCTTGTACTCTTTTAAATTGTTGCATTGTTGTTTATTTTGTATTTAATTGTGCTTTTAGTAACTGACCTGTGAACCGTCCTGGGAACTTTTCAAATGACAGGCAGTTTAGAAGTCTACTAAATAAATAAATGAATAAATTAGCAAAGCCAGGAAACAATTCTGAAGACAAATATTGGGGACAGATGTCCCCCTTCAGTCCCTTCACTGGATACATATCCATCTCCTTTAACTTCCCTTCACAAATTTCATAATTTTAGCACCCGCTGTTGTCTAAAGTTCTTGTTTTGATCTGGCAGCAGAAGCCCAATAAAGTAGAGGCTGGAAGAGGGAATTCCACAGTCAGGCAACTTACTCCTGAGAAATTTCCTTTAGTACCTTAATGTGCATTGCCACAAAGTACAAAGTGCTGCCCTACTGTAGATCAAAGTGAGACCACAATTCAGGAAAGGAGGGGAGGGAGCTCAAAGCAGTGCCACATGCTGCTGATTTTGAAATGACACCATATCTTTGCATGGCACTATGATGAAGTACCCTAAAATTAGCCTTCTTACTACTTTGTCAAGACTGCATGCAGGGAAGCAAGTAGCCTTCAGTGGGGAGAGGAAAGAGGCGCTGGAGAGGAAAGACCTGGGACTCGCTCACACACAAGCAGGTCACGCCACTTCCCTCACGGTGAGCTGAGCTGGCTTCTATTCAAATTTCCACAATGGATTATTTAAATGTGACCCACTGTGTGCAAGTGTTCTGGGATGGAGGTAGGGAGGATATTACAGTGACAGCACCAGGGAAAGAGAAGAGTTGTTTACTACTTGAGAATTGGTGGGGTGAGCAGTGGGATGAAGGCAGTTTAATTTTAAAAGAAAGGGGTAGGTTTTATATTCTCACATGTTTTTGTAATGGAGTTGAGGGTGCTTGTTCAAAGCCTAGTTGCATCAAGGGCCTTTACCACATGAAAAAGGATTGAATAGAAGGAGATTATCCTTAAAACTTAGGGCAGCAAGCTTTACAACTAAATTAATAGTTTGACAGTTCTGGACATACCTTTTCTATTTGTTTAGAATATTATGGTTTTGATGTGTGACTACTGTACAATAAGGGAGACGCGGGTGGCGCTGTGGGTAAAACCTCAGCGCCTAGGACTTGCCGATCGCATGGTCGGCGGTTCGAATCCCCGCGGCGGGGTGCGCTCCCGTCGTTCGGTCCCAGCGCCTGCCAACCTAGCAGTTCGAAAGCACCCCCGGGTGCAAGTAGATAAATAGGGACCGCTTACTAGCGGGAAGGTAAACGGCGTTCCGTGTGCTGCGCTGGCTTGCCAGATGCAGATTGTCACGCTGGCCACGTGACCTGGAAGTGTCTGCGGACAGCGCTGGCTCCCGGCCTATAGAGTGAGATGAGTGCACAACCCTAGAGTCTGGCAAGACTGGCCCGAACGGGCAGGGGTACCTTTACCTTTACCTATGAAGCTCTCTTTTTCTTCTAACAATGAGCGGTAGCCATTTATCAACTTGGAAGTTACCTTACACACCTCCTTCAGTATCTCAAAAAAGTACGTAACTAGAGGTTTAGGTAAATGCACATTTATTTAAATGTAACCAGTCTCTTCAGTTTAATTTAATGGGTTGATAGCCCTAGTAAAAATTGGATGTACAACCTGTTCTTCCTGTGCTCCCAGACTGAATTTTCCCTGATGTTTCCCTCTCCCCTCACAGAATATTTCTGAGAAGCCACAATATTCACTTGGGAATAAAGAGTGCTGTAATGATGCAGGAATAGTTGCAAGTGAGGGAAATGGGGACAGTGGGGGCAGGGAGACATAGAAAGAATGTTAATGTGTTGTCACATGTTTTGTGGATGTGACTATAAGAAGAAATATTGAAACTGCAGAAGGGAAAGAAACCTATAGAATATTTGTTTAAGGAGGGGAGGAGGACAATAAGCAGCACAACTGCTTGGATGGTTGAATAGTGAACAAATTACAGAAATTAGGGCCACTGTCCACACGCAACAGTTCCAAAACAATGTAAGGAAAGCAGGGATAGTGTCACAGGGCTTCCCTTATTTAACTTCCTGGGATGAAGGAAGAGGTTTCCCAAAAGCATCCTTTAACCCCATTAAAAAAATATCAAACATAATAAAGCTGCTCATTATGGAAATAATTTTAACCCCTTCCTTGAACCATAATATTCTTAAGCTTCCCTGGGATACTTTTCCTACTGTAATAGAAGTCAATAGGACATTCCCCAGAAAACCAGTTTGATATTAAAAAAAAATCCTGGAAGTAAAGAAAAGAGACCTTTTCACCCATGTGAATATAAGTTATGGTCCAGGAGGCAGATCTACATATTTTAAATAACTGGCCACTCATTCTTGTGAGAGAATGGAGTAGTGAATGAAGCCATAGGTTGTGATCAAAATAATGAAATACTGTTCCCTGTTTGTACCTATTTGTGTTTCCAAAGCCAGCCAGGTCAGCACATTAGCCAGCCTACATTGTGTTCCTCATTTCATCCTGAACAGTGAAAAATTGGTGAGTGATGATACCTTCTACATTCTATCTGCAAGCTTGGTGGTACTAGCTGTACCTCTCCTAAGGCAGTTGCCAATGGTCAGCTGTTTCATGCGCACAATACTATGAAGTTTCAGAGGCTATGGTGTCTGAACTGTAAGGCCAGGTTATCTATTTGTGGATCAAAGAAAGTGCTTTCTTGTAGTTCCCTTCAGCATAGGAAGGATTCCCAAAATCCACCTACTCCCCAGCATTTAAAAATAAATAAATCATTTTAGTAGTTCTGCATACTGTATAAGGAATTTACTTAATTGTTTATGTAGGTCAAAATCCACATTTCCGTGACCTAAAAGCAAACAACATATGATGTGCCCTAAAAATAAATATTTTGAATCCTTTTTCTGGCATTCATTTCTGAACAAGTGAATGTGCATAGAGCTCTGAATCTCCATTTTCCAGGGTACCAGTTCACTCATAGAGGTGTATGCATTCATGCGTTCAGGTATGTGCAGGTAAACCCCATGCAAATGTTACCTTTAAAAGAGTGAAGGCCAGCCAAGAGGTTTGCCCTCAAACATGCATTCTGTGTTCATTTGTGCACAAATGAATGTCAATAAGAACCTCGAAATGCAGTGAGTGCATGTTCCACCATACTTTAGAATATATGTTTATCTTCACCCTAATATGAAAATGTGTCATACGGTATGCTCTAGACCAGGGGTCAGCAAACTTTTTCAGCAGGGGGCCAGTCCACTGTCCCTCAGACCTTGTGGGGGGGCCGGACTATTTTTTTTGGGGGGGGGGGAATGAACGAATTCCTATGCCCCACAAATAACCCAGAGATGCATTTTAAATACAGTGGTGCCTCGCAAGACGAAATTAATTCGTTCCGCGACTTTTTTCGTCTTGTGGTTTTTTTCGTCTTGCGAAGCATGGTGTTGGAAAAGCTTTGGAAAAGCTTCAAAAATCACCAAAGTCTTCAAAAACCTCAAAAAAGACTACCACACCGCGTGCTATGAGTTGCTCCTCGAAGTCAAGTCGCAACTGTATTAACGGTTTTAAGAAAAAGGAAACAAACTTGCAAGACGTTTCTGTCTTGCGAAGCAAGCCCATAGGGAAAATCGTCTTGCGAAGCAACTCAAAAAACCAAAAACCCTTTCGTTTTGCGAGTTTTCCGTCTTGCGAGGCATTCGTCTTGTGAGGTACCACTGTAAAAGCACACATTCCACTCATGTAAAAACACCAGGCAGGCCCCACAAATAACCCAGAGATGCATGTTAAATAAAAGGACACATTCTACTCATGTAAAAACATGCTGACTGTCCGCGGGCCGGATTTAGAAGGCCATTGGGCTGGATCCGGTCCCCGGGCCTTAGTTTGCCTACCCATGCTCTAGACTCTTAAAAGTACATTCACAGCCTATATACAAACTTATATTATCCCCAGCCCCTAAATAACCACCCAATTGAGAATTCCTGATAGGCAGGGGAAGGAAGTTCCTAAACCAGGGTGTGGCAAGCAAGAGTAACTTTCTAAATAACTTTTACATTTGCATGTGACACATGGAGAGTGCTATCAAGTGGCCAACCTCAGCTGACCACAGAAATTGTGTGGGACATATGAATAGTAAATATTTATAGGCAACAGACTTGATACAATTTTTAACAACTATCACCTGCTTAGAACTTTTACATGTTAAAATGTGTTGACTCGCTGTCACAACCATAATTTCATAAGAGCCTTCCTTACAATTCTTACTGCCATGGTTTTCCACTTAGTAATGACTTAATATTTGACCCCAAAGCTCATATGCATCTTGGTGTGTTTGTGTAGAAGTGTAAATTGAGTGTCCACAATGCTGTGCATAGCAGAAGATACTCTTTCTTTGCTGCCCTGGGCAGGGCTGGGCCTACTGTTAGGTGGAGTGAAGCAGCTGATTTTGGACATCATGAAAGGGCAGCAAATTGATAGTTACTTACTTAATTTTGGTATTTTTTACTGTCACGGGGAAGGAACATGCACTTGTGGGATTTTCCCACCTCAGGTGCCAAATTAATTTGATGGGCTCTGAGCATTATGTATCTTGACTTGAAGCAGATGGGGAGGGCAGGGGAGATCTCTAGTGAAATTCCAAACAAAATATTTTAATGTGCCAGTAATTAGGATATTTGTGATTATACTAGTCATATCAAATGACTGATATTTAAAACCTAAGAAGGTTAGGAAATAACCTAACACAGTTATATTATTAGACTTTACAATGTTTCTCAGAAGTGAAATTCACTGATTTATTGTGGTCATTTTGGACGGTAAGATGGATGCAGCCTTACTATGCTACCCCTCCTGTTTTCTTCACTAAACAACCATGTAGTTCTATGGTCTGTCCCTTGGCTTCCACCATAGGCTTGGTCAAGGAGTGAACCCCTTTTGTACTCTTGCACCAGCTTACTAGTACTAGTGCCAGAACCTCAAAGCCTTAAATATCCTGAATCTTTACCAGCTGCTTTCTGTCCCCTGCAAGTTGGTATCTGTCTGAATTTCCCCCTCTTAATAGTTTAGTGCACTGTGCACAAGGATTCGCCACTGGTTGGGACCCAAAAATGGCCTGAGCCCTGACCAGCCCACCATATCCCTTCTTTAGCATGTTGATCACACCAGCACTCTTTTTCTGGTGAGAAAGAGAGAGAAGCAAAGGAGAAAGAAATAGACAGTACAGAAAGGGGTTCTGTGATGCAGATTGGTGTTAAAGGTGCTAAAAAAAATGAAAGACTGCTGCAATAAAGCATAGGCTGGAAATACTTTTGTTTTGTAAAGGTCATTATTTCCTTGTCCTTCTCCATCTAAAATACTATGGGAAACTTCTATATTGTTCTTCACACACAGCGTTTCTTCCGCTCTAGGCCCCTCCTAATAGATTTTCTATAAAGAGCAATCTGAACAAAAGACTTCAGTTACCACCACCTGGTGCCTTTACATTAGAAATCAACAGTTCACCGCCTAATATACAAAGATACAAATGCATGCAATCTGGCACTATAGGTACCTAGCAAACTAAAGCACATCTTATTTTTCATATACAACGAACAATTGAATGAAAATCATAAAATGAATCTGTTGCGTCTTCCAGATTAAAATGACAAAACTGACAGCTTCTCATTTATTTATATTTCATATACTCTGTACATATGGCACAATTTGAAGGGTTGGTTCAAATTGTAATCTCAAAATTCATTCTAAGTATGAAGGATTTATTTCTCAGGAGTGCTTGAACTGATAGAAAACAAAGCCTAGTGAATGATAAAAGTAATGATTCAGTTTAAGTTAAAACTGAGCGGCCTACATAAATTTGTTCAGCTACCAATTCTCTTGAAGCCAAACAGTTTCTTCAACCACTCTCATAACTCATTCATGTTAATAGACAATAAAATCTTAATTAAAAACGTTAGAACTGCAACCTGTGTTTTTTAAAAAAATACACACAATCTTTTTCTAATAATTGGAACTGGCAGCTACTGTTGTAAGCAGCTGTTAAGTAAGGTTATTGTTTTGCTTTCTCTTTAGGATTTCTAATAGCTTAATTAGAGTTTCTTAGACTTACCCAAATAATTGTTTTTTAAAAGATCATTTGTTCTAAGCTTGTGAGCCAGGTCTGCTCTTCCTTGTTGGAGAAAACAATTAAGCATATCACTGGGAAAAGAAGCTTTAATTCATAGCTAGAGAGATTTCTCCTCGGTCACACATGTACTAACTAGTCTAAAAAGGTTTATGTTCATGCATAGTCTGTCATTATCAGACTATATTTTAAATGCTATGACCTGTTCCGTTTTGCCCAGTCATAGTGACTCAGCTGATAATTTAGGCATTAGGGAACACATTGGCTCAGGAAGCAAATTAAAAAGCTCAGGAAAATATTCTTCCTTAACTTTATAGTATAGGCATTTAAGCAACTTTTCTGTGGTGGTGGGGTACATGGGATATATGTTGTTTGTTTAATGGGAAACGGAGGGATTAGCTGGAATTATAGGTGCTTTTCATTAAATGTTACCCACCACACAACAAATGCACACCCCTTTTGGCTATCCGAGGGAGACTTTTTGCCATTCCCTTGGTGGCACTAGAAAGAAGGTCTCGCTGGCGTATAATTAGACAGCCTGCTCACCACCATATGCATTCAGTTAGCCAACCTGCTTTTGCATACCTGGCATAAAGGCAGCGCTTCACTGTGAATCCTGTTTGTCCTTAGCACCATTTTTTCTTTATAAATGCCTTCTTATTAAGAACAGTAACACCATAACATAGCAAATCAGGTTTGGCAGTACTTTGATGTTTCTGAGAGTGAACAAAGCTAATGTAGAGTGAGGTACAATGCAATGCTTCCTGAGTAGACATTGCCTACTCTCTGACGTAACTTTGTGACCTCAGCCCATAGTCATATCTGATGGGCTGTGTGGCAACACTGCTGTTACTAAAATGAAGAAGACGTCTGTGGGGTGTGTGTGGAATGGCACCAAAGCAATAGGTGACTGGAGCTGTGAATATCACTAGTGAGTAGAGCTGCCATATATCCCACTTCACAGATGGCAACCCTCCACTTCCAGAGGCAGCATGCCTGTGAATGCCATCAGCTACTGATGGTATTGATGGTGTGGAGTAGTGGTTAGTGTTAGACTAGGACCTGGGAGACCAGGGTTTAAATCCCAACTTTGTCATGAAACTCACTGGATGAACTGGGGCCACTCACTGCCTCTCAGCCTAACCTACCTCTTAAGATTGTTGTGGGGATTAAATAAGGAGGAGAAAAACCATGTATGCCACCTTGAGCTTCTTAGATAAAAAGGTGGGATATAATGCAGTAAACAAACAAACAAATCTCAAGAGGGGATTTAGAGTTATCTAAAGGATATCCTTCTGCACTCACATTCTGTTTGTGGGCTTTCCACTGGCAAGTGGTTGGCCACTGGGACAATAGGATACTAGACTAGGTAGCCATTGGCCTGATTCAGCAGGACTCTTGTGTTCATATGACTCCCATGTTTCATCAGCCCCAGCCAGGATGACCAATGGATGGGGATGCTGGGAGCTGTAGTTCACAACATTTGAAAGGCCACAGGTTGTTCACCCCGTTACAGTGGTGAGAATGTTGGAATAGGACAATATGACCTAGATTTAAATCCTCACTTAGCCATAACATTTGGTGGATGACCTTGAGGCAGCCATATACCTCTCAGCCTAACTTAACCTCACAGGATCATGACAGAGATGGGATTCACTGTCCATACAAACATTGTGAATTGTGCATGCAACCTTGAATGCAGGATTCGAGCATTATCTATCCATGGGATCTACAACAGCAGCACCCAATCCACTCAGGATCTTCCCTGATGGATTACGTCTTGTGACAATATATTGGCTCCTTCCCAAACAGCAAACAGTGCCACTAGGATGGCAAATTCTTTAATTTGCTATATAAATGTTTTGCAGCATATTTTTTCATAGTATACACCAGCTGTCAACTCACTTTACATGTAAATGAATGAAATTTAAGGCTAGAGCAAAGAAGTGATTCAGTAGCAAAGGAATAGAAGAATTCCAGTCAGAGAAGTAAAAAAATTAGAGGGAGGGAATTTAGGCTGATGCAGTCATATAAGTTTTCAATAGACTTGGTGAAACTCTAAACAGCATTTTCCAAAGTTAGTATTATTAACCATATTGACTGGCATGAAGAAATAACTATGCCAGATTTATGGTGAAAGGAGGAGCATGTTAAGTTTTATAGAAACTTCTGCCCCAGCTTAGTATTTTCTTTCAGTGTCAGAATATCAGTTCAGGTTAAAGGCTGAAGTATGACACTGTTTTGAATTGCACTGTTTAATTGGCTTCTTGGTTTGCTAATATCCTAGAAATATACCAATAATATCAGATTTATCTGGCAGCTCCTGACTTCTTCTTTTTTCAAATTTTCTGCCACATTAGTAATTCAGAGAACTTTAGACTAAATAGTTTTTGATATTAGGAAAATATACAAGACTGGATTTCACGGAGCCTATTCTCCCAACTCTATAACTTTAACTCTTCCCTTTCCAAATAGTATTGCCTTTTTATCAAACTATTTTCTTAAATGGGGTGGGATGCAGAATCATGACCAGGAATTCAGTAAAAAGGGGAGGGAGTATTTAGCCTTTCTTCGCAAAGAATGATAATAACCCATACAAACATCTGGTGTTGGGGGAAATGGAACTGTCTGCTTGGAAGCAGAGTTGTTATTCCATTTCCAGTTCAAAGTGGAGCAGCAATGATTGGGTGGTGTTAAATCATCCATATTCGAAAGCATCCTTAGACTGAATATTTGAAACTAATGCTTGTTTTTTTGGAGTTCTCCCTTTGAGCGATGATGTGAGGTTTCACAAAGTGTAGTACATGCTCAGGAACAGTAGAGGGAGTGTGGCAAGCAATCAGAGTGAAAAGAAACAATGGTTTAAGTTTAAAATCCAGCCACTAATCAAATGACTGCTTGCTGCTTCAACACATTTGTAATACAAAAGTACATATCAATTCCTGTCATAAAACATACTATCCAACTGTGCCTGTTTAATACCTATTGATAGGCTGCCTGCTTTTCTTGCGAGATAATTTATGCTGAACTTTGGAACTTCTGAAGGTGTGCGTACATGGAGCTGGTTGAATCTTAAAAAAATCCCCATTAGTGTGATTGTTTCTGATAATGTGTTTCCTGAGCAATGTATTTTAGAATTAATATTTTTTACTTTAAAAAAAATCCCTGGCAGGGCACTACGCCAACTCCTATGGCAATGGTGTTTTTTTTTTAATATGCCTTGTTTAAAGTCCTACTATGAATCTGGACTGAGTAAGACAGCAATTTCTGCCTTCCTAAAGGACAGGGCATTTGTGCTGGATACAAAATGGGGTGAGAAGCCAGTGGAAGGATTTGAGGAAAGTGTGACATGTGGGCAGAACCAAGAGATGTGAGTAATTTTGGCATACACATTTACCTTTGCTGGATTAGGGCAATAGCATTTTGGTATTTTGTTTTATTTGTGTGGTGTTATAGATCAAGTTGCAGTTGCTGGAGCTGTCAGGAACGTGACCTGTTTGTTTTTCTTACACACCCACACCCCAGTGGAAGGGATAAAACATTTGTGGATATGTATATTAACCAATTCATCCTTACAACTCTTGTTTAGATGATGAAGAAAATAGAAGTGATTTCATGTATCATTAATGGAAATACTGCATCCAATTCTAGGAATGGTGCCAGTGCATGAGGCAGACAGCATATAATTAATAACTTGAAAACCCAGAAAGTATGACGACTTGAGAACAGCCCAAGTGTGATGTTGTCTTATTTCTTTTATGATGATGACGACTCTTAAGGGAGTACCAAGTTGCAGTGGGTTTAGTATGTTACCGAAAAAGCAACTCATTGTCTCTTGAGACAGACAAATGCCAACAATAACAACAGTTTGGCTATTTTCATGCTGCTAGGTGTGTACCATCAGTCTATTTTAATAGAGTATCACTTTCTTATGTTTAAGTAGGTGCACTTGCCATCATATTTTGGGACACCTTTTGCAGGCTGCACACTTGCACTTGCTTCTGTAACTGGAGTCATTTAGGGCCTCACTTTCCCAGGGCAGGGAGCAGGTCTTACAGGACTTATAGCCAATATGGTTTATTAATTACTGTTGATATTCTAATTGCTGCTGTTCAGTTTTAAAGAGGTGAATGTGGTTTTAATTGGATTGTTGTTGTTAATAATATGCTTTCTGAAATTTTGTACAGTGCCTTGAAAAATGAATTTAAAGAATTTAAAGAAAAATGAATTTAAAGATCAACTTCATATATCATAACAAGTTTGAGTTCACTGCTATACATTCTTCCCTCCAGACATTTAGACACAGATGTTGTCTCTCACTTAAAAACAATAGCCAAAGAAGTTAGTGGTGTGGACTTCAGAAAAAGGGATTCTGGATTGAGTCACTAGGAACTTACGTGTGGAGACTGTGTCTTCCTCTAATGTTTGACATTTTGAGGGAGATGTACACCTCTCCTCACTAGGACATGTCTGGCAAGGAAATGATATATGGATTCTTAATCCTAAAAAATGGTGGGGACATAACCTTCACATATGCTGTCGCTTGTCTTCCTCTCTTGACATTCTCCTGATCCTGCCAAGATTGCTGGTTTGGTGGGGAGGAGGAATGCAATACTACATGCATCAAATGGTGTTGCCACATCATATTTGGTCTGCAGTATATTCTCAGTTAGGATCAAAACAGTTATTTCTATTGCAGATGCAGATACAAATCATTTATATTAAACGTTGATGACAGATAATATAAAAAATTATTACTAATGAGATGGCCACCAAATAATGGGCATGTTTGCAATTTGCAGCCCTTTGCCATTTAGAGTTTGGAATATTCAAACATGCAAAGAGAGGAAGGGGCAGAGGAGTGGCTGCCTTTGTCGTAATGACCCTTAACTATATTTTGCGAGGGTCTGTTCATATACATTTAAATAGTGTCAAATACAAACATAGTGATACTTTATCTGTTTATTTGATTGCTCCACACACACCCTTACTGTGCAAGCATATAAAAATGTGAATTTTCTAAGACTGTTACAGATTCTTAGGAAACCAGACACAGGTAAGAGCTGAACCCCTGGAAGGTGTGGGCAAGATGTTACCGTATGGTACAATACAGCTAGCAGTACAATACAGCTAGCAGAACCCCTGGAAGGTGTGGGCAGGATGTTACCGTATGGTACAATACAGCTAGCAGTACAATACAGCTAGCAGAACCCCTGGAAGGTGTGGGCAGGATGTTACCGTATGGTACAATACAGCTAGCAGTACAATACAGCTAGCAGAACCCCTGGAAGGTGTGGGCAGGATGTTACCGTATGGCACAATACAGCTAGCAGAACAGCTAGCAGATTTTACAGCATGCATCTGGTTTATTTCTGTTAACAATAGTTTTTGTTAATTAATGTGTGTTTGTTTGTTTGTTTGTGTGTGTGTGTGTGTGTGAGAGAGAGAGAGAGCGTGCATAATATAAATATTAGAGTATCCAACCTAATTTCATTTGGTTACATTTCAGCCTGGATTTTTTTCAATGGAGTCCTAAAGCCTTTATTTTAAAGCAGGTTCTATTCATGTCAGTAGTGTGCTTAGGATCTCAGCCCTATTTTCTCTTACTGTGCTTTTCAAATGTTGAATAGTCAGCCTTTTTACTGATTCCATTTTTTTAGGGCCACAGTAATCATTATAGCGAAGGATTGCCATTGACTTAAATGTGACTGGGATCAATCTCTACATGACGGTAACTTTACAACTGCATAACCATAACTCTGTCTTCAAGAGTTTTCTGTTGGAAGTATTTAAATTATGTTTACAAATGGCTTGGTAACACCCTGATATACATTATTGGTTTCAAAAGTTGGAATGTATTTATTGCTATCTTTGTGGAGTGCTAATGTGGCATAATCCATATTGAGATTCCATGCAGGATTTAAAACCTCCGGAAGTGTTTGTGTAGAGTTGTGAAACTCCTCAAGAGTCTCTCCAGTACTGCAAAGCTATGTAAGAGTTTGTATGTCTTTGTGGAAGGGAGGGGTCTGCAATGATGTAACTAAACATCCAATTTCTTCACTATTCCAGTATCTAAGATATTCTTGGAGACTAGAATAGTTGCGGAATGCTATACTTTTATTTTTACAGTTGTATCTAATACCAGGAAATTAAAATATATTTAACCAGCCAGGAACTTCTCCAATCAATGTTCTGAATGCCATAATCCGCTCTCCATTCAGATTGCTCCTTAAAGACCATCCTTCCTCTGAAGCCATTGGTTTAATCCAATTGAAACAAACTAGATGCTACAAGGAACGTATGGCATTTGTGTGTCTGACCTATCTCCCCCAGTAATACACACTGAAAGTCACATATTGACACTGTGCCATAACACTCTAAGTTCCCCGTCCCAGTTTTACTTCATTGACCTCCCCATGTAAAGGGTAGGGAAACTCTAAGTATGATTATGTCATTGCATGTGCTCTCAGAGATGAGAGTTCACAGCCGCCATGTGGCCCCCTGCAATGTCTAACTTGAACTCTAGTTCTTCCCAGTTGAAGCAAAACCAAGCTATACTTTTTCTATTCATTGAAATTTGCACCCATCTGAAATTTGCAATGCAGTTCGCCAACCAAGGTTGTTGGTTTTTTTAATGCATCTATTGGGGGAAGCGAGCATAAAAATGAGTATATTAGTGAAAACAACATACAAAAATGTCTGTGGGATGATTGCTTGCAAAAATGTGTACATTAGTAAAAACTGCATACAAAAATGTGTTTATTGGTTAGTCCTGATATTTTTCATATTTATTTCAGCTTAGCTGTGACTTAATTAGCATGAATGCAACCTGATTTATTATATATAACAACAACAGCAACAAAATATTTAAAAGATCACAGCCTTAATAGTGATAAAATGTGCTGTGTTCGCTTCGTAAATCTTAGCTTAAGCCCCTGGGACATAATCCCATAAACAGTTTCTGTTTATTTCAGTGAGACAACATGTCTTCAGGCTTCATGTACTAGCAACAGATGTTTAGGATGGAGTTATTAATTAAAACATAAGTGGCACCTCACAAACCATGACCTCATGCAACCGTTGCAGGCAAGATGGTCTTATATGCCACTGCCGGTATTTAGGATTGCATTTTCAGGATGCAAGATGATAACCCACTGCAAGCTGATTTGAATGGATCAGCCAGGCACAATTAAATGTCCTTGATTTCAATGGGAGAATTAAGCACTTGCCTAATTATGTCTAACTGAAACCAGTTGGGACTTAAAAGGGTTTAACTTTAGCAGGATCATGCCTCCAATGTTTAATCTGTTTGATTTTTTAATGTATATACTCTTAGCCTTGAATCTAACTAGTTAAAATCTTAAGTCTTTATTAGTGGTATGTAATCTTAGGCATCTCAGATATTCTGAGCAATAAGAATAAGGAAGAGCTTAGATCCCACTATTTTCTAATTTTAAAATGAATGTGCCTTCTTTGACAACAGTTTACGTAAAACAATACAAAATCCATTTTGAATGAGTCATGCCAAGAGCGTGAGCATCCATCAAAGACATTCTGGGAGGAGATAAAATGATGACCCCCTCCCTTGCATACACACACATACCCCGTAGGTGCTGTTACAGCAATGGAATCCCTTTGCTCAATATTATCCTGTCCAATGAGGTGGAATGTTTCACAGGCACATGGTTTATGAGTCTCAAAATAACTTGGGACCTGCAAACGGACAAATGCTATTGCTTCAGTGGTGACAGGTTGTTCAGCTTCTTACAGCCATCTCCCCCCAAAACCAAGGTTAACGCCTTTCCCCCCCGCTTCACCCGATGGACTCCAAGACGTTTTGGTTCCAAAGGACTTGAAGGAATTGCTTCAGTCATTTTAATCTCTTACTTCGGAATCTTTATCACCGTGATTGTGTTGCCAGAGTTGGATTTCAACATCTGGATAAATCAGAAAAGGTAATGTCTTTAACTTTCAAGAGTGAGTGTGTGTTTCGATGAGATTGCGCAGGTGCACAGAGGGTCCAGGAGGGAGAGAATCCATGTTATAGCTGAATGATAATTCTTGCTGATAAATCATATTAGGTGAGCAAGAAACTTTAAAAATTCTCTGTCTTAAATGTCGTAGAGGCACACAAGACTGAATGGAAATGAAATAATCTACAGAATCTACAGAGTGTGAAGGGTGGGAGGGAGTCCAAATTCCTTCTGTGCCTGTTTAGGTATTCTAAGTAGAGTCGACAGAAGGCAAAAAATGTATAAATTGCATGGATGAGAAATGTCCCTTTTGAATCCCCCTCTTAACCGTACTTTAAGCAATTGCTTTGTAATCACTAGCACTAAATCCACACCAATAATCAGCATTACCTCCTTAAAGAAAACACATACATAGTGTCTAGTTTAATATTGCCCTATATTTAAAGTCTTTTTAAAAAAATGGGGGGGGGGGAGAGAGAGTATGTGTCATGTAAAATGATACTGCAAGCTATATTTAGGGTTTGGAGATCTGCTCTGTGGATTAATGTACACAACAGCTGCAGAAACAGTCTTGCTCGAAGGGCATTGCTCTCCCAACCCCCAACTCCCATCTCTCTCTCTCTCTCTGAAAAAAAATGTTTTTGATGGTCAGTGGCAAATGTTTGGCCTGATATGTTGCAACATTAAGCAGTAATTGAAAGAGCATCGTGAAATATAATAAAAGAATGAACAACATAAAAGAGAATTTAGTAAACTCTTCGGTTATCTGTTCGGAACAATTCTTACATATCAATTTACACAAGCAGAAATGTTATTATTTTAAATAAGTTTGAAAAAGAAGTTCCTGGATTTGCAAAGCAAAGCCCCATGCAGCAATACAGCCTATAAATTTTAAACTCTTCAACTGTAAACACCACGCTAAAGTTATCTATGGTGGCAGAGGATATGTTTGCCACCCTTTCAGAATGAAGATGTTTAAAATGTGATCCTTAAGGCCGTGAAAATGCATTTCTCAAGATACCACCCGAGATTCTACTAACAAAGTTTGATTACTCCAGAGTAAATTGCTACAGGATTGTAGCTCAGTCTTTTTAGGAATAAAACTTGTAGAATTAATATGCCTTGAAATATGGTACACAACTTAATTAATTTTAAATATTATACTTTAAAGTAGTTGTCCCATAAAAGTCAATGAAATTTGATCAGATAAAAAGTAGCACTTCAGCTTAACCATGTTTGAGGATTATTAATGTAAACACTTATTCAGAATTTTCAGGCTTGTATATATATATATATATATATATATATATATATATATATATTATCAACATTTTGAGGTATTAAGTAAAATATTTTATATCTATTTTATATCTATGCTCTTTGAGGCTCCAAAATTTAATTAATACATTAAGATGCAGTTAATGACATTAAAAATAGCTATCAAACAATATTAGCAATTCAGGATTTCATTAATATGTGAGTTCATAAAAAGATCAGTATACAGAAGTCCATTTTGTATCAGATCAATCCAGCTTAGAACATTACAATCCTGAAATCACTTGTTCACTAGTAGTTCACAATTGTATCAATGAATTCATTTTATTTCTGATCATTGGGCTACAAACCAGAATCCAGTTATTTGGAAGTAGGCTCCAGTGAAACCAATGGAATTTTTTGCAAATAAAGTAGCTTCAATATAGCAATTGTTTAGTCATCTTAAGTCGTATTCGACTCTCCATGACCCCATGAACCAGAGCATGCCTTGGAAACTCTCACTTTCTTCTCAAAGCATCTCCTTTTTTATGTCCATGGAGATTTCTTACTGGTGTGGTTTGCCAGTTCCTTCTCCAGGTGGATCACATTTAGTCTAAACTCTTGGCTATGAACTGTCCATCTTGGGTGGCCCTGCACAGCATAGCTCATAGATTCTTGGAGTTATTCAAGCCCCTTCACCATGACAAGGCAGTGATCCATGAAGTGATCTATGTAAAAACACCACCACCACCTAATTACTGTAGAAATTATACTGTTGCACGCCACCCCAGTCTCTGATACTGCAGGGCTTCCAGGTTCTTACCCAGGGTTTGTGTTTCCTTTTGGAATGAGGCACAGTGGAGACTGAGGTGTCTTTATGATATATGGTTTATTTACACAGGTATACAAGCTGAGCCTCCTCTCTGCTAAAGAGCTGGTGGGCTGAATTTTGCCATCAGTTCTTGTCCACCAAGCTGCCCACAGATCTGTGTGGTGCATGGCTGTAATAGAAGAGAATGGAGGGGGAGGTATAAAAATAGAGGTTGTTTGGTTTTTAGCAACCGAAAACTGTTCTTCACTGTATGCACAAGACCGAACCACACACTTCAACTGCAGTGGAATTCAGGGTGGCCTATATTTGGGGGCAGTAGAATCCTGACTTTCCATTTCTTTTTACAGAAGGCAATATATAATATGAGTTGGTTCATTAGAGTTTAACCCCACAACCTTTTTTTTTAGGACAAGGCTTAGCTTTGGAATAATGAAATTCATGAGACTATATTAAGTGGCGTAATAATGCATTTGCTTATGCTTGCAAGGTCACATTTACACCATACATTTAATGCATTCTTATTCCACTTGAACAGTCATGGTTGTTAGGGGTGCTGAGAGTTGTTAGAAGACCCCTCATGGAGCTACAATTCCAGCAGCACCCTTAACAAACTACGGTCCCAAGGATTCTTTGTGGGGAAACTGCATATAAGAGTGCTTTAAATGTGGTGTGTGGATGTGACCTTTATTAGATCAATCTTCTACCCACTCTAAGCAGGTTTCTTTTGGGGGGGACGACACTGCTATTAACCTAAAAAGATACATAGGTTTACTGGGCATAACTACGGTACCTATTCTAGTGATTAACCAAACAACCCAATTTTATACCTGCCATCTACATTTCATAAAATTTTAAGTGAGAACTGTATCTGGTCCCATAATCTATTTGAAAAAACCAGTCACTGTGAGCTTTCTATGTTAAGCATGAGCAGCAACAGTTTGTATGCTCATGCCTGCTGGAGAATGCCACTGCACATGTGCAGAGTGCCCTTCCATGCTGCTGAGTTGAAATGACCGACTAGTGCACGTTTTACGGCTGAGCTCCCAGGGCCCAATCCCTGGCTATTCCTCTGCCTTCATTGTATAACTGCTCTGTGCTGTTAAGGAGAGATCATACATCCTTTTTAATAATTCAATATCTATATAAATGTTGTCTTATGGGCTATATATGTGAAATAGCCATCACAGGTCAAAAACTACAGACAGATATTTCATGGAAGTTCATCTAAATCACAATACTTTTCAGCAGGGGCACAGACCGGGTTGTTCATTCATTTGGGAATTGTAATGTGATGAACCAGTGAGTGACGATCAGGCATATTTGACTAATCTCTTGAGTGCACCTGATGCAGTAGTCTTTCCTCACTGTACTTTTAAAAATGCAGTTTGACTAGCAAGGCAATTATGCCCTATTCTTTTTTCTTTTCTTTTTTGCTGACATAGTGTTTTGTTCTACTATTGATCAGGTTTTGCAGGTTTTTGTAGCCCTACAAAAACCTATAAAACCTATTAACTAAAGCAGGATGAGTGAGGTGTACAATGATGGTTCTAATGTATGATTGCTGCGTTCAATATTCTGGAGGCCCGGAGGGGAGAGGAAACCCAACTGTTAGCCTAAGAGAGGGATAGCTCTGTCAGCAAGTTTAATATAATTATTTTATTTCTCTCACTTAAAAAAGTAAATGGCAATCCAGTTGACTTCATAGAAATAATACTTGTGAAGGTATATAGATCAGAACAGTGAAAAAAACAGGATTAAAAGGTATATAAAACAAATTTATTTGGCAGGGCCTCTTGTAAACCCAGTCCTACTATACTAAAGAAACTAAGATTAGAGTTGGAACTACAAGCAGTTACCTTTGAGAAGTTATGGAGGGCAAAAGAGATCACAAAGAATTGATGACAAATAAATATAGTACTTTCCCCATTAAGAAGGGGGAAAGAACCTAGGAAACTACAGAGAAATTAACTTAGACTGCTGTTCTTTACCCACATCCCTGGAAGTAAGTCCTGCTGCATACAATGGGACATTCTTCTTAGTCATGTATAGGGATTGCCCTGTTGGAGTGAAGCTGGAGGTCAATGAGAATTAAAAACATACCATAACAAGATCAATGCTGTGTTCTTTAACATGCAATTTTTTTAGTTGATACCTCTTGGAATGCAGTTGACATTTCTTGCCATATGATATTGTCCTAGATATGCTAAGGGAGGATTTAAGTAGAAGTTTCTTCAGGAGTTATCAGATTTGCTCACTGGGCACCTTGTGGTCAACTCATGACAATTCTTTCTCCATCTCTGCACTGCAGATTTGGGTAAACAACACAGCCATCATGAATAGCACAGTTTGCTCTATCACAGAAACAATGCTCACATACAGTTCCCCTGTGCCGCACTGTGCCTTATTTTTGGTAACTATTTTGAACATACAGCATGCAATTCAGTGAAATTTAAGAGTATATAAATCCCATGGATTGAAATGGGAGAGCTAAGCATTGTCCTGACTGCCTGTAGGAACACAGCTGGTTGAAGAGCTGCTTTGGAAGAGGTAGCTTTCAATTATTTGTTTACTAGTATGGGATGAGATTAGCATAGACTCTGAACTGGGTGATATTTTCAGAAAAACGGGGGGGGAAACAGTAAATGCTGTGGAAGGAAGGATTAAAACAAAAACAACTTGCAAGTGTAAGCATTATATTAGGTGAAGATTGAAAAAGCAAATGTATGCATATATTTTAAAAGGATGAATATAGTACTTTTCGTTAAAAGAACCCAGGGATTGTAACTGATCACAAATTATAAATATATGCCAGCAGTGTTTTGGTCTCTGCAGGGAGAGACTATTTTTGGAATGCACAAACATCACAAGTAGGATGTGACACCCTCTATTCAGCACAGATCACTCTTATGCTTGAATATTGTATCACCCATTCCACAGCTCAGCTGAGCCACAGTATTTGTACTGAAGCTTATCGAAACAAATTCTTCTACAGTGGCATTGGTTGGGTTGTTCCACGGCTTCATCATACTGGCAAGTTTTTCCTCGTGTTTAGCCAAAATCAGGTCTGCAGAACTGTAACACACACATACTCCAAGATGATCAGAGCCCACCAGTGACTTCATAAACTTCCAGCTGTCACTGTCTATCTGAAACTGCAAAAGCAAGTGGGTGGGAGGTCATGTACCTAGCAGGCTAGGATACATAGCTGGGAGTGTTTTTGGCTTTGTGTTGTGCACATGTTAGGCACACATGAGCTAAATAAAATAAAATAATAATAATACAATAAACTTACAGAAAACAACAGCATGTATAAAAACAGTTAAAATTGTATACATATAAACAAGCTAAAATTAATACATATACTGACTAGGATAAAAATCTCTAGTTAGGAGGCTTGTTGAAAGAGGATTTGCTTTCTGTTCGTTTAAACCACAGCATTGTTGTGGTTTTGTCATTTGGGTTTGAGGGTAAAGATCAATTACTGTGTGATGATGCCTGGGTGGCAAGCTAGTTAATTTCTTCCTTGCCTTCTGGTTATACAGGTGATGGAGAGGTAGCATCTTCAAATTCTGCATCTGATTATTATGATTATTATGATTATTAAAGTATTTCTGCAAATTTCATGTTTGGCAGAGCAGCTGCGCCTTTGTAAAAAGCAGAAATCAACTGGTGGAGCTTTTCTCAAATATGAAAATTCAGAAAAGGGAACTGCTTCATTTGCTGGCTATGCTTCTCTTTCAAAAGCACAGAAGCCCTACCAGATTAAAGATATAGATATATGATAACTCTAAATATGAAAGTTATAACTTGGCTGCTGCCTGCAACTCAGAACTTTAGAACAGGGTTGGGGGACCTTGGAGGGCCAAATGTGGCCCCCAGCCTGTTTATGTGGTCCTTGAGATTCTCCCTAGATCACACCCTGTGCTGGTTCTGTTTTGCCCACTGCTAGCTAGGAGGAAGAGTTTCCTATCTGCTGGGAATAAAAGAGAGTTCCCGGGGCTCGCCCCGGCAGACACCTCATATGACACCTGCCACTCGTCTGTCGTGAATTCATTCCAACACCTATCCTCTTCTTCCTGCTTCAGCCACCTGCATTTCTGGGATGGGGCGAAGTGGGGCAGAGGAGACAGGAAACTTTTATTCCTAGTTTCCTTAAGTTAACTTATCATAGGATCCATCCAGACATTCTGGTAATTTGTCTTTTTGCATTTAAGTGATTTCAGTCAAGAGGACTTGGTACATCCCAATCCCCATGCAGCATGTGGGTATCACTAGTTTTGAGTTTGCTGTCCTCTGAAGTCAGGTTGTTTTCTACAGGCTGTACAGTGGGCATGACTTGATTTTGTCCAGGGTTTGCGAAGCATAGGACTGGTCATTTAAAAACATGAACTGCCTGTAACACTTGCCACACAAGCCGATGCACATCTACTCAAAAGTAAGTTTTGCTCAGTTTAATGGGACTTACTCCCAGGTGAGTGTACAGCATATATGTACACAGTGGGACTTACTTCTGAAGATATATGCTTAAGATTGTACCACTGATCTTTTCAAGGCAGACTATTGGCAAAACTGATTCCTTTTCTCGTTTGATTATTGCATATGTTGCAGGCAAAATTAACAAAAAGTGAGGTGGGCAAAATATGTTTCAGAGTGCTGTAGTTTGACTGCTAGCTAGATTCTCCCTTACTAAATACAGGGCAAAAGAATTTATCTTTGCCAGAATAGCAAGCAAAGTTTTGATAGAATGTTATGACCTAGATGATTCACAATAAAATGTTAAGATTTAGGCTTAGGGCTAACTCAGAAATTACATGCGCATGAGATGTTTCCCCCCTTAGATTGCTGTATGTATGGAGCAAATATGTTGCATGAAAGCAGTCTCTCTCTGAATCTGCTTAGCAGTGAAAATAGTAGCTTCTTTTGCTGTTGTTAAAGCATCATCCTTCCTTTTCCCATCTGGATCTACTCTTGTTTGTCTGCATAGCCCTCTTTTACACTAATTATTGAGCAAGGCCAGGCAGGGTTACTGTAGCGATGGATGTTCTTGAAGGGATTAGAGGTACTGATTACATTTATCTGTCTAGTCATACTTACATTTTACTAATCCATGTAATATATTCACTAGAACTGCAAGCTTTGAGCAGTGACATTTGTAAGTTAATCAACTGAAGTTTTAGTTGATTGATCAGTAGGGGCCAATTTTAATAAGTGAGAGCAAATTTTACTTGGTGGAGCCACAATGTACATTTGTTTATTTTTAAGGATTATTTTGGTTCTAGTATGTTACTGTAACAGGAATTTTAAAAAAATATGTTCAGGATGGCCCTTGCTTCTAAATATCCATAGCAGCTTTTGTTTGTCGCAATGTAGATTTTGCTTCTTACATTTTCTCAAAAAGGCTCCTATATTGAGGGTTTTATAATATGCAGATTCATGTACATTGAATTAGCCAATTCACAGGTTGAAATGAGGATGCTTAATCAACTCAACATTATTTAATTGGTCAAGAGTCTTAATAGTTATTCATGAAAGAGCCTGTGGGGGTGGAGGTGTTGTTGTTTTGCTGGGAATCACAGGTGGCAAAAAATGCAGTTTTGCTCATGTCCTGTTTGCAGGTGTCCCTTAGGAATCTGGCTGGCCCCTGTGAGGCCAGGATGTTGGACTAGGTGGGCCATTGGCCTGATTTAGCAGGCTCTTGTGTTCTTATGTACCCCAGAAGAAGACCAGATAAATTTATTTCATGTGCAATTCATCTAAAGGGTAACCACACTTTAAGTCCTATTGATTTTACTGGGGGACTTAACCACATGGTTACCTTTTGCCCACTGAAATTGATTGGAAGTAAACATGCTTTAGCTGCATCATGATTTTTGTTCTTTGCTTCTTAGGTAATACTTAATACTTAGTTGTTGTGTAGGTCAGTTTAGTCACTAGCGGTCACAGCTTTCTAGTATCCCAGTTCCAAAATGTTTCTTCCTTTCATCCAAATTGTCAGCCGCCGCAACACCCCAAGGCGGAGATATTACACACTTAGATTACAGAACTTTGCTAAAATGTGAGCATAGCTAGTGGGTTGCTTTCTGGACAGGAGTCAGATTCTGATGCTTCTGAGTGTAGTTGTTAGGTGTGTGACCCTGGATTAGGAAATGGTAGAGTTGTTCTGGCAGGCTTGCAAATGCTGCCTGGAGATAGGCAGTACTCCTTTTCAATATGTTGAAGGGCGACACCGCGGAGAGGCATCATTGCCTCTGGCAGGTATGCTGACCACATCATTGTCTCTGGGTATAGACAAGAATAATAAAAACCCTTCTAGTTCAGTTTATGGGGGGGGGGAGAGGCAAAAAAGAGAGGACACGAGCACTAAAGATTACTCTTAGCACATCACTTTCAATTATGAAAAACTATCATCTTTCTCCAGCTGTTGTCTTTAGCACCACCCACCCCAAACAGGCTGACCTATGGAATTTATTTCTGATGATCCATGTGTCAAAAGTAGGACTTTGGTAAGTTTCACATGCAGCATGCAGCACATGTGTTTTTGCTGCATTAAGCCCCTCCCTCCTTTTAATGGTATACTTAACATAGCAGTGATTCTTTTATTCCTAAGACCCCAGCTGGCTGCTTTTGACTGAACTGCTCAGTTGGCTCAAGAGTTCCTCTTTAAATCAGCTGCACAGTAAAGCTGGTCAAAATTTCTCACGCAGCTCTGGGTCTTCTGCAGACCAGCTGCTGCTTCACAGGAACAAGACTGGCCATTTTGACACCCTTCAGCCAGTTGAGAGGCATTGCGTCTGAATTAGATGGATTGCTTTCACAAACCCATCTCTGATCTTTATTCAAAAATTCAAAGGGCCAAACTACTGTATACATGATGTTAAATGTATCTTTGCATTTAACATGCAGGTTTTTAAAAAAAATGCAATCAGAATAAACTAAGGAAGTGTGGCTGCCAATTAATAGGTTCAGGGAAGGTATGGAAAAGGAACTCAACAATTTCCTCCCCAGCTGTAGCCCTGAGAAAATTAGTTCTTCCAGTGACATTATTTGTTTTGCAGAAAATCTCTGTTTGGCACCAGTGGAGGAATTTCCTCCCAATACAAACACTAGCTCGAGAAGATGGATTTTCCTCAGGACTGCAGCAAGGGAGGAAGTGGTTAAATTATCTCACAATACCTGCTCTGATTCTGTTAATTCCTCTCCATGCCCATCAACTGAAGCTATTTGCCTTTTTAAAACCCTGAATGTTGACTGCAAAGTCACATTTGGCCCCTTTGATCTTATATAGATAGATAAACCCCTCCCCCCAATAATAAATGTATGTAACTAATTTCTGACACCTTTAAACATCAGTTTTGGTTTTATAGGTACCACATGAATACATTCTTTCAAATATATGCATAATATATGTACTACTGTCCACCTCAAGCCACAGTACAAAATCCAAAAGCAATGGTAAGAAACAGCATGCTTTTCAGGGAAACATAAGAATTTCAGGAGACCATGGTCTACAGTGCCATTGAGAGAACAATCTCATGTAAACAGCATTCCAAGTGGAAAGGTTTTCATATAGATTGGGGATGACCATGTAGCAGACCTTGGGTTACTTTTAACTGGTTCCAGGCAGCCTCACCAATTTTTTAATCAAGGTACATTAAGAAGTTTGTCCACAGTTTGACTTGTAAGGCAGATAAAAAGTTTTAATGTTGTAAGAAAGAGAAATAATTCACACTGTAATTTGCATTGCATTTTGATTGGGTATCTATATGCATGCAACATGTAAAATGCATACATTTGTATGTATTGTCTGAGTGCATGCACTCTTCATTCACTTCCTGCTAAGGTGGACTTCAGCTCAGTGGAAGGAATTTCTTGATTAGGGTGGGTTAATAGCACTCAATCCCTGGTATCTCCAGTTTAAAGGATCTCAGGTTGCAGGGCTTAGAAAGACCTCTGTCTAAAAGCAGAGACACCTATTACAGTAGGCTTGAAGGATTCATGAATATAAGGCAGTTTAATAAGTTCATGACACCAATTTTTTTAAATGGAATTTGGGGGGGGCAGTTTTTGCTGCAAAATGCACCTTCAGCCTCTGCCGTACCATTTGGAGAATAGAGAGGCTCACAAGGATACAGAAATTGGACATCAGATGGGGTTCAAGACTTGCTATGTCCCTGGGTAATAGAGTAGACACATCCCCATTTTCCTTTTTAATTCAATACCAGGAATAGGTTTGCTGTTTATGAGGTTATGGTCCTATTTGTACTCTTTGTTAACAGCATGCAAGACGATACTTCAGAATCTTCTACTTCGATAACTCAACTACTGAGAGAGAGCTATTTAGCTGAAAACAACCGCCAAGGGAATAGTGAAAGAAGCAGATCAGAACCATCTCCACATTCTTTCCACCGTGGCAGTAGTTTGGGGCCTTCAGACGAGGTGGCTAGCCAAGAGGACCTTCCTGATCTTTCAGCCTTTTTGAGCCAAGAAGAGCTGGATGAAAGTGTGAACTTGGCAAGGCAAGCCATCAATCAAGATCCACTTGAGAACAAGCAGGACGAACAGATACATGTGTTCTTTCCCTCTGAGTTGAAAAACTCTGGAAATACAGTTTCAAACAAACAGCAGTTCCCATCTAAGGCAGCTTCACCAACTTCAGACAGCAGCCTAAGGAAACAGCAATTTGGTTCTGAGACAGAGTCGAAAAAGGAATTCCTCAACAAGGCTGCAGATTTCATTGAGGAGCTTTCTTCTCTTTTCAAAGCACACAATTCAAAAAGAATCAGGCCCCGAACATGCAAAAACTACAGGAGCAAACTTGAATCTAAAAATAAGGCTGCTCAGGACAGTGGTTCTGCTTTCTCAAATCTCTCTGAAAACAGAGAAAGGCCTTGTGACCCAGTACCGCAAGATTTAGCTGTAGCTGAGCACTCACTTGAAAACCCAGATAACCCTCCACAGGCAGACTTGGAAGCTGTTAATCAGCTAGAAAGTTCAGGGTTAACAACAGAGTCACCAGCTGCATCGTTTTATTCTGAGGAGACAATAGGCCAACCACCACATTTTACTCAAAAGCTGAAGAGCAGGGAGGTCCCTGAAGGAACCAAAGTGCAGTTGGACTGCATTGTGGTAGGAATTCCAACACCTGAAATCAGGTAAACATGTCCCTGTCTTATTTCTGTAATAGCTTGCGCACACAGAGGGTGGATTACTGTATAGTAGTTAAATGTTTTCTCAATGTTTCCTCAGATTGTATTCTAAAAACCATACATTTCTCTTTTACAATGCTCCAGTAATTATTCTGTCTCTGACCTTGGAAAGGTCACTTGTGACTGGCATAAGATTGATGCCAGTCACAGGTTTTAGGCAGCTTTTGATGAAAATGCCTTCAGTGGGCCTTCCTCCCTAGCTGCCCATGCACTTGTACTCTCCTCTGGGCCCAGTCTGCATGACCATGCATGCAGTGTTGTAGTGGGGGGGGGGGCAGGGAGGCCCTGGGTGCAAATTTCTCAGGAGGTGCAACAAGGCACCCTCATGACATGCTCCTTCATTGAGGCAGGAGCTGCAGGGAGGCAAGCCATGCCTGGGCTGGGGCTTCAGGGCTGGGGTGGCAGCAGCGCCGCCTCCTCCTCATGGCAAGGAGGAAGGGGAGGAGCAAGGACAGGAAGTTCTGAGGCTGGCACTTAGAAACTGCCCAGTGATGCAGACCCCTTGAAGCCTGTTCTGCGTAAGTGTCAAGGCATTTATTCAATAGTAAATGAAGTGTTGGTCATATACAGTGGTACCTCGGGTTAAGTACTTAATTCGTTCCGGAGGTCCGCTCTTAACCTGAAACTCTTCTTAACTTGAAGCACCACTTTAGCTAATGGAGCCTCCTGCTGCTGCCGTGCCGCCGGAGCACGATTTCTGTTCTTATCCTGAAGCAAAGTTCTAAACCCGAGGTAATATTTCTGGGTTAGCGGAGTCTGTAACCTGAAGTGTATGTAACCCAAGGTACCACTGTATTTAATAAATACCAAAATGTTACTATCTGGTATTTGCCTCCCTACATAGTAGGGGTGGATGTCACCCTCACTAAGATAGAAAGAAAATCACAGCTGCACACATGGGAAGTGCATAGCTGAAATTGAACTGAGTCAATGGAGCTGCAGGCATGCATATACTACATTTGCATTTCCTTGGGGAAGGGACTGCATATGCAGGGCTTTCCATTGCAAGGAGAAGGGCTGTGGTTCATCGCTACAGCATCTGCTTTGAATGCAGATGGCCCCATGTTCAATCCCTGGCACATCTGGGTAAGGCTGGGAGAGACCCTGTCTGAAATCCTGGAGAAGCACTGCCTGACAGTTTAGAGAATACTGAGCTAGATGAACCAATAGTCTGACTCAAGGCAGCTTCCTATATTCCTGTAGGCACACATGGGAGTAGCAGTGCACCTGTCTCCATGGCAGACATTTAAGATCACTCAAGAGACAAGGAATTTCCCTCATATTTGACTGTTTATGCCTGTGTGTGTGTGTGTGTGTGTGGTGGTGCACATTCAACTGCTGTTCCAACGATTGATTTTCAAGAAAAAATATATAAACATAAACATAACCAAAAGGATTAATTTCCTTCCTTCCTTCCCACTCCCACACCCCAAAACAGAAAACTACTGCATCAATTTCCCGCCCATAAGTCTATGTGCATAGTTGGTGATTGCCAGACATCAGGGTGTTCATTTGAATATTTTATAAAGGGGTACCATATTTCAACAAATTTGTCTGTATCAGATATGTCATTCAGGGTGTGTACTCTCTTAGTTAGTTTCTCAGATACAGCAATTGTCCATACATTGTTTCCATTATGCGATGTGTGATCAAGTCCTTTTTTGTTTTTTGCTACAGTATAAGTAATTGTGTTGCTACCAGGCGAAGGGTGAAAAGTTCCTTGTGTAATAGTTTCCCATTCAGCTATAAAGGCCCCTTTAAAAATAAAACACCAATAATTGCTTGGAAAGATTAGTTTAAGGAAAGAGACTTGAAAGGCTGTGTCATCTGAGCCATAAGACTCTTTCCCATTCCAAACATATAAAATATGTTTGCACAAGGCAAAGATGGCAAAATGCTTCTGTTCATGGAAAAAAAGCTGTATATTTGGATCCAGACATGTCATACTGTGCACTAAGGTGGGCTGTTTACAAACTATCTAAAAAGAAGAAATGCATCAACAAAAAAATAATAGCCAGAGTTGCTTATTGCTGCAAAACTAGAAATCATTGCTATAACTTAAATAGAAATAAAATGCATGTCACCACAGTGGGGAAGGCTGTGATCAGGGAAACTGTGTGGTCCAGGTGCTAGTTCAAGTTCAAGGCTTCTCCATTCCTTCTGGTGGTTCTTTATCTTTAAACCAGGCTTTGATTGGTCAGTCCTTTAGAGAGAAGTCACCTGCAGACAGGGGACTGTCCTTCTATAGCCCTTCCAATAAAGGACTGTCCTCTGTAAAGTTGGACACATGGCCACACTACTGTGGGCTCCTTCCATTTGCAGGAGGGATTCTGATTCAATAGCAGCATCCACAGGAAGAATACTTTTTTGTTTGCTGATCCCATTTTTCTCCCGGCAACCCCCACCTTTGCCATATCCCACACTGTTCCAGAGGATCCCCCCATCCTCCAGAGCAGCTCTTCAAGGAGTGATTCTTGCTGCTCCTCCTCCTGAAGTGCTATTTAAATATAATAATATGATGAGGAGCACTAAGAGATTTTCAGGAGCAGGCATTCAAACTGTCTCAGGGCTGATTCACATATGCATGGGCATCCCTTTCTAGCACATTGCTCAGTGATGCATAGATGAATGGGGGAATTTTTCCCATTGAAAAGGTTAGGGCCCAATCCAATTCCCCTTTGCATTGGGGGGGGGGGTTGATTGAGCAGAGGTGCCCTTCCACTCAGCTCTTCTAGTGTCCCTATTTCCCTGGCAGAGTCCCAACCAGCAGCAACAAAAAGCCTTGAAATGGGGCATTCTAGAGGCAGGGAGGGCTCTGCTCCAGGCTGGCACAGTGATCTGCCTGCCCAACATCTTCCGTCTTTGTCAGCATGCTCAAGAGGGCTGTAGATGTGACTGTGGCCCTATTACGCAGTGGCTGGGTGTTGAATTGCACCCACAGTGTTTAACTTCATGATTGTCTAAAGATACTAATGCTTGCTCTAAGGTGCTGGATCTGTGATGGCCATTTCACATATGAAAGTCACTCCCTGATGTAGCAGTCATCAAGTAATGGGCATGCATGTGTGAACTCACTTTCAAGAATTCAATTTGCCTAACTTTTGATATCGGGTTGCTTCATAGGAGGTTTTTAAGCAGTGGTGAGATGGCCATCTGTCATGGATGCTTCAGTTGATATTCCTGCATTACAGGGGGTTGGATTAGATGACCCTCCATGTCCCTTCCAACTCTACAATTCTATGGTTCTAAATCCTTTCATAAATGTAAGGGTTGGTGAGGGACAATTCAATCTCTTGTACCTTGTAGTAAGTGGATGCACGCCAAATTGAATTGGACTTACTACAATGTGTTTTGGAATCAGTGGATTTGGGAACCTGATGTCACTATATGGTATGGATATTGTGATATAGATTTCAGAAAATGCACACAAAATAATGACAGATGGAATTATCAGTGGTCATTATTCAATGTAATCAGATGGTATTCCTGTAGGTTCAGTCCCTAAATTCTTAACAGCATCAGGAGTGAACAGCAAGTGAATATTCTATTACTACTCTATTTTCCTCTGGTACCCTATAGCAGCCACAGGGTTGGCTCTTTGATTCCCCATTGCTGTATATGTTGCAGGGACTGTCCAAAATTCACCTTTTAAAGAGAGAGACACCAATCAAAGTTGGCAATGAACTACATGTCAGCATTCACTTCTGTATGTCTGAAATGTTGGTGTATATTCAGGGTGGCATTCACAAAATTCATTTGTCATTGTCAGCATTCATACATGCATATCATTTACCAACATTTGCTAACTTTTGGACATTCACTACAATATTAAATGTGGAAATGTTTCATTGAGACCGATAATTCATAGAATCTGCCAGTCCTATGGACTGGAACTCTTTAGCTTGGGATCTAGTCTCAGATCACAGTAACTGGCTCTCAGCAAGTGAGATGAATGATATTCCCCGAAGCATTTTCCACAGGAAACATTCCAGGAAGCTTCCCATGAATGCCATATACTACGTCAGAGCTGGCCCACTGAGGCAGAATACAGTGCTAGATGGACCATGAGTGTAACCTAGTAAGGCCAGTCTTACGATCTTAGACATTTCCTCCATTGGTTGTAAGTGACCCATATTTGCCATCTCTACTCAGAGGTGCCTGCATTTTTTCCAAACTACTTAGCTCACCTCTGTTAGGTTAATTTTACTTTGGCTTGGCATACACAGCTAGCCTGACCCGTGTCAAAAGGATTTGAAGCCCTATAAACAGGCTATGTGTCATGCATTTTCTATGAGAGCACTCTCTGGCAAATGCACATGAATACCTGAGAGAAGCACACTCTAACCATGCTTTGTTTGAGAATTCAGATCATCTGCACTTAAGGTTCCTAACCACATTCACAGCCTGATCCTAAGAATGCTTACTTAGAAATAAGCCACACAGAATTAAATGGGTAGTATTCTTTTACTTAGAGCAAACTCATTGAAATTAATGGCCCTAACTTAGTCATGTTAATTAATTTAAATGGGTCTACTGTGAGTAAAACTTAGTTGAATGACATCTAATGGGATTTACTTCCTAATAAGTATGTTTAGGATCACAGCCACAATCTCTTCCAAGATACAGCATCCTTCTTCAGTTTATTTTTGTTTTATTGAGTTCTGCTAGAATTTGTCAGCACTAAATTGGGGAACAGATGGACCATAGCTCAGAGATAGAGAAAGTTATTTGTATGCACAAAACCAATAGCAATCCTTGCTATTGCCAGTTAAAAGAACTTAGCATGCAAGCAGAAAAAGATCTCTGCCAGAAATATTGGGAAACTGCTGCTGGTTAATGGAAGAGGCAGCATACAGTAAATTAAAAAACAACAACCTGAAAACAGAACTATGATACAAATATACACAAAAACTGAAATCAGTATGAAAAAAACAAAACATTGCTAAACATAGCTGCTTTTACACTTCAGACGTACTAAATTAACCTTGAAAAGTTAAAAGCTAAGCCACCACGATCAAACATTAGAGAAAATACTAAACAATGATGATGAAATTATATTGAAATGTTGCTTATAAGATATTAAAAGGCCCAGCTGGGACAATTAAGAAAAAACTTTGCTTGGTACCAAAAGATCATTTATGTGGGTGCCAGGTGAGCCTCCTTATGGCATTTTCCACAACCAGGGGGGCACTGCCAAAAAGGCCCTCTTCCTCAGGACAATCTCCATATTTCAGAATGAAGGAAGCTGTTGATCTTAAGGCATGGGTGGCTACATATAGGAAGAGGTACCTTCAGGTACTCCAGTCCCAAGCCATGTAGGATTTTATAGGTCAGAACCACCTTCCCTTCCCTCCTTACCTTCCAATTACCTCCAAGTCCCATAAATGAATTGGAAGGTAAGGAGGGACTGCTCAGTATTCAGCACACTTACAGTCAGTCAGGAATGGGAAAGAACAGAATATATGCTTGGCACATATAACATCCCAGATACAATCTCTCTGGCAGGACAGGGTCGCAGCAGGACTGGGAAAGACCTCTGCCTGAGATACTAGGGAGCCACTCCCTACTGGAAAACGTCTTTCCCAGGGCTAGATGGACCAATGGTCTGACTAAGTAGAAAGCAACTTCACATGTTTATGACATCCTCTGGTAATACACAATACCACATGTCACAATGGCACAGCAATTTTTGCTAGGCAGCAGTTCAACCTGGCAGATTGTGGCTGAACACCATTTTCATAAGATGGTCATGTGTCCTGCTTTGCAGAGGGCAATGCTCTCTTCAAAGGACTGTCCAGGCCAAGAACAGTTTAATGATAAGCATAAGAAGAGAGAGTGAGGACCATGACTTTACTCACCAGCGGTGAGCCCCTGGACAGGAGACTGATCAGGCACACCAGTCGCTTGGTCACAGTCTTCCTCACTATGGTGAGTTGCATTGCATTAATACTTAAGTTATAGCAATGATTCCTAAATATGCACCTCTACCTATAAATTAGGTGTGCAAAGTTAATAAAAATCACTGTCCTTTTGTACTGTGTTTCCTTGTTTCAGGTGATATGGAAGCAGCCTGTCTGCAGCACTTAGAGTTACGTCCCCCCCCCTTTCTTTACTTTTTAAATGTCACTTTATAACCATGATTATTACAGAGGGAGATTTTCCTGTCCAGCAGCATTGCACCAATATGACTGATGGCAATGCTGACTGCATTATTTCAAAGGTGGATGTATATAGAGTAATACAAGCTATCAAAATGATGAATACATCATCTCTGATTCATCATTCATGTGCATCCATCAAGATCTCGTGGCTTATGAGAAATAACACACAAGGATAAACCCAAAACAAATGTATAGAATTCTGTCCATAACAAGAACTATTAATTTATTGTGAATGGTATTTCCATAATACAACAATCTACTGAATTTATGAATGAGTGCAACCCTGGTCATTGCAACTCAACCTGATTGTGGCATTGCTACTATGCCAACCTACAGGAATTGGTATTAAATATATTAAAACATTTGGAGATACGGATCCTGCTGGGTAGGAATATAGAAATACTAGATCATAAGTTCCTTCCTGCCCTATGTTTCTGTCATAGGTTTACAGATTTGTTCCTGAAAATTTGTCTGTCTTAGAACTAAGCTATTCTGCACATGGGATGGGGAAAGCAAATTGCCAGTAGTGTCTTCTCTTATAAATGGGTAATGTTGTCTCCCATCTGATCTTAAAATATGTACATCACGTGTAAAAATGACATGAGCTGTTGACTGTGTACACATTACTGGCTTAAAATGCAGTGGTTTTGTTCTTTTGCACAGTTTGGATTACAGCTGATTGGGAGGGAAACATACCAAAACACAGTATTTCATAAGAAATTACAGTCTAGATACAGGATACATATGGATTGTGGCTAACGCTTCCCAAACCAGCTGTGGGAGTACACTAGTTACAGAGTAAATGGGAGTCTGTTTGCAGCCCTCAGCTGCTGCATGCCATGCATTCCAAATCCCTTTAATAAACATGTATTATTTTCACACTTGATGGTGTGAGTGTACACTTTTTTTTTACTGCGTAGATTATCAACTCATAGATTATCAATATGAGGAAGGAAGTAATCGCTTGAGGCAATTGTGATCACTCACTCATCTCCATGTTTGCTTTATTAGGCATAAGCTGCATTGCCCTACACTTACTCCTGCCTCCTGTACTACATAAGATCAAATGAATTGCTGGATCACACCAAGTGTCTGCTCCAGCTTCCTGTGCCCAACAGAGACAGGACAGATGCTTCTGGGAAGTCCACTAGCAGTTAATGAATGCAACAACCCCTCCTAGCTGTTTTCCGCCAGCCTCCGCTATACTGCCTTTGGACAAGGAGAATAATAATAATAATAATAATAATAATAATAATAATAATTTATTTATTTATACCCCGCCATCTGGTTGGGTTTCCCCAGCCACTCTGGGCGGCCTCCAACAAAACACTAAAATACAATAACCTATTAAACATTAAAAGCTTCCTTAAACAGGGCTGCTTTCAGATGTCTTCTAAAAGTTTGGTAGTTATTTTTCTCTTTGACATCTGGTGGGCCATTAAGCCATTACGGCCAATAGCCCCTCATAAACCTATACTCCATGATCTTGTCCAGGGGCACCATCTGGGGGGGCAGGGGGCCAAGGCCTCCCCAAAAATTTCAAGCAGGGAGCCGAGCCCCCTCAATATTCCGCAGCCGTGGGACTTAGCTGTGGTGGGCCCCGTCAGACCTTCCATTGGCTGCAACAGGCCCCATGAGGCCGCCTCCTGCTGCATGACATCATACACATGTGCTGGGGCCCTAAATTAGGACAGAATGCAGCGCGTGTGATATTGTCCAATTCTTTTTTAAATCCAGTGGCAATTACCACGTCTCATGGCAATGAATGCAATAAGTTAAAGCCACTTCCATTTCTCTTTGTCCTGCATCTACTGTCAGTCAAGTTTCATTGAGTAGCCCTGAGTTTTAGTCTTATGAGGAAAGAGAAGCATTATCTCTGTATCTGCATCAAGCATAATTTTATAAAGATCTACCATTTAGGCCTTGCCTGTAGCTTTTTGTATATTGTTGTTTCTAATTCTTCCCCTAATAATATCTGCCTTGCTCTGTTTTAGTCTTGCCGAGTTTTAGCATTCCTTAGCGCTTCTTACATAGCCCAAGCATATGCACTGTATATTTAAAGCACACCTCCCCCAACCCCAGAATCCTGGGAACAGTGCTTTATTATTATTATTTATTAAATTTATATACTGCCCTTCTTCCGAAGATCACAGTGCATTTTACAATATAAAAACACAAAAATATATACTGTAACAACAACCAAAAACAATTCCCTCACACACCGTTTAAAAGGCCAAAGATCACCCTCTGGAAATGACCATCCAAGTAGGATCCCTCTGCATTTTCTCTTCATAACAACCCTGTAAGTTAGGTTAGGCTAAGAGATAGTGACAGGTCCAACAAGCTTCCAGTCTGAGCAGGAACCCCAGTCTCTGTAGTCTTGGTCCAGCTTTCTAACCGCTACTCTACAAAGGTTCTATCTTCTATTGTGTAACTTACTGATCAGCTAGTAGGATCCAAATACTCTCTTCAAAATGTGGCCCTGTTACTGTTAATAACTGAAGAGTCAAGGATATTCCTCTGTTTGCTTCAATGTCTTTTGTGTGAGGTATGTTGCATTGTTCTGACTGTTGCACTTGCAGCCTGTCTCTTTGTCAAATGGATATTACAGTGACAAATAGTGCTCTTGCATTTCAGGTGGTACTGTGAAGGGAAAGAGCTTGAAAACTCACCAGATATTCACATCATCCAGTCAGGACAGCTGCATTCGCTAGTAATTGTTGAAGCATTTGAAGAAGACACAGGGCGTTACTCCTGCTTTGCTTCTAACATCTATGGGACAGACTCAACCTCTGCAGAGATCTACGTAGAAGGTAAAGGCCTCTTTGGAACAGAAAGTGCTTGATAATTAACAAAAGGAAGTTGTACTGTGAACTTGGTTTTATGTGGCTTTGCTGCATAGTTGTTCCAAATGGAAATCAGTGATCCAAGAGCATGGAATGCAAACAGTTCTCTCTTTGATAGAGTAAGGTACTTGAATTTATTTCTTCAATTAAAATTATTTGATAGACAACATTTGCTTGTTTTCCACAAGCATTTGGTTGGCCAGTGTGAAACAGGATGCTGGACTAGATGGGCCATTGTCTTGATCCAGCAGACTCTTTTTATGTCCTTATGAGTGAGGAGAAAATAGCTGTGCTGAAGGGGAGATCGACTTCTTATCGGCTAGGATAGATATGGCACAGAGTAATTAGCCTGTTTACAATCTTTTAGATAGATGGGTATACAGACAGATAAACCTAATCTAAATTTACTGTTTTACAATCTGGTGTGAACATGGGCTGAGATGGGATGGATAACCTTGCTGCTGTACAGTACTTTAAAAAAAATATGGCTCGATATAGATTATAAGGCAGCATCTTATATCTTTATACATTTTGCCAGGGTGACAGACACCCATTTGACATGAAAGTGCACATCCTTTCCAATACCTCTTCCAGACTACTGTTACCAGCAGTGGTCAGTTTTGGGGTTTTTGGGTGCTCTATGAAAGGGCATGAAGGTGATATTCTGTGTACTATACAGCTTCCAAATACAAAAAAATATCACAGCTGTAATTTTTTTAATATGCGATGCAACCACAAAAAAAGCAGTAATGCCTTAATAGTAGACATGTTGGCTGCAAAAAGTGGTCTTAAGTAAACCCACTTCGCTGTTGGGTGCAAGTACATTTTTTTGCTGTTGAATTAGCCCATATGTTGCTGTTTTATTATTGCTGTTGTTATGAAATTATTCTTCCTGTTGTTAGTTTTGTGCTTTGTTCCCTTTGTGTTCCCTTTGTTAAAACCCACTTGAAGAATCATTTTTGTGTAGGGTAAAAGTGGCATACAAATAAAGCGGTAATGATGATTTATTACACAAAAATATTGGCAGTGCCCAAACCAAAACACATTTTATGAATGGTGCTAGATTCCTGTCTGCTCCTGCCATGGAGGGGGAAAGTACCTAGTCATTGATTGAAGCTGAGTGGAAAGCAATGCAGAAAAATGCTCACCTCAGCCAACCAACAGTTTAAAAGTAAGTGTTTCCCAGCCCACAAAGTCACAAAATGGTATTGGGAAGTTAGTGCACCTTCATACCAAATGGGTGTCTGTCACCCTGACAAAACTATCTTAAGGATATAAGATGCTGCCTTATACCAAGTCAGAGCTTTATAGCTCAGTATTGAGTGGCACCGGATTTCCAGGGTTTCAGACAGGGAATCTTTCCCAGTCTTGCATAGGAACTTTTGCATACAAAACCAAACCTTGTGCTGTCCTGCCCCTCCCTGTGACACTTGCAATAGCAATTACAGCCTTAGCTGGAAGAGAAATACTATTTTTTAGGAATATATCATATTGAAATTTGCACAATGGGTACAGCACAGTGTTCCTGCGAAAGATGCATAGGCCCAGGGAAAGATGCCAGGATCCATCTCTACAAGAAGTTAGTAATAATTGTACATTTATCACATAAACAAAAACCTCAGTGAGGAAGTTAAAAGGCATTATTAAATGTGGTACCATGTAAACTGACTTTTGGTTTCCCACAGGAGCCTCCTCTTCTGAATCTGAAAGTGACACAAGCACCAGCAAAGAAGAAATGGATCAGTAAGTCCATGTGTATGAGAGCTAAAATAGATTAGACATTGAAGATCCATGATTGAATTTCCCACCAATTTATATTTATTTTGAAAGCAGCTGTGGGAGTGGCAGAGAATTGGATTGTGGCCATAGTACTGTGAATGGAGGTTCTCTTTTCTCCTGTGCCATTTTCCCAATCTAGATAATCTCTCCTAGGTCACTGTTTGTTCCATTAGAAGGGAAACCATACATGTACCATATGTTTTTCCTAATTAGGGGGGAAGAACACATGCGGGGTGTGGGGGCAATCTCATTTGGAAAGATGGTGCAGGGGTGGAAGGTAAACTGTAATTCTAATTAATACACACATCTAGGAACATAGGAAGGCACACCCACAACAGTCCTTTATTTTTTAAGTGCGATAAGGTGCGTGCGTTGAAGTGGACATCATCTTACAAAAGGCATTCCCTTTTTGTGCAAGAGAAAAGGGGGAATCTGCTGTTGGGAGCTTCTTTAGTCAAATAAAGGTTTTTAAAGCAAACAAAATGACCTATCAGTGAAACTTGCTTTCTTTGTAAATATATATACCTTCTTGGATATTTTCCCAGATACCAAAACCGCACCAAGATCTCTTCAAATGTGCCTCCTCCTCCTGCTCCTCCTCCTGTTAATATCACCCATCAAGAAACACCGAAACCACAACCTTCTATGGTACATCCTGTGTCGATACCTGCCTACCATGTAAGAGAGATAAATATTTATATCATTCAAGGAAGAGAAACTGTATAAGCTGGAGATCGCTTGCATGTTTCCCTAAGAGACGAGTGGGCAATCTTTTGTCTGTCGAGAGATATATTATGTGCTTTTGGGGAAACCCTGTTTTAATTTTGCTTCCAGATGATTTTGAAAAAGCCATAGCTCAGTGGTGGAGCACATGCTTCTCATGCGGGATGTCCCAAGTTCTAGTTCTGGAAAAGGTTCTTGCCAGACATCTAGGCGAGCTGTTGCCAGTCATTGTAGACAATTGTTAGATGGACTTCAGGAATTATTCAGTGAAAGAGTGGGATAAGCAGTCAGGCTTCTAAAAAAGAGGGGGAAATGTTGTGGAAAATGAACAGTTTGTGGCTTCTCCAGAGGCTCCAGGTGAAAAGCTGAGGGTAATGTGGGACAGTTTTTATGTAACACCCTTAGGAAAATGCACTGATCCTTCTCTGCAAAGTTTGCATCAAATTGTTTTCCTGTGTCATGTTTTTCACGTGGACTTCCCTCTTAATCTTGCACTGGAGGGGGTGGGAATTACATAAGTGTCAGGACTGGGGGCTTCCCTAATCTGCTGCTTGATAACAGCTCTTGTATTTTTATCTTCCTGTTTGCTTTTGAACCTCCAGAGTCAAAGCCCCACCAACTATTTACAAGGACTTGACGGAAGGCCCATAATAGCTGCTCCAGTGTTTACTAAGGTAACTTACTTATTGCTTTTCCACAATGAGAAACAAATAGATGCTATCAAGAGGGACTTTAACCTAAAATGAAACAATATTTTTTTAAAAAAGAGGATCCCTAACCATCCCCAGGCTGTTTCCTCTACCATAAAATATCTCTCTGAAGATCAGGGTTTGGGGGTTGGACCTCGAGTTGCATTCAGCAGAGCTCTGCTCACACTTGAGGAAGGAGGCAAGGAGGCAATGTTTATCAATTCTTCCTTCCCTCCGCAATCCCCTGAACTTCCTGAATAAGCTGCTGGGGAGGGGGGTTGAGGAACCTCTGGCGGGTGCGGACAGTGCAAAGTGAAGGAAGAATTGGCACAGATCAACTTCCATTGGAAAGCCTTTGATAGATCTTGGTTCTTTCTGCAATTGCAATCACCGATCTGGATCCAACCCAGCATTGTCAAGCGTGGTATCTAGAGTCACTTTTGTAGAACAGATCAACACATTTTTATGTGCATGGCTATTTGAAAACATTACATGTCTCTGCACCGCAGAGTTAAGAAAATTTCAAGCACACATATACATTCAAAGGTATAGCTCTTCTTACTGTAACACTATTGGCACATAATTATTCAGTTTAATTAATTAATTTAAAACCATGTTATGGCCTGTCTCTGCTTTAGATGCTACAGGAAATATCTGCCTCTGAGGGCCAGCTGGTTGTGTTTGAATGCAGAGTGAAAGGAGCCCCTTCTCCAAAGGTTGAGTGGTACAGAGAAGGGACATTGATAGAAGACTCCCCGGACTTCAGGATATTACAGAAAAGTAGGCTTTCCTTTCATTGCAGACGTTTATCTGGAAAGGGTTGGCAGTACTGAGGGATGCATGGGTGTAGCCAAGGGGAGGCAGGGAAGGGCAGCTGATTGATAAAAATCAATAAAAATACATAGCTAACTGAGGTTCTGCACCCCCTAACAAAAGGCTTGCCCCCCAAAACAAAAATCCTAGCTATGCCCATGGAGAGTTGTAATATTTTGTTGTATGCTAGATGTAAATGTACCTGAATAATAAAAAGCAGTGAGCCATGGTATTTCCAGAACTTACGTTCCTCTACCACAATTTGTAAAATAGTCATTGCTGTTTCTGTAGTGCATTTCAAGGGTTCAGGGTGCTTACCATGTGTTTTCTCAGCAATCCTTACAACAACCCCTGCAAGGTTTGTCAGTGCGGTGGTTGATTTTTGTGATGTATTCTCATTGTAAGCAACTTTGAGCATAATTTTTTGTGGAAAGGCGGCACACACAGAGATGAAGTGGTGGTGGTGGTGGTGATGACATTAAAGAACTTGAATAAGTTAGGCCCATTCATTTTGATCGGTCTACTCTAATTAAAAAATAAAAAAATAGTTAAGACCCCCCATCAATTACCTGGTGGGTCCTTAGAGAAAACACTGAAATAAATATTGAATGGAGTAATGTTTCTCTTACTTTCCTTTAGAACCTCGCTCTATGGCTGAGCCAGGTAAGTACACTTCTTTAACTTATATGCATAAATGTTCCATTATTTGAGCCTTACCAAATGCCACTGTGGCATACACAGACTGAAGCAAAAAGTAAAAATAAATAAATGACTGCAGTCTAGCATTCCAATTCCTCTTCCAGAAAGTGCACAGAGACAGTCATGGCTAATGTATGTTTTTATATTCTTGTACACCGCCCTCAATTTTTATGAGAGGGTGGTATATAAATACTTTTATAAGTAAATCAGTAGCTGGTATTTATTTATTTATTTAGTCACGTGTTGTATTTGTATCCTGCTTGTCAGACAATTACTGTCTTCCAAAGCAGCTCACATCAAGGGTGGGTGGCGAGAGACTATCAAGCACTGCTGCCAAGTGTACAGACACACAGAAGGGAAGGGAAAGGAATCATCAGCTAGTTAAGGCCAGAACGAAGAGGTGAGCTATGTGGGCATTTATATCCAGTTGGGGCCAGGCTGATGTTCCTTTGCTGGTGTTCTTCCTTGAATAGCAGCTGGCATCTGAGCTTTGGCCAATGGATGGGGCCAGCCTGTTCTTTCCCCTCATGCCTGCAGTCCCAGGGCAACCAGCAGTTGGGGGTTAAATGTTAATTCTGCCAGAGATGGGGGAAGAAAGTCCTTGCAGCTGCTCCTTCTCTGGCTAATGGATGAGGCCAAGTTGGTCACTATGTTTTTCCTAGGAGACAAGAGCAGTCTCCCACTGGCTTCAGTCCATGGCTGATTGCAGAGGCCAGAATGTGCTGCCTTCAGCTCTGCAGTCCCTGTGTAAGAGAAACAGACATGTTTTCTGCAGCATTGTGCTACATTATCAAGCACTCTGCTCTACCAAGTGTTGGATTGCTGGCATGGTGGTGGGTCTGCTGCCTTTTATATCATTTTCTGTTGAGAGTAACAGAGATGTTATCTGCTGTGAAGTTTACCATCAGACTCATCTAACCAGTAGGCCATGCCCTTATCTCCCCTACCCCTTATAGGCCAAATATCACAGATGGGCCAAGGCACCCACCTGTCGATCACCTGATGTTACAATGATGTCAGCTGACTTGAAAGCACCATGCAGGGCTTGCAAAGAGCCCCACACGGTGTGCTGAAGTGCTGCTGATAAGCAGACTTGAAAGGGATTCACTGCGCAGTCAGGTTCCCTACAAGAGAGCTCAGTCACACAGCCAGCCGCATCTCTACCTGCCCCACACCTGACTTCACATCTGATATCAGGTATGGGGCAAGTAGTTGTGACTTGTGGAGGCGGCTGACAGCAGGCCAAACTGGGACCCATGCTGGGTCCAAAGTTCCCCAACCCTCTGCAAAACCCAGCAGCAATCATATATCTAGTTAATGTAAGCCATATTGAACTCAACAAGGTTTACTTCTGAGTAGAGATGTATAGGATTGTGCAGTCCTGTACATTTCTACTCAGAAGCAAGCCCCGTTGAGTTCAGTGGGACTAATTCCCAGACCATTGGGTACAGCCTGAAAAGGCTGCTAAAGCGGACACTAACTACTTTCATTGGTGGGGAGATAAGGATCCTGTTCTCTCCTGTGATTGCTCTTATTTCAGAGCAGAGAACTGTTCTTTTCCCAGGCTAGATGTGAATGAAGGAGTCAGTATTAAATCCTTTCTTTTCTTCGGTGCGAAATGTGCACCAGATGATGTAGGGATGTCCTATTTTTATCCTGCTTGCCAGTTGGAGAGTATTGTGTCACACCTCAGGCCATGCCAGTTATTCTCTCTTAACCCTCAGCTCCCCACATCCCCGCCCCACTCATGAAATCTGAGAGTACCACTTCAGGCATTCCACCTCTGAAACCGGAGAATGCCACGTCGTGCATTCTACCTCTTGAGAGGTGAATCCTGACTGTTACTAGATTTTTTTCAATGCATTCCAAACCAGCGCAGATTTTCTGCAGGCATTGCTGAATTAAAGGGCATGGAGACCCCATGCAGTGCCATTCCTCTAGATCCCATTGACATGGCACTCCTTGTGCTCTCTGAAATGCTTTTGATGGTGAAAGAAGACTCACTTGTTTGTACATGATGTGAGAGAGCACTTCATAAAAGCGGCACAGACGTGCCCTTCCTGCAGGGACTGGCAGATGGGATGCCACCTGCCAAAAGATGTTGAGAGTGTTCACCTCAGAAGCACATGTTTTCCTCTCTCCCAAAGGCTGCTATCCCAGAGCAACTGAACAGGTTTAAGTCCTGTGAGAGCCAAGAAGGTTTAACTGTGTACTGATTCTAACTACATGGGCTTTGGATAGTGACATCGTAAAAACAACACAAAAACAATTAGCCGGGGGGGGCGTGATTCGGCACTTTTCAGAACTTTAGACTTATATGATGCTTAAAGGTAGTACTGAAGGGTAAAGAAAATGCTATTCTGTCAGCCAGTAGACATTTGGAGTATACACTCTAATGAAAGGTATAGACCAGCAACTAACATACAGAAAGATAGGTGAAAAATAGGTGCTAGTCTTCTTGGAATCATAGACATTTTTAGTTTGAAGCAGCCCTGGACGTCATCTTGTTCAACCCCTTGCTCAGTTCAGGAATCTTGCAGCTGTAGCAGCCCTGACAACATGCCACCCAGCCTCTGCTTAAGGAAAACCCACCACCTCCGAAGGCTGTCTGTAAGGTTTCCTTACAGTATCCACATACTAATTCTACTTCAACCATCTGGGGCAACAGAGAAGAGGTCTGCTCCATCTTCTGTGTGACAGCCCTTCAAATATTTGAAAACCACTACCAAGTCTTAACTTCCCCTTCTAAACATACTATTTCAATTGTTACTCATAGGGCTTGGTTTCCTATGAAGCAGCCTCAGAACATGCTTGCATTTATACTGTATATATAGAGGCATATATATGGAAACAGTTTCCATCTTCCATGACTCCTATACCTGAAATCTGCTTTTCTGGGACAGCATCAAAACCAGCAGCCTAAGACATTCCCCTGCCAGTTGAAAATTTAACCAGCAATCTTTTCCCAGTCCCCTGCCTCCCCCAAACTAATATAGGGACATAGGAAGCTGCTTTATGCTGAATTGGGGTATTGTTCCACCTAGCTCTGCATTGACTGGCAGCTGCTTTCCAGGATTTCAAGCAGAAATCTTTCTTAACGCTAGCTGAAGATGCCAGGGATTGAACCTAGAACTTTCTGCATTTAAAGCCCTGCCACTGAGCTGTGGCCCTTCCCCTTCAAGAGCCATAATCCCTGAGCCTCATTACAACAATGCATGGAAATTTCAACACAAGTTATGGAAGAGAACATCCTGGTGGATTGTATCTCATGGGCCAGATCTGCCTATTGTTCACTCTACTGGCTTTGATGGTGCTCAAAATTAGCCCCTTGCTTGATATTTGATAGTGTCAATTCTGGATTGAATGGCCACTTTCCTCCACATATTGTGATGGCTACCAGTATTTTGAAAAATGTCACAGTTAGCACGTGTCTACTACTTTCTGGTCATGCAACAAAGAAACAGCAACACCATTGCCAGCTGAGTGTAATTATTAAAGTAGTCCCAAACAGGGCACACTTGGAGGGCCCCCATTTATCTGGTACCCTACCCTATAGCATGATTATTTTATTTGTGAATTCGCACCTGCTCTGTGGTAAAATTTGCCGATTCCGTTGTGATGGTTTTCAGAGGAGATTTGCACGTTGGTCATTGCGGAGGTGTTTTCAGAAGATTCTGGGAGTTTTACGTGCACTGCAAGCAATAAATATGGGACAGTCTCCAGTACAGCTCGCTTAACTGTAAAGGGTAAGAGAAGACTGTAATAATCCCTTTGCAATAATCACAGACATATTGATATGTGGCCTGAACTTCAGAGAATATAGAAAAGTGTTTGGGTTCGGCAAGGAAGTAGCCTTTCTCAAATACATTTCCTCCAGTGTGAAAATATTTCAGTCCAGTCTGGTGACATATCTCAGTTGAACGTGCCTAAAGACACCAATTTCATTAAAAGTTTGTATCATAATAATGGGGGAGGGCTTTTTTTTTGTTCAAGTGTTTCAAAATTATTGATTAGTATTGTGTGCTTGTGAAGGGGTGGCTAAACTGAAACAAATAAGTAAAATGTGACAAAATTTAAAAGGCATATTAAAATATTAGTCTTGATCCACAGATCCACATGTCAGTGGGGTTCTAATGTCTTTTATTTTACCAGGCATACATTTAAAGTTCCTTTCATCCATGTTCCTACTAGTCAGGATTCACAAATTTGATTTCTATCACTCTGTTTTCACTGCTTTCTTGAGTATTTTTAATCAGGATTGTGCAGTTACACTGCAGGAAGAGCAGACCATTTTAACTGCTCCTTATCTGTCACACCAACTTAAACAAGCCTTCTTTATACCAATTGCAAGAAAATCAAGTTTAGAGTATTTTAGGTCTCTCTGATTACTATGTGTATGCTATCACTGTAATCAAGTTCAGCATACAGTATTTGGGTCACAGGCACCTCCAAAGCACACATCCCCAAACAAAAATCCTAAAATATTTTGTCTTGCTTTCAGTAATCTGATATGAGTGACAAAGCTTGCACACCACTCAAAATGCATTTTGCCCCTTCTGTGCACCCCTGTTGTCACTGATTTGTGTGATGAGTTACCAAGGCCATAACTGTAATGCTTGCTATTCCAGGACCTGAGGACCAGAATAATAATGCTGCTCTCCATACTATAAGTTCTATCAGTTTAGTTGCTGCTGAGCAGCAGCCTTCTGCACCTGCCCCTTCACTTCCGCGGGTGGATCAGCCTCCAAAGCCTAAACTGGAAGGAGTTCTTGTAAACCACAATGAACCTCGGTCAAGTTCCAAGATAGGCCTTCATGTGCACTTTAAGCTTCCGGAAGATGATCAAGGAAGCGAAGCTTCATCAGAGGGTGGAGGAGCGCCTACAAATCAAACCAGACCAAACTGCTTCCCGGATAAGATCAATGGGCAGATATTTAAAAACCAGGAGCTAACCTCACCTTCTAAAGAGCCACCTCCTGTGTTGGCTAAACCAAAACTGTAAGTAAGAAGGCATTTTTAAAGCTTTAGCCGTGTCTGAAATGGAATTCCATTTTAATTGTTACTTATATTCTTATTTCAAGCAGAAATTATATTATGTATAATATGTATAGTATATTATGGCCTGATTCACCCGTCACAATGGTTTTCTTATGGGCCCTAATAAAGATTTCATCCATTTTTGTTTTTGTATGCAGGGATCCCACCCAGTTAAAACAGCTACACACCCAGGTCTTGCTTGAGCAACAGCAAACACAGCAACCATCCCCCCCACCTCCAAGAGAGTTGCCATTCAATACTGGCACACTGAACTCTGCTACTTCATCCAACCAGCAACAGCAGCAGCCTTCATCGACTACATACAAGCAAAACAAGGGTCCCTCAACACAGACATTCACCTACACCCGTCCTAAGCAGTTCTTGGCATCTCAGAACACCACCCCAGCCGTCAGCTCCCCTTCCAGCTCCCCCATGCCTTCATTCAGCAACATACCACAAGGATCCCAGAGGACAACCAACAAGGAGAACTTCCTAGGATCCCCACCAGCCCAGACAAGGCCTCCAGGAGGGTTGGCAAACCAAACTGAGCAGCCTCTTACAAGTCCCAAAGAACCTGTGTTGCCACCACTGTTGCTTTCTGTATCTAGCATGAATCAGTTCCAGCCCCAAAATGTGCCTCCTACTCCTCTCTCTCCAACTGGTCGAATTCAGAACCCGGTAGCCTTCCTCAGCTCTGTTCTACCTTCTCTTCCTTCTACACCCCCAACAAATGCCATGGGTCTACCTAAAAGTGCGCCAACTCCGTAAGTGATGAAAATGTTACACATTCAAGTTGGTACGAGGGAGTCATTGTGAAAGAACAGACAGGGATGGTTTGTCCATAGGAAACATCTGCCAAATAATAATTGTGGGGTAGGGTGTTTTGAGCACAGTTAACAAATTGGCCTCCATTGTTAGAACCTATACATTGATGAGCTCTTGAAAAAGGAGGGAAAGTGGTCCTTTGAAGGAAAGCTCTCCAGGAGTCTGTGTACAATATCACAGGCAAGGTTATTTTTAATGTTCTGTATTTAGAATATCCCAAATCAGAAAGTGTATGGTAGGGAAGAGGAAGATCTTTTTACCATGCATGCTTATTCATTCTGTCAGACCACTATGTGCTTACTTGGGAGTTCTGAATTCCACTTAGCACTTTCTATTCTTTTGCCCGGGGGAGCAGGGGGAGCACTATTGATACAGCACTGTATGAACCTATTGGGACAGATCGTCTGGAGTTTAGTGTCACCAGTATGCCTTGTACCTTATTAGCTAAACATCCAGGTGCTGCCATTTCTGTCTTCCATTGTTTGGAAGCGATGATCAAATGAATGAGGTTGAACAGACTAAAACTTAATTCAGACAAGTTGGAGCAGGTGTTAGTATGAAATCCTTGTGCCCTGGTGGGGTTAAATATTGATATTAATTAATAAAGGTTACAAACAGTGCTTTTTTCGGGGGTGGACTCAGGGGGATGCATACCCCTAAACATTTTGTGAATCTAAGTTTGGCCTCATTGAGGGGCAGTATTTCAATATGAGTAGAAAAATGAGAGTACCCCTAAACAATTTTTAGGGGGGGGAGCACTGGTGGGAAGCAGGTTTTGTGGTCCCTAGAGCAGTTTTTTATCAACTTCAGCTATTGCACTGGCCATGCTGCTTCTTTGAGGACAGGGATCCCACCAAGCTGATGTCGACCTTTGCAACCTCCAGACCTTATTATTGCAATGAATTTCATTTGCATTTTGCTTCACTTTAACTGCATTTTTAGCTTTGGTTAATTTATTTTTAACAGAAGTTTGTGGCATCTCCAGGAGATTTATACTTGAAAAGCTGGATATTGTAATAGTATCCATAATAGTTATCCAGTGGATCACAGCCGTAGTCTATTTAGAACTTGCCGTCCTCTTTCTTCATTAATGATTGGGATCATTGACTAAGACCTTGGTTCCATACAGTTTGTGTGCACTAGCAAGGGCTATACCACTCAGCCCATGAAATAAACTGCAACTGTACTGATCAGCTGTTTGGTGTAGAGGGTGAGAATTGAAGTCCCCCTCATTGCATCATACTTTACAGAGCTGGGTGTACTCAATCCACATATGGACCCTAACTGGATCTGAACAGCTTCTTTTGGTTGGCAGTGGTTTTTTGTAGAAAAAAGAAAAGAAGCATGGGTTAATGAAATGCTAAAGCAGCATTTTAACATAAGATTTGTTTTGTAGTGGAAGCCAGGGAACGGTGAAGAAAAATCTTAGGCCTTTGCCACTGCCAACAGAAGATTCAATTAGAGATCACAAAGCTGCTGTTGTCAAGGACCTGGAGAAAAGACTGCATTTACGGGATGATGCATTTCCACATGGCCCGCAGGTAAGAGCACTGCCTACTGTTTAAACATGTGCTCTCCTTGGACCTTCAGCCCACACCTTGCTTCACGCACCCAACATACTAGGCTAGCAAAATATCACACTGCATGGCATTATGCCTGGGGATAGTGTGACATTTTACTGGCATTATAGGCACATAGACTGGCCTAATGTTTAGGATCAGAACATTAATCACTGTCAGCAGGGCTGCTGATGAGAACTCTTGTGTGTATATTCAGGTTCAGCATCAGTGTCTGGTATGGTGAGGCAAATGGCAGGACCTGCTACAGCTGCTGCTGCTGCTGCTGCTTTCTGGCATCCTTTTTTAAAGCCATTTTCTGGGTGGCAGTGCTCATCCCAGCACAGTGAAGAGAAGTACCAGGTGAGGCTGCATCCACCCCATCTTAATTTGAGAAGAATTCTTCTGGATTGCTATGCTAGTCCAGAGGCATTCTGGGGAAATGAAGTTGGCAGTGGCTGTTGCAGCTGCTCCACCAGGCACTTCTCTTCTCACCGCCAGTCTTAGCACTGCAGCTTCTGCTCATTGCTTCCTGTTAAGCTTATTGGAGGGATGGCGGAGGTGGAGGAGAGATCTGTCAGGGAGGTGCTGTTTGATATTTTTTTTAAGGGTTCTAATCCTTAAGGAAATGGAGTTTGGCTTGAAATTGTGTGGACAATGTCTAGTGACTTCTCAGAAGGGGAGAAGACTGAGTGATCAGTACTGTAGTGAGAGCTTCTGCTGCTTACATAGTTCTTTGATTCACTTCTCAGATCAGAGATGAGCTTTCTTGAGTGCTCATAGCGTCTTTGCAAGTGACCGGAACACTGATCTCCTAGGATGCAAGAGACTTGTAAACTGGACTTGCTGATTGCCGCTAGTTCTAATGAACCAACAAACCTACCATAGAGATATCAAAATTTTCAAAAGTAGGGAGTCCATGGCTTGGCTTTTGAAAAACTGGGGGCTCCGCAGTACTTAGCCAATAGGGAACCATGGAACTAATGGATATCAGAAATACAGTCGTTGTTATTTGTGACTTTCTACAAAAAAAAAAAAAAAGAGTTTTGCCTCAAAGCGACTAAGAATTTAAATGTATTTGTAACCACACGGCAAATGTTTTATGATGCCTCTAGACATAAGTAGTACAAGAGAAGGGAAAGAAAGGAGGAAAGAGGGTGATGGAGAAGTAAACATTGTTTGATTCCTAAAAATCAGAGTTTTGGATGGGGTTTCCTCTCACCCAAGATAGAACTTTGAAAAATATGATAGCCCTGTTTGAATTGGGAGCAGTTGCAGGATAAGTGAATGTGATTGCTCCATGGTGTAGGGGAAAGTACTGTTGCACACATTAAAATATATTCTATTTTTAACTGTTGTTTCACTTGACCCAGATTTGAGCTCTGTTGCTGAAAACAGATTCAAGGGCCAAGTGTGGTGACTTGGAGTCCAGTTAAACTCTGACCTTGTTCCTGTATATATAAACGTGAAGTAGCACATAGGAATGTACTAATGACAATGCAGGGGCACTTTTTCGTCTTCAACAGGTTTGCGAGGAGCTCCCTATACAAACTTAGCTGTAGCTGCCATGCAGTGCATGTAAATCAGCTGTCCCCACCCTTGTCCAAATATTTATATTTACAAAAGGAAATCAGCCTGGAGGTAGACTGCCCACAGGCAATAACTTAGGTGATATGGTTTGTTGACTGCTCTGGGGACAGAGCCACCTGCCAAACCACTTCTAGTAAGTCACAGGCACATGATGGGTTTTTGCAGATGAATCATAGGTGCTAAAGTCTGTACTTGCTGAAGCGGTGAGATGAATTTCTTAGAAGGCTACTGTGAAATACCACCCAATCCTTTATGTTAACGGCATAATAACTCCTTTAGAAACAACAGTCACTTTGTGCTGATGAGAGCATGAGCTATTTATTTATACATGATGTGATTGAACAGTGAGCCAAGAACTTTGAGGCTGTAATCCTGTGCACACTTACCTGGGAGTAAGCCCCATTGAACACACTGATATTTACTCCTGAATTGATGTGCATTGGATTGTGTGATATGAAATGTTAATTTTTAACCATCTTTAATTACCATGGTAATAGATTGTGATTGCCATTTACTTCATTGTCGTTTCATCCAAAGCATTTTCATTCTTTCCATCTCTTCATCTTTCATTTCCCAATATTTTCAGCAATTGACCACTTGGCAGTGGGATAGCATGGGGGGTGCAGGGGGGCCCGGCCGCACCGGGCACAACTTCTGGGGGTTAGGGTTAGGGGGCGCAAATCCACGGGTTAGGGAGCGCAAATCCACGGGTTAGGGGGCGTAAATTACTTGCCTTGCCCCGGGTGCTGACACCCCACGCTACGCCACTGCCACTTAGGGTGGGGTCTAAATGTACTTGCTCTAGGATATTTTTTTGTGGCGGTGGTGAGGAGTGTACCTTAGACAAGGCACCTACCCTTAACCTGGGAGAAGTGGAACATGCTAACATGCCACATCTGACCATTTTTGGACACTCCACAAGAAGTGCGAATGGCTGCACTTTTGGGGTGCTGGGCCCCTTTGCAGATCTTGGCATCACAGCAAATGCCCAACTGCACCGCATTCTGGTGCCAAACCAAGGGACCAGTGTAGTTTGTGTGAGCAATAAAAAGTTTGTTCATTAGTTTGTTGTATTACAAGTATGTTTAAAGCACTTGATGTTTTAAAAATCAGGTTTTCTATATCAGTGATAGATCTGGGTTTAATTAATAGTTTTTATAAAAGCTGAATGTAGAGTGGCAGAGAGCAGAGTTCTAAAGCCCTTCAGAATCATCAGCTTAATTTATTGGGCTGACCTTTCCCAGAAGCTCTGCTGCTCTTTTTGCCAGCATCTGCTTGTGCTGCTCACACCGTGTCGTGTGTCCTGCCTCAATTCCCACCTGTCTTCCTGAGCTGAGGTAGGGGAAGCTGCATGAAAGAAGCAGGTGTAATATGTTAACGTTGCCCCTACGTGAATCTGCCCAGTGACATCTCAACAAGTCATTCCTCCTGCACATTTTGTGCTCCAGTGGCTTAGGTTTTAAAGATATATTTTTAATTCTGTTTACTGTTTCTGATCAGTTGTACACTGCCTTGCTGGTTTACAGAAAGGCAGTATAGAAACATTAACAATAAATAAATAAATACCCACTACCCTGTTTCCTCACCCCTCTCTTTTCTTCTGCCCCACCCCTAAAACCCCTGACTGCCCCTGCTCTGTGGCTACCTTTAGTCCTTTGGCTTGAGCTGCTATAATGCCTCTTGCTTGGAAGCCCTCCTGCTCTCCCCTCCCCTCTGGTCTCCCAGAACTAGAAGAGGTATGAAAAGGGCAGAGCAAAGAAAGGCACGGTGACAAAGTCAGGCAGTAGTGACACTTTCAACCCTTCAGTGTCGAGTTCAGGATACACACCTGCTTTCTGTGTCCACCAAAACATTTGACAGAAATAATTGCTAAGGAGCCTCCTCCCTACTGGGCATGTGCACAGAAATCCTCCCTAGCAACTCAACAAAAGTATTTCTCTCCACTCAGCAAACTCTCCTTGCTTTCCGGAAAGGGGAGAGTTCTCACAGAAAATAATGGAGCCGCAGTTTGCTAGTCATTCCAGCAGCTCCATCTTCTGACTTCAGTCCTAGTGTGCCATTGGTTTCTGTGCTGAGGTCAGGCAGAGCTGAAAGCTGAGGCCCCATCAGAGAGAAGGATGTCCTCTGCTGGGTTGCTTGCAGTGGCAGACCTTAGCATCTCAAATTTCTGTGGCGCCCTGTGCAATGCCAAAATCTGGTGTGTGTGTCCCTCCCCAACTCCCTCCTTCTGCTGGATGTCGCAGTTGCAGCGCCCCAGAATCTCCATGCTTGGTGTGACCGAACTGGTCAAGCTCCCCTAGATGTGCCTTTGTTGCTTGAATTGGATAGCATTCCCAGGGAAGTTTCCTTGTGTTTTGCCAGCCACACAATAGCTGCTGCAATAGAAGGGGCTCTGATTGCTACCAGATGACTTGTTTATTGAGCATTTATCTGAATTTGTTTGCAGAGAGGTTAGATGACACTGTGTTGAGACACTGTGTTGTTATCCCACAATTTCCAGTGCATCTTCCCATCATTTTTTCTACCGGGGTCTGCTCATTTTTTGTTACAGGGCCCTAGCATTCTGCCTGTTTTGAAACAGAAAGAAGGCCTCAATCTGACTGTTTTTGTTCCACTGGTATCAGGAGCGAACAACTTCATTGGAGAAATTCTGGGTTTATTTGTTCAGTTTCCTGAAAATGTTGCAGAGCAGAGCGCTATAGTCTTCTTTAATGCTTTTATGCAAACAGAGTACAGAGTACACTCTGATTTATCTTCCAGTCGTATATGCCAAGAATTAATGTTAGTTTTCCCAATTAATTATAATATTTTAAGGAACACGAGAATGAACAAAACAACAAGAATGTCCCAAGCTTTATTTATGTTTCTTACTGTTTAAATCCATGCTACCACATAATCCCCTTTAAGTTAATTCAAAATAGCCAAAAGGAAAGGACAAATTTTAACAAAAAGCAACATTTTATTGATTTTGAAAACGGTATCTCCTTGTAAGTACAAAGGAGAATTAGCCCACAGGGCTGCTGCAGCCATCCTCAGCCATACAAAGCCCTCAGTCGTTACCAAAGTACACTTAAAGCAAAGATAGGGAACCTATAGCTCACATATGTTGTTGAATTCCAGGTCCTGTCAGGCCCAGCCACCATGGCCATTGTTCAAGGATGAGAGATTTATAATCCAACAACATCTGGATAGCCACTGGTTCCCCCATCCTTGTTTTTAAGGTGTTTGTTTCAAACTTTACAAGAGGGTGGGGGGGAGAAAGGAAGGTCTCTCAGTCGTCCCCACTACCTCCATGTAGTAAGAAGGAACTGAATTTTTTTTTTACCTCAGAATTTGCAATTCAGCTCCTCATTTTAACCAGTGGGGACTTTTTAGTTCACATCACTGGGAGTTAAACTGTCCCTTCCAGCTTGTAAAATACTCTGTGCTCTCTTAATTATTTGAAATGGTGTGTGCACTGCAGTACTGGGTGATTAATCAAACCCCACACTACATGTCACTTCTGAAACTCCCTTCTGTTGCCTGTGCTAGATTTTATTAAAATTATGCCCATATAAATCATCATAACATTTTCCTAATCCCATTACTTCCCTCTACCAGAGAGCAACCTATGATGAAAATCTGGCTCGCAAGCTTCAGGGACCAAGCAATGATACCCCAATCTTCAACTTTACAGCTCAGGATGTATTTAAGGTACAACCCTGCTAACCCTCCCATCTAGGCTCCATATGTAAATCTGATGACTAGAATTTGAAAATCTGAAATTCAGCCATTAACACAATTGGAAGTAGCAGGGAGTGTGTGTGTGTGTGTGTGTTTATTTCTTACAGAAAATACCTCCATGATACTTCTTGACAATTAGTTGACAGTAATTGACATTTTTTGACAATTATGAAGCTGCCAATTTGTTAAGAACAAGAAGGCTATACTTCAAGACAGATGTTCTGTAAACCCATACAGTAAAGAAGCTCTAAATTCTAGAAGGATATTAGCTCTATGTGTTATTATTTAGTTAGTTAGCTAGATAATCCTATCCTATCCCAAAGTACTTCACAGAGACACTATTATTCCCAGTTTACAGGCTAAGAATGAGTGACTTGTCAATTCACATTTTTACAGTTTTAACATGGTACAAAAAGGGCTCATTTAATGATAAAATATACATAGTGAGCATATGTGCATATTAAATGCCCAGGTTTCTATCTGCAATAGAGGCAGAAGCAATGATTAAGAGAGGTCTGGGCTCCTGTTTCTGTGCATATTGCAAGGAAACCCACACATTTAAACACATATGCTGCCTGTTGCACATCTAGTTTGCCTTTTAATTAGTTAATTAATTAATTTTATAAAATTTATGTACCGTACTACTTGATTGTAAAAAACCCTCAAAGCATTTTATAAAAGGGAAAAATTCACAACCATACTTTTAAAACATACAAAAGTTAAAATATTAAGCCAGTTTAAAATTACCTCAAGTTAAATACGTCAAGTGTGAATACTACATCTATTGACTGAGCTGAGATATATGATTTCGGGGGTCCAGCACTTCCCTGGTTCAGACTGACCTTAGTTTTAGCAATTTTGGAGGCTTAGATCACAAAGCAATAAGCAGAATGTTTGACCTTTTTTATCTACTACCATGGAATAAGTGCTTTCAGTTGGCAACTCTTAGAAGCTCATGCCTTTCTATTTTGCAAAGGCATTCTGTAACAACCATCAGAAGCAAGTAACTGAGACAGGAATTTGCTCCATTTTGTATAGCAATTTGCTGAGGCATGCTTCATGAAAGAGAAAACTAAACAAGGTGAAATTCTAGAAGGATAGGCTTTGCATGCCAGCTGGTGAAAAGCCATGAAGCACAGCCAACCCAAAGGTGATCTGACGACCCCCATCTAGTGGTGGACTCATGGCTTCATGGCTCAGTCTTTCACTGTTGGATGAACTTAGGAAAACCATTCTCCTTAAGGACATGTTTTAAGGATCAAATTCAATGTGATGCAGAAGAACCATAATTAGGATGCCCCGCACACACTGAGAGAGAAAAAGAAAAGAAAGACTCCCCATAGCACTGGGGGAAGAGGGACTTAACCATCCCCACCATATAGCATTTTCCCAATTAAAATTGTCCTGATGTTATCTGCCTTGCAGTGAAAGATTTATAGGAAGTTCGGTTTAGCTCGGAAGCCCTTCAAATTCCAAAAACAAACGTTTGATTCCATGCAAGGAGGAAAGATGGACATTAAAAAAATAACGCACACAAGAAAGCCCACTATCAACTTGTTTGTTCTCGTTGTCAGATTTAAGATAGATTGGGACAAAATTAAAACAACCAATATTTATTTATTTAAAAGGAGTACAATACTAAATACAAAAATACACCATAAAAACAATAAAACAGTATCCTAAAAACAGAGATACAATGTACAAACCAGTAAAATGGTATTATATAAACAATAATTCAGTAGTAAACAGGATCTAGTCAAATGAGTCACGGAAGTACCTGTCAACAATTATCTAAGTTATTTTTAGCTTGGGATACAAATTTTTATAACTAATTCAGTTACATAACATTGTGCATCCATGACCTGGAAGGCACTAAGTACAGTATACTGCTCTCAAGACTTTCCCTGGGAAGCGAGAAATTAAAGGGGAAATGTCTGGTTATTTTATAACACAATAACAGAACACGTAGCATATGTTCAAACTCTTCATTAGCACATGGACAAGTATCATATGGTGGGTGCCTGCATGGTTTTCCCTGCTGGAAAAAACATGTTTTGGAGTGGGGGAGGCGTGCTTTTATGCAGGAAAACGTCATGAGGGAAGGGGCCGAATCCCCTCCACCAGTGCCACAGTCCTGATCAAATTTGGGGACTCCCTGCAACTGCTAATACTTTTCTTAAAAAATAAGGGGAGAGTTGTGTTTAATATCTTCCACCTTTTGCCTAGTCCTAGTCAGGTGTTAAGCTGACACTTAAGAAGCTTCAACCTGCCAGTCTCTGTGTGATGGAAGAGTAACAGTGTCCTCTCTGCTATCTATGCACTTCCATTAATGTTTAGTGCTCCTGACAAAAGCCACACACATGCAGGCAACCATTTTTGTGCAATCCTCTTTTTTGAAGGTGAAGAATCTCACAAATTGGGCACTTTCAGCTCTAATCTTCTCAAAATTACTTCAATGGGACTGGATCATGCATGCATATTTTTGACTGGATCGTTGCATTCAGTATCTCACATTCCAATAGTGTAGTTTTTTGAGTGAAGCCAAAATCTGGCCCTCAGGATAAACAAACCAAGTATAAGAGGAAATGTACGTGATGTGTCCTTTCATGAGGCTGCAGGCCTCTAACCCTTTGTAGTTTAGCCAGGTGACATCAGGAGCAAGACTCAGGATAACTCAGGGTGCCTCCAAATGAAATGTTTATTGAGCATTTATCCTATTTTGCCTGAGGCTTACATGGATATTACACTATGTCCAGTCTTTGTTCGGTTTTTGTACTGATTTGCTTATGGGGTGTTTATATATTTTCTGTTAATTGCTTGCTCATTCTACACTTTTCAGTGCATTTTCCTGTCGCTTTTCTATCTGCAAAATGTCTGGGGGGGTGTTATAAGTAGATTTATTGTGTTAGGGCAACAGAACGTTTTTAATCCGCTTTAATTGCAAAAACCTAAATTTCTAGTACACACTTGAAGTCTCACACAAAATAGTGATGGTCTGAAGGCATTGTCAGTTCATTTTGGGGAGAGCAAGGGAAGGAAGCTGGAGTAGAATGGAGAAATCCAAAACCCGTTTGATCTCACCCATGGTAAAATCAGACGTTGAAGTCATGTCTCAATGCACACGTTTCATTTGGAAAGGTCCTACTGCTTGGTTCTGGGGATAGCCAGTCTCTATGAAGATGGAGGAAACAACATTGAAGTATCTGCTGTGAACTGTGATTTCAGCAATATATTGGAGTACAACTTTTGTAACTAATCATGTCCCTCCACTGGGTTATATTGCAGGAATATAAAATTTCCAGCTTTGAGCAGAGGTTGATGAATGAAATAGAGTTTCGCCTTGAACGTACCCCAGTGGATGAATCAGATGATGAAGTTGAGCATGATGAGATCCCTACGGGCAAGTGCATTGCCCCAATCTTCGACAAGAGACTCAAGCATTTCCGTGTCTTGGAAGGGTACCCTGCTACCTTCACTTGCAAAATTGTTGGAATTCCTATACCTAAGGTAGGTGGTGCACAGAAATCCAAAAGGGAAGACCATGCTGGAGATGTGTTTTAAATGTATAGTGTATATGAAGGCTTAGAGTACAATGCCTTGTGATCACCTAGTAAATTAATTTGAATGTGGTGGGGAAGGGCTTCTTGGTGGACTGTTCAATCTGAAGTAGCCCATGAGAAGAAATGAACCATTCTCCATTCAGTTGGATTTACTTTTTGGCGAGTATGTATAGGATTGTAGCTGTAGCAACTATCAGAGACAGATTTAGGAGAGCACAACCAGTTCAGCTGCACTGGGGGCTGAGCCTCGGGGGCACCGCAACAATGGTGTAGAATGTAGTCTGGTTGAGTTCAGTGAGACTTACTCTCACAGGTAAGTGTGCAGCCTAAGTCTCCTTTCTTTACAATCACGACAGGTATATTGGTTTAAGGATGGCAAGCAGATTTCAAAGAAAGATGGACATTTCAAGATGATCAGGGAGGGTGATGGGACATGCTCACTGCATATTGAAGAGACCACGAATGATGATGATGGAAACTATACATTCATGGCTGCAAATCCACAGGTAAGGGTTTACTTCCCTTTAAAAATGTATTGCACCCCTTCCCCCAAGCTTTGGAAAGTCCAATTGACTAGTACCACTGTTATATCATAACCATTCATTGGTCTTAAACACCACAACAGCAGCAATGAGGAAGGAGACAATTTAATGAATTGTGTTACTTCTCTCCTATATCGTTCTGACAGGGGAGAATCAGCTGTTCTGGTCACTTACTGGTTCAAACTCCTCCAATGCGTGGTAGATTAACAACAGCAATCCAGTCACACAGGTAAAAACAACCAACAACACCTGATCCTTGGTGTGTAGATATATTGTGAGGTAAGCATGAGTGAACTGGGCAAACTGAAGCTATGGTGGGTTCACCAGCAGTGAGCGGAGGGAGATGCCCAAAGATTAAGCTTGGCTGGGGAGTTCATCTTTTTCTAAGATGGCAGCCCTGCCTCCCAAGCTCATCCCATGTTTACAGGTTTTTGCATTGCAGGGGAAGATCCCGTATACCAGAAGGAGATAAGGAACCCGTCCAGGAGCGATTTTTCCGGCCTTATTTTCTGCAGGCACCTGGGGACATGGTAGCTCACGAAGGACGGCTTTGTAGACTGGATTGCAAGGTTGGCTGGCTTTCTTTGTTTGCCCTGTTGCATTAGCATTTGATCATCTCTTCAGAGAAAATCAGTGCAGGCTGGGTTCAGGCTGATCACCACAAAAAAACGACAGCAACAAAACTCCAAACTATCAGTATGTGACTTTAAAACATTTGGCTTTTGTGGAAACTTTCAATCCAGAGAAAATCACAAGCCTGGAGGGGAGCAGAGGTAATTAAAGCCACCAACTCTCTTCTTGCCCCTGTCACAGCCATACAACCCAAATGTGTAACTACAAGTAGAAATGAACAAAATGCACTCTTCGAAGGAATAAATGGCAACATAAGCAAATGGATCATAAAAAATATATTTTTGATATGGTCTGCTGCTCCCCCCGCAAAAAAAAAAGAATGACAAGATGAACAGCACAGCGGCCCAGTTCAGGCATAACAGAATTTGTCGCCCTCTGTTCCTCTTTAACACTGTACTTCAGCGGGGGTGGGGGCCCTCTTCCAGCCCTGCACCACATCCTACATTAAAGCTTGTAACTTACAAAGATGGCATGAATTTCCTCACAGTTTCCTCTTGAGAATCTTTGGAGCACCAAGAAGCAAAACAGAAATGGAACAAAAAGTGATGGATGTTTTAATCTCACTCTGGACCTAATCTGTTTTACTTAAAGGCATGGATGGGGAAATTTAATAAACAACAACAACAATAATGTCACTGTTGGTTTTTGTTTGCTTGCTTTTTTGTTTGTCTATTAGGTGAGTGGGTTACCACCTCCTGACCTGATGTGGCTTCTGAATGGCAAGCCAGTTTTACCAGACACCACTCATAAGATGCTGGTCAGAGAGACAGGAGTGCACTCTCTGCTTATTGATCCGCTTACACAAAACGATGCTGGAATTTACACTTGCATTGCCACTAACAAAACAGGACAAAATTCATTCAGCCTGGAGCTTAGTGTTGTAGGTAAGGCTATTTTTAGATGTTTAATGCAGAGGCTACATCATGCATTGCAGTGTCATGGTTCCGTTGGCAAAAACAGAGGCAAATGAAAATCCTCATTATTCGAATTTATTGTGTCTCTTGATACTAAGGAAACTTGCCCCATTTCATACCTGAAGGATGGAACCAACCTTTGTCATGCAGAATATTGCTGGAATTACATGAGAGTAAGAAGCACCTTGCTAGGGCACTTACACAAGGAGACCTATTTTAAAAGGCCTTCCCCCATCAGTGGACCGTTAAGGAGAAGGCAGCCAAATCCCCTTACCTTCAAGCTCCTATGCCATGGCCACTCTTACTGGACCCTGACATCACACAAATCCAGGATTATGATGTGGCACTACAGGTGCTCCTGTAGGGGGTTTGTGTGACAACAGCATTGTATTTATTTGTATATTGGAAGAAAGGCAGAATGCATGTTTTTTTTTTGAAAAGCAAATCAATCAACAGTGGACTGCTATCAGTGATTCCTTTCCTCCAGAGGAAGCGCCTTTTTTTGGAGGAAGGGAACTTTAATATGTAATCTGGTATAGTGATATGAACATGGCAGGAGGAAAACAGGGCTGAAAATGATCAAGCTTCTGTCTGCCAATTCCAGCAATTTCCATTAAGAAAAATGTGTCTTTGCTGTAAGAAGGTTTGTACTCATGCCCTCTCCCTGCCAACAGACATACAGTACACAAACAGATACATACACATATTTTGGGGACTTCCAGAAACTATACTGTTGTGAATTGTATTGTTTCCGATGGTGGGCTGCAATTTGTCAAATAACCCTGGAGAATCACATGAGTAATTTTGTAGCATTATAAATTTTGTTTGCAGGTCTGAATGTGAACATTGAATTAAAATGTGGTCCAGTGGAGCTGGGGGCAGGGTGAGGGGTGAGAGAGAAACCAGATAGGAGAATCACACAAGCCTTTGGTTCCATCTTTTCCAGAAAAAGAAGTTAAGAAAGCTCCAGTGATTCTTGAGAAATTACAGAACTGTGGAGTACCAGAAGGACATCCAGTCCGGCTAGAATGCAGAGTGATTGGAATGCCACCCCCAGTCTTTTATTGGAAGAAAGACAATGACACCATTCCTCCCCATAGAGAGAGGATGAGGTAGCTTTAAATATCTTAAAAATGGGATAATACCTGACATTCTACAAGTTGGGAGGCATTTCCTTGCTCAGGAAAGTTAATATTATCCTGCATAAGGCCTAAGAAACAGCAAGGACTAAGTTCCAAACACGAAGTCCATATTACCCATGAAGTCTATTTTATCCACCATAAGGGCTGGAGCATGTATGGCTCTGTTTATACAGGTTTTGTGTAAGAAGACTGCCCTATTAAAGAGAGGGATCCTGCAGCAGAAGTCTTTATGCCTGTAAATTGCTGCGTAAGCATGCACTGAACAACCACAATTGGCCATGGCTGCATGTACTTTGTATGTATTATGTATGTTTGCAAGTAAACAAGCATATAAACACAGAAAATGTTTGTAAGAAAAGGTATCGTTCCTAGTGTTGTTCCATACAAGAGGAGCAATGCAACATGTCATTTCCAGGACACCTACTCTAGTCTAAGAATTTAGGTACACTGGGAAAATTTTCTTTCTCATGGTTACTACTGTTGTAACTGGGAGAGAGGGACAGATGTGAACATTGAAAGGAAATTGCTCAGTACTGCCTGGCAGCAGCTTTCTAGGGTTTCAGATAGAAGTCTTTCCCAACCTTACCTGGAGATGCTGGGTACTAAGCCAGGCCTTACACAAAATATTTGTGTAGTTTCCTTTCCTTGTATGGTTATAACAGCCCCAGTTATAGCAGCGCATAACCCAAGAACCCTTGGTATTTTTGTTTTCAGTATGCATCAAGATGCTACAGGGTATGTTTGCCTTCTGATTCAGCCCGCTAAGAAAGTAGATGCTGGCTGGTACACTTTGTCTGCAAAAAACGAGGCTGGTATCGTCTCTTGCACTGCTAGACTTGACATATACGGTAAGTAGGTATAGTTTAAGTCTGGGATGCAGAACCTGTGGCCATCTGGGTGTTGTGGGACTCAACTCCCATCAGGCCCAGCCAGCAGGGCCAATGGTTAGGGATGGTGGGAGTTTGTAGCCCACCAATATCAGGATGGGGGCTCAGCTTCCTCAGCCCTGATTTCAGTAATAAAATAATTGAACTGATATAATTCACCAATACCAATTCCATGCTGGTAGCTTGTTGCCTTTTCTCATCTTATTCCTCTGTTGGGATATTCTCTTGAATTTAGCATTGTCCTTTTAATTTAGAGATCTTTTGCTTGGTTGACATAATAAAGGGAGATAAGTTTGCTCAGGGCTATGCTGTTTCAGCTGAACTGAGACTCTTGAGATTCCAGGTAGAATATATGGATGAGCTTTGAACAGAGGGTGACTAGCAAAGACAGCAACTTAGATAATGGGGAGGCAATTTAGAAGCAGCTTGGTCCAAGTTGGATACCGAAGAGTCAGGAAGACAGGATACAAACAAATAGAATGTATTTGGTGGGATTAAGGAAGGGAAGGGACTGGCTCTGGGGGAGTAGAAAGTAACTTATTATCTGCTTTCGCCACATCCATTTTTGTGCCTCTGCCATGCCCATTTTACCCTTGGCCACAAAAGGCATTAGCCATCCCTGTACTAGGGAGTTCTCTAATTTGAGTAGCTTGGGAACAGTTGACAACTGGAAACATCATGTTCCCACTAGTTCTTAGGTTTCAGCTTGTGTGTTTGTAGGGGTAGACATTCAGTGTCTTTGTGTATGATTGAAGAGAGATGTTTGAGATTCGTGTACGGTGTTTATGATTTTTGTTGTTGCTTTTGGCTCCAGCCCAGTGGCATCAACAGATCCCTCAGCCAATAAAGATTCGCCCTGGTGGCACCCGATATGCAAATCTCTCGGGGCAAGGACTCGACATTTTTTCTGCTTTCTCGACTGTTGAGAATCCAGTGCGGTTTTCGTCACCATCCCAGCCTGTGGTAGAAAGTGAAGAACTTTAAAAACCTCCGATTCCAATCTTACCTGCAAAAAAACAACCACCACCCCATAACTAGAACTGTGAAAAAGAATGGAAGGTACAAGCCAGGAGGCTCAAGGTTTACAAGCAACTTGTATTTGTTAAGTAACTGTAGGGTTGCTGCAATTCCTGTAACATACTGTACAAGATCTTAGTTCAGCATTGTACTGTGGGGTCACGGTAGCATTGAATGCACTGCGGCAAGTTCAGTGCTCTGTTGTTTTCTCCCTCCCAAGTATTATGAGGGGAGGCAGCTGAGTTTTAAGCTGTTAAGAGAAAAAGCTCTGCCCACTTTTTTCTGCTTGAATTAAAAAACAAACTACTGTACCTTAAATGCATAATGGTAAAGGTTTTGGATGTCCAGCTGAACACGACCAGGAGAAGTATTGACATTGTGAGACTTCTGAAAGAGGGTAAGCTGCATGACTTTGAATATAATACTTAAAAGGTGGCTGACAGTCACAAAGCACAAGTCAAATGTCAGCAAAAAAATTGAAATGAATCGTGAAAGATCTGTTCAGGAGGAGTACACAATTACATCAATAAGAGATTTGGCGAATGCAGATAGGCGTAGCATTTCAAAAAGGAACCGCTAAATACAGCAGAACATTTTTAAAAATGTTGTGGGCTTATATTCCATGAATTTATGTACTCATGGTGTATCAAATCCTAATGGAAAAACACCATGCATATAGTTTGGATGTTAACATGTGCAATTAAACAGCTTATATCCTACAAAACACACATTATATAGACACCACAGCTACCATTGCTATGTGCATTTTGAAGTGTGCTTACTAGTTCTTTTCTCATTTTAGGAATACCCTAATTTGAAACAAAAATAAATAGCATACAGGTTATTTTTGTTTCATTGTGATATGAATTCCTTTCTCAGCCGGAGGTTTGGATAATTGTGTGTGCACAGTGGAAGGATGCCATCCAAATACTTTGCAAATGGACCTATAACTACCAGACATTTTCAGGTGGACATAAATGAGTTCCACCTGACCATCCTACTTCCTTCCCCGCCCCTCCACTTTGGACACACACTGATGAGAAAATACTTATACAGATATTCTGTACTAAACAAACTATGGCCCATTCCAATAAAATAAATTTGTTTCATTTTGGGTACTAGTAGAGCTCCCAGTTTTCAAAGAGGTTATGCATCTGATTCTAGGGCAAAACTTTAGCATTTTTGGTAAAATGTCCCACCTGCACCCAGAAAAAACAATCGTTATTTGCATGTGGCAGAATGAACACACACAAAAGCTATTTATGAGAGAGAGGTATTTACTAATACATCTCATTAACCAGTTTAACTGCATTTCTGTTTTATTCAGTATTCTAAACAAAATCTCAATTAAAGCTAGGGATATGTGTTAGCATTTTCTTAATGTTTAAGCTATTTCTCAGGTGTGTGATTCCAATTTTATTGCTAAGGGATTATTCTGTTGCCATCAGGTCTGCCAAAGACCCCCATAAAGCACAAAAATAAGATTGCTATAAGTATTAATAGTAGAGAATAGCCACTTGGCTGTATAATCTCCATACAGGTCGAACCCTTCCAAGAAATAGAATTAAATTCTAATCCAAACCAAGAGCCTGAGAATTTTCTACTATTTCCCTAGTGATAAGCACCTGCAGCCACCATACACACATGACCTGAGATCACTAGCTTTTTTCACCGAAGAATCCTCAAGCTCATGGAAGTCTGCCAGAGATTCAATGTTTACAAATATAGACAGGAGAAGGAAGATGTGCTAAGACTTTTTAACATGAGCAAGTTTTAAAGGATTGATACAAATGAAAGGCAGGTGACTTAGTTTGGTATGATGTTCCTGATGGCTGTTGATAGAGTAAAACAGAATATAACAACTGTTGACTGAATTCCATCATTGCTAGTTAGCTCAAGGTCTGATTCTGATGTCAGTAAGACAGAGTACAAAAAGAAGGAAATGTCATTTGAGACCATATCCTCTGCTTTCTCATAAATGAGCAGGCCCTACCAATAATCAAAGTAGGGAACTGCTTCAGGCCACAAATGCTGGGTGCCAGTGGCAGCAGCGCTTTAGCTGTTCCTCTTAAGTCTCCTCCCCACCGCCAGCCATTATCTTTGTGAAGGACAGAGCTTTATGGCTTATCTTGGACCTCAGGCAGCACAATGTCCTGGGTTGCCTGGTAATGCTCTCTAAATTAGGCCAGAACCTAGACTATTCTAATGCACTAATATCATGAGATCAACTGCTTTTAAATGGGTGTGCTACCTTCTACAAAGAGCAGAACTTGGTGGGAGGAACTTGTCCCCAAAATATATTCTAAACTTTGATAAATTAAAATCGTACTCAGAATGTGTACATGAAATTAAGGATTACTTTTAACTGCCCACATAGAGAAAGATGGAGTCCATCTTCTTAAGTGTTAAATACAAATAATATCATTGTGTCATTTTTGCTATGAACACTTTTGTAGAGAAAGGTGCAATAAATGGGGGATTGCTGTTTCAAGAACAAAGGAATACTATGATTTATGTTAACAGCAGAGAAGTCTCTTAGGCAGTGCTTTTCTTCTAGGGGGGAAAAGGGTGCTGGTACTGCGTACCCTTGTATACCCCCAGTTTCCCCTAGGAAAAAACACTGCTCTCAGGATACAAAAATGTTACAGCAATTGTCCAAAGTTTGGTTAAAGTTTAGAGGTATTCAGCTACTGTGTTCCATCAGTGCAAGAATTTCTACTTGTGTGGCAGGACTTTCTGCCCTCTCCCTTCCCTTAGATTTAGGAGTTAGACGGGGTTCCATTGTGCAAGCAGAAATCCCTGCACTGATGGAACATTCACTTAACACTATGTTGAATTCCACCCTTTCTATTCATGTGTAAATGCTTCAGACAATAGCTGTGCCCAGCCTGAAAAGTCAGGTGCAGCTAACTCCCAATTTACACAGGGGTTACGTTCTAAGCAGTGCAATTTTTCTAGAAAAAGAGGTGCCAGAACTCACCATTAACGCCTCCCTTGTTCTCTTATAATGGCAATGGTGCCCACCTGAGGTGCTGGAACTGAGTTCCAGCTGAAAATAAACCCTAGTTCTGAGGTACTGCAAGCGTCACTGAAATTGTGTATATTTGAAATACCATTGGAAAAGCCTGCAAACACCATCTAAACCACTGGAAATGCTTGAACAACTCTTTAAAAAACAGCAACACTTACCAGACACCAAATTCCACCACAATCACTCCCTTCAAACCTCCTTTCTCAAACTCCAACTCTTCACTGGCATCAGCTGTTGGTATAAGGGCTCCTGGGATTCCTAGGTGCTGTTTTCATGCCTTTTGCCTTTTCTGGGCTCTTTAAGGGCCATTTTTGCCATTTTAAAAGTCGCTTCCAGGTTCAGCACAATGTGTGCATGTATAGTTGCGCAACAGTTCGATGTACGTAAACTGGGAGTTGCCTGTATACACCAGTGAATGTTAAAAATTACCTATATGTGATTGGAACATTCATTGGTTGTGTATATCTGAAAAATGCAAGGCATATAAATATTTCTGGAAATTAAAGACATTACTTAGAATTGTCAGTGTTCATGTGTGAATGTCAACATTCAGTGAATTTTGTTACAACTGATTTAATTATAGTTTATTTCAATGGATTTTAGTCATGACTGACAGTTGTTGATCCCCCACCTAAACCTCCCAGACTAGTAGCTGTCTCAGGTATGTTGCAGCAAAAACAACCAAGGGTCTTGTGGCACCTTAAAGACTAAAAATATTTGTATTGTGGCATAATCTTCCATTGTCTACAGTCAACCACGGCAGATGCATGAAGCTTTATCTTGAGATATATATACACACGCACGCACGCACACACACCTGGGGGGGGGGATTGTAAGGAGTGAGGTCAGAGGAAAATGAATTGCATAAAGAACAGAGACGGTGATAATTTACAAAACAGTTGTTGATAAGATAGGCACCCTGGAATTAGGTCAGCTAATTAACACATGAAATGTGATAATAGTAATAAATACCTTTGTCCCATTTCAAGTTGCAGTTGATAGCATTGAAGCTGTACTTTAATTTTAATTCAGTGGTTTCACATTGCAGTCTCCCTGTGAAGCTCTTTTCTTAAACAACAGCCATATTAAGGGCAGTTTTACAATATTTTATACAACAACTTTTGATTCTGTGAAATCAGTTGAGTGGATAACAAATGAAAAGATAGTTGCAATCACTTAGATAGCCAAAATGCAGTACAGATACTCTGCCAGAGTTTTCTTCTCCTGCAATATTGTTTGAGCTCTTTTCCCCCTTCATTTCATTGAACAGAAGCCAAACTGCCTTTGCACTATGAACAAATTATTTTGGCTTATGCAACAAAAGATGTACCTGCAAAAGGACAGAATTTTCATAACAACAAAATAAACATTATCTTTTAAGTACTCACTCAGGACTCGGGTGGTTCAATAAAACTTAACAACCCTAAAATGAGCAGGGGGGTTTTAATTGAGCTTTTCAAAATTCATATATTTATAAATGTATTTTGTTCCTTTCTGAGCTTGGCTAAGACAATACAAATTTTGCAAAGCCGAAAAGACATCCCCACAATCAGCACATAGTGTATGAGAACACTATTAAGCCAGAAAGCTGCTTCCTGTCCTTTGAGACTATTTAAAATATAGCTGCTCAAATCTGTGTGAGTTCCAGCAGAGAGCAGCATCAAAAGCACAACATTGAGGGTGTGCTGCAGAAATGTTAATAATGAAGGCTTTGAAGATTCACCAACTCAAATATTTAGTATTGGGAAACAAACAACCCTGTGTGGTTCTCATATGTAGGGAAAGCATGAACATACCTAGCAGCATTGATATCCTCATATTTTAGAATGACTGAAAATTCTTTTTTAAAATTATGTCAGCTGACCAATGTCTGCTTCAAAATATGTTTGAAACTTGCTTTGAGTCAGAGAAATGTGATGTGTAATACAGATTGTGGATTTTCTTTTTAATAAGCTGCACCAGAAGGATTTAAACACAGTTCTCTGAGAAGTGTTCTCATACCCTCTGTAAACTGTAACTGAGTTAATATGACAAGGAAAATCTAACAAAACTTTATAGCTGTTAAATTAAATACTGCACAAGCCGGTGGCCTTATAGTCTACCAATTTGGAGTTGTTACATTTCCATTAAAATGGGTTTTTATCTTCATAATATGTGAAGGTGCATACCTTCGCTAGGGAAAAAGGGGGGGAATAAATGTTGCAATTTTAAATAATATTTTAAATGCATATAAAAGGAAATGTCAGAATGTTCAGCAAATGTATTTTCCCTCCTCCATTAAATAAATGCTTCAGAGTTGCATTGTGTGAGTATTTTTTTGACTGGCAAGTGACTTGAAATTCCATATGAACAATCCAGGTAAGATTTGACACAAAACATTTTTTCCTCACTGAGCAAGCGAGGTCCATGCAAGAACCAGATGAATAAGTTTGGATCAGTACCCAATTCCATTGCTGTATCAGCAACGACAAGTACTGTAGAGATCAGATGCACATCTGAATGAGAGGCATTCCAGTAGGCTGATTGATTCGGATCCCATTGTTCGTCTTGCTGTGTGTCACTCAGAAAAAGGGGGTTGTACTGAATGCCAGAAAAAGGGCACTTGATCATCTTTCCTGGCTGATGAACTTAATCAGTTAATGCCCAATGTGTTTCTTCCCCCCCCCCCATAATATACAATATACAAGTTGATAAAGAGCAGCAAAACATATCAGGATTTATATTTTAAATTACCACTGCACCTTGGCTTTGCCTGCTGCATTCATATTGTAACAAAATCTGCATCAATGCTTTTCTGTAAAATCCTGGTGCCAGTAAGCAAATATTAGCGACGCTTTTAGCAGCAGCATTCAGGTCTTGTGAACAACAGCGATTAAACGATCTTTTAAATAGCTACAAGTCTTCACATGGGGAAAGATTAAAGTTTTGGGGTTTCTCCCAAAACATGCTGAAGGCATGCCACCCATGGTGTGCATTTCTCCCACTCATGAGAAGGGTCTTTTGCAAATACATATTGGGTGTTTTTGCAAGTGCTTAATGGACAGACCAAAGTCCTGGGAAAGGCTATAGAAGGGGTGTTTTCTGAGTAATGGATGCCATTATGTGGCTCTATGCATACCAAACAACATCAACAGGGCACAAGCCGTAGAGGACACAAACGCTTTGCAATTGGTGACAATAATGGAGAAACGTTTTCAACTGGTAGCAGGCAAACCATACTTAAAATGTAATCCCTCACTAGCCTTTTGAATATTCTTAGAAGAGCTTTAGTATTTCACTAATAAGCTATTCTTTATTGCAGTAGTATGGCCACATTTAGAGAGATTAAAATCTTCTAGTATTTTTGTAGGCAAAGGCAACTGTGTTAAATCTTGAGTTACATTTTATGTTATGTGCTGACATTTGGGCATGATCCAGCCAAAGTAAAACACTTAATGAAGTTGCACTTAATGCATGGACCTTTTAAACGTCTTCTCGTTAGAAAGATTACTCACTATCATGTTATCAGAAATGATAAAGGCACCCGATTCCTCCCCCCACCAGGGGAGCAAACAGCTTTTTGTGCGGCAGAAAAGGTTGAGGCTTGTAGCCAGCTAAGTTTTACTCAGGGTAGACCCACTGAAATTAATAGACCTAGCGTAGTCATGGCCATTCATTTCAAAGTAGAACTAACATTGACCACCACCCTAAATGCCATCAAGGTCTATGCCACTTTCCAGATCAAATCAGCAGACTCCTATTGGCTGCATATAGGCTGTGTGCATGCCTGTTTGCTCTGCATCCAGAGAACTCCCACTGCTTTGGGAAGCCTTAGTCCCAATCTATCCTGCCTTTTCTTATGAAATACTGTGTTTCATACTGTGTTCAGCTTCAATCTGAACTGAGAAAAAGAACAGTTCATCCGTGTTTTAAGCTGGTGATACTTCACAGCCTTAGAATAATAATATATTTTTAAAAACTCAGTAAAATCACCACAGACCTCCAAGCCTAATGTGCGATTAATTTTGCCCCACGGTGTCAGATGGGGAGCAACCCACTGAATCTCCCACAAAAAACTTCTACATAAATACACAGCACCTGGGATTCCAGCCACTGGGGCCCTGTGAAATATCCCACCCACTGCATAAAAACAAGTATTGGCAGTATATACAGTGGTACCTCGGATTACATACGCTTCAGGTTACATACGCTTCAGGTTACAGACTCCGTTAACCCAGAAATAGTGCTTCAGCTTAAGAACTTTGCTTCAGGATAAGAACAGAAATCGGGCTCCGGCAGTGCGGCAGCAGGAGGCCCCATTAGCTAAAGTGGTGCTTCAGGTTAAGAACAGTTTCAGGTTAAGTACGGACCTCCGGAACGAATTAAGTACTTAACCTGAGGTACCACTGTATTTTCCTGTTGTGAACTTGATGGAAAGCAGATATCTGCCCCAAAGGTCTTGATACCCCGCTTTCTCCACACCACTTGATAAACCCCCTGCTTCCGTTACTTCAATATGTTCAGCCTACTGCTAACACCATAAATGTGTTAAATGACTGGACAATATTTCAAAAAAAAATTCAGAATATTGGTCATGATATATAATATTGGCATATCACATCCCGCTGACAAGCACTGACAGAAAGAGTTTCCCTGCTGGCTCAATGCTAAAGTACAAGGTAAGGCACAAGGCTGTTCATTCTGAGTGTGTGAAAGAGAAAGGCAAAGAAAGATAGATTTTCCACAGGCTCGCTCTTTTGCTGCTTGCTCAATTCAAACTCAATACATGCCTGGCTATAACAGTGGTATAATACAGCATATTAGAAAATGAAACCAGTTCAAAGGTTGTTTATAATGAGATGTGTTGATGTGTCCCCTGTTCCTAAGGCATGAGAAATAAAGCCAGCCTTATACTGAACATTTTGCTGTTGTTACATTAACTATCCAAATTCCAAAAGTAGTAGCCACAGCAGACCTTTACTTGGTACATATAACTCCCACTATAGGAACCTACTTCTTTTAAAATGTAAGAACATTTTGTATGAGAGAAAACCATGTTTATTTGTTGTTTAGTTTACAAAATTTCCTATGGTTTCAAGGAAACAGAACAATGTAAAAAAATACAGAATCAGCATAACCTACCAACTCTAAAGTCTCTATTTTCATGCAATTATTTCATCATAATGTCATTATCACATGAACTAATCTGATTTTACAGTCAGCACAGAGGAACATCTAAGCATTCCATAAACACTATTTGAAATTAGCTCTATTTTGAGCATACGCCAGAGAAGTGGTAAGTTGTAGATGAGTTAAACCTACACAATTTGGTCTCAAAGAACCTGTTATGGCAAACTTACAAAGTTTAAGTTGCTTCTCTGAGGACTAAACAGTATAATTTCTGTTTTCTATTTTAAGATACACAAATCAGGAAACAAAAATGCATCCTCAAAGTAGGAATTAATGAAGCATCGGAAAATGTTCCAAATCAATTTGTTCCAGGGAGCTCAGTACGTTGCAGGCAAAGAACAAGGCTACAACAACCAAAGATTACCTTATGCAGCTGTTTTAAGTTCCTGTTCTCAAATACTTTTACACAAAAGACCAAGCGGGCCTTTGCAAGTCCACAGTGATTTCTTAATTGCCCATTTAGTAGTGGTCTGGCTGGAAACTGAAAAGTCTCTGCGCATAAGGGTCTGTTTCAGCTGCCACCTTCTGCCCTGTGTAAGCGTGGCAACTCTCCTGGTGGAAATGCTCACAGTGAAAGTTAATCCAGCCTTTCTCTGCACTGTATCTCTCGGCTTCAGCGAGGATCCTCGTCAGGGCCATAATGTAACTCAGGGCCATCTGAAGCGTCTCGTATTTGGACAGCTTTTTGTCTTGCCCCCACTGGGGGACCACTTTGCGTAGGCGGTCGAAGGCAGTGTTGAGCCCTTGCATTCTTCTCCTTTCCCTGGCATTGGCAGCCAGCCTGCGCTTGGCAGTGCTCTCCACGCGCTCAGAGCCACACTTTGCTGCACAGACCGTTCCGTTTCGGCACTGGAGGTCCGTTTCCAAGCTAGCATCCATGCTGCTATTCAGTTTGCAGGGTTTCATGTGGGATGTTTTGCAAATAAACAAATGAATGAACCGCAGCCAATGAATGCGTTGGTAGACAGAAAGCTTTTGCTACGATTCTCCTTTTTCGTTCTCGTTTTAAAAGGAAAAAGAAAAAACCCAGCTTCACCTGGAGTTCAAGAAGATGGACTTTTTTGGAAAAGCAACATCTCCCCACACTTGCAAAACAATACTGAGGCTTAAAATTGTTCCTTCACCCCTCAGATTAAAGACTGAAATCAGGAGTGCACATGGCAATTAACTGGATGTTTTTATTTGTCTTCATTTCATTCTGTTTGGTAATGACGGGGGAACAAATGGCATCGCTGCTCTCAAAAGTTCAGGTTTCAAATGGACCAAAAAAAGGAGGAGGAGTCCTTTTAATCCAAAAAAAAAGTTTCAATGGACAGGAAAAATAAATAAAAATCTATTCCAATTGACTGCACAGTAACAGTGGGCAGAGAGGAATAAAGTCTTCGTGATTCTTCTTCAAGTGATGGTGTCTTACGCGGATGCTAAGACAGAGAGAGATAAACCCTCTTGCTACTTCCTCGGTTGATAGTGTTGGTCAGTGAGCCTAAATTACAAGCAAGGGAAGTCTTTATAGAGGCACTGGCAAAAGCTGAACAGGTGGCAGCAGGTGGGTGGGCGGCCCTGTATTTCCATCCCAGCACCTTCCCACCCTGGGAACGACACAAAAAAACCTCCTCCAACAAAATCCTGACATTGCAGGCTTCATCTGTTGAAAAGTCTCCCAAAGCCATGTCTGTCCAGCCCTAACAACTTGCCATCTGGACTAATGTCTGGCTGGCCCCACAAGAATCACGACAGCTAAGCAAAAGGTCTTTTCAATGAATAACCTTCTGCAGCTCAGCAAAAACCTTTCCTGACACATCACAGCATTGAGTCTGAATTTGCTTGAAAGTGCTTGGTTGGGAGAAGAAGCTGCTGCTAATAAGGATATCTAAGCCCAAGAGGAAGAGAATTTGCAAACAGCTTTAAAGGAACACACAAACCTAACTGCAAAGTGAAGCATGTTGGGCAAATGGCAGAATTAGGGATTTTCCCAATTGCCACAGTGAGAAGTGTAATATTTCATAAAGCACCAATGAACCTCAGTGTGTGTGTGTGTGTGTGTGTGTGTGTGTGTGTGTGTGTTTGTATAGTTGCTTATATATATTTGAACCGAAATTTAAATATTTATAATATTCAAATTATTTAAAAAATGGATTTAGAAATCCACCTTACAGTTGCCTCAGGATGCATACTACAGATTTCATATAAATATACATTCTTGACCTCCAGCAAAAATATATAGAAACACCCTCTTCACATCTATTTCAAACAGCCAGATCAACATCAAGCAAAGTATTGACTAGTGCCTTGTAAGCCAGCTTAATACATAATAAAGAAGTCTATCAAACAAAAGACTAATGACAAGAAATACTGACAATGAAATTATTGAATTATCGTATGTTCACTTTTTAGGCTACTTATTATACGTATGGAGGTTGAAGAATATTTTTGTAGCTTATTTTAGTTTTATTGTGAGGATGTTTCCTCCCCACGCCTTTCAAATATTTTCTCCTCCAAACATGCTGTGTGTTACAAAGCAAAGCAACAATGTTTTATATATATTTTCAGACCAATTAAATTGTTACCGAGTATTTATGGACGAGTCATCTTTTCATTCAGACTTGTAACATGGCATTTTGATCTAAAACTGTAGACCAATTGTTCCCACTATGACTCCAAAACATCATGTGGTTGCAAACAGTTGATTAATCCTTCACAGTGGCAAGGACAATGAATGAAGTTGAATAATCTGAAAACAATAGGATGCAATTGAGCATTAGTGGACTCCAGCATGACAGATGTTGAACCTAGTCTGTTAGGCACCGTCACTCTGCTCCTAATATTCTGCATCCTAAATGGTGTAGTTAATATGGGCACCCGACCACCCCCATTATTTCATTAGCAAAATGTCTGGTACATTTTCAATTTTTAAAGAACTGTATTATGTTCTCGTTCCAGCAAGATCATTACTTGTTCATTCAACTGTGCACTGATTGTTTTTCCCTCCATCATTTGCTTTCCTAACAACCATTTGTGATTTAGATATAAAAAGATGGAAAATATAATTTAAGATTGTCATGAAGCTGTTTATTTCCACCCCGGAGCATCAGATCTGTACTTAAATTCTAGCAAACATTCAAACTGGATATATGCACAAAATTTTCACAAATAGTTATAGCTGCACAAATGTTTGTAAACTGAGCAATCACATTATTACCATATTTGGAACTGAAACTTAAACATGGCCCCTTTCTTATGGCTAATCAAACTGCAATTGAGTCTCATTTACAACCCCGTGGTTTGCTTTATTTGGCTCATCTTTCAAAATCATTTATTTATTCACTGTGGTTTTTGTAAAAGGACATGCTAGGCTACTAGATCTAATCAGTGCTTATTGGAAACAAGAACCACTACTCAAAAATAGGCTGTAAATCTGTTAACAACTGCTTGCTAGTACTTTATCTAGGATCATAATGGTATGTGACACTTCATAAACAAAGTTAAGCAAAGAAAGAAAGATAGGTCCTTGTCCCAAGAGTTTGGAGTCAAAATTTAAACAGTGGGATAAACAACAAAGAGAGAAGGGTTGGGATTGTGAAATGAAAGTAACAGAGGATGGATATAAGCAAATATAGTTTCATCTTACGATTCAGCTACACAGCTACAAATAAAACATTTTAAATGTGTTGTAAAGTGCAATATACAAATGTAACACTAGATGGCAGCAGTGAACTATGCAAAATTCAATGTATTTTTAAAAACTTTTTTTTAAAAAAGCATTTTCACAGCATTTTTTATATGTGTGCAGATAGCACCTTCCTTAGGAGCATAGGAAGCTACTTTATACTGAGTCAGTTGCTTCTGGATCCCCTCTGGGATTAGGGGCCCTGAAACCTAAGATTCATTAGGTCCATAGTAGAGCTGCCCTTTGGCCTTCCACTCGTCGTTGGACTCCATCTCAACTCAGACCCAACTAAGCATGGCCAATGACCAGGGATGGTGGGAGTTGTATTCTAGCAACATCTAGAGGGCCACAGGTTCCCCCCACTTGCCTTATATCCAAGATCCAATTTATTATAATAAAACCAGTTCTATGTGCCCAATTAGCAAGGTATAGGGAAGGAGTAGTCTTTTGTGCCAGCCTGTTTCCTAGCTTGGCTGTTTGGACAAGAAAGAGGGAAGGCACCAAAGATATGCCAGATGTATTATAACCAACTTAACCCAAAGTCTATATAAGTAATAATAATTAATGCAGACTGGCATCCTAAATAGGAATTCCTCTAAGATTTCCACTTACCAAGTGGTAATTCAACAGGATGGGCATGAAATCACATTTTAGCAGGCCAGGTATCTGTAACATCTGTTTTGGAATTGTTTTTAGACTTTTTTTAGATTTGTAAATTGTTTTATCATTTGTGCATTTTCTGTCCTGGCAGAGGTGGTTTTAGAGTCACGCGACCGGTTCAGCCACACTGGGCACCGTGCTGCAGGGGGCACCACAAGAATGCTGTATAACAGAGTGAGAGAGGGGGTGCTGAAATTTAAGAGCCCCAAATCTGCCACTGCTCTTGGGCTCCTGTGGGAGCAACGGTGGGATATAAATTTATTTAAATGAATAAATAAATCCTGTTATATGACACGGAGAATTTGACCCTCCACATTCTTAATTGTTGTTGTTTAATTGTGTGCAGTACTAGCATGTCCCACTTCAGCAGGATGTTATAGACTACTGGTAGCTTATCAAGTGGCTGGATGCTCTCCGTGGTAAATTGCCGCTTGGTCAATGGTGTTCTGTATTCACCTAGCTAAGGTACGGCATCATTAGGCCAGCGGTATCCAATGTGGTGCCCGCCATATGTTGTTGGACTACAACTCCCATCAGCCCCAGCCAGCGTAGCCAATGACCAAGGATGATGGGAATTGTTTTGAAGGCACCACATTGGCTCACCTTCTCATAAGCAATGTCATAATCCATTGCTTGGTCTGTCAACCGTTCAACTGTCAGAGATGCATTACCATAACTGTATTGCGATGGTGAATGACAGAGGCCTATTATTTTTTAATTCAGGGTTATTTTCTTGTGCAAATGGGCATAAAATTACAACCTACAACCTAGAGTTTCTCATTGATTTCCAATTGGCACAGTACGCCAGATGCTGTTTGGTCTAAGTGCTGCTTTGACCTCCACTAGTGATGCGGACTGCCTTTCTGCTTTCTTGCATAGCCTTTTCTCAGCAGGGAGGCCCCCACCTTTTACCAAAGGCTTATACGTTATCCATATGTTCCAGTGGAGTAGCGGGCCTGACTGGAATTAAGTTAGAAGTGGCGTCCAGTGTTGTGGATGGAACTGGCCCAGAAGAGATTATAAATGCCCCTGACCTAATTAAATATTTTGCCCCCTGCTGATAAACAAAAGAAAATGAAGGTGAAAAATAATGACGAAACATGCAATTTCACTAGGATCTTTAAGTAGCTAGACAATGGCCGCTCTAGGGTTAGTAATGCATGCTTTAAAAGTCTCTAATGGGGCAAACCAGTGGCACAAATGAGACCTGATTATTTTGTTATGTTGTTAGTTCACAATCAACATTCAGAGCAATTCGCAGCTGAGAGAGATTCAGGCTATCATTACAAAACTTTAAAATTCCCCTGCCCCAATGCCCAAATATTCTGAGCTAATTTCTAACCTAAGTTTGGCTACATAATTGTCGGCACTCACTGCCTGAGTTTGCCATTAGAATGAGTTGATGAGTGATGATACTGTCTAGCTGAGTTCCACATACTCCAGAACCAATTGCCCATTGCACAGTCCTGAGCTTTTGGTAAGAGTTAAAAACAAGCCCAAAATCAAAATCCCTAATTAATTAGTCTTCTAGTTAGCAAACATATGAAGATTGCAGTATCCTGGAACAGAATGTTCAGTGCTTTCTGAAGTATCGCTTGGTTTAAGATTGATGAAGGGCTGCTGAGGTCAGGTTTGTAAATATAAAACCATCTGCAAACTCTCCTGGGCTGGGACCTGCAGCAGAGTAATTTTAAAAGAGCAGGTGCTCATTCTGAATGTTGTTTTTTTTCTGCTGAAATTGTTACTTTATCAAGGCTGTTTCTAGCTAATTATCAAAGGTATCTTGTGGGTGCTTATCAGTGAGGATTTTAATTATGTCATTTTGTTTTTAAAATGCTAAGTATGTAGAGTCTCTTAAATGATTTTTTTTTTTTAAGTATAGATACTTCAGCAGGAGATGTAACACAGCTCAAACAGACCCAAAGTAGAAATTATACATAAATGCAGGCAAGAAGGGTGGGTGGGTGTGGGTGTGTTTGCGCTTGCAAGAGGGATTCAAGCACATACCAGAATTTTTGGTTTGTGTGTTTAAAGTGGATTAAAGTTCTCTGCTGCCCTAGTGTGACAAAGCCACTTTTTGCAGTTTGAAAAGTGACAGGAAAATCGTTTTTATATTTTAACTATATGTTGTCCGGAGGCTGCAATATTAGACCAGTAAGGCATCAAGGCCTTTCTTAAATAGTTGTCTATGCATGCAAGCAACTTTACTTCCTCATTACCTAGTGAGGGAACAATACTAACCACTCAACCTCCACTTATCCCAAAGTGGATTTCTCCCAAAGTAAATTTCCTTCACAGCAAACTGGTCTACAATGAAATTGTTTAACTTTAATATAAATGTATATTTTTTTCCAAATAAAATAAAGATGGATAAGGTGACACATTTAGAAATTAATGATGGTGTAAAGCATCAGGGTACTCTAGGATTCCTCATAAACTTATCAAAGCAGAGGTCCCCAATGTAGGGTCGCCATATTTCAAACAGTGAAAATCCAGACAGAAAAGTTACTGAGCTTTTTTTGGCCAACCCTAAGATCAGTAATGGTTTGCATATCACATTAAATTACTTGTCTGCTGTCAAAACCTGAGTATGTGGTTTGCTTGTCTTTAAACGAACCATGTACAGTAGCTAAGGTCTGTTGCTGGTTTACCACTTGTGATTTGGAAAACACAGCAAGCCAAGGTTTTGAGTTTCCTTTTCCAGGAACAGCATGGACAATAAAGGGGGGGGGAGCAAAGTGGTGACTTTTAAACAGTGTGCGCTAGCATGCTACTTGTTTGTGCCCAGCCAACACTTACTGTAGTTGGTGATGTGTGAACACAGTCTATGCATCTGTGTTGCCTGCCCTATTCCATCAGAGTTTGCCCCAACAAAATGCATTGTTCTTGAACATTCTCATAGCAACAACTGCCTCTTTTTCAAAACTAGGTTCTGGGTGGGTATTTTATACTGCCTGTGGACACTTTTATATACTGCCAATAAGGCAAATAAACCAGAACTAGCTTATATTAATTAAACATATTCCTTTTTCCTTTACAAGTTTTCAAGGGCAGTGGTTCTTACATCACTGCTTTCATGCTTGTATTTATTTTTTTTAAGTCCTTGGCGATTGGTCCATACAGCATCTGCTGTGGCAAAATGATTTCATTTTTCATTTTATTGACTTCTCTAACATCAAAATGCAACAGCAACCATTTTGCTTCCTTTCTAGCTTTTTTTTTTCCTTCCTATTTTGGTGTCACCTTTAATTTTCATTTCTTTCTTTTCCCCTGGGAAAATTGTCTTTATAGCATAAGTTTCCCAGTCACTAGATGGTGAGACAAAGAAATCAGTTCGTTTCTCAACAGTATTTGCCTCAGCTGTCACTAAGCGTCCCTCCTTTTTCTCCGCTACCTCACCCCCTCCCTCCTTTCTGGGTGCTCAGTCTAGCAATGACCTCTTGCTGTGTAGGGATCAGTAGTTTCTTCTTCTTGGTTTTTATTTCCAACACTGACAATCACTATTACTAATTTACTTTCCTTTGGTTGATTTCCCTCTTGACTTTCCTCAGGTCCCTCACACTTTCCTCAAGTAGACTGATTATGTAAACAGCTTCATATGGAAAATGTTGGCTTTTTCCTGATTTTGTTTTACATTCTTCCCCAGTGTTCATTTCACTTTTCCGTATCACATTATACTTCGTAAGCCAAAGATGGGCCGCTTAACTCTTTGCCTTCCCATCAATCTTCCTTTGCAGATGCCCTTCAAACCATTTTTGCCTGCTTTTTAGCCAACCATACTTTTAAGCAAATAGTAACTCTGAGGTTATCTGGAAGAGATAACTGGCAGGTGTGGGAAAGGTTAAGAACTCCCTCCTGGCTGTCAATTCTCCCCTATAAATCCCCCCTTAAATCGACACATTTTTGTTGCCCAGGCCAATTTGGGCTTGGAAGCATATGTTTGCTGAGGTATAATGTGTAGTCTTATCCTTAAGGCTGTTTGTTTTACTTCTCCATTAGCATTATATTTACTGCTTATCAGGTATTTTGCTATTTCATTCCGTTCTGAGCTGTACATTACAACAATCGCAGACAGTAAAGTAACTGTGTTGCATGCTCACAATCACAAACTGTAAATTCCCTCTCCACCCTACCAGTATTCTATTACCTTTAGGTAAACTGCACCCAAACACAGAAAATTTCTCAAAACAGATGACTGAGGCAGGTGTGGCCACAAAGGAGATAAGAAGACCGCTTAAACTCTAAGCTCTGCTTCAAGATCCAGAAAAACAGGAAAAGCCCCTGCTGTCTAACCCCCCCAAAAAAAATCTTGAAGAAAGGAGAGAATGGGTTCAGAAAAGCTGAAAACAAAAGGCCTCACTCCATTCTGCCTGCCTGAAGACAGAAGGCTCACTTCTCAACAAGGACACTAATGAAGGCCGCAATCAAGATGGCATCACCCTCAATAAAGGCCTCTTCCTCACTGGAGAAAGAAATTTGGTATATCTTAAGAGAATTGGCAGCACAAGAAGCAGCTATGAACAAGCTTCTTAAAAATACTCAGAAAGCACTAATGCTTCCAATGGAAATGAAATTGACAGAACAGAAACTACAGCAACAGAAAAATTAAGCCAAATCCATGACAAAAAGATCAAAGAATTACAAAAAGAAAATGTATTCACAGCAAGCTTGAAGATGCAGAAAATCAAAATAGGAAAATTAGTTTGTGTTTATGTTGTTTTAAAGAGGGAGTGGAAGAGAGTGATCTGCACAATTTATTGCCTCATGGTTTAAATCACTGCTTTCAGACCTCATAATCTCCGCTAATGGTTTTGAGCACCTGGACCCAAACTGAGGGAGGAGCTTCCCTGCCCCGTGTGATATAGTTGTCTGCTTTGCCTATTACAGAAAGGAACAAGTGGGGAACAAACTGAGGAACCTCATATCCATAACTTATAAAAACAGCCCAGTTATGGTGATGCAGGATCTGGTTTATGAAACACGGGCAGGGGGGAGGGCGGGGAATAAATCTATGTGCTTGTATGATTAAACTGCAAGAAGCTGGGATTAAATATCATTGGGGCTTCCCCTTCCGTCTTATTCTCATGAGAGGATTGACACAGCTCACAGCAACAAATAGACTGGGGAAAACCAGATTGTCCTGAAGTTGAACACTTGGCCTACCTGGTAGCAAGTCCAAAGTCTGGGGGGGGGGGGGGGCAGACCACACAAGCAAAGTCCAAAGTTCAGGAAACACAGTCCAGGGTCAATCCAAGTAGCGAAGTCTGAAGTCCCAGTCAGGATACACTCCAGAGACAATCCTAAAGCACAGTCCCAAAGTGGTCCAGGAGCATCCAAGCCAAGGGCAGTTGAACAGACACAACACCTCAGCTCAGCTTCCCTTTTACACTATGCCTGCTGATTGCAGCATCTGGGCTTGATGAGGCAGGTGACTCTCACCTGTTCTAAGCCTACTGCAGCTGAGGAATCACAACCCTCCTTCCAGAACTAGTGGCCAGCTAGAGAGCTGGGCTACGGGCCCTTGCCTGCCTCAGCCTCCTAGAGTGCCACTCCCACTGCTCCCTACACCTCACAGCCCATGTACATGGGGACAGGGCCCCTCTGGCTCTGGTGATAGGTCCTGCTGCTCTGGTTCCTGTGCATTCACCTCCATCCCCTCACCATCCTCCATCCCCTTGTACTTCCTTCTCCATTCTCTGCTTGCCCTGGTGTGCCCCAGTCCCAGCTACACCCCTCACCAGGATCCTCTCCCTCCTTCTCGTTGTCCTGCCAGTTCATGACACAGATCTGCACAACACTGGTGGTATTGACTTACCGGTACCTCTAGAATGGTAGCAAGGAGAGGCAATGGAAGAACAACACACTGAACTTTCCAATGTAGGTTGGGAGGCTGCAAAAAGAAGCAAAAGAACCCACAAACACCTCACACATAAACAGGTATTTTATTTTTGCTGATGGAAAAACTGTAATGTATTAAAACAGACCTTGGCAACTAATTAGTATGGTCGGGTCAACACAGCAATATTTCATGGGGAATGAAGTTTCACTGCTCAGAAAACGAGGTCTTCTATTCTTGCCACTCTCAGCAGCCAAAGCCTCGTTCTGCACACGGTTGCATGTTTAATTAGCAGTCCTTCTGTAAGTGTCTGCAATTAGCACCACGATGATTAATAAAATAACCTCTTTAAAGCTCCATTTAGCCAGGAGAAATGCAAAATCAGGGATAATTAATTCATCATTAATAAATCATGGCTGATTAACTAATCTGTTGATTACAAACACATTTAGAGCTCAGACTCCCACCTGAGCTCTCTGCTTCTTTTTTTGTTGTTGTCTGCACTACACAGAAAAAATAAACAAAGAAAAAATAAACTGTACCAAAAAGCCCAACACCATGAATAAAGAAATCTGCGTTAAGCAGCAACTATATTGGTCTAGTCAGGAAGATTTAGATAGGGCGTGCTTTAAAAAACTTATTAGACTTGGCTGATTATTTTATTCCCCCAGGAAAGAAAACTGCATTGTCTATTTGTTAAATCTGGACAGGTGAACAGTAATTGCCTCCTTAGTGCAGCTACAGGAGTCCTACAAGCATTTCATATAGGTAAATTATTGTCTGTGTGGCACTCCTGGGTAGGCCAGTTGGTGTGAAGCATTCAGCCCCAAACAGTAAGACTACTCCTGTTCAACTATCCAAGACTTGGACTAGCAGCGCAGTATGGACTGGCCAGCCCAATACCAGCTGCTGGAAATCACAAGTGGGGAGAATGCTGTTGCACTCAAGGTCCTACTTACAGGTTCCATCTGGCTGGCCACTGTGAGAACAGGATGCTGGACCTTTGTTCTGATCCAGTATGGCTCTTATGTTCTTAAAACAGGGCAATAGCCAGGATTTGTATAGCAGATGCTCTTTTAGCATTTCAACTTGGTACAGCTCCCCTTCTTTGCATGTATGCAAACCCAACAATCAACATGTCTAATAGAAAACTATTCAGGGCAACCTGAGCTTAAAACCTCTAAAGAAGCCTCCCCAGAGGTTCAGGTCAGTTGCTATGGGAAGTACACACTTGTCTGGCCCCACACGGACAAATATTTGACCTTTATGCCTTAACTGGGTGAGATCTTATTCGGAGTTGTAAATCATGAAGCAGCAAATTATTTTCCAAATCACATGGCAGTTTCACATTAACAGATGGCTGGCCACCACGAAGAAATACACTCATCTATTTTCAAGTAGTTGCATGCGGCTATCTGTATTATTTAGAGATTTTAAATTTCTGTAGTTCTGTAGTCCCTCCCCCCCGAACTAGTTTTGGGGGATCCAGAATTAGGTGGATATATGTGTATTATATATCCGGGGACGCAGGTGGCGCTGTGGGTTAAACCAGAGCCTAGGACTTGCTGATCAGAAGGTCGGCGGTTCGAATCCCCACGATGGGGTGAGCTCCCGTTGATCGGTCCCTGCTCCTGCCAACCTAGCAGTTTGAAAGCACGAAGTGCAAGTAGATAAATAGGTACCGCTCCGGCGGGAAGTAAATGCCGTTTCCGTGTGCTGCTCTGGTTCGCCAGAAGCGGCTTAGTCATGCTGGCCACATGACCTGGAAGCTGTACGCCGGCTCCCTCAGCCAATAAAGCAAGATGAGCGCTGCAACCCGAGAGTCGGTCACGACTCGACCTAATGGTCAGGGATCCCTTTACCTTTACCTATGTGTATTACATTTTTAGGTTATTGAAAGAGGGCCAACTCCAGGTGTGTGGGGCGGGTGCAGGGCAAAGTGTGGTATTGCATTATAAGGGAATTAAAATGGTGGCAAGAATGAGTCAAGCTGCTTGACCTGGGGGGCGGGAAATAAAAATAAAGAGGAAACCAACCAGAACTGAGGTCATGGACTAGTTGGACACAGAGGAACGGTGGAAGGAAGAAGAAGAAGAAGAAGAAGAAGAAGAAGAAGAAGAAGAAGAGGAGGAGTAGTAGTTTGGATTTGATATCCCGCTTTATCACTACCCGAAGGAGTCTCAAAGCGGCTAACATTCTCCTTTCCCTTCCTCCCCCACAACAAACACTCTGTGAGGTAAGTGGGGCTGAGAGACTTCAAAGAAGTGTGACTGGCCCAAGGTCACCCAGCAGCTGCATGTGGAGGAGCGGAGACGCGAACCCGGTTCCCCAGATTACGAGACTACCGCTCTTAACCACTACACCACACTGGAAGCTTCTGGGAAATCCCCCAAGGGAAAAAAGCTCAGAGCTTGGGGACTGGTGGTGGGACAATGATGAGTGGTCAGAGAGAGGAGAGTGGGAGGAGGAGGTGGAAGTTGGGAGTCTTTGGCAGAAATAAGTCCAGAATCAGTGGCAGAAGCTGAAACAGGAGAGGGGGATGAGAGGGCAAGAGGGAGAGATGAGTCTGGCCGATGAAGAGTCACGGGTGTCTCCCGTTCCTGCTGCAACAAGCTCCTTCCCCTCTAGTTTCCCAGAACAAAAAGAGGCATAAAAGGGGTGAAGAAGTTAGCTTCATGCAGGCACAGTCTGATGTTGCTTTAGAAAAACCCTGGAGGGGACTTAAGACAGCTGTGGGGAGGTGGGGGCTTTTAGTCTTGGCAACTGATCCATGGGATCAGACGTACCAGGGATGAGCTTCTGTCCTCATTAGGCCTGACACTCGGCCAAGTCTGTGCAAATCATGTTCTTGCTTATAAAGAGTTAACTCTAACTTGCAGAGTGTGATTTACATGCTTCTGAGACTTGATTTCAAATATGATGGAGACTGGTGCCCAAACCTTTTTCATCCTGAAAACTACATTCCCTTCTGGACAACCTTCTGGACGCCATGTGATGCTGGAGCTTGTAGGAGCAGAGGCAAAAATGGGTGGAGCAATTAATATAAATTTTACCTGCGTACAACAGACTAGCTTCTACACACACACCATTCTCTATCCTCGATACAGGAAAGCAAGAGGCATCACCAGAGTTCAAGGGCACATTCCAGCCAGGCAAAAATACAAAAGGATGGTATGAAGTAGAGGTTTGGAGAATTGCATTAGGTCTCTAACTCTGCTTTAGAGGTCTACCAAATTCAAGCTTATATACGTAGAGCTATTTACTAGGATAGGATTAAACAGTCATGGAATGAATTGTCCCAAGCAGTTACAAAGGTGATAGACAGAAATTGCAACACATTATTAAATAAATGTGTTCCTTAATCTGTTATGATCTGGCTCAAGCAGCCAGGATAGCACGGAAGAGGATAGTAATGGAAATAAAAATATACAAACATTTTATTTTAATTTTAAAAAAATTATATACCACAATAGTCTCAGGGCAGTTTACAAATATGCAATGCAACAAATAAAAATCAGATAAAACTATAAAATCAAACTTCAGTTAAATTGCCTGTCTTCTGAATTATGTCCATTTTGCCTTTTGATTTAAGTAGTCGTTTTCTCTGTAAAATATTCATCTGCATCAGCAACGATAAGAATAAATGGAAATTTGTAATGACGAAGAGCTTTATTTAATTTTATTTTCTCTCTCTCCTTTTTTCAGCGTATTTTCTTAAATGGTCAAAAAACCCTTCAACACAATGACTGTTTGGCCACTGACGTCTACTCTTCCATCAGGCCGAAGCAGAATCTTCAACTTTCCTCCACGAGCAGAACACTGAAATGCTAAACAAAGAGAGGGGGGAGGCTTGTATTTATATTTCCTATTATCTGTGTTCCCCATGAACGATGCATGTTGCAATGCTTGGTTGTCACTAATGAGCAGCAGATGGGTTAAAGAAAGGGGAAAGCTCTGTGGAACTACTGAACTCAGCAGAGCCAATCCACTGACAGGCTATGGTGAAGCCCTCACCCTAGACAGCAAATAGGGATGATGCAAACTCCACCTGTCCCCCACAAAACTCTGCTGCCTATGTGCATGTTACATGCTGCACAGTCTCTCCTCATGCTCCCTCCACCTTTGGAGGCCAGGGAAGAGCCTTCAAAGAAGGAATGTTTTTGAGTTTGGAAGAAAAGTAAGTGTCTCTTCAGAACTTACAGTTCTGTGAAGGAACTCTTAATGCACGAGCTCCTGCTCCCATGTAAGGTCTTACATATAAGAATTCCTTTACAGACAACCACATGGAACACATGTCTGGGGGAAGGATGCAGGGGATGGGGCTAAACGCGTGGCCCTGCTCCTGAGTGAGCAGGAAATTACCCCACACCCGAGTAATGTGTGAACTGATCTACAGTTTCAAGTAGATATGGGGACAGCAAATCCCATACATTAACTCATCTAGAGCCAAACAGCTTAAAAATAATACTGTACATGTATTTCTTTAGATCCAGACTTGAAAGACACATTGCCATTGATTTTAAGTGACCAATATCATCTTCACTTGCCTATGGTTCTTATTTTTAGAAGGAAAGCCACAGTAATTTTACCCTGCTGCACGCAAACTGGAAAGAACAGCTTGGTTTAAATTTCTTCTTTCATCAATTTTGGCAAGGGTGGAAAAACTAATACACCTGAGATCCTTGCACAGCACTCTGCCCATATACATTCCTGAACCCTTGCTTGCCTTCAGACCCTCTGGCTAAACAGGAGGAAAAATTAATCTGTAATTAAAGTTTCTGCAGATTTTATTTTTAACAGATTACATTTATTAAATTACTGAGCCCTAAGGTTTGTTCTTATAAATGAAGAGAGATTCTTACCACACATTTCCTTTTTCCCCAGTTGTTGTGACCAGTAACTACTTAAGACAGTATGAGCAGATCCTGGAAAGAAAATGAAAAGATGTAATAATCATAACCAAAAAAGCACACCACATGCATTAAAAACATAAATCCTTATAATGCCACAGTAAGGTAAGGCTGAATTATTATCCTCATTTGCAAACTGGCTGTCACATGGGGAAGGGCAATATCCTGCAAAGACCTTTGGGATGTGCAGAACATCTCCACACATTAGAATTCTCCTCCATGCCTTGTAGCCATGAGGGCTGAAGCATCCACAATTGAAGAAAGGAGGCAGATTTATCTTTAACCAGGCCTTTGGCTGATTGACATCTGATGCCCTTTTAAAATGTATTGTGGAAAGGGGGATTATTGGGTTGTCATTGCTTTTTTTGTTTTTATTATGTATTTTCTGTTTTTTACATTGTGATTTTTATATGGGATTTTACTTTTGTGAACCGTCCTGAGATCCAAGGGTATAAGGCTGTATACAAATACTATTATTATTAACCCATATCATACCTGCATGGCACCTTCCAGGACTCTGTTTCTTCAACATGGTAGAGTGGGAAGATTTGACAGATGACCATATTTTATCAAATTGGTTTTTTAAACAACAACAACCCATAAACACCAAGCTTTTGAGAGTGTGTTAAAAGCCATTATAAAGATTGATTGTGGTGTATTTTATTTTTATTTGTCCTTCATTGGTACTAGGTCAACCTTTCAAATTATACCAAAACTAAAACCCACTCATGTGCATGTGGTGCTCCTGAACAATATAGCATCTAGCATCCATTTTATTGTTGATTCATTTACTTTTCTATTTCAAGAATCTCTTAAGGGTTTTAAACACCAAATAGGCACATCTATATACACATGTATTTTTTTTTAAGCTATCATGTTAATCCAATATAGTTACATATAACAAATAATGCTTGGCCATGTATAGTGCCATGGGCTTTCATACGCAAAAACCTGCCTCAACAGATGTATCTGATGAGAGTAAAAGCTCGTTTTGTTCATTTGTTAAAGGTATTGTTGGCTTTTCTTGTTTTTTGCTACAGCAGAGTAGCCCAGCAGTTCTTCTGAATTTTGTACATAGTAAAGCTTCCAACAGGAATTATTCCCCTATGCTTAATAAAAACGAGAGCAAAGCGCTGCTTAAACACACAAACACACCTGTGACAGGATCTTCTAAAACTCCAACCCATGGAGCAAAGTATCGAGAGAAAAAGTCATAGCTTTCATGTTTTCCGTGGAAATCTCCCCTAAGTGTGACTATTAATCCTTGGACTTTCCCAGTCTTCTCAGCCAGCAAAAGTTCTTGGCCATTCACTTGTATTTTCTCCAAATCAGACCTTGAGGTTAAGCATGGAATGTTAAACATTTAAATATGTTTTTCCTATGTATGCAAATTTAAAGCTAAAACATGCCAGTGAGAACAATTATGAGCTGAAACATACTGCAGTTCTGGGTATCTAAAGTAAGGATAGCGACAGTAAGAGCAAGTGCCCAGTACTGGTATAATGTCTGCAACAGCCTTCACCAACTTGGTGCCCTCCAGGGGTTTTGCAGTGCCAGTCAAATAGAATAAGGCATCAAGGAGGGGAGGTGGGGTTCACATTAATTTACATATAGCAAAGATGACGAGCCTATGGCCCTCTAGACATTGTTGGAGTCCAACTTCCATCAGCCCAAGCCAGCGCAGCCAATGGTCAACAATGAGGGGAGCTGCAATCCAGCAACCATCTGGCGTGCCAAATATTCCCCAGCCTTGCTAATACCTAATGAAATTTGTAGAAAAACACATATACCTTCCATAAGCATCACTGAGACGGACAAGGAGCTTCTTTGTGTCAGGAGAATAGCGAACATCTTGAACATTCATATCACTTACAGCTGCCTGGTAATAAAATATTACAGGATGAACCCCAAAGAACTAGAGCATCTCCTAAATTACAATCATTAAGGATGCATTACATTCTCAGTCAAATCAAAGGATGCACACATTTCAGGCACACGTGTGGGAGAACAGACAGATGACTTCCTCTTCTTAACACTTTGAGAACCCAAATTTAAACCCCTCTCCCTCTGGAATAAGTTGTGTGTGCTCCAGATGCAGAGAGAGCTTACTCATCTTTGCATCAGGATGACGTACAGGGCTCAAGCTTCATATGGTGCAAATAAACACAGAAAGAGAACACGCAGCCTACATGTGCTTTCTGTCTGCTCACTCAGATTCCTCCTGGTTTGTTTAGAACATTCGGAGAAGCCACACTTAAACACATGGACTGATGCCCAAGAGCTCAGAGATAATTTGGCTGAGATTTTCAAAGCCTGAAGGAGAGATACATTCACTTTTCATCTCCTCCCACAGTACCTTGACACTATTAATGCAGCTCAGTCTCTACTCCTTTAACTGGATCTGTCAAAAACCAAGCACCCATCCTCTCTAATGTAACCCCTAGTGTGCATGATTATCCCATTTTATCCTCACAACAGCCTTGCACAGTAGGCTAGACTGAAAGTTGGGGTCAGGCCCAAAGTGTACCTAATGTCCAAATGTAGATTTGAGCCCAGTTCTGTTCACCACAAACCACAGACTTTCTCTACTTTATTAACGGAACAATTTTGCAATAAGGACACAGTAGCTATTGCATCTGCATAATTTGAGGTACAGAGGATGTTTGCTACATGCAGGCCAATATGGCATGGAGAAAGAGACATAACGATGTATAACGTGTATGGCATAGAGCGGTGGTGCCCAATTGGTGGCCCGTGGACTCCGGGGGGGGGGTTATGTAACCCACCCAGGGTGTCCGTGGCAACATTCACGTAACAAAAGCTACCACAGATATATCAAAATTTTCAAAAGTAGGGGCTTGATGGGTTGGCTTTGGAAAAATAGGAGATCTGTAGTAATTGGGAACCACCGACATAGAGGTTTACCGGGTTAGACATGCCTCACTCTGCAAAAGTGTACAGTGCAGTAATAAGGAAGATGTTGTTGAATTGTTGGAAAACTCTGTGTTATTCACTATACATTTAATAAAATCACAATAAATAATATAAGGATCACACTAATTACCTTCACTAACTTTTCCACTTCCTGGAAATCCTGGATGAAAAGAAATAAATATGTATATAATGATTGCTCTTAACTAATCTTTTGGAAAAATGCTGGCAATTTAAGTCTATCTAACCTGTGGATAAGTAGGATAAAGGGGTAAGTCCAGGATAATACGATCGCCTGCTTGTCTGGCATTTAATTCTCCACTCAGAGTTACGAAAGTGAGGGTTGAATTCACATTTTCTGTTTTTAAAATTAGAAACATATAACTGTAATATAGGTTGAAAGGTATATTTGCAAATAACTTATAGCTTAAATGTTAATTACTCTTGTTGTGGAATAACACAGCTGCTGAGGCAAGGGTAGCGTGGCCACAGAGTGGGACCTCCTTAGCTGGTGTAAACCACCTCAATCCAAAATGGGAACCTAGGAAAAGAAAATTCAAGAGTCAGGTTTACAGTAAACTCTTCCTGTAGCTTTACGGCTGTATCACACCAGATTTTCAGCCATTTACTTGCCCTTTTATAGTGTTACTGCATGTGAATCCATTTCCACATAACACGCGTGGTTTTCTTTGATAAAAGAGAAAGAAAACACCCATCTATTTGTAACATGCCAATGACCGATATTAATTTTTAAAAATGGAAGTATGGGTGTGGTAGGTATTTGCGAAGATGAATCAGTAGCCTCTCTATAGGCTATTGTGTGTGTCAGCTATTTGGTGATAAAAATGTTCCACAGATGAAAATTCCTCCAAGATGAAGAAAATGAGATGGAACTACGCCCTGGACTGCCTGTGCTACAAAATGAGATGGCACATTCCTGAGGTGGCAAGAGTTGGTCACACCACTCCAGGTTGCATGTGATAGATGCCATTCTTAATGCATCTCTGAGTTGTTGTTTTAATTCTCTGTAGGAAAGCTAGCAGATTAGGAATAAAAATTCTAATCTGTGTCACCCCTTCTGCTACTTTTCTGCTTGCAGAGAGATTTTATGCAAAGGAGCATTCAGTGGTATCTCTCTGCTTTAGTCTTAAGCAATACAGTCCACTCTGCCACATTAGAAGTTGTAGAATTCCCGGGGTTCCTTGGGAAAAAGGTTTAACTGTTAAACCAGATTAGCTCTGTGGAATGTTTATACACCAAGTATTTATTGCTTCAACTTACATTATAGTCTACTAACTAAAGTATCAACCTTCCTTATATTTTTAAGCAGGGGATATGATCTACCTTCTGCTGAAGTCAACTGAAAAATTACCGCTTATTTTAATGTAGTCTTACTTCTTGTAAAGTCATCAGTAGGATGCAGTTTTCTGATGAATGCCGTTTCTGAGAGGTTCATTTCTGTTGCGATTTTTTGGTGCCAACCTTCTTCCAGTTCCTATTTTTAAAAAATCAAATAATTGCCCGTGAATTGGTATTATTTATTTTATAGCAAAATAAAAGACGTGATAAACAAAGAGCCTAGCATTACACATGAAGCTTAAATAGGTTCATGGTACAGGACTGGAACTGCTGGGATGTCTGGGAAAATCTGGATGTATGGTAAAAACACTTGTTGAATGATCAAAACTAAGTTTAAGTTCATCACAAACTGGATAAAAAATTAAAATTTTAGATTTAAACTTAGTTTTGATCATTCAGCAAGTGTACAAAATATTAAGAAAACTGGATGACATGAGGTGAAAAAGTTGGATCACTTGATATGGAATGACCCAGCAAAGCAAAGCAAAACAGAAACCCACAAACTCAGACAACTAACTAGCACCATCCTGTGGTAGTTTTGAAATATAGCAATCCTGTGTTTTCTTATTTTGGCCTAACTGACCCAGGGGTTTGTGGGGCCCTGTGCACAGTCCTTTATGGAGGACCTATTCATTCAACTAAATAAGCACCATCATGCCAAAATTAGGGTGTATGAGATGATATTAATAATGTTTCTGCCTTTGTGCTGTGCTCACCCCCAACAACTTGGGAACAATCCCGGCAGCAGGCTAGGTTGGAAAAAACTGATGATACAGTCAGACTTTGGCTCCTGAACGCCTTGTGAGTCCAACGTTTTGGCTCCTGAACGCCACAAACCCGGAAGTGAGTGTTCCAGTTTATGAACGTACGTCAGATGGGGCTTCCGCAGCTTCTGATTTGCTGTAGGAGCTTCCTGCAGCCAATGGGAAACCACGTTTTGGTTTTTGAACGTTTTGGAAGTCGAACAGACTTCCGGAATGGATTCCGTTCGACTTCCAAGGTACGACTGTACTAATAATGATGCCATTGAAATGCCTCCCCCATTTCAATTTGGGAAAAATCAGGGGAAACATGATAATAATGATGATAATAAAGATTATGATAATGACTCTGCACTCCCCCAGCCTCAAGCAACTTGGGAACAATCCAGGAAAATAAAATAATTATGATCCTTTTGCACTGGGCTCCTTCCCTCTCCCCACCTAGAAAAGCCCAAAAGCTTGGGAACAATCAGGAAAACGTGATGTTGAGATGAAAATGTCTCTGTACCTCCACTCCCCCCCAAAAGACAAATCAATAAAAGATGGGAGGATGAGGAAATCTGGACTACCCTGCCCCCCACAAACAGCTTTGGAACAATCCTTCCTGTATGGCAGGCTTCCTCAACCTCGGCCCTCCAGATGTTTTTGGCCTACAACTCCCATGATCCCTAGCTAGTAGGACCAGTGGTCAGGGGTGATGGGAATTGTAGTCTCAAAACATCTGGAGGGCTGAGGTTGAGGAAGCCTGCTGTTATGGCATGGCATGGAGAAACAAGAAAAAACTATATGCAGAGGGTACATAACTCTAGAAAATTAGCCAAACGACAGTCTAAAGGTCAAGTCACATATATACACTACATCAGAGCTTTCCAAACTGTGTGTTGCTGTGTGTCAGCTGCAGTGTGTAGATGTGTCACATGAACGCTCCCCACGCTCCTTTCGGGGCTGAAAAGTGGTTAGTTTAACCTCTGGTTGGCTAGTAAAACTGAATTACTGTGTCGTGAAATAATGCATGTCTAAAAAGTGTGTCACCAACATGAAAAGTTTGGAAAGCTCTGCACTACATGGTCCAAGATTTAATGATTCAAGATACAAGTACATATTTGCAAATGGGCATCCAGAGACTGAGAGATGGTGTGCCAATTGAGCTACTGAATCCTTGGCACAGCACTCCTGAGCACAGCCAGTGTAGCTGTGTGGCCAAACATTCTTAAACACCAGCCAAAAAAGCTGCTGAGCAATGGATTCAGACAGGCACAAGAGGAATTCATTGACAGAGGTTACAGACGTATGAGAAAGTGCTGAGACTACAGGGAGACAAAGAGCACAAAGAAAGGCAGATAAGGGTGCAAGGGACAGAGAGGGGCAAAAGGCACAAATAAAATTCAGTGGGCAACACATGCACAAACAGGAAAAGAACTCGTTAGGAACAAAGTCTTATACTGAGTCAGACTACTGGTCCATCCAGTACATTATCTAAAACTGTCAACCTGAGCGAGCCATGGCACCTGTAGACACCAAGTTGATGACCTTCTTGTGTTTTTTGGAGTCAATCCATTGCCTTCTCTTATGGAGGAGCTTTTCTGAATGAGGGGATCTTGTTCTTCAAATGCCACTATCATCCACAAGTGCCTAGAAACATTCAAATATTTGTCCAAGAAGGCTAGAATGTTAGTATCTTCAGGGTCCAAGTCCAGTTTCCATAGGAGTGGCCTGATCACTGCCTGATCTATGGTTATTTTCTACTTCTTGATTGTGGCACAGCAGTACAGTGGTACCTTGTTGACCTTGGGTCAACACTCGGGTTACAGACTCCACTAACCCGGAAGTAGTACCTCGAGTTAAGGACTTTACCTCAGGATGAGAACAGAAATTGTGTGTCGGCGGTGCAATGGCAGTGGGAGGCCCCATTAGCAAAAGTGGTACGTCAGGTTAAGAACGGTTTCAGGTTAAGAATGGACCTCCGGAACGAATTAAGTTCGTAACCAGAGGTACCACTGCAGTCATGATCACAGATCATAAACAGATGATATGCTGTTGAAGGGGCTGGAACACCTTAAAAAGTAGCAACTGACATTTTTCAACCATACTTGGGTGACAAAATACCTTGGGTTGGCTTTGTTTAAATCAATATGACTAAATCAGATTAAATCTAAGCATTGTGCACAACTGTTTCATAAATAAGACTGCCAGTGCTTATGAAATAGGCTAATTTGGAATTCAATCTGTGTTCTAAAAAACTCTAGAAAACTTAGCAGGGATTTTTCAGTGAGGGAAACATTAACTGCAGAAATGCTTCCTGGAAAGTCTTGACATTACTGTGAAAAGTTTCCTGAGGGCAGGAATTTTTGAAAAACACTGGGCCAGATAAACAGCACAGGAATTTTCTGTACCCACAACAAACCAATCCTTCGTCAAGAAAAGCATCACTAAAAATTGACATAAATGGTACCAGTCACACACAGCAAAGTTTTGTAATGTAGGGAGCTGCCTTACACTGAGTCAGGCCATTGGTTTATCTAGCTCATTATGTCTCCAGCTCTCCAGGGTTTCAGGCAACATCTCTCCCAGCAATACTACCTGGAGATGTTGGGGACTGAGTCTAGGAACTTCTGCATGCAATGCTGATGCTCTGCCACTGAGCCACAGCCATTCCCTAACAAACATCAGCATTCTGGTAAAGACAAGTTTCAAAAACTTACATCTTCAAGAAGACAAACAGCTGCAGGATTTCCAGAAAATGGCTGATCTGTAAAGGCATCAACTGTGAAAATAGAAATCTGCATTTTCTTCCCTTATTCTTGGCTGCTTTTAAAAATGGCGTTTTGCAAACTGCTGACTCATCTTCTCAGCTGTTGCATAAATGGCTGAGTTAATATTACACCAAGTGAAATATTACAAGCGTAATGTTACACCAAGTGAGTACAAAAAACTGGTATCTTTGCCAACACTTGCTTTCCTTTTTTTCTTCCTTACATGTCCCAGCCCAGCAATCACATTTTTAACATTTTCCCTATATTTATAAGAAATTCCAACATATTTTTAATGACTGTCGCTGAAATTATAAATTCCCTTTTACATGTGTGTCAATGTGGTTTACAAATATATAATAAAAACAGCTGAAATGGTTTTTAAAACTATATAAAAAATAACTGAATATACTGTAGGTTTAAAAACAATACAAAATGAACACCTGTGGCAAAGGATTTTTGAGCTGCTGAAAAACCTTGTTCACACAGAAACGTCTTCCATTGTTTTAGAAAGTACAGATAGTGCATGCCTGGTATATTTCAACAGGGTTGCTGTTCCACAGAACGGGGCAGCAACACTGAAAGCCTTGTTCCAAGCTACTGTGGAGCCAGTTTCCGATATTTTGGGGACTTTAGCAGCAGTGTAGCAACCACCAGCAGCTTATTGAGCTTTTTTTAGGAAGTTGTGGATTTTAGGGATGGGAAGTGCTCCGCCCCCTTGCAGCATCCAAAATGCCCGGCAACCACCGTTCCGCCCTCAAATTCCTCTGCTGCCCAGAATCCCAACCCCTGATGCACAGCAGCCACTGTGCCACAGTACAGACCCCCATGGTGCCCTACCCCCCCCCCAGTGCAGACTGCCCCCCTGCCACAGGCTAGCTATGCTACTGGACTTCAGGAAGAAACATTGCAGTGACCTGTTGGATATACTGTATGGATATATAAAGGATAAGGTGGCCTCTTTAAAGGTTAAGCATCAAGAAAAGCTAATTTATGTGTGGAGTTAATTTTTATTAACTGAATTTGGAGAATTATTTCTGTTTATCTCTGTAGAAAGAAACACAATAGATGTGAAATTCTACACATTTACTCAGAAAAAAGCCTTATTGTGTGTTCAGCGGTGCCGATTCCCGTGTGTCCATAGGGTTGGGGGCCATAATTATTATTTTTTTAAACAGAGTCCTCACCTTGAAGAGTAAGAAATTGTCTTTAAGGTGCAACAAGAATTTGTTGTTTTTGCTGCAACAGATGATTACGGCTACCTTTCTGGAAACAGTTGTTTATCTAGGCAAGCAGTATTTCATGTTTTAAACATTAAGGGACAATTATTCTGTGATGCAATAAAAGTTATGAGTTTAAGATTGTTCTTTGGAACCAGCATGCATACTCATTGCCTATTAATCACTTTAAAACAAATAGGGCTTATGATACACCAGATTGGGAACTGTGAGGATTATTTTTCCCTTTTCCATGATATTCTTCCTAGGAGGCAGGAGGTATAACCTTCCATTGGCTCTTTGTTCTCTGGCTGAAAGATGGGGGCAGTGTGTCATTCCTCTGAGCCAGGGGTCAGCAAACTTTTTCAGCAGGGGGCCAGTCCACTGTCCTTCAGACCTTGTGGGAGGCCAGACTATATTTGGGGGAGGGGAATAATGCAAGAGCACCATGAGCTGCTTACCTGTGTCTTGCAAGCGGCAGGAGCTGGCAGCAGCGGAGGGACGATGAGCGGTGAGCGAAAGGGCTCCAGAGAGAGACTGCTTTAAATGGCGGCCGCTCAAGCGCTGTTGCTGCTGCTGGCACCAACAAAGCCCAGCCCCCTTCTTCCTCTAGGCAGGGCAGGGAGAAACCAGGAGGGAGGAGGTGCCGCCACTGCCGTGTGAGGGAGAGGGAAAGGGAAAGAACGCATGGCTGGCGATCCACACGGCAATTTCTGGATCGTCTGCGGCCCGGATCCAGAAGGCAATTGGGCCTGATCTGGCCCAAGGGCCTTAGTTTGCCGCCCCATGCTCTGAGCACTGCAATTCCAGGACTAGTGGGGAATTTACTTTTCAAATGCAAATGAATAATAATAATAATAATAATTTATTTATATCCCGCCCTCCCTGGCCAGGGCCGGGCTCAGGGTGGCTAACACCAAATATAAATTACAATAAAACATAATGGGGGGGGACAGTTAATTAAAATACAGCTTAAAATACAGCTTAAAATGCAGCCTCATTTTAGTAAAGGTAAAGGTAAAGGGACCCCTGACCATTAGCTCGAGTCGTGGCCGACTCTGGGGTTGCGATGCTCATCTAGCTTTATTGGCCGAGGGAGCCGGCGTACAGCTTCCAGGTCATGTGGCCAGCATGACTAAGCCGCTTCTGGCGAACCAGAGCAGCACACGGAAATGCCGTTTACCTTCCCACCGAGCGGTACCTATTTATCTACTTGCACTTTGACGTGCTTTCGAACTGCTAGGTTGGCAGGAGCTGGGACTGAGCAATGGGAGCTCACCCCATCGCGGGGATTCGAACTGCCGCCCTTCTGATCAGCAAGTCCCAGGCTCTGTGGTTTAACGCACAGCGCCACCCGCGTCCCTCCTCATTTTAGTAGTACAGTGGTACCTCAGGTTACATACGCTTCAGGTTACACACTCCACTAAGCCAGAAATAGTGCTTCAGGTTAAGAACTTTGCTTCAGGATAAGAACAGAAATCAGGCTCCGGCGGCGCGGCAGCAGCAGGAGGCCCCATTAGCTAAAGTGGTGCTTCAGGTTAAGAACAGTTTCAGGTTAAGAACTGACCTCCGGAACGAATTAAGTACTTAACCCAAGGTACCACTGTAGCCCATAAATCAAGACCATAAAGGGAGAAAACACCAGATATGAAGTAGTAGAGCACTTACTTGCTCTCAATGCAAAAGGTCCCCAAGTCAAAGTCTTGCAGCACCAGGTACAGATTTCTGCATGAATCCCTGGAGCGTCACTGTCAGTGTGTAGGTGAATCACTGGTGCTCCTCAGCAGCTTCCCATGTTCCTGTTTATCAGACTTCATAATAATATCAAAATAAATGAGTTTGAACAGGACTGTTCCTCCCCAATGCAGAATGATACGATGTCCCGAGCCACCATGCGGCTTTAGAGATCAGAGATCAACAAGATTCTCTCACCGCACCAGTTGTGGGATAAATGCTGGGAGCAAACATGCCCCTTGTACACTGCTATGATAGACCTGATGATGTGATAGGATGCCTAAGCTCCACAAGATGATTGTGTCTTTTCACAAGAACATATGCAGCACCGTCCAGTATGATGGTTCATCCTTGGACACCTTCCCTAGAAAGAGCGGCGTGAAACAAGGCTGTGTCCCAACTCTCTTTGACATATCCTCCTCCCTGCTGCTCTCATATGGCACACTCTTCCATTGCCTCTTGAGACAGACAGATGCCAATAGGATTTCACTGAATAATCCATTGAAGGAATATTCAAGACCCTGGCAACGCTTCTTACACTCAATGTGACACAATTGCAAACAGTGTCACTATTTATTTTCTCCTTGTTGCTATTTAAGCTCCTTAACAGGCTCTCCAGTATTCTGTCAACTGAAACTAAACGTGCTCCTTTCGTATTACAAAGACCTGTGTTTACACATAAGACAGTTTCTGAGCTATTGTGGTGAGTTGTGACTTAGTAGCTGGCTGGTAGGGATGCCATATGTCCTTTTTTTCCACGGGTAGTGTCGTTAAATTATGGTCCCATTATTTTGAACTCACTGGCCTTATCAGCACAGCATCAGCAACAGGTACCTTGAAAACACCTGCTTATCAAGGGCGAAAGCATCAGCGAGTTGGGCTTACGCAGCGCTAAACCGCACACACGGCCTTGGAAGGCTTTCCTTCTGCGCATGCGCCACTCCATCTTGCTCCCTCGACCTAAACGGCTGTCGCCCCATTCTCCTCCGCGGCGCATGCGTCACGCTCTGCACCTAGGCGACGCGAGCGAAATTCTCGTCCCCGGCGCCGCGTGTCCTCGCGATACGTCCGCCCGCGACGCCATCCTGTCTGCCTCAGCTGCGTAGCTTGCTAGTAAGCCGCCCGTTAGGCGCGCTTCCTTGTTCTTTTGTGGGGGAGTCTCAGCCCTGCCGTTAGCGCCGACCGCCTGGGGAAGTGGGTGAGGTGTTGCCGGTGAGTGGGGTGGCGGGGGAGAGAGGTCGGGCAACTCCGTCGCCGATGCGCCGGGAAAGTACGAGCCGAGGTGGGCGGACCCGCCTTCTCGGCTCCCTGAGAAATTCAGCCTTGGGTCAGGTGGCGGGATAAACGGGGGAGGGAAGGGAAGGGTTAAGCGGTGGCTTCCGCGCGCGAGAGAGAGCGAGGGTTCTATTCTCTCCGTCCGCCATTTTGAATGTGGCGGTGATTTGGCGGGGGAGGAGGGGGGAAAGAGCGGACGCGGCGCGCCAGGGCAGCGACTGGCTCGCCTGCCGGAGGCCGAGGTGCCCTTCAGCCTGGGGCTGGCGCTCGTGGCCCAACGGCTCGCCGCAAACGGCGACTTGGCAGCTAACAGCATTAGTGCAGCCAAGGGAGCGAGGGTAGGGACGACAGATCAACGGCATCCCGGGCCTGACAAAAAGAGGCACGGCGACGCCTTCCTTTGGCTGTTTTAACCGGCGGAGATTCACTCTTCCCCTCCCCCTCCCGTTTCTGAGAGCGGGCATTCTTTGATCTGCCACGCCCCCTCTGCCCAAGGTAGTTCGCGCCTGCGCGATGGGTCTGTGCGTGTCGGGCAAGGATTTGAGCGTAGTGTTGTAGCGTTGTTGATAGTTGGGGGGAGTTTCCTGTGCCGGCTCCCCCGCCCCCCGCCTCGCCATGCTCACTCATGACGAGATGTAAAGAGATTGACTGTTCAGCTGTTTGGGAAAGAGCCCCATTGTAGTCCTTGGGAATTACATCCGAGAAAACGCACGTAGTAGCATTTAAGCTTGGGTAAGAGGGTAAATTTCATTCATCACTTAGATTAAATCAGAAAGCGCTAGTAAAACTAAGGCTAAATCGGTGCAACGTTGCAACCATCACAGTTAGTGGCAATACCGTACTGAAAGCCATTGTGATTTAAGATTCATAATAAGTGCAGGGGTGGCAGTTCTTCGTTTTGTCTAACGCAACATGTTTCTGTGTATCAGCCAAAATACACTTAGGTTGTTTGTAAATGAGCCATTTGACCTAGGTCATTTCTACAGCTAATCTACTTTTGAAAACAGAAATAAGGTAAAGGATAGAGTAGGTAAAGTAATCGCTGTACAAGACACTTGAAATACATAGATGCTTACATGGACAGATTTTGAACATGTTCAGAAATGACAGTACTAAAGTCATTTCTGTCAAGAAATCATGTCCTTTGTGTTCATACCTACATAGGTTCTGTTACAGTTTTGGGAAACATAGCTTCTCTCACTTAGTTTGGTTACCTATAGTGAATATTAATAAATCTATAAAAGATGGTTCCAGGGCAATTAAAAAAAGTAATACCTGTTTTCCCCAATGATACATATCTTTCATGCAGTGGGATTTTTTTACAATGGAAAGATTTCCAAATGTGCCACTAAATAACTTAGGCTGCAGTTGGATGCACAGTTATATGGAAGTAAGTTCCATAGAACACAGTGGGACTTATGAGTAAACATGCACAGGATCATACTGTTAGTTTTCTCTAATTTAATTGCATTACTTTGATAAATAATATTTGGCTTAACTACTGTTAAGACTATGCAGAGGTCTTCAAGCAGAAAGTCTTATTTTTGTTGTCTGAAGAACTTTCTCAGCTTTAAAAACTTTCATACACTAGCATGCAAATGTTGTTCCATGAGAGATTACCTTACATACTATTGTGCAGGATCATATGGCAATATATCAGTTATCTTGTTCTGTAAATCTGGTCAAATTTCTGTGTAGTTAAGAATCCTAGAATCAAAAATGAAAAGCAGACTAATGCCAGTAGGCGCTAAAAGAGGGAAATGTTTACTAGTGTTGTTTACTAGTATCTCCATTTTGCTCCTGTTTACCATATTGCAATATGGGCCCTCTGGCTTATTGTATCCAAATTCTAAAGTCTCTCTGCATGATTCAATCACTGTTCTGTCCCTAGGATAAAAGGAAATCTGCACAATTCTGTGCACTGCAGGTTATCTTAAAGCACATAGTGGAGGCTCCAGGTTATAGTGGTGCTGTTCTTGACAGTATTACACTGTAGCAGCTTAGGTGGATTTTTAGGATTAGCCTGCAAGAGAACTTTTTGAGGGGAAAAAGACCTGGAGTTTCATACTGGATGGTTGTGGTTGTTAAAGATAAAGCTCATCTTTCATCTTTTTCAAGCAGGAAGCATAGGAAAGATGCACCCTTCTTTTCCAGAAGAGGTATAATCACTTCCAGACTACAAGATTGATGTTCTGACAGCTTAGACAACAAGCATGACAACAACCATATGTTTGCATAGGAGTAAATTCCATTTAAAACAGTGGGATTTACACCTAAATAAACATACAAAGGATTGCACTGATGAGATCAGTAGATGTAAAACGCAAATGTACAATAGTCTGGGGGCAAAGGTATAGAATTTGGTGAACTAGAGTTATACCTTTTTCTGAAAAGGTAAGCCATGCACCAGGAAGAGAAGGAATAAACCAAACATTGTTAAGTACAGAGTGGGATTTTCATAAAATTTTGAGTTGGATAATTGGAACTTGCAACAAAACGTTGCAGTGCAGAGTGTTCCAGCCACTCTCTTCCACCCCCCAATTTTCCCTTCCCAGCAATTGGTCAGCATTCTATACACAGTTTATCTTCCCTGAGGAGGTGGTGGCGGTGGCTTTGTACTTTTACAAACCTCAGGGTTTTCCTGAGGATACTAATGCCTCCCTTGGGTAGTGCCATTCTGGCTACATAAGGACCAGCACTCATAACACTGAGAACACTTAGTTTATTTTTAATGTGATGTTAATTTTAAATGTATAAATACCTGCAAACTGATTTGAGGTGGCAAAATTACCTGAACTGAAATATTTTAGTACAGAAAAACATGCAATAAAGTGCATATAATGTAATCATAAAAATGTCTACTGAGAAGTGAGTCCCATTGAGTGTGGGAATGTTGAGGGTGGCAGGGGAGATATATCGTTTATTAATATCCTTCCTAACTTGCACTAGCAAGTTTCTTCAATTAGCAGAGTCTTCACTTAGAGTGCATTCCCTGTCTCACACAGCAGAAAGCTGGTTTCAAACTCGTGTGAGTTTCTTAAGACAATAAGCAATTCAATCTGGCTTGTCCAGATTGAGATATGTTCTAATATTCCTGGTAAGACCCCTTTTGAATCCCTCCTAAAAGAATAAAGACACCACAGTCTTATTCGTAAGTAACAAAAAGAAGTTTTACTCATGATCAGGCAGAACACAGTGTGATCCCTGAAGGCAGGCTTTAGGCTTAAAGTTACAAACATGTACAGACAAATTTACCCCATATGGGAGATAACCTGGGGAACTGCGGTGGCAGCCAGCAGTCCAGTCCAGGTGATGCAGGAAGCAGGCAGGACGAACAGGAATGTCGAAAAGAGGAATTTAGCAGCGTGACTTGGCCTTTTACCAGGTCTGGAGAGGTCATGCCCACGTACTAGTCACATGCAAGGAAGGATGCTCCAGGCCAGGAAGCTTCAACTGGCTGGACCAAACATTCCCTTGCATGTCCACTCTAGCAAAACAAGGAATGTTGTACTTGACTGCTCCCAGTGGATTACATCCCACATTGAGTTCAGTGTAGCTCCGTTAAGTAGTACATATAGGATTGCAACCTTACTGTGGTTAAGACTGCAGTCCTGTCACTGAGACATATTTTTTAGTAGACTCATAAGCTTTACTTGAAAATTGCACTCATAAGCTTTACTTGAAAATTATTTTTATTGGAATACTTCTAAATATTTTAAGATATGACAATTCAGTATTATTCAGATTTTATTTAGGCCGGGGAAAACAAATACATTGAAAACAGTTAACTTACTAATTGTAGATTGCTTGAAGAAAAACATGTGCTTCCTAGGAGTAGCAGCTGGGAAAAGTTAACCACTGTTTTGATTTTAGAATTGACTCTTTTATATGCATTTCAAATTGACTTGTGTTTTGTTCATTCATTATGTCACTAATTGTTTTGTGAAACAATGCATTTTTCAAAGTGGAAAACTTTCAACAGAAAAATTTACTAGTGGAAACCTTTTCTATTTAAAAGGGAAAAATTCCAGTTCACCTCACTAAGTACTTAAGCGTATTAGCATTGCGAGTCCTAAACAGAACAGGACAACAGAGGATTGCGGGAAAGAAAGGGTTTGTAACCTAGGAGTACCAGTTCTTTTCTTCTGCTCCTCTGTGTTTATTTTTAGAAATATTTAATCTATTATACTTCTGTTGGTTTTTATAACTGATAGGCACTTTGCAGATCACTTGTTGAAAAGCTGGGTAAGAAACACTGTAAGCAAATAATATATGACTCCAACGCCTAGGATTTGGAAACAGTAAAGTGCTCTCCCAACATAAAAAAATAAAATGTAATAGTGATAACTTATTTCTTTGAGCTGGTGCGAAAGAGCATGTTATTTTCAACTGTCCAAGAGTAGTGTCTCCAAGTCAGGGTCTTCTGTTGTTTCAGAATGTTTTTCAGCACCTTTACCAAACTGGGACTGAGGTTTTATTCCTTTTGCTGCATTTACTTTTATAATACAGTATCAGCCAATTGGCTGAAGTGAATTTGAGTACTTACACCTAAACCCACCCCCAAGGATTCCTCCGTCTGTATAATATGCCCCATTGTGAGCAATTAAAAAATCTAGGGCTCACCTTGCTCTAATGAAAGATGCGAAAAAAACTGTTAACTGGTGCTATTGCTGAAACTTGTGAAGACTGAAGGCACTACCACTAGGAATACAGTCCTGAGCAAAAGCTCATTGAAGGGGTACTTGGTCATGGGTTCAAATAAAGGTCCCATAAAAATCTGTAAAGGGTATATTTAGCTGCCATATTAGAACAATCTTGTTCGAATAGTTAAGTTGGGGAATATTCTGCTCATTTTTTTCTCCATTCAAACTGAACCATGGTTTGTAATAGAATACTGAGCCCTGAAATAGATTTATGGGGAGCCATGGAGTTGTATCTATCTGTTAGTGGAGATCTGGAGATCTATGTGCTCTGGCTATATGGGGCTTTTAGCTCTGTTCTCTCCTTGCTGCATTTTTTGATTGATTCAGCCTTTGGAAATCAGAAAACAGTGCAAGGAGAGACTCTAGGAAATAAGAGAAATGGAGGGCAGGATATGTATAGCCATCTTCTTGGCCACTGCTTCTGCTTTGTAGAGGAGCTGGTGAATAATCTGTTGATATTGCGGGTCAGTTGAGGTGTGAAGAGGTTCAGAACCGATTGACTCTGTGTGTCCATAATTTGTTGGATAGGTGTTTCCCAAAGAACCACTCCACTTTTATAGTGACCTTGTACTTCAAGAAGAATTTTTTTTAAAGCAAGGTTCCCACTAGTTTGTGCTTTGTAGAACATATCTGTGCTGTCTTCCTGCTTCATCTGGCTATGTGAGGCTAGCCTATTTTATGCAGATCTGCTGTAGTTTCATTATCAGTTGGCCCTTGTATAGATTAAAAGTGATTTGTCCACCAGAAAAGAGAAACACCTAAATGACCAGTACAGGTCACTTCCTGACTGCTTGGTTATGGAAATTTAGCAGAAACCGCTGCAGGGTTATTGCATAATTTCTGGCCAGACTTCATGTAGAATACTGTCAGGCTCGTAAGTTATGCTCTGATGGGTATGGAGAGAGGAAGACATTTACTAAAGTTACTAAAGACCCATTTGGCTGTGGTTAGGAGGCTTCCAGTATTTATTGCGTTTTTCTTATCCTTGGTCTCTCCTAGGAAGAATGTGTTCAAATGGGTCTCTAAACAGATTTTCACCTTCCAAGTGGCTATGTCAGACTTCAGTTTCAGATTCATAGTCTCCTAATGTAGACAGAAAAGGAGACATAGTAAGTCATAGACGTGAAAAATAATTGCAGAGAGTCTAAGAAGGCCTCTGCAGTAAATTCCTTAATGAAGTGTTTGGTTATCATGGGATGGGGAGATATGAACTTAACTGCCAGCCCATTGATGCATTAGAGGTTGTTGTAACTGGGATGGCTGAGAGGGACACCTCATGGGACTTCCATGGGGCAAACTCTTCTCTGGCATTTGCTCTAGTAGGGCTGGTAAATTATCCCTCCCTAGGGTTGCTCCATTCCTTGCTCACTGATTGGTCAAAAAGGCTTGGGTTAGAAATGGGCATGCTTTCCTCTCTTGCTATGGGGAGTACATGGGATTTTTAGTTTCAGGCTTTTCTTCTTGTTCCTGCTGCTGGAGATTTTTAGAAGCTTTTACTAAAGGACTGAGGAGGAACATCCAATTTAAATAGGTGCTCCTGCCAGTACTTGATTGCAACATTCTCTTCCTCAATGATTTACTTTGTCAGATGCTGCAAAAGCTGAGCGGAGGTTGGGGCTGGATTTGAGGTGCACAGGAGCAAAAGGCTTGCTAGCTGCAGGACTTGCCCAGTTTTGAGGGGAATAGATTGTAGAAACTGTATTGCTGCTGGAACAGCTTTGGCTTCAGTAATGGCAGTTGTGACTTTGTCTGCTTTTTCACTGTCTTACCTTTGCTGAATCTTTTGCTGTTCTGCCTGTTGGGATATATCCTTAGCTAAGACCATCTTACCCATGAAAGCATGAGGTTCTGAGATGGCACTTGCAGTGTGCCATTTAGCCTCCCTGTTCTTAAAAGAAGGAATTTCTTGCATGTCGTCTGAGACTTTCTGTGTGTGAGAGCGAGCAGACCCAATAATGCCCCTTTCCCTCTTTTTGAAAAGTTTTTTCGTCAGATGTGTACAATGGGGAATTCGGTTCTTTGTTAGGAATTTTTCTTCCTCTCAGTGCCTGTAGTCTATTTTTAGGTAGTGGGGAGGAATGGGAGAAAACTTCTTACATTGGCTTCTGTAGGACTCTAGCCTTGCATCAGAGTCCTATCTGTTCTTAGGCAGGACTTGACTAAACTGGGGAAGATGTGCCTTCCTATAGTAGTAGAGTGAGTTTCAACCTAAATTAAATGGTTATTGCCCATCAACTGGCAACTAATATAAAATTAAATTATTTTATAATCATTACAGCTTCTTAGTGAGTTGAACTACATCATTTTTGGAGAATTTATATTACATTTGAGGTTTTCATAGTATGCATCTCCAAGTTGCATCATGAATGAGTCCCACTATAGTAGTGTCCTTTCAGAATTTCCCAAAACATAAATGCATGTAGTTCCTAATTCCTGCCCTATTTACTAGTACCCCATTTTTAAATTAATTTTATTTATTAAAATATACCTTACGTTTTCGCATTGAAAAAGTATGCATGGCAGCTTAAAGTCCTGTTAAAAATAAACCTTTGGCTTGCCTCTCTCTACTTTGCTGTCATTCTGTCTTGCTGGTCATTCTATCTTGTGTACCACCACCCCGCTCCACTTTCCCAGTTTACTGAATTTTATCCTGTGCTCATTAACCCCCATACCATTCTTGCTTCCAATTCACTGTCTCTCTTAGTTGTCAGAACTCCTGATTCTGGGAATCTCTACAGGAATATTGCCTTGGCTCTTCTAGCTGGCATTGGAGGGAGATGTGGAAGTGGCTTGTGTGCTAACAGAGGAGAGAAGTGTGCATGTTAGTAGTCCATATGCATTTTAGAAAATAGTTCAATGGCTTAACCAGCCTGCAGCACTATGAATTAAAGAATAGCATTGATTGCAATGATTGGTTATATGTACTGATTGGGCCAGTGCATGGCTGAGCTAATGTGAGAGGTGTTGGGGAGTCATTTGCACTTTTCCAAGCAGTAGAATTTGTCTTCATAGATAGTGCATCTCTTTTGAGAACCTGAGGTATTGAGAGTAGATATGTGGCAGGCTGCATGAGCAGGTCATGCTAGTTGTACTGAATGAGTTCTAGACAACGGCAGTTGTAACTTACCACAGCATTATGCTTCAATCAATGTCTGAGCATGTTTCAAGATACTGCTAATGAATACAGTCCTGCTTAGGAAGGGGTGGGGGTGAATCATGATTCTCAAATGCTAAATTTGCTGTTTATGTTTTTTATGGTGTTTGATTTTAAACAGCAAAATGGACTGGGCTGGGAAACATAATGGTCCAAATGATTCATCTAGTGATGGAACAGTACGATTGCGTGGTCTGCCATTTGGCTGCAGCAAGGAGGAGATCGTTCAGTTCTTTCAAGGTAGCTCTAGTGTTAATGTCAAGTGACTTTCAGTGTTTCTATGTCTGCAAGATTGATATTTGAAATAGTTTAATTTATATTGACTATTTCAGGGGGGAGGGGGGAATCAGTTTAACATTTAGATTGCTAATTTTTGTGTTAAAATACTACTAATCAAGAGATTGCATTGGCAGTGTAGGATATAAAATTTACCCATTTAGATACCTTGCTATGAATCAGAATTTGGAGTATGTAGTTATTACATCATGCAATATAGGAGGGCCTTTGTGATGTAGCTGTTGCTGTGTAGTCTGAACAAAGAGACAGTAATAGAATGTCTAAACCCATAAAGTTTAATGAAAGATCTTTAGCGTGTGTATTTGGGTTAGGTAGGGGAGGGGGAAGCTAAGCTATGTTCTTGCATTTGTGTAGATTTGCTTTAAGTATTTTCTACAGATGGGAATGTTTCAGACTTTAACACTCTTCCCCTTGATGGGGTTATTTGTCCTTGGGTTAAAGGGTTGGAAATCGTGCCAAATGGGATAACATTGACGCTGGACTACCAGGGGAGAAGCACAGGGGAGGCCTTCGTGCAGTTTGCTTCAAAGGAGATAGCAGAAAAAGCTCTGGGGAAACACAAGGAAAGAATAGGGCACAGGTGGGGATGGAGAGTTTGGGATGGTGTTATTCGGGGGGTTGGGGGTCAGTTTTGCTTTTGGGGGGTTGGGGAGCATAAAGTAACTGGCTATTTAAAAACAACAACCTTACAATCACCCTAAGTAACTTGGGAAGTATAGTAGATTTGGTGGGAGGGGGAAATGGTAATACTATGTAGATTGCTAAAATTAGGATATTTCAATTTTTGTGGAGGGTGTTCTATGATAGCCAGACATTTTTCAAAGAATTTATTACTGGGGCAGGGGGGGAGTGTGATTCAGAAATTTGTTGTATTTAAAATGCGGTTAGAATTCTTAGACAGTAAAATATATAACTTAAAATGCTTGCTTTTGCATTTACATTTCCTAAAATTTAAGTGACACTTGAAAAAACAGGGTACACTTTTATTGAAAGTGTATCTAGATATAGAATTCAGAGCATTTGTGCAACTTGTTACTGTATTTTTTTACCAGACATCACATATGTGTATTCTTACTTTTGTACATTGAAAATCTTTTTTTACTCAGATATATTGAGATCTTCAAAAGTAGTAAGAGTGAAATCCGAGGATTCTATGACCCACCACGAAGAATGATGGGACAGCGACCTGGACCCTATGATAGACCAATGGGAGGAAGAGGGGGTTATTATGGAGCTGGGCGTGGAAGTATGTATGACAGAATGCGTCGAGGAGGTGGTGGATATGACGGTGGTATGTGTATCTAATGACCACAGGCTCTTGTCATTTTCACGTTCCTGACGTTTTGTCAAGAAATACAGAAATGACAGTAATTATAATACATACCAAGTCTGAAATCTGGATACCTATCAGTTTTTTTACCAGCCGTGTGACTAAAGATTGAAAAGGTATGGAGAGGCATCTGAAATGAGATTTTAAATGTGGATGAAACTTGGTTTGCATGTCTTTGAGCCTGACAACTTTATAAATAGAAACTTGCTTATATATTTGATGTCAAGAGGTACTGATTATATGCACAGTGAATAACAGCTGAATTTTAAAAAGACTGTTTCATGGTATGTCCACTTCTTAAATCTCACAGGATATGGTGGCTTTGATGAGTATGGTGGCTATAACAATTATGGCTATGGAAATGATGGCTATGATGACAGAATGAGAGATGGTAGAGGTAAGATTTAAAAGTTTTATAGTATTGTTCCTCAACCATCAGGCCGTCTCACTGGCTCCCAAGGCAAAGAAAAAAGAACCACTTTTTTATTGTTAAGTAGGGTTTTTTTAGAGCTGAGGGGTTGTTTTGAATTCCTCAGGTTATTTTGAAGTTGGAGAAATACTATGCACTGCTTTAAAATTGTCAGTCCCAGCATGTGAGTACAGTGGTATCTCGATTTTCGAATGTAATCCGTTCCGGGGGTCTGTTCGAGTTCCGAAACGTTCGAAAACTGAAAGCAGAAGCCTCAATACGGAAGCCACGTTTCCTGTTCAACTTCTGAGGCGCATTCGAAAACCGAGGCATTTACTTCTGGGTTTTCAGCATTCGAGTTCCAAAATGTTTTGACTATGGAAGCATTCAAAACCGAGGTACCACTGTAGTTGGAAACCTACTGTTTTACATGTCAGAATGGGAGGGGGGTAATTATTTGGCATGGAAGGAACCAAAAAAGTCCTAGTGAAAGTTAATCCAGAGTAGGATATTTCTAGTGTATAACCTAGTACAATTTCAAGGGGGAGTAAACACATATTGGGAATGCATGTGCACAACTTTATTAAATCATACATTTATTGAATCTTTTGTGTTTTAGGAATGGGAGGCCACGGCTATGGTGGAGCAGGAGATGCTAGCTCAGGCTTTCATGGTGGTCACTTTGTTCACATGAGAGGACTGCCATTTCGAGCAACAGAAAACGATATTGCCAATGTAAGCATTGTAGACAAATATTCCTGGTTGAAACAAAGATCTTAAAGAGTTTAAGAACCTGGTCTGACTCTTTAACAATCAAAGTAGTTCACTGTTGCAGCAGCAACAGACGGGCTCAACTTTAAAGTAGTTCCTGAAGATATGATGAAATTACTGTAATGCTCTAATGGCTATTTTTTTCAAAATAATTTATAGCAATTGAGATGCAATCAGGGTATTTATTTTTAAAAAACCTTGGGTTTAATATAAATTATAGCAGCTGCAGCTGTAAATGATCTGAAATCTTCAAATGGGGAGAAACGCAACAGCTAAGCCGAATGTGGTCAGGGTGTACTAATAGATCACTTGATGACTTGCAGTAAATCAGCAAGTATTTCTGACTGCTGTTAAACAATATCAACTGCAGTGACTATGTAGATTAGAAAAGATGGCAAATTATTTTTTAATGATAGTAGCTCAAAACAAATGAGTAAAAACTGAAGGTTTGCATCATTAGTATAAATGCAGGCAGAAGTGTGACATCCCTGATAAAGCATGTGAAATGGTCATTATATGTTCAAGATAACTGTTGTTTCAATATGAGAAAGTTCCTGCAAGTGGTAACTTACTATTGCTCACTTTTAGTTTTTCTCACCATTGACACCTATAAGAGTTCACATTGACATTGGAGCAGATGGAAGAGCAACAGGAGAAGCTGATGTAGAATTTGTAACACACGAAGATGCAGTGACTGCCATGTTGAAAGATAAAAATCATATGCGTAAGTTATAGCAAACATTGGAGCAGTTGAAAGCTCAGGATTGCTGCCTTTGTAGTTCATTGAATATCCAAGCTTGCTTGCATATTTTAGTTTAGTTTTAATTTCCACTTAACAGCTGATTTTTCAAAAAAGCCAAGAAAGGAAGCAATCTTTCATGTTACATGAAATGCTAACATAGACAATCCAGTATCACTTCTTTTAGGATTAGCATGCCTGAGCTTTACACGTCTTAAGAATGTTGTTTAAAAGATTTGATTACATCAGAGTTTTTAAAGGAGTCTATACTTGCAAGTATTGAACAAGTTGTTCACGAAGCCACATCTGCTGACCTTTCAACCCTTTCTTGAGTATCCATTTCTATGGAAAGGTGCTATAGTCTATTCAGTGTGCCAGGCAGAAAGCACTTTGTAAATTACTCCCTTGCTGCATGTATATAATTATGAATCCACATTAATTACCTATTCAGTTATGGGTGTTTATTTCTTTTGTTTGTTTGTTTGTTTTAAAGAACATCGATACATTGAGCTGTTCCTTAATTCAACTGCTGGAGGTGGTTCTGGAATGGGAGGTTACGGCAGAGATGGAATGGGTATGCTTGATTTTACATTTTTAATTCAAACTTAAAAGATATCTAGCCTCTGGATATTCTAACAACAGTGAGCATTGTTTTCTAGATCAAGTTGGTTATGGTTCTGTTGGAAGAATGGGAATGGGCAGCAGTTACAGCGGAGGATATGGTACTCCTGACGGCTTGGGTGGCTATGGTAAGTCTTAAGTAGGTAGGCAAACGGTTTCTTTTTATAATGCAAAGGTTCATTGTCTTATAAAGTATTTGTTAACACGGGAACAAGAATGCTGTATTGTTTGCATGCACAGAAACCATATAGAGAAAGAGTTGCATGCTAATGATGAAGTTTGTGTCTATTTCATTTTAAACAAATGTGGGGTAACTATTGTTACTTTCTAGGTCGTGGCAGTGGAAATAGCGGTGGATACTATGGACAAGGCAACATGGGAGGCGGTGGATGGCGTGGAATGTATTGAAGAGTGGCATTGTGTCTGTGAAGCATATTGGAAGGAAACAGTACCTGGTCTACTAGACTTTCTTACAAAACTTAATTTCTTTTGTATTGAAAACTTTATAATGACTGAAGGAATGTGTTTTCCCATTATTTGGTAAGCAACAGATTGTGATGGGGAAATCTGTGTTCTGTAGGTTTTATTTGTTGCATACTCTGACTTTAAATAAATTTTTTATATTCAAACCACTGATGTTGATACTTTTTATACTAGCTGCTCCTAAAGGTATGTTCCATATTCCAAAACTGTTCATTTAAGATACTTGGTTCATTAAAGCAGTTATGCTGTAGGTTCTCTTATTGATGTAAAATATAACAACCATCAAACTGGTACTAGTACATTTGTTGAGATTTGAAACAAAAGCATAGGGTAACTTCTTTTAATTAATCTGATACAATCCTCTTGTCAGTGAAGACTTCCCTTGCCAGAATGTCCCAAGACATGAAGGCCATGAGTTCAGGAATGACCTAATGCACAACTGCTATATAAAAACCCAGTTGATGTATGCATGTCACAAATCTCACCCTTAAAGTATATTAGTCTTTATACTCCTCTCCTTGGCAATCACATTTTTTTGATGAGTGAACAAGAGAGTATTATTTTAGTAACATCCATAGAGAAGTAGGAAACTATTTAATTTCCTAGAAATCTTAAAAGGCTACTCCTCTGGCTGAAGGCTCCTGTTTAAGGACTAAGAAACTTGCCCAGCAGTCAGACATAGAGACCTTGGCAAATTATGAGACTACACAAATATGTAGTCCTCTTACTGTGCATTAACATGTAAGATTTTTGGATTAATTACTGTTAAGACACTTTAAAGCATTCTCTGTGTATCAGGAAAGGGTACTAAATATTCAAGTTTTCTTCATTTCAACTGCTTGTCCCCCAAATTCTTCCCAATAATTTGTCAAATGTGATTATTGAAAGTTTGTTGCCTGTTTTTGATAGTAATGTTATGTATGTAATAAATGTCTTATTGTGGGAGATAGCAAAATAGACTCCATTCTAGGAAGTGTGTGTTGTGTCAATTTATCTGAGGTGTATATAAACTAAGGAGCAAGATGATGTATTTCAAAGGCTACTTTTTCACAGCTTTGCTTGTACAGTGGTACCTCTAGATGCGAACGGGATCCGTTCCGGAGCCCCATTCGCATCTAGAAGCAAATGTAACTAGCGACGGCACGTCTGAGCACACGCGCGTAGCTTTTCGCCGCTTCTGTGCATGTGCCTGATGTCATTTTGAGCGTCTGCACATGCGCAAGCGGCGAAACCCGGAAGTAACGCGCTCCGTTACTTCCGGGTTGCCGTGGAGCGCAACTTGAACGCGCTCATCCTGAAGCATATTCAACCCGAGGTATGACTGTAAAGGCAACACAGGAAGCTTTTTAGGTTTTGACACATCTCAAAAACTCAAGTCATTGTTCACTTTAAAACATTCAAAGTTGTTTTTTTACCAAGCTTGCTCTGCTACTGCAGTCTATGCTATTGCTGTGCTGGAGCAGTGCTTTACAGAAGCATGAATCAGATGTGGAGAGGCTGTTGCATTAAAAGGAGATGGGTTAATAACAAGCAACGGTTAAACAAAAGTGGGGTGGGAAAGAGAATTGTTAACTAGTTCAATCAAAATGCTTAAATGGTGTGTCAGAGCCAAGACTTTTTCTCAGTATAGATGTTCACCCTAAATCAGCTGCAGGGAACCTTTGGTAGTTCAGTAAAATCTGTGGCCTTCCAGAAGTTTGTGGACTCCCAAATACCATCAGCCGTAGCCAACACAGCCAGTGATTAATGCAAATGTATACATAGGTCCTTATGATTAACTGACAATTATTCTAGGTATACTAGCTGCCTCAGAGTAACAGTAGTTACACACAAGATAAATAATGAACTCCGTATTCATTCCAAGGCCTGCTGAAAATTTCTCAAATATTTAATTTGTCCAAACCACAAGATTACGAACATTCGTATTTAAAGTTACAAAAATGTCATGTTAAAACTTACAAAAGCTGTACTAGTCAATAAATTCTTGGCACACATGCACCATTGATATTGAAAGCTTGTTCTGAAATAGCTAAATCTCTAGTGGCAGGAATGATAGAAATTTTGTTGAAAAAAGGCAAGTCTAATCTCTGTTTCTACTAGGGTGAGTTTGTCTCATAGCCTCTTTGACCCAAACATCATGACAAAAACTGAGGATGAGCAGGTTATTAAGACGTTAAAAAAACCTGTCCATTAAGATCCCAGCAAGTAGTCAGTACATCACATCTGCCATACTAGTGCTAATTGGAATGGAAAAGTAACTTATGGTGGGTGCTGTGAGTTTGAAAATGGATTCTCAATGCCACTAAAATCTATGGGGTTTTTTGTGTGGAAGAAATAGTTCTAAGGTTAAAGCAAGAAAAGGCTATTTGATTATCTTAAATTTATGGTACTCATTCTAAGCACTAAAATGTGTCAGTTCGGCACTGTTAGTGTATTTTTAATTTACCATTAGGTAAATATGGACAGACACTGGAAGAAAAGGAATTTCTGTCAAATAGAACAGCTTTCTAGTATCAAAAACACAGGGCATTTCTTGCCTACCTTTTTTTGTGGATGCGTTCCAGTCTTGAAATACTATCAAATAGTTTGGAAATTAATAAAACTTTGGGATTAGGCACAACATATTTCTCAGAATCTTATCAAATGGCCATAGGCTTCCATCTCTGAAACAGGTTAGCTAGCAGGCTGATGGAAAAGTTGCCCTTTTGAACTAAACATGTTAAATACATTCCAAGCTAACTGCAGTTTGAGTAAGTGGCTAGTAATCAGAACTTTGTAGTGTTGTGGTTCTTTTATTGTGCTTTCTGTACCTGATGGGAATTGAGAGTAGGTTTAGGGTCAACTTTGAGGAATACCACTAGTATAGGACTAAACAGGCTGCATAGGAATCCTGTACGTTAATAACTCTTACATGGCATACAAAAATTCAGCGTACACAGTACACCTTCATGGTGAAATTGACAGCAGAGGATACTGTTTCAGCTGCTGAATTTCCCTATATACTGCTGAAGATACAGAAGCCGTTCCAAAGAAAGAAGATGAACGAGTATTTTCCTGTCAGGATACCTCTTCCCAGGTTAAAGCAAGTGAAGGCCTCCTGATGATCTTAAATTTGTGGTACTCAAGTGCTGAAGACACAAAAATGCCCCCTTTGCAGCTCAACAAGGCTGCTTGCTGTCACTGCCACCACCATTTCCTCTTTAGGCTTAGTTTTGTGCAGGGGTCTATCTTGAAGATAAAAAAATCTCAAACAAAGGGTGAATTTAATGTTTTCCCTCTATTCCAGCTGTACCAGATGTACATATCAAATCAAATGGCACAAATAATCCCATCCAGGGCTTGTATTGATGCGTTTTATTACGTTTAGCACACAGGTTTGCTATGCTTGTTAGTCTAACAAGTCACTTCCTGTCTCAAAGGTTAATGAGAATAGGTGGTTTGCTTGTAAACAGAATTAGTAATTAGGCATAAGTATATAATATGCCCTTCAAGGTACAAATTCTACCTTGTATGAAAAGCCTCCTTTAAGTTTCTGTGTGCATGTGAACTTACTAAGTACAGTCACAAATTACAGTAACATGTTCAGCTAGACTTGTTTTTAAAAGGAGTACTTAAAGCATTTTTTATTGTGTAGGTATTCTTAATTCTGCTTTAAGTTTTATACCTTTTAGAAAATCATCTAATGTATACAGTGTAGTGTTATCAACTGAACTTCAGCAATACAAATCTCTTAATTACCCCAATTTTTCTGGATATATCATTTCCTCATGCCCCAACTTAAGGCAGTCTGGTGGAAATATATAAAGAACTCTTAACTTTGCTGATTTGTATTATTTTTCAGGCCATTTAGTTAAAAAAGATCTTATTTCTGACAGAGTAAAGAAAAAAGCAAGTATCAAGTTGGCCAGTATCCTTTAACTACTCTTCCACACAGTATTTATTTAATACATTTTATAACTGCTGTTCTACAGCATTCCATGGGGATAATTAAAGAACTTCTTTCCGAAATCCCTAACAAATTTTATCACACATGAACCTCAAAACAGAGGTTATGATGAAAGCACTACACACATTCCATGATCCCTCTCAGGATATTCTTTCCGTTCCTCACCTGGCCTGCCTTCTGCTAGTTCCTCTTCAAAAGCCCTGTGCACAATATGCAAGTCAGGTAGTTTCAGACAAAGTACTTAAAGACCTGCCTGACAAAGTTCTTTCAGGAAGTCCAGTGATGCAAAAAACCTGCTTGCCTTCTCATTCTTTTAGCTAAGCTACCACATGCATATTGAAACTGCTGCACTAACAAGGCTGGAAACTTAATCTTACATCTAGGGATAATGTCCAAGAAAGCCAATTTATGTCACCATAAATATATGAAGTAGCTGCATTTACTTATATGTAATCTTCCCAATTCTGCATTTAAATGGCTTTTGTGGGGAGGGCCATGAAACATACAAAGCTGCACAAGATGCTGAACCTCAACCCCAGCTCCTCTGACTTCTAAGCTACAGTGTCCCCTGCCAACCTGTTCCCAAACTAAGAACCTTTTAAAAATAATCTGAAACTGCAAAACTCTGCACTTGGTCCTGGAATGGTCCATCTGCATGATAAAATGGCAAATGCTGGGAATACAAAACATTCTGCCTATATCCTTTACGATGAACAATAAAGTGTGTTGCACAAGCAGATGCATTTGTAAAATTAGGCATATCAATTGCTGCATTAGCAGAACCTCACATAATATGACATGCTGCCACTGCAGGAATATCACAATGGCACAAAGATTTAAGATTGGCTGTTTAGATTTTGACAATACAAAAGCATTGGCCAGCGCTGCAGGAGTTTATACTGTTATGTTACAGCTCTTACCACTGTAGTGAAGTAACAACATTTTAGAAATCTTCTGTAGATGACTCTTACGGCACACTGGAAGAACACCTCTGTATGAGCAGTGCATGGCAGGAATCACAAACCCTTACAGGCTTTGGCGAAGATGGCAAAGGCAGTTCGTTGTCAGAGCAGGCATTACAGAAAATTTCGCCACAGTTTCTACAGTGATGCTAAATCAAGATGGGTAGGGGTGGGGAAAAGAAACCCGAAGGAGATTTTGAAATCAACAGTTTATGAAGTAAATAGAGAGTAATCAGCTACAATTAAACATTTACATACATCTATATATATGTTTCTCCCTCTCTCCCACACCCCCTAGAAGCTAAATTTCACATTTTATGTGAGGAGGGATCATGTCAGCCAGTGACTTGGTCATTATGAATGGAAAATAAGCAAGTTTAATGGTTACCTGAACATTCTATTGTTCGATCAGAGTTTGTGCTATTTGTTGCAATATTTGTAACAACAAAAAGGATTTAGTTTGAACCAAATGATCTGTGGGGTTAACTATGAAAATAGTAATTTTTTGTTTTTTTAACTGATAGTGATTGATGAGGTTTAGTGCACATGCATAAATAAAAATGTGAATATTAAGTATTGGTAAATAACAGAACTTGGATACAGAACTTGTTGTTAGTGGATGAAAGCCAATGAAGCTTTTCATGCATGCTCACCCTCCTTCTGGAAAGCGAAAACTCCTTTTCACATAATTTGCAGTGTGTTGCTTCTTTGTCTTTTAGCCAGACCTGTCCCTAGTGGGGAGAAAAAATGTTCTCTGAATAGAACAGGTACCATACATACAATTTATCTAATCATAAATGACAGTTGCCATTCAGGTATACAAAAGGACAACATTCCTCAGGATAGTACAAGAGGCAACTCATGTTAGTTCCAACTCCTTACCCAGCCTACCATCAAGAAATCTCTCACATCAATGCATCTGTGGCCAACGCCCTGCACATTAGAGAGGATCCTAAGGAGCACAGTAGGACACACAGATTAAGGCACTGAGCAGGATACCACAGAACATGAAATGTAGATGCACACTGTATGGAAAGATGGGTATGGATGGATAAGCCGTCTTTCAGGCAACTTGTCTGCCCTTGTAGATCCTGCTGTCATGGAACCCCAAAGGACAGAGTTTGAAACCTACCACTCCTAACAGTGCAATCCTATACATGACTACTCAGAAATAAGTCCTACTATTTTCAGGTTAATGGGTACAGCATCATAGCCAAGCAGAAAATTAAGCACAAGTGATTATCAAGATCACAAACTAAGCGAGCGTTAGAACAAAATAAAACTAGAATTTGGGAGCCTCCCTACAATGTTCTTGAAAGATGAGTTTGTGATTCTTCCTGTCTCTTAAAATTGAAAATCACTAAAAAGTCATCTTACAGAGCACACCTTGACCATAAAAGGGGGGGTGTCTCCAAGCCTGGAGATGTCAGCATAATACAGGAATTTTGTTGTAAACGGTAGGTGTAATCTATGGTGGATAAATTCTGGCAGGTGACCTCGAGGCACTGTAGCTGTTGAACCAGTGAATGATCCACCAGTAGTTCTGCTAGGACACAGGGCCTTTATCAAGAAATTGCTTCAGTCTTGATACTCTTTAATTTGTTAGTAGTGGTGAAAGTGAAAATACTGACTGCTAGAGGCTGAAAGTGGGTCTGTCTATTGGCTTGTGGCTTTTCAAAATATGTGAGAGTCTAAGGCTGTGGGTTACTGAGAAGAAAGGAGGAAGTCTGTAACTTTATAATTCTTATGGTCTCAAATTAAGACCATCTTTCAGATTCAATAGCTGATACTGATATGAGAAAATAAAAGAGAGTGGACTCCACTTAGACCACTGGTCTTCAACTGATCAGGGTCACAGCCTGATCCAAGCTGGGTCACAACAGGCGCACTACCACCAGATTAAGAAATGGGTCCCCAAATGCATGTTTGAGTTAGAAGAGGGTCCTGGGTCTGAAGTTTAAGATACCTGATTTAGACTATTAAACACTGACATGTATTTTGTTGATACATGATGTATGTGGAATGATGTAGAGTTACATTATAATTTACTGATTAAAACCACAATAATTTATAGCTAGGAAATGAAGCACACCGACAGAATAGACAGGCCCAGTGAAACTATAAATACTAATGGTTAATGGTTAAAATTTACACTATAATTTGAAAGGTTAACTACCCGTTAGCTTATAAATTGGAGTGAAGTATATAATACAGAATGTCTGAAATGAATAGAAGAATTAGTCTGGATGCCCCTCCCCACCTTCCAAATTACTAACCTGCAATGTTTTATTTGCTTCTTTTATATCTTCTATTTTAAGCTTTGATCTAAAGAGAAGATATGTGAATAATAGTGTGAATAATTAAATGCACCTGTTTTCAGGGGGGATAAACATGGCTGGATTGAAGGAAGTGTGTAGAAGTCCACACTTCCTTCAACCCAACATGTATCTGTAGACATATACTCTTTCAACACAAACACCTTGCCTTTCTCCCCATTTTCTCCAACTTCCTTCACTTCTGCCTCCATGCACCTCCCTGTAAGGAAGATGTGCTCAAGAGGGTAGGAAAAATTTGCAGAAGGCCTTCATTTACAAGACAACTTATGTTTCATTGGTTCCCAATTTTCACACCTGGACCTCAAAAAACATTTCTAGAATTGAAATCTATCGTTACTAGAAAAGTAAGTCATGTTCATTTCACATACCCCTATCCAGACACAGGACTCATGTGGGATCTATACCCGTGCTGGGCAATGAAAGACACAATCCCATATAAGCCCTGCATCTGTTTATGATTTGTAGATGAGAAAGAGAGGATACTTCCAATGAGAAGCAGAGCCTTTACAGCAATTGGCTTTGGTTTTATCTCCCTGAAAGAGTCTACAGCTGCTGTTTTTCAGTGGCTTTTCCGAGATGCAAAGAAATCCTCTCTGTAAGAAACCTTGGCACTTACTTGCTAATGAAGGTCAAAGCCTTTGCTGGATGGTAAGAACTTCTGTTAACTGGCAAGAAAGGTTTTGTTTGGTGGCTTAGCCATTGGTAAAGTCGTAATCTGGCAGCAATGTGAAACAAAGACTTGTTTACGAGACACTGATGAAACAGAATATCCTTCCAAGTGGAAAAAGGAGAAAACCTACACTGGGGTTAAGCAACTTGTGATCCTCCAGATGTTTTTGGACTTCCAACTCCCATCACGCCCTGGCCAATATGGCCAATAGTCAGGAATGATGGAAGTTGTGGTACATCTGGAGGGCCACAGGTTTCCCAACCCTGACTTACTCCAGCACTAATCTATATGAAAAGCACAGGAAGTACATCAGCCAAATGGTTATACAGTGGTACCTTGTTTTGAGTCTGGGATCCGTTCTGGAGCCCCAGATGCTCGACGAAAGGGACACTCGACAAAGCACTGCTCTCTGCATGCGTGCAGAGCGGTTTGCGCTTCTGCGCATGCGGCAAACCCAGAAGTAACCTGTTCCGGTACTTCTGGGTTTGCCATGGACATTCGCCGAAATGGACGGTAGACGGGGCGGACGTTCGTGGAGGTATTACTGTATTTGTTAGGCAGGATAGCTCAGTTGGTTAGAGCATGGTGCTGATAATGCCAAGGTTGTATTGCAGGGGGTTGGACTTGATGATCCTCAGGGTCCCTTCCAACTCTACAATTCTAAGTGTTAGCCTTCTCTTCTCAGGCAACTGACCAAGGCAAAGGAGCCACTGGATTCTGCTAGCTGAGACTTAAAATGCTTTGTAGGGTTGAAGCTGCTACGAGACTTAAAGTACTTAAATAATTTTAAAGCCTTAAGTAGCTGGGCTGGAGGAAGTTAAAGGTGAAACATATGCACATGAACCAGTCTTTGTTTTCATTAGTTGTGTGCAAGAAAAGAAAAAGACAAATTACTCGCTAAGTTTGCCAGCCAGTTCTTGGAGAGCTTCTTCTTGATCATGGCATAGATTTTTCAACTGCTTGTTCTTTTCTTGTAATTTTAGGAACTCCTGAAAGACAAAGAAAACAATAACACTGTCAATAGCTTCTCAGAAGAGTTGTAAAACATTTGTATTTGGGCTGGCTTTAAAAACTGGAATTAATTACATCAGGGATGGGCAACCTGTGGCATTTTAGTTGTTGTTGGGCTCCCAGCTCCCACCAGCTTCAACCACCATAGCCAAAAGACAGGGATTACAGTTATTTTATTTTAAGGGTGCTGACATACAGGAAGTTGAGCTACATAGGAATCATGCTCCCATTGTCATACAAGCTTGTCCAAGATTAGGGGGAAACAGTCCTCTCAGTTAGTAGCAGAAACAGGCTGAATACACTGTGCTGATTGTTGGTGTTTGTAACATTACAAACTCACTCATCCTACTGCCGGAGCAGTGTTGCAACACTTTATAAACTTGGTTTTATGTAGTGGTAGGAATGCAAAAACTAATGTTTAAATTAAAAGGCTTTCATGCTGTGCTTGATGAGGGAGTAGGGGAGAGGAAAGAGTTGTCCTGAAGACTGGGAGGATCAGGGAAGAAAAAATACACTTGGAATCGGCATTTGATTTGTTGATAGGTAGATTTGTTGAAAGGATTTGCAAAGGCAGGGGAAGTTAGGCTCGTACTGTGTGAGAAAAGCACCATGGTGAATTCTGTTTAAAAGTATATCTGTATACAGTGGTGCCTCGCAAGACGAAATTAATTCGTTCCGCGAGTTTTTTCATCTTGCGGTTTTTTTCGTCTTGCGAAGCACAGTGTCGGGAAAGTTTTGGAAAAGCTTCAAAAATCACCAAAGTCTTTAAAAACCTCAAAAAAGGCTACCACACCGCGTTCTATGAGTTGCTCCTCGAAGTCAAGTCGCAACTGTATTAACGGTGTTAAGAACAAGGAAACAAACTTGCAAGACGTTTCCGTCTTGCGAAGCAAGCCCATAGGGAAAATCGTCTTGCGAAGCAGCTCAAAAAACGAAAAACCCTTTCGTCTAGCGAGTTTTTCGTCTTGCGAGGCATTCGTCTTGCGGGGCACCACTGTATACCAAGCGTTCTAATGGGTATGTCTAGCAAATGGCTTTAATCAATTTTGGTTTCCCCATTCTTGGGATGCAATAAGATTTGAATTCAATGAAATACGTTTCATATGCAAGTCTCAACTGATACAATCTTAAAACCTCTTTAGTCCACTGTATATCACAGTGGCTTTGGATTTAGCAATAGCTGAGCAAACAGGAAGTATAATTTACACTTCCTGTTCACCATGCTTCCTTGTAATCTGGGTGTATGGGATGGCTTATTTATCTCCTGTAATGATAATGATCTCTTAAGACCAACCAACAGTACTTCTACCTCGGAAGAAAGAACCTCCAGATCTCTGAGCACTTGCATACCGCTTCATGGGATAACGATGAAAGTACAGCTTACATAATCAGTAAAATTTTATGAAATTTTGCTGCACAATTTACTTTTTTAAGAGTAATGATTTGTTGGGTCTCTGTCTTCAAGGAAGATGATGTTTCTTTTTCCCTTTTAAGGTCTTCTTCCATAGTTTGTCGCCATTCTCTTTCTATTTTCAAATCTGTTTCCAGCTGGCCACTAGAAATACAGAATATAAAAAAGTCATTCAAACAATTATACGTTTTAATTGACCCACTGCAATTGCACAACTATGAAATAATTAGTACAATGTATATAATTCAACACTGTAAACATTTTACACGTGTTAATTATAATAAAGATTTACTTATTTCCTTTTAAAATGTTTTATATTATTCTGTGTAGTAGACTTCTGCAAAAATAAGTGATAGGAAAAAAATAAGCAAATTAACTATTATTTGACAAGAAGGTTATGAAGAAGGCAATCTTAAAATCTGATTCAAACTTCACCAAGATTCATCAATCCCTCCCAATCTCCCTTTGGAACCAGGTTAAAAGCATTTAACAGAATTTAACAGAATGCTTTCAGAATAAGGATAAGATGGTTCTGTTGTTCTTTATGATCTAGATATCTATCTACTATCTGACTGGTGTTGTTTTAAGGGGATGGTATATTTTATTATATTGCAAGCAGCTTTGGGTAAAAACAGCAGGATATACATTTTAAAAGTAAAATAAATACATAAATCCAGCTCAAATTACCTTAAACGGGTACTGTGATGGGAGAGCTGCATCTAGCCCTCGAGGAGCGCACACGATTGCTCAAGGGTCAAACTAGATAATATGTGAAAGGTGTAACTGTGTTTCAGGCGTTGTTGTTGTTTTTAATAGCCATGATAAGCCCAATCCAGGTCAGGACTACTGTGTTGCTATTGTATTACAGATATGTAAAGTGCAATTGCCTATGTCATGTACTAAGCAGTTTGGCCCTAACAATGCCCAATTGTTAGGCAAGTTAGCAGATGAGGACTGCTCCCCAAATAAGAGAACACTCAGTCCTGGACGAGGCCCAGACACTCCCTCACCTTCTAGGACTTTTTATTTCTGGTTTGGAGCAAGCTATGTGAACAAAATGATGTTTTCAATAGCAGAAAAATATTAATAGGACAGCCCTTGTGAGTATGCATATCAGGGCAACATTTCCCCAAAGTTAAACTAGTTTCCTGAGCTCAAAGCAGCATGATATTAAAAGCAAACCCAAAACAGCGTTCTCCTGTGCCGTATGGCAAACTTAGGGGAATTTCAAAAGGAGATTGCAATGGGGCAACAGGTTCAGCTGTTCAAATAAAGTCCACTTGGCTTGCTCAAACACCTTGCATGAGCCTAAACAGGTACTTGAATCCCAGCACAGAAGTTCTGTATTCTATGAAACTACTAGATCAGGCAGATGAATTTACGATCAGCTTACTTAGTCTGTTCTTCCAACATGCACCATGTAGCCATTCTGTGGTGACACATGCAGCTCTAAAACTTCTGATCTGTAATTCATCTGGATTTAGCTTTCCACTTTAATGATATTCAAAAGGGGAGGGGACACACATGTTAGAATATATGCTATTTTATCCCCCACAAATACTTTACTTACACTTGCTTTTCCTTTTGAGTAATATCTTTCTGCAGACTTTCAGATTTACTCATATAGTCTTGCTTAAATTTCTTGTCTTCACTCTCTGCCTCCATTTGAGCCTTCTCTGCTTGTTGTAATCTGGTGTAATTCAAATCAACTTTGGGTAAAACTGAAGCTAGAATTTGGGTGTAAAGGGTGAAGAAGACAAATAAAAGAAAAAAAATGGGGAAATAGAAACATTTCTAAATGAAAACAAAGCTTGGGGTAAACTCACAAACTCAAATGAGAGACCCAGACAATGCCAAGAAATCCAAATTCTTTTTCTCACTACAACAATATTAAAATGAATCCATACATTTATCCAAATTTTTTATTTAGTATTCATGATTAACAGATGCCATCAATGCAGAGCCATACAGATTTTTTTATTCATACATACAGAGCTGTGACTGTGCCTTTGTGTGTTTTTGCATGAATTCTTTAAAAAAAAATTTAAAAATCCCAAACCCTGTAAACTAACTGTTCCTTAACTAATCTATCAACACTACAAAATGGGAAAACCAGTGCACTAAATGGTCTGATATAATTCAGAACACAAAGAAGAGTATTGTAATCAAGGTGGCACAAGCAGTGCCATGTTAAATCAACACAACACACACCAAATAATGTAACTGTGTGTCTACTATGGTGTGCATGGTGTAAATGAGAGCATGTAAATAATCTAAGTACTTGCTCCCAATACGGCAGGTTTTGGGGTGGTGTCTGGATTGGTGATGGGTGTAATGTAATTTGTTTCTTGAGCTCCCACACCTGTTAAGGTGTGCTTTTGTTCATTTCCACAGAAGAGGATGCTACATCAGAAAGGCCAAATGTGGCTATAATTCACCAAGTACTATTTGTTGTGCACTCTCCATTTATTATAGTAGAGTTTGTGCAAATCTAAGTATACTATGGTAAGATATTCAAAATGGACAAAATATCAGGCCTTAAAAAAATAGTTATGTGTAACTCAAAAGATTGTCACTTTATTTTGCTAGTATCTGAACCATTCTGCATCTAATCTTCAAACTTCACCAAACATAGAATAAAAAGCATGCTAGCTGAAATTAAAGTAGATTTCGATTTAACATTTCAAAAGTTGTAACATTGCAATTTCTTTAAAAAATGTTAATTCCAATTGGCAACTAACAAAATACGTTGGTGAGTTCAGTGTCGGAGATCTATGTTAAAACATTGACCAATTTGAATGCCAAATTATTTTGCTACATTTAGAGCCTGATCCATAACCTATTTAAGCCAAAATACATGGGCAAATAGGCTTAAAAGCAAGGTTAAAAAAAATCCTACAAATTTTACTCCATTAAACTATTTCAAGACACATGGAGGATCTTTCAAAATGATATATCTTTAACAAGCTTGTACTGATGCTGCCCTTCATTGCTGGCACATTTCACTAAGGACATTGCAATAGTCCTGGTTTGCGTTAACAATTCTTTGTCACTTCAGATGTGCAATGGATAAAAAATTAAAGACAAATAAAGGTAACAAAATATTCAGAAACACAGAAGTTGGGATAAAGGAGAAAAGAAAAAGAAAAAGAGGAAGAAGGATGTCAATAAAAGAATATTCATGCCACTAACGTTTTAATACATAATTATGTTTTGTTTGTTCGTTAAGTAGACTGAAAAGAAAAACAATGGCAAGACATGTCAACAGCCACATGATGAGGCTATGAATGTTAACAACATCTGAGATTCAACATTGCTCAAACAGGTGCCTGTTTGTGCAGCAGGCAGCTTCTTCCTGTCCTGCCCCCTGCAGTCCTCCGTGTGCCCCATAAATATACTCTGGAGGAGTGGAGGATCACACAAAGCAGATTTGGGGTGGGAAAGGGGGAGCTGGAGAGGGGAGAAAAGTAACTGGAAGTCCCATTGTACAAGCAGTGGATATCACCCATTAAAAAAAATAAGAGAGTAAAGCATGTAAACATGCTTCTGTATTCATAATAAATGGCCTACATGTTACATGCCATTTTTTTAGTATACACATATATATATATAGCCTCAGAGTTAATTTAGAACCATCCATTGTCTCATGCACCATCTACAAGACTTTTTACTTCTTTTTTATTTTAAAAAATGACAATAACACAAACTGCTTTTGAAACTCTTTTTGTTTCAAAAGGTGATTTTTCCTGAGCTGGGGAAGGAGAAGATGCTGCTGAAGACATACAACACTTCTTCCCCCCCCCCCCCCCAAGGTTCCCAGCTATTGAGGAAATGTAGGTAGTTTCAGGATTCTCTGGGACTCGACCCTACACACTTACACTCAGAATGGAAGAATGTTTTTAATTTAAATGGAAGAATATTTCCAAATGATTTTTCTCCAATTGAATATATGGGCCAACAAATAATTCTAAGAGTCTGTACACATCAAGTGCCTAACCAGATGAGACAAAAGAATATATGAACTGAAAGCCTGTTTTGTTTTATGTGTGTGGTGTTAAGTTTTAAAGCAACCATGGAGGTGAAATGGCTGTGGCACTGGAGGAAGCAAATTATTCCACTACATGATTTGTCCAACTGAAATCCCCTAAAGTATATTGCAGGACATCTTTAGGAGAGGAAATTGCTAAGGAGTAAATCCTACACAAATTTGGAGTAGTCCCTAAGACAGGGGATGGAGCCTTGCATGCCTCCTTCCGGCAATTCCTGTAGCCAATCTGGTGCCAAACGTATTGCTCTGCTGTCCTTTGGACCACATTGGTGAGGCTGTCTGGCTATCCCAGGACCTCCATACACACTGCTCAGGCTTGCATCCCACAAAAGTCACTTTGGTGCTGCAAGAACACAGCAAGAACATGGGAGGTAGCAGTTACAAGTTACTGGTCTCTGCAGTCACAGCAGGTACTGCGATTCTCCAGCAGTTTGACTTCACCCCTGGAGGTGCACTCTATTGTCTCATGAGACAGACAGATGCCAACAAATATTTTTATTGGGGTGCAAAAACTTTTGAGAAGGTTAGATCAAGAAAACAGTGTGAAGGAAAGCTTTTTTTAAGATCTTCAAGGGCACAGCACCAAACACATTACCAGCACCACTACAGTGCTCTAATTGCAGGGGGTCAGAGGGGGCCTGCCCTTTTCCTTGCCTTTTTGTGATGGTTTCCATACTACTGTTTTTGGAAGGCTGCAGACAGCACCATTTTGCAAATCTGGAGTGAGGACATGGGATGGGGTTTGTGAATTGGCTTGGGGTCCCCTCTGCCTTTCTTATCCCTAAGCTGAGCATGGCACAGATCTCCTATTGTCTCAACTAGTTTAACATTTAGCTTCAAATGTATGAGTAAGAAATCATTTGGGACTTTGCTGGATAGATGTAATATGCAAAGGGGGGGTGGAAATTCTGAAACAGCTAACAAGGAGTCAAATAGGATATCTCAGGCACAAAAAAATAAGGGAATCAAAATATGCATTCAAAGCACCTAAAAACAGCATAAAAAACACATTTTGATCCTTCAAAACAAAGTCATATCTCAGTGCCTACTATATGAGAATGTGGCAACTGAAGCAAAAGAAATGAGTCTGAGGGGGAGTGGAGAAGCAGAATAAAAGAAGATGCTGTACCTTTGCTCCAACTGCTTCATAGTTGCTGTAATCTGATTGGTTTTATCTTCAAGTCTGCCAATGATTTCGTTCTTTTCTTTCAGCGCATCATCTGAAACCTATGATACAAGAGTGATTATTATAACTTGAGTATTAACAAGTGAGCAATAATAAAATCTACAGTCTGGATGTGTAGTTTTTTTTCTTCCTTTCCTCTCCGTTCGAAATTGCTTCCTCTTGCCCAGCCTTGGACAGTAAACTCTCTAAAGTAATCTTCACCACGCTGCTAGTGCTGTATGTGCAGCAGCAGCAGTAGGAACTTACTTTCAGGTAAGCAGCCCAATCTTCAGGAGAAGGAAATTGACAGTAAGTTTAACTTTCTAAATTTCCCTTTTTCTTATATCCCCCAAGGGCTACTAAAAGGAGAACAAGTGGAGCTTTAAAAGCAATTTGGTGGTGGGTGGCTTGTGGCTAAAACCACTATTGCCTTTCTTTCTAGTTTATGGGGTAGAAACAATCAGAGATGATGGAAGTCTTTCCCCTCAGTAAGGTTATTAAGTTGGCTCTGTCTCCTGGTCTGAAGCAAATGAGGATGACATGCAACAGTGCATGAGTGGGTTGCCACCGACACAATGGGATTGCCCCTTCCTCCCCATTGCAACCTCTGTTCTCCTGAGGACTCCCAAACCTCAGGAGGAGTTTGTGGGATCATGCAAGGGGCAGGAGAGTACGTTATGTTATATGAGTGAGAGTCTGCAGTTGCTGGCAGGCTGACAACAGAGGATATCAGCCAAAGCCTCCTCATCCTGATGGTCACCTTGCTCCTATGCCGAGAAAGCAGCTGTAAGAATAACTGTCATCCGTTGATATTCAAAGCTAGTTCTCAAAAGGACAGGTGGGCATCCCTAGAGGGGGAAAGAGTATTGCTTAAAAATTGTATTTCGTTTAGCTTCCAGTTGAAAACAGTATAATGTTCTTACTTGTAGCTTTTTGTACATTTCTACATTTATTCCTTTGACTTCCTCCAACTGTTGCCGCAGGCTTATAAGAGTGTCTTGTTTTTCATGTATATCCTTCTCCAACAACTTCATTGCAAGTTCTATCTCATGCTTCATACCAACTTGAACCATCAGCTCATTCTCTATATCCTACAAAATACAAAGAAGTGCACAGATATCAAATGCATTAAGGTGGGAAAATATGGCGATAGAAGACAAGCCAGCTTACATGCCTCTGGATATACAAGTTCCCACTGCCTCCATAGCATATCTGATATACACTCACTTGTCTCAACTGTGATTCTTCTCGAAGCTGCCTGTGTGCTTCATTGTACATGTCATCCAGGCTTTGTCTGGAGTGCTTGTATGTCTGAAGTTCTGCTTCAGCATCCACCTTGTTCACCTACAAGTAAGGAATTCATGCTTAGATCACTTTCCCCCAGAGCATATCTTCATGCGGGGGAAACAGACAAGGGAATTGTAGAATGATACTCTCTGACTCAGTAAAACACAGTAAGCTGTACATGTCCCATCTCATGTTGACAGAATCAGTGCTCCCTGAAATGCCACATATTACATGGAGCCAAACCCAAATTTTACAAGCTTGTGCTTCACTGGCAGCTGCAGTCAATTTTGGCTCTCTAAAGAAGAAGAGTATGTCTATATGACACACAAGCTTCTGAACATCTGTTAATCTCATTCTCCTTTTTACATTTTGAGGTACACACTTAAAAATAAAACGTAGCCACACACCTAAAAACAGCAATGTGTTAGCCCTCATTGAGATATTTTGCAGCATTTTTTCCCTAAATATGTTTGTATTTCTGTAAGCCTTGGAGTTCCCTCATGCCTACTGATACCTTCCTCTTGTGTGGTGGTATTGCTGTTTCAACTATATAAGCAAAGGAACTCACAGTTGGAACACCAGTAACTGAAGGAACAAATAGGATCTGAAACAAAATATCAGAGTGGAATGTTCCTGTTCAGGTTTCCAACCACTCCATTCTATCTCCTCCCACTTTTCTATTTCGCCCTGAAAGTCAACATTCTGTACTCACTAAGCATGCTCAGTTCTTACTGGAGTCCACCCCCTACCCCAACTTAAGGTTCCTCCCTCCAAAGCTTTTTCAAATCCCCTTAGCCTAGTGAGCCCATTTTGGCCACATAAGGACAGGCACTCAGACAATGAGTTTGTTATTTGTATTTATGATAGGGTCCTCTAGTATGTCAAATAGCCCAAGATAGTGCAACATGCCAGAATTTACCAGTGATTCTGCAATGGCTGTGTTGCTACCTACTCTTTGATAGGACACTCACCTATCATATTTTACTTGAGCCAGTTTAGAGAGAGCACATGCACACAAAAAAGCAAAGGCAACCTCTTTACTAATATCGCTTTGTACCGCATATTATATTTCCTTTGTAAATAGAACTCTCATACCTCTAGATGATGCTGTGTTTTCATTAAGATGAGTGTATTTTCACTTCGCAAATGATGATTTTCTTCTTGAAGTTTAATTATATTATTTTTGGCTATTGCTAACTAAGAAAGAAGTGGAACAAAAAAAGCAAAAAGATTCAGGTGAACAATAATAGGAAAACAAAAATATTTCAACACACACAGGCAGAACAGAAAGATAGTATTGGTCATATGCATTGCTAAAAGTCCGTACCTCTTCAATTAGTTTAGTGTTTGACTTCTCTAGCGAATCAACGCGTGTATGGAGACTGCTGACTGTGCTACTGAAAATAGTAAAGAGAACCTCATTCAAAATTACACATCAAATCCTACAAGTACAAATAGTACTATGCAATTTACTTAACATTCTAGTGCCTATTTGGGTGTCCACTGATCAATGGAGTTGGAAAACACATCTTCCACCATACATCTTTCAAGAAGATAAATGCACTAGCTTTATTTTATTGCCATCATCATATTTGTGTTCCTTGAAATGACATTTGCTATCACTCTAAATGTCCATTATGTAACTGCTAACTTTCATTCTTTCTTTCATTTCTCATGAGCCAGGAAATTTATATTTTTTGCTGCTGTTCTTTAGAGAAGTCCTCAGCACCACCTCATCTCAGTGGCTCTAGCAGCCTTTTCTTATAACTTAATAACAAGCCCATGCCATTCTAAGAACAAATATTTAAAGTCTTAATAGTAAAATTTTGCCCACAGGTTAGCATTGCTCTTTTGCACCGCAGTCCTAATTTTAGTTACTCAGAATTAAATCCCATGGAGTTCAATGGGACAAGGGCAGTGCTATATGCTATGATTTTTGCAGAAAACATCAGTGTTATACTGGTGATTCCAAGCCAAAGACAAAAAGTATGAATGGAAAATATGCATGAACATACAACTTTAAACATCCATGTACACATACATTAAAGAGAAACGTACATGGGTGTTTGAAAAAGTATGCTTGCATATAGTTTGCCTTTGCATGTTACATCCTTCCTGTGCAGAATGCCAGTTTAACACAAATGATTCCCACAATACTTGGAAATTACAGCAATATCCTTACTCCCAAGAAAATATGTTTAGGATTGCAATCTTAGTCCCCTTCGTAAAGAACAGCAAGACTGAAAGTATCAAATTTCAGGATTTGTACCATGCTAATTTGAATAATAAACTCCTCTTACTTTGCCCACATTTAAAAGAATAGCCTATTAAACAGACAAAACACTTGAAACATTAGTCTTCCAACAGCTTCATTCATTCTAGACTCCCTTTCAGTAGCTATATGATGCAACCATTAAACTAAGCCAAATGCAACTAAAAGGATTTCAGTGCCATCTACTGTACCAGAAAAGGCATGTTTTTATTGGAATTACTTTTTTAAAAGATGATGCCTCTATATGGATTCAACAGATGCTTCTGTAAATACTTACTTCAGCTGCCTGTTTAGTTCTTCAACATAATTCTTTTGATCCAAAATAGCAGCAATATGGTCATTTCTAAAGTGATGAAAACGTATTTAATTAGACATTTATCTGACACCATATATGCAGGGGTGGAGGAAGGGGGGTGCAGTGGGGGTGGGGCACCCCGGGTGTCACCACTGAGGGGGGTGACAAAATGCTGGGCAGCACTCATGGGGGGCCTGCAGTGCGCCCGAGCCACGCGTCTCTCCTGGGAGTGACGTGGTGGCTTGGGCGCCCGCAGGCTCCGCGCTGCCCCAAATGGTCTGCCCACTGTCTCCCCCTCAGCTGTAGGGCAGCTGAGTGGGAGGAGGCATCAACAATACAGAACAACAGAAACAACAAACCCCCGTGTTGCAAACTTAACACAACAAACAATACAAGCAACACGCAGGCCAGTATACTAGCTAGCACTGTAATTCTTATTGCATAATATACATGATTTAGTAACAAAAACAAAATGTGTGCACTTGTAAATTCTCTAATATATTTGAAATCAATTGAATACACGTCTGTCAATCTTTGAAAGTCCATAGAATTATAATAAGTCTATGGTTGAAACAAAGTAATAGATGCTATCCTGTGGGCTAAGCGGTAAAACTTTTTAGGTGAAATTCCAAATGAAAAATTGGGGTCACACTATAGGTGCACTCCTGATTCTTCTTTCTAGCCACTGCTTGAATTTGGCGCTTTTTCCTGTCGCTCTGCACAGCAACAGAAAAAGGCACCACACTAAAGCTAGAGAAGAAGAATCCCGAGGGCGTCCCTGATGTCATAAAACATCCTTACGCACCTGTCAACATGGGCTGTGGAGGGTGGGCCAGTTCTTCATCTATCCCCTTGGCCAGATCAACTTTCCTATCTCTGACAGGAGGAGAAATGGCAAAAGAAATAAGGAAAGAAAAGGGGACTCAGAAGAGCGGGGCCTTGACTTAAGAAGTCTGAAGCAGGAATTATCACGATTGTCAATCTGCATTCAGTTTGCAGAGGTTCCAGTAAAAGAGGATCAGATGTTCATATATTTGTCCTCTCATTCATCCTAGCAAAACAAAGCAAGTTGATCCACCCTGATCCTTTTACCTCACACTTCTGCTTCCTGCCCTTAGGGAGCCTGGCAGAAAAACACAAAACCCTTTTCAAAGCATTTAATGTACTTGTTTATTAGAAATGTTAAAACATACCTTTCTTTGCTTTCAATATCATCTTCATTCTTTAAATACATAGAGAAATCAATCACACCAACCTAAGAAGAAATAGATTTATTCACATTTTGTATTTTTATTTTTAAAAAGGAAAACCGGGTTTGGTCTTTACTTCACTGATGTTACTGGAAATGTGCAATGAAACCTTATACATACTGTAGGAGAGCATGAGCACAACAGGCCTTACATCATTGGTAATGACAAGCTTTCATTCAAAGCTGCATCATCTGCACTTCAGTCCCCCATCCCCCCGTTTCAACAACCCTTTTAGGGTAAAGATTACTAACCCAGATGCATTTCCTCTTTCAAGCAGTCACAGATTTATACTTCTGCAGTAATAGAGTTTGAAGGCTTTATACAGAACTATTTCCAATCTTTGGAGACTTTCTGGATAATCAGGCAAAAAGGAAAACAAGCAGCTAGGTTGCACTTTTATGGTTTTTGTAACCAAGCCAAAAAGCTTTCTAATAAAGGAACCGATTCATGTAAGCTCCATCACTATTCCTCTGCAGAAGAAACAATTCGTTAATCAGGCCTTTAATTGCGTTTCAAAGGAAATAAGTGTGTTTTGTTTAGGGAATAGCCAACTGCCTTTCCATTTAACTCATCAAGCTAAATAAGAAACTTTTTTTTCTTTTAAGAAAGCACATTACAACTTTTAATACTCTGCATTCAGATCCATCAGTTTGATATTTCCCCCATCATTTCATAAAAAACACCTTTAAGACAAAAGTATGAGACCATAGCTTTATATCTACTTACTTGTGAATCCAAGTCTTCTCCTTTTACACAAAGATTTGCATCAATTACATTTAACCCAACGAGCAAACCAACGATAACTGCTCCTTCTTCTTCCATCATCAGTGCATGATATTCATAAAATTCGCTGGAAAATGATTTTTTAAAAAACTTCGTAACTTACTTTAACATACTTTGAATCAATTTTTAACTGCTGGTCAATCAGTAATTTATTTTATTTTCAAATCTTTTAAAGATTGACTTCACCAATACTCCAAGGTGGTTAAAAGTTTAGAGCAACATACTGAATATACCAACTAAAGTGGCAACTTATACAGAATCTAAGTTTTCCCAACAAAATAAAATGAAATGGGAAAGGTCCACCATAGTATGAAAGGGCATCTGCTCTGCAACAGGGCTTTCCCTTCTTCTCCAATCCCCAATCCACCCCCCTCCCCGCTCTGGAGAGTTCAGGGACCCTCTGGAACAAATTTTGGGGGTGCACAAGGGGTGGAGAGGAAATGAGAAGAGAAACTGGAAGTCAACTCAACTTCAGTTACAAAAGAAAATTAGGTGCTCAGATGTTTTGCTGTGTAAGCAACACAAATGCAAACCAAGTGAAGAAAAAATAGTTGTGAGCCTAAGTTTTAACTTTACTGTCATATTACTTAGCAATAGCTATAGTAAAATGTAACATAACTGTACAATTCTGGTAGCAATTACAGCATTGACCTTAATTTACCCTATAAAAATCTGAATGGACACTCACCCAAGCAATTCCTTCTGAAAGATGAGACATCGTAGATAATCAGCCATCTTTTTTTGCATAAGTGCCAATCGTAACCAAGCTCGGGCACGTCCTAGTGGAGTCCTATTTTTTAAAAAAGGAATAGCTCAGAAAACAAATATCTATTGGCCAGGATTATTGTCCAAAATGGAAAAGATCTTTACTGGCAACACAACTTACTTGAGACCAGGCAAGTCTCTAACACTAGCAGCGATTTCCTCAGCTTCCGGGTACAACTTCTCCACAAGCTCCAGAGGACCCCATATTGTTTTATTGTAACTGAGAAAAGACTTTTTTACTAGAAGAAGGAAAATATAATATTTTTACATTTTAAACTTGGCTTTATACTTTAATACAGCTGTTATCTAGATGGCACTATAAAAGTTATTTCTAGGTAAGCCATATCAGAGTGCAAGGAACATTTGTAAGCATGGTTAATATTCAACACTTATACAGTATCAGCATATTTAATCTGCTGCACCTAAGATTCTCTAAAACCATTGCAGCCAACCGTGAAATGAATGTTATAAGAACACCAAGGACAAAATAAGGCAAAACAAAGAAGAATCTGCGAGTTGAGGTTACATATCCCAGGAAGCCAACAAAGAAGAGAAATAGCAGGGACTTGCAGGACTCCAAAGAAGTAAAAAAAATCCTGTAAAATAAATTAGAGGGTTTCTTCAGTTGCCCACATCAATATTAATGAATCCAAGTGGGGAAGCACATAGATTCCCCCTTGGATTGACTGAGGTGAGGGAAGTCTACAGTGTGCATCCTGGACCCATGAAGGTGAACACAGGCGGCTAATACAGTAGTACCTCAGTTTAAGAACAGTCCTGTTTACAAACGATTCAGTTTATGAACTCTGCAAAACCGGAAGCAGCGTCCCGGTTTGCGAACTTGACGTCAGTCTAAGAACGGAATCTGAAAGGTGGAAGGGAACCAGCGGCGGAAGGCCTCTTTAGGGAAAGCATGCCTCGGTTTATGGATTAAGTTCGTAAACCGAGGTACCACTGTATAGGGAATTCTATATGCCTAAACTTGCCTTAATCTAGAATGAGTAATCTAGTATTATACTCTTTTGTTACATAACAAAATACAATGTCAATATGCTTTGGGAAAAACAAACAATCATCGCTTTTAAAACACGCATTTGGTACCTTTAAGGCCATGTTTCAGGCAGTGCTCCATAACAACGAAGAACTGTTGCAGAGGTGGATAGTCAGAATCAAGGGTTCGGCCAAAGCTCAGGGCAGATTCAATGAGTCCCTTGATACTCAGTTTGGCCATATTCAATAAATTTGTTCGCTCAACAGCTGTGGGGTCTTTCACAGCTTAAAAAGGGAAAAAAGCAAAATTATTCAATGAGAACAGAATAGTTCGATACTGCTTTACTGATAAAAACACAACAATCTTGTCCAAAACTAAACATAAAAAATGAAAGGGGGAAAGAGAATAGGATAAAAAGCATATTATGAAATATAGGGTGTGTCTGTACAGAGCTTTTCCTCTGAAGGAACAGAATATTTCCGTAGACCCGCAGCACTGGCAAGTGTCCTGTTCTAAATCAGGGCAGAGAGCACTTTAGCCTGGAAAATCTAGCACTGCTTGCCATTACCCCAGGTACATCAAGTTCTTAATATGAAAATCCATAAAAGATATGTGAAATAATAGCACTGCAACATTTTCAAATCATTTAAGATGGCCTAATATTTTGCTTTTGTTACTGCAATGTACTGATGTTTCCAGTGAACTAACCACAATGACTCTGCAAGCCAACATATGCTGACGGAAAGCTTATTTTTGCCAAATTTGTTTGCAAGCCCCACTGGGTCTAGAGGGATCAGGCCCAGTTCAAAAAGCAAGGGCGAAACTAGGCTTTATTTCATCCGGGTCAAAGACCCAGTTTGGCACACACACCCCACACACAGGTTGGGACTTGGGAGCCTCAATGGTGCCCCTCTGGAGGTTTCACCCAGGGCAAAAAACCAGGGTAGCCACCTCCCCCTCCCCCCAGCTACAGCACTGCAAAAAGCATAACCCTAGCAGGAAAAAAACGATGGTCCTCACTGCTTTTTAAAGTAATTTCTCCTCCCTTCCCTTATACGTTGGCATCATAACAGTTGCAATATTGTGCACTGTTAGCTGGAAGTAAGCCCCTCTGAAAACTGGAACTTACTTCTGAGTAGGATTGGGCTGCATCTATCAGACCCCAGAGCAGCTGCTACCTGGCCACAATATACCTACACCAAGCATCACAATCCAGGGGTGGGGTTAAAAGGACGCCTGAGAGCGAGCAACAGAGAGTTGCCCACTCTGTCAGTCCCTGCCAATCGCGATTCTGAGACAGGGTCCCACGCAAGAACCGATGCACATGCAGAGTTCCTCCACACGAGGGGGTGGGCATCCTGATTGGTCCAGGATACCCCTCCCCGGGACCTCCACGTGCCTAGCGAGGTTTGCGCGAAAGGTCCGTTCTGACGCTCAGCGGGTGCGTGACGCAGCAGGCGGGGCCGGCCGGCGGGCGGGACTCTCCTTCCCCAAGCTCAACACGCGACGGCCGTTCGTCTGCACATGATTCCCCTGGTGACGTTGCCGATGGTAAACCACTCTTACCCGCAAGAAGCTATAATGAAGCAGCCCTACCTTCTTCACCACCACGCGCCGCTCGGCGCCAGCAGTTCGCGCCCTCCCTACAGGCTCGCAGAAACTCAATGGAGAGATAATGACGATGACACGAAGCCTCCTCCCGGCAGGGCTTCTTCATTCCAAGCAGGCGCTGCTAGTTACTTAAGAGGCTACCGAAACTGCGCAAGCGAATAATGGGGAGCTACTACCAGGAGCATCAACATCGTTGTGCAAAGCGAAGCCATTTCACTGCCTGCCCGATTTTCATAGGAGATCTATCGATCTATTAACTCCTATGCAACCAATAGCCCGGGGTGGGCTTCGTTCCTAAGGGTACTTAGAGAGGGGCTCCCACCCCACAAAGGCCTGGATGCGGAATGAAATTGGGGGGCGGGCAGAGGACCGCGAGAGACTTTCTCGCGGCGGCCTTAAAGACCAATGGACTTTTCAGCATCCTTTTTTTCCCCCGGAGACGTGTGCAAGGGAAACACTTGAGGGTCAGACCTGTTGTTCGCCTGACGCGGCTCGAGGGGCGGCTTCAGCCCCTCGCGGATACCCGCCCCACAGCGGGGGCAAGCGAAGGCAGCGCTTCCCCCATAAAAGACGGCGGCCGAGCCCACCCAGCCTCCCTCCCCAGAGGAAGAAGAAACGCTCCGTCAGCCCTTTCCCTTCGCCGCCGCCAGCCCAAGCTCCTCCGACTCCCCTCACGCCCGGCCGCCGCCGCTTCTCCTCTGCTCCTTACCCATCGCCAGCGAGGAGCAGCAGCTGCCCGAGCAGCTCAGCGAGGTGGACCCAGCCTTTGCTCCTTTCACGGCCTTTCTCCAGCCCTCCTCCGCCTCCTCCATCTCCGCCCTCCGCCGCCGGAACCGCGCCCGCTGCGCCCCTGGCGGCGGGAGGACCCGGACGGAGGCGCGTCGCTGCGAGGGGCCGGAGCCAGATGTCGTGACAGGGCGAATTCTCCGAATTTGCTTCATATGATTTAGCCTGTCCCAAATTCCCAGGCCAGGGTGGGGGTGGGGTTCACTTTTGCCTTGAGGTGAAAAGACAGGTTCTGCACTTCTCCCCAATTCTCAATTACTCTAATTTCTTTTAAACATTATTTATCAAAATCCTATGCCGCCCTTCACCTGACAACCACAGGGGGGTTTACAACATAAAAACGCAAAAATACATACCATACCAACAAAGAAAAAATACTACCCCCACCACCACAACTTACATAGATCTTGCCATTTCACTGTTCTCCAAGAAGCTCAAATAAACTGTTACACCATGTTGGTTTTAAGTCAATCCAAAATATTTTTAAAATAGAAAACCAAATCCAACCTGCATACCACTTTGTAAACTGGAGTTGGTATACTAGTGCACTCTAGATTCATATTTTAAAATCAGTTGAGTCCAAAACATCATGAGCCCATCCATCAGCCCATATATACATGCTTGTGCAAGTCAATTTTCCCACTGGCAACCTGGGAAATGACACGAAAACTCTTTAACTCTTTATCCTTCTTAGTTTAAGGTTACCAGATTTTTTTCAATGAATCCGGGGACTGTTCAACTTCAATGGATTTTGTCTGGGGACTGATTTGTAAATCCAGGGATGGTCCCTGGGAAACAGGACATCTGGTAACCTTATCTTAGTTGTCTGGAAGCAATTTTTTTACTCATTACAGATTACCATGAGTGGTCTATTCATAAACAAGATATCTATGTTGATAGCATGACAAATTATTAGCTGGGGAAATTGTGGCGGGATGGAGCAGTGGTTTCACCACTCCATCTTGCTAGCTTGGGGGGGGGGGGATGTGGGCGAGCTTCCCTCACTTTTTTTGCTACACTTCTTTCAGGCTGGCATGAGGCACTTTGGACTCAGCAAATTCTAAGTCTCCAATACACTGCTCCATTTTAGCAAGTAATAGCTTTCTGCTTGCCTTGGTACAGCAGGGACCTCCACTGCAGTGTGCAGCGGGGGAGGGGGGTGTCAATGCCACATCCTAACTACCTCCAGCCATTAACATTGGGTGGCAGGGGTGCAATTGCATTCCTAGTCAAGTCAGAGATGAAACTTGTTGAAAGTAAGTTTTAGGACTTCATTTACAGGGAAGTCCTATGCAGGTATGCTCAGAACGGAGTTCAATAGGACTTAGTCAGATTTTTATTGGTTGCAGTGAATGGCCATTACAGGTCAACAGCATTGCAAGTTTAGATAACATATTTGTAATGCAAATGTATAATCAAGTTTATTTTATTATATATACTACAAAACAGGTAAAAATTTAAGAACTTGGTACATATATCAGGTACAAACATTTATACATATTATATATAGAAATGAATTCCAGTCTTTAAATGGAACTATAATCTACAGGAGTTAATTCCAATGCAATAATATGTTCAAACCCTTTTCCAAACTTGTACATTAAAAAGAGTCAGGCCTACGTTAGCTGTTATTTCAAGTAACTTTTATGAAATATTTATAAAATATAGAAAAGTGAAACTACACTGCATTAAATTAATTAGCAGCAAGATATATAAATTCAGAATCCATCTGTAGTTCTGTCTCCCAAACAGTTGAGTTACGTTACAAACAAGCAGTTTCAAAAGGTGTTTCTTAGTAAAATCTACTTAACAGAGTTACTTATAATATCAACAGTTCAAGTTATGAGGAAAAATCAGTATGAAAAATGAAAGCAATCTGATTAGTAATCTCACATTCCAGGGTTTTGTTGCTGTACAGAGGAAAGAATAAAGAAAACAGAGAACATGGATTGTTGTGAAGCAAGATGGCCACATTGTTTTAAGCTGTGCTTGTTAACAAGGCCTTTTACGCTTAAATAATGTTTCTTAAGAACAGCCTCTTAAGAAAATCTTTCTAGAATTTGGCATTCACAAGTCATGTTTTAACAATAAGGATCCAGTTGTAAGACTAGATGCACACAATATTTTAATGGCTCTAAATCTGTCAACTGATGAGAGCAAGGCAGTAGTACACTACTGGTGAAAGGCACTACTCCCCTCAATTTGTAATAGCTGCTTCTAAGATTTCATACCTTATCACATACAGAGAGCTGAATCCAGCCACTTTGAAGTTGCATTGATATAAACATAATAAATAATGTTCTGAACTTCCCTCTGACACACACACACACACACACACACACACACACACACACTTCAAAGTTCAAGACTGCACACACATCTGAGTTGCTCAGCAGAACTGAATAAAAGCAGCAAATTTAAAACCTGAAAATCTGAGACATGTTCATGACATATGTTCGGGCATTTTTTTTGCCAGAACACAAAAAATGGTATCTGTGGACAGGGGACAGAAGCATGCACACAAGCCCCAACCCCACATCCTAGTGCACATTACCCTACCCACTCAGTCAATCAATCAATCAATCAATCAATCTCAAGCCTTCACTGTACAGAGCAAAAAAAGAGAGAGGCTGCAGTGGCTTATACTTGCTTTTCATTAAAAGCAAGTAGAACACCTTGAGAGATTATAAGGTCTTTATTAAGATCTGTGATTGTGCAGAAAGTTCTACTCTTGTTCAAGAAAATCCAAGATTTTTGTTGAACTCCCCTGCTGAGCACAGGAAAGGAACTAAATCAATGTGGCAACATAAACCAGGATACTGGGTGGGGTTGTGTTTGCAGATCGATTCAAATGCCTGAACATGCCTGGAGATGTGTGTGCAAAGTTTAATTTTTAAAATGGCTAACATTTTAAGAACTATGTCGAGACATTAACATGTAGAAAAGACAGTGGAATTAAATCTATTTGACAATACGAAACTCCCAAGCTTATAATGCAATCGATTCTTTCAGCAGCACATGAATGAGGATTTTCACCTTGATGCCTCCTTGTCACAGAAGGTTACAACGATACACACTTTCACATGCCCCTAATGGAAGACTGAAAATGTAAGTAACATTAAGGAAAATATATTTGGTAACGTGAGAGAAAAAAGCTTGAATAAATCTTTTATCTGTATAACCCAGAGGTCTTCAGAGGAGGTCTTGCTGAAGGTGTCACATATTGCAAAATGCCATTTGATGGCAACACGAAAGTGGGCCTTCTCTGTAGTGATGTCTCTGGATGAGTGTCCTCCCTTCTGCCATTCAAGAGGCATCAACTGTTGTGTGCTTCCAACACTAAAAATTCATCTATTTCCATGGCCTTCCCCTGACAAGTGGCACTAATCCTGCTGCTCTATACTATTGGTGGTATCTGTAATATTATTTTAACTGAAATGCTTTAAATGTATTTTTTATTTCTATCTTTGTAAGCCATTTTGAGATTTATTTGCAATGGTAAAATCAAATAAACAAACAAATAAAGAGATGCACTACCAAAAAAAGGATATCATTACTTCAGTATCCAAATGACAAAGCAACTTCTTCAGAGGAGGATAGTGACACAGGGATGGCACACAACCCAGCATGATTAATTTGTGTTTTGCTCTTGTAATAGCAACGTTGAGACGTCTCCAGTCCTTCAGAAGTTCTCCAAGCTATCAGAAGAAAAGAGCAGTTGACCTAGCCTTAAGATTTTGCAGCTGACTGAGCTTGCCAGGTTTTATATTTCAAATATAAAACTAAGCAGAACAGAACACCATCAGAAGAAGGTAGCAATCTGCTTTCTTCATTGCACAATCCACCAACAAAAAGAAAAGCAGGGTATTTCTGATCTTTGGGGTATCCATCCAAACATTTTTCATGCACTGAGAAGGGAGCTGGGTCTCGCCTTGCGGCCATGCCTCTCGCCAACCATGCATTCCACCAGTGTGTGAAGAACTATGTGCACAGAGTACCTCCCTGCAACAGGAGGACCTTGGGACAATCAGAATTCCTCCCCTCACCTGGAGGCACTGTATGTACATAGGGTTGCTTCGCTTCCTGGCTGAAAGTGTGGCTGGCAAGCATGTGCAGCTACTAGATACAATCCTCCATAACAGGGGTTGTGCACACTCACAAGGGGATGTGGACTAGATTTCTTTTGAAAAGAGAAAGGACAAAACTCCAAATTTCATAATAGACCCATGAAAGTGTGCAATTATTTAGCTAAAATAGTTGCCCTTCTTATCATTTTGGAATAAATTTGTACAGCCAGTTTTTTCTTACCACTTATTTCTGTGTTTTCCAAGCACAACTAAATAAGCCATTTTCAGATGGACAAATCTTAACTTTCCAGATTATGAACTGCTCAGTGATTCTAAAATACAGCCTACTCACATTTCCATCGGCATTATTCCTTACAAAGGACACTATGATGATACTTTTGTCTCTTCCTTGGTACTTGTCCACAGTATTTACTTCTACATTCTTGATAAATGAACTTGTCATCAAGTCTGTGATTATCTTTAACTGATGTCTGTATGGAGATATGACCCCAATATCTGAGGGCTTGCAACCAGCCTAAAAAATAAATCCCAGACATTCAATGATTAAATCTAGCAAAAGAGTTATTTTGGGGTATATGCTATCAAGAAACATTCGTGGAAAATGGAGTATAATAAACACAAAATAATTAGGCATTAACTTGAAGTCGAACAAATAAGAAACAAAAATGCAATATTAAATATGAAGTTACAAAGTGAATTGAAACTGGTTCATTTAAACTATGGTTTAAAGTTATGTGGAAACCAGGTCAACAAGTGCCCATATAAATAGTGTGGGGTTGTTGTTGTTGTTTAAATGCAGATTGTAATTGCTTATATGTGCTCCAACAGCTAGGTGCTATATAGTGAAGAGGAAAGAAATACTGGAGAACCATTATTTTAGCTTTTTAAATAATGTGTCCCTAGTGGATACCATAGAAGCAGTTTACTCAAACAAGCATATCTCTGAACAGTGACTCAGTATACATCCAGAATCATGAGTTTAATGGCCAAAGCATGTCAGTTTTCAGAACTGACCACACCATTTCAAAAATCCTTCACATACCTTGATAAACATGGATGTCAGGAAGAGAACCAGTCTGGCTTCCGTCATGTTACTTACACCACCTTTTTCTGTAAGTTCTGGCGCTGGAACCTATACCAAGGAAATATCCTACACATTTTAATCTGTAAAAATGAAAGTTCAATTTTGCTTGCTAGCTTTTAAAAAAAGATGTACTGGATTTCCTTATATTAAAAAATCTCCATGTAGGTGGTTATGCTAAAGGGGACAAAGCCCACACAATTAAGAGGAAGGAGCCATACTGGAAGTTAGTTAGTATACTAATTCATCAAATTTACTCATCATGTCACACAACCAAAAGAAGACTTGAAGCAACTTACAAAAAAATAATAATACACAAACATACAATGTATAGAACAAATATTCATTAAAACAATACTGATATACTACAAGGGTTTAGAAACAAAAACAGCCAACAGAAGAACTAATACTAGAAAATAGTCATTAAAGCCAGAACTTCTAGTGTTGTCCAAATACAGGCAGAATAAATATGTCTTTGCCTGGCCCTGGAAAGATTACAAAGACGAACCTCCCTGGGCAAAGCATTCCATAAGCAGAGGACTACCACAATTTCACCTTCAATTTCCTAATGAATAGGGTGAACATAGAAATAACTGTTTATTAGGGCAAACAAGTAAAATTTACCTTTTCTGTGTTAAGGAAACAAACAGGGTTGTTTGGATCAAGTGTTTCCTTTAGCCAAGTTTCTGAAGAAAACTTCTGGTCCAATTTCAAGTCTTTTAAATTTGGCAAGTCAACTATGGCTTTGGACACCTTCTCAGAGCCGCATTCCAGTTTGCCATTATATACCAGGTTGTTGCTCAGTGACATAATTTTACTAAAAGGTTTCAAAAAACAAAGCAATGTCAAATTTGGACACTTATAATATGTGGCGACTAAACAATAGCTACTTGAACTACCTACCTGTTCATTCGGTACTGTACGGTCAGCTGAACAACGGCATTCTTATTTCGTTCCAGTCTTTTGAATAAACTTTCGCCCATGCCAAGATCTCTGTTAAAAAAAAAAAGTCAGTCCATGGCTAACACAAAGTTTTATTGATAATACATGACTTATTTTGTAAGCAGGATGTCCTCTTACCTTGCTTCTGCATTTTGCACAAGTGGAGGTAGCTGCTGATGGTCCCCCACTAGCACAAACCGAACTGAATAGAAGAGTGGACCCAGGCAGATCGGCTGGCTTATTTGAGAAGCCTCATCCACTATGCAGAAGTCAAATTGTTTACGAGTGAAAATTGGATGCTTTATTCCCATGCATGTTGTGGCAACCACAGGCTAGAAAGAGAGTAAAAACTATCATCATCATCATCATCATCATCATCATCTGCCCCTCACCCTAAGGTCTCATGGCCAGTTACAACAAAAGATTCCTGCATTGTAGAGGGGTGGACTAGACGATCCTTATGGTCCCTTCCAACGCTGTGATTCAAAATGTTAAAAGCAGTTTAAAACAATTTGCAGTCACAAAGTAAGGTAGACCCTAAAAAATACACTTCAAGTGTCTAAAGACAGGGTGAAGAGGCATGTCTTCAGCATTTGCCAAAAGCTGTATAATGAAAATGCCAGACACACCTCTATGGGGAGTTCTACCACTTAGGGGCTGCCAGAGAATGTCCGCAACCGCCTCCTGCAACTTGTTTTCAATATGTCGTTATAAACCTTGTGTTTTCTAACTGTAACTTTTGTATGAAAAAAATGTACAAATGTTTTCAGTTTAGAACAGTTATGTCTAAACAATGCAACATTGCTGACTCTATAGATCATTAAATGCACTCTATACATGTGCTGTTAAAAAGCAGTTCTTGCTTTTATGGTTGTTTAACCTGAGCATTTGGGGTGGTTGATCATGGTATAGACCTTTGAGGAGTAAAATTAGAAGTGGGAGTGCAAGTTGATCACAAGCAACTCAGAAAGGTCAAGTCTTGCTGAGCACCCGTGCACCACTGCCACGTCCTTATTGTGATTTAAATAGTAAGTCAAAATAGCGGTTTGCAAATGCGGGGATAATGTGTCTGTAAATTATTTATGATGAAATCTGATGGCTGAGATTTGCTTTTCAGATTAAAGAATGTCTCTCACAGGGAAGGCCAACATCTTCACTGGGACACAGTATTCCAGGGGTCAGCAAACCTTTTCAGCAGGGGGCCAGTCCACTGTCCCTTAGACCTTGTGGGGGGCCGAACTATATTTGGGGGTGGGGGAAATGAACGAATTCCTATGCCCCACAAATAAATCAGAGATGCATTTTAAATAAAAGCACACATTCCACTCATGTAAAAACATGCTGATTCCCGGACCGTCCATGGGCCGGATTTAGAAGGCGATTGGGCCGGATCCGGACCCTGGGCCTTAGTTTGCCTACCCATGCACTATTCCATAAAGAACAATCCAAGGCTGAAAGTGTATTTTGCCTTTGTACAACACAACCAGCCCCCTCTAGTGGTATGGGTCTCCCAGTTACAAAGCCTATATTATGAATATTTACATATTAAATACAAAATTCAAAAGATGCAACACAGCTTGAATATATTTACCTTTTTCAATGTAAGTAAAATTGGTATGGACAAACATTTTATTTGTACCTTGATTAAAATCTGCAGAGGCATCATAACCAAAGCGTTAAGTGCCGTGAAAATAAAGCACTATATGCACTACAGACAGGCAGACACCTCCAGCTAGATGTTCATTTTCCCGGTAGTCCTTTTTGAAATACATCTCAGAGATTCTAAAACCCTGAAAGTCATTTTCCTTACCTGACTACGATACAGCTCCTCCAAGTCAGCTACAGTCTTAATGCATTTGGATCTGCAGATCTCTTCCTCTGTGAACTTCTGAATGGCCGGATGAACCTTCTGAACTCTACCCAGTCGCAGAAAGCCTACTTTGAACTTTGCCAGCTTCAGAAGGATATTGTCAACTGCAGTGTGAGTAAAGCTAGTTAAAAGAACACTGAAGCCACAAGCATAAAGAATTCGGACCTAAATGTGGGAAAGGAGACAAAGGAGGGGTGCATTAATTTGCATTTTCGTACAAGTCACACACACACACCGCCCCCTCAAATTCTAAAACCCAGCTGTCAATGTAGGAGGAAATTCCATGTATGGGGCATGTGTGTGTTTTTCAGATCATCACCACCACCTACATTTAAGAAAGGCATTAGGGAAGCTGTGGGGCGATGGCCACTGGTCTTGAGACTATGGGCATTGATCAAAGTGTGGGGGGGGCACAATCACTACTGCCCATGCATTCAACACTCATAGGAAGGGGATTTACGTGTATCAATGTTTGTGCAGGGATGTTCTGTATGAAGGGGGATCCTGGCCCAATCAGGATTTCTCCAATACTGTGTGGTGAAGCTCTATGTCCAAAAGTAAACATGCACAAAGCCCCTTCCTATGCATGCCAAACACAGCTGGCGAGGGGTATATACAAGTGCTGGGTACACCACAGCCCATCTAACTGCCCTGCCACACTTCTTAGACTCATGGGGGGTGTCATACTAATAAGCCGGTAGTTACCGTAAGTACTTTATTTACACCAGTGGAAATCCTGAGTGCAGATTTGTGGTTTTGAAACATTCGCTCTTCAGACAGCACATTTTCCTAACATGCCACATAGAATATCTACATTAAGTATATAACTGCTTGAGCAGAGTTTGTTTTTTAATGAAACTTCTTACACTTCACATTTTGGGTGTTTCAGTCATTAAAGTCCTACGGTCTGCATGCACAAAATTCATTAACATCATTTTTTCAAATGTTCCCTCTTTCTGGAATCTTACCAGAGCACATATTGTGGTGGTCTTTCCTGTCCCAGGCATCCCGACAATGAGTGTGTAATCCTTTGAAAGCAGCACTTGTTTCATTGCTTGTTTCTGGGGTTTATTAAGGCCTTTGATTTATGGGGGAAAATAAGTGAATACAATAAGTTCTCTGCCTTCATTTTAAACATAATTACCTGGACCTGGAGGACTATTGAGGTACCTATTTTACAATATCAAAACATTAGCTATATTTGCATGTACGGGGGCAGAATACACAGTTCAGTCCTATGCACCTTTACCCAGCTAGTTCCACTAAGTTCAGTAAGGGTTGCTCCAGGTAAATGCGCAGAGGATTACAACCTGATTAAGAAGTGTAAGGTAGGTCATCTCATTCATGCTTTGCTTGGAAGTCCCATAACTTCCTGCTACATCAATTAATACTCTGGAGAACAAGCCTGCTACAAATTTGGTATTGGCTTCAAAATTCATTGAGCATATATTTTAAACCTGGGCTTCTAAGCAGCAACTCAGTTTCGGCTAAAAATTGCCTGCAGGCAACCAGGCAGGGAAACTTATGGAAACAAAATAACTTCATTTCTTCTTTAAGGCAATCTATATGCCACAAATGACTAGCAAAAAGTCTCAACCGCAAAGATTATCTTTTGTTGACTAGCTGGCAAAGTTTTGAACGTGAACATTACCGCAGCAGAGCACATCTTGAAAAGTCAACAGACAACTTCCATTAAGTTTGGGATAAGGCATGCCAATACAAAGAGCTGTTAAGCATGCATTGGCTGTTTGTTTGCTTTCAGGCAAAATTCAGAATGCTTCTTCAGCTTAGAAAGCTTCAGTCTCTCAATGAATTCAACAATCCTCCTCTAACCACATAGGAACCTGCCTTCCCTGACATACAGTACTCTTTAGGAAGAGAAATCACACACACCTGCATGACATTCACTGAGAGGAGAACCAAGCTTGGGTTTGGGTTCATATTCCAGCTCAGCCACAGACTCTCTAAATAACAGACAGAGCGTTTTTAATGAATTGTGTAAAGAGTTTTTAACTTTTGATTGGTTTACGTATTTTAAATATAATTAGCCCTGGGACCCTGGGACAAAAGGGAGGGATATGAATTATACAGATAAAAGTACCAATCTTATTGAGAGTCGTCACCTGTTTTTACATGCCCAGGCTTTGGGATTTGCCAGGCTACAAGACTGCAGGAACAGTATTTCATTCTTACTCCAGCAAAGTAAGTATTTATAGAGCTTCAGCAAATGAGCATTATTTTATCTTTCAATGAGCTGATTCATTGAAAATGCATGGCATCCAGTGCCTTAAATTTTCAGTCACAAGGTTTTCCACTGAATCTCTAGGCAGGAAATCCAATTTTCTAATATAACCAGACCTTAATAGGGTTTTTTAAAATAAAAAAATGCATCTACTGTACCTTTTAGAATGTTCGCAACAGTTTCCTTTGCTTCTGGAGGAAGGACAGAGCTCAAATGTTGGATGAACTGTGGTTTCTGAAAGTCTATTATTAAATTACGAAGCCTTTCACTGAAAAGAAGGATTGAGAGGGAAAGGAATAAACAAAAAATGAAAACACATTTCTAGAAATGTTAGGCATGGAAGAAAGATAAATTTGAACAGACCTTGCAGGAGAATTTCCCATCAATTTAGAAAGGTTTCCCAATGGAGCATCTGTGCCAAAAGCTCCTTCTTCATGGTCTAACCTAAATATAGTGTCTTTTGGGATACGTGACAAGTTCCTGGAAGGCAGAAAAAAAGGTATCACTCAGATTCTAAGACCCTGAGTATTAGGAATTATACTGAGAAGTCTTTCCCAAACTGGTGCCCGCCAGATGTTTCCCAAACTGGTGCCCTCCCATCACCCCTGACCATGCTGTCTAGAGCTAATGACAGCTGTAATTCAAAACACACTGAGGGTACCAGGTTGGATAGGGAGGCAATGGTCATTTCCCAGTTGCAACTACCTGCAGCAGGGAGACAAAGGCCACTCTAACTGCATGCATTTGTATAATACATGTTTGACACAAGAACAACATGTTATTACATGTTAGTACATGAACTCTCCTGACAAGTAAAGCACTATGTTACCTATCCAATAAGCAAGAGATTTTGGAGCCGTTGATCTGTTGCACATAACCAATCGCCAAGCCAAGCAAAGTGCTGTCCGCTTCACCACTCACAACAATCCTGTCTCCTATCATCAGAATTGTTGCAGGTGCAGAACCCTTTTTACGCTGGAAACAGTGTAAATACAGTCCATCGGACACCTTCTGCACGCACTCCACCCTGATCATGTTTCCAATGCAGTCTCCGTGTTTCTCCCTACAAAAATTAAAAACAAATGAAGTTTGGGAAAGCTCACGGTACACAGTTGCTAGCCCATGCAACTCTTTGCTTTAAGGAAACTGAAAGAAGCGTCATCTACATTTTTAGCTGTCGCTACTCTGAAAAACTCGATGTCAACAGTTTTGGTAGCTAAAGCGAAGTTTGAAAGTGACCCTACAAAATCACCAATACCTTTCTGCAGCAGGTATCATCCATATGTTTCTGCAGCCCTTCTTTCCATCTTTATATTGTGACTCCAAGGTTAGCATCAGATACCAGAGATGGAAATACTCCAAGTGCGAGGGCTTCAGATGCTGGGTCTCATTTTCAACAGCAGCAAGCACCTCCGGAGAAAGAAAGCGATTTTGCTGCTGTTCCACAGCCCTAAAACAGAACACAACATGAGTCCTCCTATAATTTCAATAATGACGGCCTGTGATAATTCTGCTAAGAAACTTCATAGATGGCAACAATTTGAATTAAGTCTGTGCTATCTTCATATAAATTCTTAGGCAGACGTACACTAGTGTGCCTGCATCCTTCTACCCCCTGAAAACCTACTTCTATTGCTTTCCCTGGATTTTATCAATAGTTTCTCTCTGCTTTTAGGGTAGCTACCATTTCAGCATGCACTATCGTAGTAGAACTATTATCATATTTAGGGTCATGCCTACATTTCTGCTTGGTATAGTTCACAGCTGGAAAACTAAATCAAACGCAACATGGCGTGGTCCAAAATAATACATTTGACATTACACAGAATCTCGAACACAGAAAAGAACCAATTATTTCACACCTGGATCTAATGTAGCCTTGTCCAAAACTGTGATGTAGAGCCTTAATGAAACCACAGCATCAGCCATTTTAAACAGAGATCAGCTTGCAAAGAGCTTGCAGGCTTTAAAAAAGGAATTTACCTGCTATAAAGTGCACAGTTCTGCTTCTGAGAGCAATAGCTGCACGCCTTACTGTCATTAATCAGAGGAGGCAAGGATGCAAGCTGTGTCCGCTCCTTCCCAGTGTCAGATTTGCATACGGTGTGAAGCAAATAGAAGGCCAACTCATTTCTTAGTTTGATCAGTTCTGCAGAGGGAGAAACAAAAATGATGTCCAGGTCCGTCCCCCCCAAAGCTTCAAATATTTAGGAAAAAGGCACAAGGAAAACTACTTTGGCTCTGCGCTCACTGGCCACTCAGAGTGCCCAGGAAACACAGAGACAAGATGACACATCTCTGCCTCTCCCTCCAATCTGAAGCTGGATGGCATGGTGCTAGTGATGCGACAGAGGCTTGCTTTGCACAAATCCTAAGTTTCCTCTCAACTTTGGGGCTGGGGGTGAGTAGGGATCATTCCCATCCACAGCAGTTCCAAGACTAGGAGAAAGCTTAGAACTCATTATTTAATTTCTTTGTTTTTTGTATTTATATCCCACACTTCCTTCCAAAGGAGCCCATGCTACCCAGAGGCTGTCTTGAGCATTTGCTGAAATTTGAGGCCTTTACTTAACTGGTGCACCAGTTTTGTCTTTCCTTGGGAAGAGACGAACTTGACACAGTTTTCCATGCCCATGTAATCCCCAGCTTGAACTGCTGAAATGGGCTCTACATGGACTCCCTGTTGAAAAGGTTTTGGAAACTTCAGCTGGTTAAGAATATAAAGCCTCACTAGGTTGATAATGGGACCTTCCCATACTGAACAAATACTTCAGCTCTTACAAGATCTTCACTGGCTACCAGTTTGTTTCCAAGCACAAATCAAAGTGCTGAAATTGACTAAGTCCTAGATGAGCTAGAACCATGGCAGCTGAAGGCTTTCCTTCTCCCATAAAAACTTTCTATTTGCTGATGTTGTCACTGGATGCTCTGCTCTGAGTCCCCTTGCCAACCACAGGCAAAGCTTTTTCGGTAGCAGGGCCCACACTCTGGAATGACCTCCCCAGAAAAATTCATCTGGCATGTGCTCTTTTTCTGTGCCAAGTTAAATCAGTTTTTTACATAAGCTTTTTGTAAGAGACAGCAAATGTGGGGGTGGGAGCTCTTAAACTATTTAATTCTGCTTTATCTGATTTTCATGATTAAATTGCATTTTTTTTAATTAAAAAAAATTCCAGCCCCCTTGAAGACTGCATTGTTGAAAAAATGAGATGGAAATATTGTAAACACAACACAGTCCAAGGATTTTTCCAAGCAGAAAATTACCTCTCCTATCCATACGATTTCCAGGTACAGGAAACATATTCCCAGTTTTAAGGTAAAGGAGGAATCCAGCTTCAGGATCAGCTCGTCTTCCTTGGCACAACAGGGAGTACAAAACCACCTGGGGGGAGAATCCAAAACTATTAAAATGGAATGTTAAACGTAGGTATCAACCAAGTTGCACCACTTTGCAGTTTCTTGCTGCAGTAATCACACACAATATGTCCCCCACCAGTGAGCATACAAATTATGTATCACTAGCAAATGAGCACGCAAGGGCTGCATCAAGACCAGTAATATGGGCGTCAGAGCTGAGGAAACTATAGTCCCATTAACAATTCCTGGGGATGGCATACTGCATCCTGCGAGGGACTTAACCAGTCAAGCCAGTTATCGCAATGAATACATTCACAGAAGCCGCCCTAATTATTTAGTGCAACACAACAGCCAGGCCTAGAGCCAGACTATCAACCAGACTTACGATTTTGCTATTTTTCCTACTCTGCTGGCTTCTCGTTTTCTACTTTTAGCGACAGAAAGAAATGCTTATCTTTGGACACCACCAAATAAATAAATAAATCCCTGCATCCAAGAAGGATAGAGCCTCTAGAAGACCTCATCGACTGAACTTAAGGAAGTAGGTGCTACTAACCAAAACACAAACTTTGAAAGACAAAACCAGAACCTTGAAATGGACCCAGAAACAAATGCAGATGCTTCAAAATAAATAGTTTGTTTCTGCCTTTCAGTATCTTCAACAGCAGCCCCACATACAATACACTACAGTAACCCAATCTCCCAATCTGGATTGTCAAAGACATGAATGACAGCAGTTTCATTTCCTTTTTCATCAGTGGGCACAGGAAACCAAACAAAAAAAAATCTGATAAACCACCTAGGGCACAGACCCTGTCTAGGAATCCAAGTACCACCTTCCTCCAGCTACATAATTTCCCCTTAACGTACAATTTTAGTCAGTCTACTGAGCTCCTACTAGCATCAACTCTGTACTATTTATACTGGGCTTAAGTTTATTCACAATCATTCAGTCCACTTCAGACACTAACTGAGGGAAATCGGCACCAGAGCACCTGGATCTGATGATAAAAAAAGAGTTCAGTATCATCAGCACATGGGTGACAACTTCAGCCAAAGGTTTCATGTTGATGTTAAGGATCATGGGAGACCCAACTGAACTCGAATGGACCCTGCAGAGCAAATCCTATAGGAAGGAGCAACTGCCTCACAGCATCAGCTTCTGGAACCTTCTGAACCCACCACAAATGATGCTTAAAAACAATTAAGAACATATTAAAACATTTTTAAAACTTAATATTTAGTCAGCGCCTTTCATGTACCCTTTAAAATTAATTACTATAATTCCTATTTGTACCTGACTTCTGTGTTCTATAGAGTTAGATTCCTTGCCACTTTTAAGCTCCAGAGGCATTATCTTGGACTGAGTTGTAGATCTGCGGTGAATTGTTACGCCAGCTGTAACATCAATTTTACCCTTTAAGCCAAACCTGGGGCACCAAATGTTCTCCTCAACATCCAGGATTTCTGTAACTTTGACAGTGCACCAGGAGTCATCTTTTTCATCCCCTGGCCTATCAGAAAAAAACATTAAGTGTATTAACCGGAAAGGTTTACTTTCGAAAACGAAGAGATAGCTTTCCTTAAATACGTACTTGAAGGGACAAAATCCATATTCCTTTAACAGGTTAGAACATATCACATTCTTAAGCAACTGCTTCCAAACAGATCAAAAGGCAGCGCTTCCTCTTACTATTATTTTGTTCTTACAGATGAGAAAAATGATTTCATTCTCAAGTAACAGAACAAGTGGGCTGAAATGCCTAGCAGGATCTGAGCTGTCAACAAACAAGGGATTCAAGCAACCACAGAATGTGCAGCAAAAGATATGAATAACGAAGCCTTGAAAATACAAAGTCTGGTGAATTTGAGTTGAAATGCAATAGTAGCTAGCCATGGCTTGTATGAAAGAGAGAAATTGGTGCATTCAAATGCTCTAACCTGGTTGACAGCTACTTTGCAATAGCTATAGCAAACAAGCCCAAGGAGAGAAACTTGAAATACTAAACATAGCCGTAAGAAAGTTTGTGTTTTTAATTACACTTTAACCAACAGAAGCCAAAACAGCATTACCACAGTGCACGTTACCACATTACACTTCAGCCCCCCTTTTTTTCCTAAGCAGTGCCCCTGGGCGGGACTCAGAGGGGAGAAATTATCAAAAATCTCTCCATCTTCTGCTGGTGGGGGTCTCCACTGGAAATATCCCATGAAGTATGGATCTAACCCAGAAATCCCCCCCCCAACATGTTGTTTATAAGTGCCCTAGAATCTGTGCCAGGAAAGGAGGTTAACAGCCCAACTCAATTGTTAAAGAAGTTGTACAACATTATTTTTTTATTTATTTCTGGTCCTTTGCAGTCCAAAGATTCTGCAGTTCTTACACAGCTAACGAACTTCACCTACAGCACTGGCAGAACAACTTTACCACAGTGTGTTAGTGTGAATAGTTCCTTACCATTTTATCTGCATGTTATGCTGGCAAACATGGTTTTCTTTGTATATGAACTCTTCTGCCCATTTAATGAAAGAGTGAAAGTACTCTTCTATCTCTTGCATTATATCATTCTCTTTCAGATTTAACTGGTACCTGCGGAAGAGAAAGGAGGAAAGCATATTAAAAGCTGCATGGCAGATAGCAGAAGAGAAAAAGGGAGGAAACGGAAAAGATCTCTACATTACAGATATCTATTTTTTCTTTGTGGTCCCTCAGAGAAAAATATCGACATGTTTAGGCATTTGTAACGTTCCCAAGTTTTATCAATGTAACTACAGGGAACTATTTTTCCAAAATGTAGCACATACAACTATAAAAATGACAAGTGAATTGTTTTGCTTCAAAAAGGTTACTCTATTTGCATGCTCTGAAACAATTATGGCAGTGCATTTTTGTCCACACAAGCAATCACATGGACAAAAAGGTAACAATATCAGCAATTCCCACTATCCCTGTGCAAACTGACCTTTGTTAAGCATTAAAGCTAAGAAAAAGAACAAGTTCTTAAGAGAAAGGTATACCACTCGCTTCATCTCTTACAGCTAATACTTACAGCTCTTTTAGATACTTTGGTCCATGAATTACTGAGAAGGCAATTTCTTGCAATTTCTCTTGTGTAAAATTTGTTCCTGCTTTCTGGAAAATTTCATGAAGGATTGTACCAATTAGCATTGGACGCAAACCAGGCTCACATCCCTGGGGGGAAAACGAAACCACCCCAAAATATTAGCAGAGATGTATGTGCACTACACATTAATTAATCTGTACAATACTGCATTTTTAGTGGCATTTAAGGGCGAAATCCCCTGCACACTTACTATACCTTAAGTCCCATTAAATACTTTTTGAGTAAACACTGTAAGCAAGGTATTTTAAGTTTAAAAAACCAATATCAAAGAAAGAAGAAAGGACCAACAGGACAATTTCATTATTAAACTAACTATCAAGTTAGGAGGTTAATAAAGAGCCATGTTTCCTACTTGAATATAAGCTATCAATGTAAGTCCACCAATCATTATTTACTTTATTTTTCTTTTATTACATTTATACCCCACCTTTCTCGCGTCATGAAAATAAAGGCCCACTTTTATTCCATCATAGCACCAATATGTAGTTCCCACACAGTCACTCAGCCAAACACTGAGCAGAGCCAGACCTGTTTAGCTTCAACAAGGTGGCGACCTTATGTGTCTTCAGATCGTACTCTGGGAATTTGAGGTTTGTTTTCCACCCAATCACTTAAGTTTGGGATGATATGCAAAGTTTACCATATAAAAACATGCATTTTAACACATATATAACCATATGTTCATCACTAGACAAATCCACATTAAAATTATTGTCTTTCCCAACTCCAGAAAATGCTGACTGTTCACCTATTTGCTATTTTTGTCTTCATCAATTACCCCAAAGGCACTCTGGAGACTACTGGATGATCACTATAGTAAATAGGGAACATAGTATAGTGAACCAGAGCATTCTGAAACTCTTTACTGGTATAATTTTATTTATAACTTCTTATGTATTAAGTACTTATAATACTAGGTGCTTTATTTAAAACAACAGTTGACAATGCCCTTAATACAGATGTTATCAATGCCCATGAAACAAACCATTTTAATATACAATGTTTTTCCCAACTTACTTTGAACTTTTCACTCAGTATAGCTTTCCTCATACACCGAATGCTATTTGATACAGTAGTGCCAGAGACTAATATATCTGGATACAGAATCAAATATCCTCCATCTGCATCTATTATCCAAACACCCGCGTTGCACTCTCCTTCTAGATGAATGATATCTCCAGGCTGCACTGGAACAGAAATCCTGAAAAATATGTGCCAGATTACAATGTTGATACGCACACATTTTTAAATTATCTGTGATTTTTGTACTGACCTATAGACCAAGGAAAGGAACGTGATCATGTATTCAATAAAAACTATAACAATTTTTCAGGGACTTATTGCAACCCACACTCTCGCAATTACAAAGGCCTTCTACAGAAAGACAGTGAAAATGGGCAGACAGGTAGAGAAGCAGAGAAGATAATCTCTGAACAATTCAGTAGTGGTCCTTTTAGGGATCAATTCTATGGTGATTGGAGTTGGGGAAGGAAATTCCATAGGGAAGCAACCACCATGATGGAAGCATTGCTAGTTAGCCAGTCACACGAGCTGAAGCAACCAGCTCTGGTGGCTTTTTGTCTATTTTTTCCCTTTGGTACTTCATTTTAAAATGTCTCTCCTATTCACTCCAACAGGAGGGAGCTATTTACCCTTAAGGGAAGGGGCATGTCAAGGGAATGAGGGTGTAGGATGCTGTGTGTGTACAACTTATCTAGCTGGGAAAGCCTGAAAGAACAAAAATGTCTTCAATTGTTTCCCGAAAGTGAAGATAGTGGGACCCTGTTGTACGTCAATAGGAATGGTATTCCACAGAACAGGAGAAGCCACACAAAGTCCTGCTCCAAGTTAGTGTGGAACTTGCAGGAAACTGGACTGGAGGTCCCCCACTACTATCAAAAAATGTTGACACCTTAAGGCTTAATGTACTAAAAAAGCGGGGAGGGGGACAGTCAAAGGCTTCCTTCCCTTTACTGACATTAATAAGAGAAACTAAGAATTAGAAATATTTTGATCCCTTGTTCCATAGAACTAATTTTTCAACTTTTTAACCACAATTAGAAACTGTACAATAACAAGCATAAAGAACATTTTGCCCATTATCCAGTATCAACAGTTACACAGCAGTTACCAGTCATGTCTTAGGATGCACAGCTCTGTATCCAAATCATCAAGCTGAGAAGAAGCTGTAATTGTCAGGTGTTTCTCCAGAGCACCATTTTCCTGGACATGTAACACGCAGTATCTGTTGTTCAGGCCCTTGCTGAGTACTGTATCCGAGAAGCCAACAATTTTCTTTGGGAATCTAAAATTACAGTTGCATGATAATACATACAGGTACAAGGCAGTAGTCAGGCACACACTCTAATAACAGATTGGCTTAGATACCACTGCGGGCTAAGATCTGTGAATCTCATTTAAGACATGGAAGCGGAAACGCCAAGCAGAAAGAAACAGCAGCACGACCTTTGTCCACTTCTAGACAAGAGACAATTGTTCTCCAAGTACTTAGCCATCTAATATTTCTATTATTTGGACAAATTGCTTTCAAAAGTAATTTGGCCAAATAAGACAACGGAACATAAAGAGGGGAAACCATTCCAAACCCATGTTTGCCTCTGTACACACAGAGGGAAGAGAGGGCACTTGCAGGAGAGAACTGGGGGCTAAGAGGGGACCCTTAACCCCTAACTCCAGTTTTTCCTCTGTAAGGATCCCTCCTCCAGCTGCTTTTTCACTAGGTCCTGAAAATGAAAATATACCAGGATGGGAGGAAAAAAACCTCAGAGGATCCTTTGCAAAATGGGCCGACAACGGATGGCTTAATCACCCACTGTTATTAGAGATTATATACTGTACACACACATATATATACAGTACACACATATGTGCGTGTGTGTGTGCATATGTATACACTCTCTCTCTCTCTTTTTCCTCAAAAGCTATTGTTGCATAATTGCCACACCATGATCACTGGATTACAACCCGCATCATTTCTGACCATCGACCACGCTAGCTGGGACGGATCCGAGTTGAGCCACGCGTGGGACTCTAATCACAGGCTCCCCAATCGCCACATCCTGAAAAGAAAGGCCACCCAACCTCCAGACGCCTAAAGGGCAGGAGAAGTGGGGAGGAGGACCCACAACCAGGAGAGAGCGGGATCCTTGGGGAGAAGCGTCCCGCCGGCGCTTCGAAAGGCGCGCGCTTTTGCAGCTCAGTCCCCGCCAAGAAGCACCTCGGCGGCGGAGGCGGGTCCTCGAAGAAACTCCTCTCCATCAGCTCTTCCAGAGTCACTTCAGCCGCCTCTTCCTTCTTCTCCTGCCTCCTCGCCGCCATCTCCGAGGCGCCAAAAGCATAAGCGGGAAGGGGGAAAGAAAAAAGGAAAAAAACCAGAAGCCGGGACGGGAGCTAATAAGCCCCCTCCCCCGCCCAGCCCGCGAGGGCGCAGGCGTAACGAGCGCGCTCCCCTATGAGGCGCCGGGGGTGGAGTTTGGGGCTTTTCCTGTTTGCGCGCGAGCGCCGCGTCTCTCTTCTTTTCCGCGCTGCAAGAACGGTTGAAACTCGTTTCTTGTAATCTGATGACATTCTTCCTCGTGCTTATTGAGAGCGTCTTGGAATACGAGAGGGGTGGGTGGGAAGTGTTCAATTAGGCACAAAGCATATCGGTTACATTTCACATACTTCCATTAGACCAACAGTGTTTCATGTCCAACTACATAGTCCTTTAAATACGGTCTACTGGCCTTGTGGATTTACTGGGCGGAGAGTTGAACAGCTTCTGAGGCCACGGCCTCCTCAGTGGCTTTCTGCAGCGTGAGGTCTGGCTTGGCGAGGAGATGCCGTTGCAGACGGATGTCCCGGACCCCGCAGACGATTCAATCCATCAGGGCATCGTCTAAGTCTCGGAACTCGCAGTGCATTGCAGCCTGTCGGAGGGCGGTGGTGTAGTTGTTGATTGACTCCCTCTGCCTGGTTCCGGTGGTAGAACGCATGGCGGGCAGCAATCTTGGACGGCTTTGGGGCATAGTGGTTGCGGAGCTTCTCTTGAATCGTGTCCCAAGGTGCTGCCTGGACTGCTAGAGGCGCAACCAATGCTCAGGCCGTCGCAAACACTTCGGGGCCACAAAGGCTGAGGAGAGGCCCCGCTTCTGCTCTACAGACCCTCTTGTCAGCTCATTTGCTTGGAGGTAGCAGTCAAACCGAGCGAGGTAGGAGTCCCATGATTCAGAGGCTGGGGCAAACGGCGGTAGAGGCACGAGTGAAGCCATGGTTCCGATGCCGACGTGGAGGCGATGGATGGAACACCATGCTCTAGCCAGAACGGTCAGCTCTGAATTGGTTCTGCTCCGTGATTTCGCTCAGTGTTTCAGCTCCGTGATTCAGCTCATCTCAGAGGGTGGCCGCATCTGGCTGTGCTCTGTTGTCCATTGATCCCATCCTCGTCGCCAGTGTTGAATAGTGGGTAGACATAGCAGACAACACAGCGATTTCTCCAAAGCAGCTCTTTATTTGTAAGCTGGAACAGAACTGAACAACAAACAGCTCAGCCGGCCTGCTTTTATAGGCAGCCGGCTGTCAACATTGTAGCAACAACAACCCAGGGTTCCCCGCCTAAAATAACTGACGTGGACCTGAGTGAAAACTACATACACAATACTCCTGGTGGCCAGGGTGAGAACTTCAATACATAACAGGAAGGAATTGCTTTCTTTAAAACAAAGAGCAATGGTTGTTTGCTTGCTCCCCATTTCGTCTGCAGTGAAATCCTGCCACGCTTTTCTTTTGTGCTGGCTCTTGCACAGCCTTTCATCTTCCTTGGAGGTTTTTTAAGCCGTCTGTCATGGTTGCTTTTGTTGGGATTCCTGCTTTGCAGGGGGTTGGACTGGATGACCCTTGGGGTCCCTTCCAAGTCTACAGTTTTGCGATTCTATGCCTGCACTGTAATTCACCATGGATTGAGAGGCACACCTACTGGCCTTACGTTAATTAGGCTACTTTTATATAAAATTGCCACCAGAAGGGGTGGTGAAAAAGACCCCTCTTGTCTCCACGTAGGGCTGGGAAAGATTTCTGCTTGAAGCCTTGGAGTGCCTGCAGGGCTGACAATAGTGAGCTAGGAGGATCAAAAGTATAATTTGGCCTTAGGCAGCAGATGCAATTTTTATTCCAGAATGAGGAACATCTCAGACAAAGGTGAGGAACCTCAGGTCCGAGGGCTAAATGCAGCCTTCCAGGCTTCTCTGACCCCTGCTCTCCCCAGGCCACATACCTCATCAGGCCTGCTTCATACCCTCCCTGAATGTTTTTAACTTGCTTGAATGGGTCCTTCAGACGCCTCCAATGTCTGAAGGATGGAGAGGGATGGTTCAGAAACTATCCTACAACAAAACAATAAAATGTTCGTTCTGTTTTTCCTTTGGCCCTGTCCACAACTGGCATGTGGCCCCCTCAGTAGGTTGCCCAGGTGCCAATGGGCTGCAGAATGGCTGAGCTCACTAAAAAAAACCCCTTTGCGCATGGACACAGATGGCAAAGCAAAAATACTGATTTATGTTTAGCCTGATGGGTGCACCGCACTGTCATGGCAGACGCAATCTGAATCGCCCCTGTGCCTACAGATTTGGAAAAAAATCCCCAATTCAATGGAAACTTTTTTGCAATAGAAATTTGCAGGACATATATACAGGTGTGGGGTTCACATGCCACCAATGTTGTTAGTAGTATTTTTTTTTCATAGTCATACAACTGTAGAGTTGGAAGGGACCACAAGGGCCACCTAATTCCACCCCCTCCAATTGCAGGAATCTTTGACCCAATGTGGGGCTCAAATCCATGACCCTGAGATTAAAAGTCTCCTGCTCTAACAGCTAGGCTATCCCTGCATTGAACAGCAGGGTGTTTTGTGTGCAAAGGCTTATGATATTCTGCATAATAGGGGGAGGGTTCTTATCTCCTCCTTGCAGCCATTTGGAACACATTTGAGCCCAGCGTGGAGGCTTATAATGCTAAAACCAAGGTTTAGCATGTCTGAATACAGTCTGTCCACTATTAAATTAGGAAAAAGGAATATGAAAAAGCCAAAAACTTTTTAATATGTTTCTTACTTGCAGTAAAAATGCTAAGTATCTTTCGAAAGCATGATTGTCACATGAAATCCATTACATTTCATTGTTATAAAAAGTCTTTTAAAAAAGTGTTTGATTATAAATTTAGTGAATACAGGATCTACACACTGTTCTCCAATAGTAACTTTACTAAGCCGCTGGAAAGGGGCCAAACATTCAAGAGAAAAGTGGATTACAAGAATCAAAGAAAGCTCCACAGTCAGCCCAAGAAAAGCAAGCAATATTGTCAACTATGTTGTTGCCATTCTGAGCAGTTACTTAGAAATAAGTTCTACTGGGTAATTTGTGGCACATGAACTTTGATGCAAAGAGGGTTTTTTGTATAAAAGCCTCAATTGTCTTCTTAATGATCATACTTTTTAAAAATTTTAAGATGTTTAGAAGATACAGTATACCTTTGTAAGTTTTCATTTAAAAAAATCACAAATAAGGCCAGAGATTAACTGCAGTCACTTTAATATTGTTTCATCAAACATTTTAAAACCGCATAAAACAGAAAAAAATATAAAATTCCAAACACATGCTTTTATATTGGCTGGTATGCTTAGTCATATTGCTATTCAAGACATTTCAGTTTAAAATAAAATAGATACATCTCTTGGACAATAATAATATCAAATGTCAAAAGACACATATTTCAATAAAATAAAAAATGCCAAACCACAGAACTTGTTATGTCCCAGCTATGGACTATTACTAAAAGCAATTTTTACAGCTGCTGCTAGATTTGGTAACATAGCTCTTACCAGTTTCATACTCCATATACAATATTTACAAAAAATAAATTATATCGCTTTACATAAAACATTTTGAGAAGTGTTGCAAAAGCTTTAGCATTTAAGTTTGGCAAAATCAGACTCTCTTAATCAAATAAACCCATTTTAAAAAAATAACCAAGACATACAAATTGCTCCTAGCAATAGGAAGGTGAAATTGGAAGGCTGCTATTGAAAGGGAAGACACTTATCCAGGCTTCCTAAAACTGACCTATCCATAAAACCAATAGGCAAAATAGGTAGGATTTGTTGCAAAAAGTGGGCAGGTCCTCTTGAAAAAAAAGACATAGCCAAACCAACAGTGGACAGCAAAGCTGTAATCTCAGGGCCGGGCCAGCCATTAGGTGGGGTGATGCCGCCACCTCAGGGTGGAAGCCCCGCCACCTCCACCACTGGGGGAGAAGCAATGCCAGCATTGCAAAATCTCACTGGAAATCAGCATTGATGCTTCTGCACCAGCGGGGGGTGGGGGTAACAGACAGCCTCAAGCAGCAAAATAGGATATGCCACCCCCACGTCATCATGCAATGTGGCTAGAACTTTACTGAAAAGCCCAAGCTCCCACTGCTGAGTAGACTTTTTTCAACACTGAGAGATAAGTGAAGAATTAATAAAGTTGCATCCTGTTACCAGAGAAGCCATAATAGAAGGCACAGAAGAAGAAAATCACTCAGTGCAGTAGAATATACAGCAGGGATGGGGAACCTATGGCCCTCCAGAACTCTGTGACTACAACTTTCATCCCGGATCACTTTTTACTGGAATTGGAGTCCATCAACATCTGGAGAAGAACAGGTTCTTCATCTTTGTAATACAGGCTGCATGGGGGAAACATAGCAAGTAGTTAAAGCTGCAAATTTCTGCTTGTTCAGGAAAGGTGGCCTTGTAGTAAAAGTATTCATTAACCTTCCAGCAGAAGTGTGCGCATCTTGGTCCGTACGTAAAATGTTTTAGATGTTCTCAATCTTACCAAAACAAAATCCATGCGAGGATAGGACCCTGCTTACTCATATAGATACAGCATTAGATGAAGTGCTATCAATCAGCCTTAACCAACCTGGTGCCAACTCCCATCAGCCCCTGCTTCGTGAAGACTGCTATAAATTGTAGGAGAACCTCAACTTTCAATAGCCTTGTGTACTTTTAATATTGGACCCATAAAGTTCATTTCTGTTTCCTCATGCCCCCTACCATTGTAGAAGTACTGAATCATATAAATCAAATCCAAATCAGCAGCAGCTTAAAACAAGTTAAAGCACATTTTAAATGTGTTTCCTAATTAATCACATAACATCTGTGCAATTGCTCATGTTTGTGAGAGGGGGGAGTAAGACTGTACCTCTTCCCCCCGCATGTCCCCTCCCCCAGACTCTCCACCTTCTATGCATTGGAGGGTGAATATATGCATCAGGAAGCCGCCGCACTGTAAAAGTTCCCCCTCCAACACATGGAAAGCAGAGGGGTCAGGTGATACAGACACATCAGAGAGAAGTCAGAAATGGCATGAAAGGGTTTCAAGCAGCCTTTCTCAACCTGTGGGTCCCCAGATGTTGTTGAACTACAACTCCCATCACCCCTAGCTAGAGCTCAGGGATGATGGGAGTTGTAGTCCCACAACATCTGGGGACCCACAGGTTGAGAACCGCTGGATAGTGCTGGGTTAATGATAGGCTTCTTTAGGCTACTGCCTGTACCCGTTTACCTGAGAGCTCCACTGAATTCAGTGGGACTTACTTCTGAGTAGGCATGACTAGAATGGGGAGGTGTGTCATATAGAAAAGTAAGATCCAGTATCCAAAAGGTCATGGAATTCCAGGAGTCCAATAAGGCTTTAGACTTACTTTCTTGGAAACAGTTCCCAGAGCTTAATGACAAAGTGTTCTAGGGGCAAAATAGAAATGAAATGGGAGATGCATGACAACAATCACCTATGCTTGCTTTATATCCAAGAACTCCATGTGGCTGATTTGAAGTTCAGTGATGCTGTTTCTTACTCTCCTGCATCCCATGAAGCTTGTATCAGCTTTATTGTGGGGCAAGGGGGGGGGGGATAAACTGCAGGAAAGGCCTAAACACAGCCTCCTAGAGCACCACTTTCCCAATTTTAAAAGCAAGCCCCAAAACATCACATGATCTTCTATATCGCATCTACTCCAACCTCTAACAGAAGTTTCTAAAGCAGCATTATGAACAGTTCAAAGACAAAAAATAAGTATTGCAAACCCCTTGGAAGAAACCGAGCACCACTTTTGAGTTCCCACTCAGGGAGATCTGTATCATGGAAATAAATTGTGAAATTATATACTTTCTAGCTACTAGAAAATCTGAAAATAAAATGAAGGGACTGTAATCCATGAATGAGATTACATTAATAAATTCTGAAGTAATTGGCATGTTAACTGCAGAAGCACAGCAGAACCTTAAACTTAATTGCATGAAAGCAAGTCAAAGTGAATTCATTAAAATGGGTTTCCAAGCGGATCTACAATTACTTTTATGTTTTAGTTAAGGTATATTGTCAACCCTTTAGAAAAGCAGATACTTAAACTCTCCAATTAAAAAAATGAAAGCAAACCTATTGAAATGGATTTTTTAAAAAATAAACAATCATTTGGAACTTCTAAAATTGGTTTACTTTTCACAGTAAATTCCCCAATTTATTTTTATTTCCATCAGTGACCTTTCACACTGTATGTATGCATAACAAAGAACTTATTCAACTTCTGTCCCATTTACATGCTATACTTCTTCTGGTAAAGAAAGCACTATAAGAACCAGTGATTCCCAAGGGAATTTTCACAGATAAATACAATACAAAAACAAGAATTGTTTTTCAATAAAATTTAAGAGTCTTTAATTGAGGTGCAAGAACTGCTTCATAAATTCGTAGGTGGTGAAGGCGACAGCCTGTGAAGGAATACACCGAATATAATTCAGGGATAATCCTCGGTATAATCCTCTTCGTATTCCATGATTTCCATAAACATACTTCAGTGTCTGTACCATTGTACTAGAAACAGAACAGAGTAGATTTTAATATACTTAAAATGAAAGCTTTACTATTCACTTTCAAGAATGGTTTAAAAATCTAGAAACTACTACACAATATTTGAATTTTACAAACTGGTTACTAAAAATTGCTACAAAATGTTTTCACTCATGCAGCACAGGAAATTGGACGGGGGGAAAAGCAAGGTGGTTGTTAAAAGGAGGGTGCAAAACTTTGTCAAGTTGTGGATTAGGTCTCTTTGTTAACATACGGAAAGGACATAAGAAATATAGCATGCAGAAAAGGCACAAATATTTGTTGCTTTAGGTTGAAAATCCAACCGTCCCACATCTCCTACTTACGAACTAGGACTCAATCCACCATAACAAGCAACACAATCCACCAGGAAGTCTCCCGGAAAAGTTACACGGAAATTAGTAAAAATTACATAGAACACTACCCAAAAATGTAAAATTTCTGGAAAATTTGGAGTCATGAGGAAAATGTTTATTCCCTTAGGAAGTCTATGCAATATTCATTTTCTTATCTGACCTGTACTGTAACAAAATGCATTATTTATAAAGTAATAAACCAGTAAGATTGTTGTATTTGGCATATTTATGAAATTTACAGAGCAATTCTATCAATGCTTCCTCAGATCCAGTTATCTTAGTGGAGCTCACTCCCAGGTAAATGCATACTGTATAGGGTTGCAACCTCAAAAAGCATAACTGCCTTAGTTTTGTAGCAGGCTGTTTCTTGTCAGCAATTTAAAGAGAGAGATGAAAACAGGATATGAGGAATAGTCTATGGGAAGTCCTGGGCCTTCACATCCAAATCAATCAATCAATCAATCAATCGCTTTCCAAAAAACATCCTGAAGAAATTTAACAATAAAAACATATTTTAAAAGTTCAAGTCCGATAACGATTAGGACAAAAATCACCAAAGGCTTGTTGAGGACTCTAGCCACAATGCATCAAGAAGTCTTCATTTCTAATTTGTGGCCTGTGGCTCAGAGCTGCTATTCTGCAACCCCAGAATGCATACTAGACCAGTCATTTGTGGCAGCCACTTCTCCTTACAGCACAGTTGAACTGCCTCTGATGTGCACAACACAATGAACTGTTAATCATTTTGGAGGGGTGGAAATGCAATGGGAAGCCTGTTTCAGGACTGTATCACTTTAAATGGCAGATGGGATTTGATTGAAGGGACTGAATCTCAATTCTATGTGCAGGTTATATGGAAGAACCAACCAGCATTTCGGAAGGGTGACTAAGGCGAGAATTCTTGCTGACATGCCAGTTGTGTATGGAGACGCGACCAACTGTTGTGTGAATGAATCCCCACCTGTAGTCTGAAGGGACACAGTCCAGAAACTAACTTAGACCTCTTTCATCTGCTGTTTTTGAAAACTTGGGTCCACTATGGTTCATATAGTGACACAGCCTATTAAAAACTGACAAAATCCCATCTCTTCATCAAGGATAAGACGTGATGGAAGGAAACTGATGCATTAGGATCATACACTGAGAACAAATCTCTACCCCCTTTTTTTGAATGTACCACTGTAGAAATTTGCCAAAATGCATCCTTGACTGGTATAAATTTCGTAACTTTGCAAATAATATATATCTTTTAACCAAAGGACAAGAAAAGGATGCTAAAATTGTAAAGAGCTATAGAGGGACGCGGGTGGCGCTGTGGGTAAAACCTCAGCGCCTAGGACTTGCCGATTGCATGGTTGGCGGTTCAAATCCCCGCGGCAGGGTGAGCTCCCGTCTTTCGGTCCCAGCTCCTGCCCACCTAGCAGTTCGAAAGCACCCCTAAGTGCAAGTAGATAAATAGGTACCGCTTTATAGCGGGAAGGTAAACAGCGTTTCCGTGTGCTGCGCTGGTGCTGGCTCGCCAGAGCAGCTTTGTCACGCTGGCCACGTGACCCAGAAGTGTCTCCGGACAGCGCTGGCCCCCAGCCTCTTAAGTGAGATGAGCGCACAACCCTAGAGTCGGACACGACTGGCCCGTACGGGCAGGGGTACCTTTACCTTTATTATAAAGTAGCAGAATAAGATATCAGTTTTCAATTTCATTTAAGGCACTAAACTAAACTTACAGGCACTTTTCGGACTCCGGAAGTATTGCTCCCAACTGCATTCGTCTACGTGTTACATCAAGAGGATATCTGGGAAGAAAAAGATGGGTTTTTTCCCCAAAACAAGCTCTTTGTGTTGAACCTACATTATTTTGTTGTTTGTTTTTCTTTGTGTGTTGTTGCTTTTTTCTTTGTGTGTATTGTCTGCTTTTTGTTGTACAATAAATTTAAAATTAAAAAAAAAAACCCACAGTGCTGAAAGTATTTGCACAATGAAATACAGTTAAAGGAAATTCATATGAGAAATAAGAACTGTGTGGAACATATGATGGTGTCTTATACTAAATCAGATCATTAGTCAACCTATCCCAGTATTAACGTATTTACTCGAATGTAATGCACACCTTTTTTGGCCGAATTACATCACGAAAATTAGGATGCACATTAGATTTGATGGTGCATTTACATTTGCCAGCAAATAATTTTTTGGTTTCAAGGTTTTGAAAATTGAGATGCGCATTAGATTTGATGGCACATTAGATTCGTGTAAATACAGTGTCTACTCTGACTAGAATCAGCTGTTCTAAGTCTCAGGCAAAGGTATTACCTAGTTCCAATGTCGAAGATCTCCCACACATTTTTTTTAGAAAGGAGATGCTGAGGATAGAGCCTATGATTTTTTGCATGTTAAGCACAAACTGTTTTTACAGAACTATGAACTTCTTTACATTAGGGTTTCCTTTACAAGAAAATAGGAGGTTCAAGTTTATGCTACTTAAAGTTATCAGAAAAATAAACACAAAAAATCAAACAAATATGTATTCAGTTTCATAGAAATATAATCTCTGAAGCTAAACATGGTTTGTGTAAAAACAAGGTTTAAGGCTCAATACCACATTTGCACTGGATGAAGTAAACAGAAAAAGGCCACAATCCAGCCCAAATTAAGCATTTAAATCCCTCGTATTCTGCTCTCTCAATGAAAGCACATGCTTACACCTCCTTTACTGACACCATAGTAAAAAAAATGTAACATACCTGCCCATCACACAACTTAACATATTATATGTGAAAAGGAGATGCCAGGGGGAAAATAATGGAACTCACTGGCATCAAGTTGTGTGGAACACCTTTGCAGCTCATTTTTTTTTAAATTTCTGACTTATAATATTTAAAGCAGCATCTAAAATTCTTAACACCCTGTACTGCCAGTGTGGTTTAGCAGTTAGTGTTACATAAGAGCCAGATTCAAATCCTCACTCAGCCATGAAACTCATTGGGTGGCCTTGGGTCAGTCATTAATTCTCAGCCTAGCCTACCACACAGGGCTGTTGTGAGGATAAAATGGGGAAAGAACTTATTTATGCTACCATGAGCTCCTTGGAAAAAAAGGAATGATAGGTAAGGATACAGAGAAATGTGTTTTAATTTTCTCAGTCTAATACTTAAACTGAGAAAATTAAAATACATTTTAATGTGAATGCCAGCCTATGTAATTCATAAATACTATATTGGAAAAACATTTATTGTATGTTACAATACATATTTACTGTGCAATCCTAAACATTTCTACTCAGAAATAAGTCCCACTAAGTTCAATAGGGCTTACTCCTAGGCAAGTGGGAATAGGATTGTAGCCTTATTAAGGTTTGTTTTACTTTCTCACGTTTAAAGTTGGATTTTGAAAACCCTTCCTTGGAAAACAACATGTTCTGGGGTCTAGCTTTTTAGTTTTTTTATTATATTTGTGCACTGCTCTTACATGGGACTTTTAGTCATTGATCAAGTGCAGATAGGCTTGGCTTAGCAAATTGGTAGTATGAGGTACTCCAACCATTCTCTGATCCTCCCGGAGGTTTAATTTGACAACTATACAAGTTATTATAACTCACATTATCACTGCTGTATAAAGATTATGATTTTCCAACTTCCAGCTGGAATAGTACAGTTTTACTAAATTGACAGAGAAAGCAGTTGCCTAATGGACTGCACTCTTATCAATAAACAAGCTGATCAGTTCAAATGTTTTTGAAGGAAGTCATAATGAATAAGAGTTGCAGCCTTCAAAAACTTTTGCAGAATACAATATGCTGTCAGCAGCATGTATCATCATCATGATTATCAGCAGCAACAGCAGCAGCCTAAGGTTCAGCCTAAGGTGGATTACAACAATTTAAGATACAATACAAAAAACAGTTTGAAACCTTAAAAAATGCAATCACAAAACATAGGGCGAGACCTGAAAATAGATATCTCTGGTGTCAAATGCCATAATATACTGTTCTTTACTATTATAGTATGAAAGTTTCTTTTTGCCTGGGGCATTATTGCCCCATTTTAAATTGAGCAATAGGCTTTCCTCCCATACCGCAAAGGTGTGGCTGATGCCTTAGATTATGACAAAATTAAAATTTCATGATTTCCAAGGTAGGAATTTTGTTTACTTACAATACTAATGCAAGCTATCCTAACAATTCAGTGCAGTAAAATACTAGAAAAACTTACGATATTGTCTGTGCTATTGCTCCAGCTATGCCACCACACAGCAAATTTACATGAGTTTTCAAAACTAAGACATCAGGATTATCTAAGCAAGGCTTCCCAAGCAGGGTAGGCGCTTGGGCAAGTCCCACACTCTTTAAGGTACCAAAGGTAAAAAATGAGAAACCTGAAAGGGAAAAATGTAACTTTAATGGAAACCTGAAAGGGAAAAATGTAACTTTAATGGAAACAATACCACAACAAGCTGCATCAACAACAAAGGCACAATCCAACCAAAGGTTAAGCACAGTTAAAACTCATATATAAAAAGGAGTGTAGAGCTTGCACCAAGCTCTTTCCTCATGGAGGAAAAAAAATCAATGATACTTATCAAAGCTTTCCAAACTCTGTCACAACACCAGTGTGTTGGCTGTAGTGTGTAGGTATGTCACGTGAACGCTTCCCGTGCTCCTCCCGGGGCTGGAAAGGGGTGAGTTTAACCTCTGGTTTGCTAGTAAAACTGTGTTACTGTGTCACGAAAAGTCTGTCACCAACATGAAAAGTCTGGAAAGCTCTGGCTTAGTCATAGCTGAGTCATATCTTCTCTGTTTGAGGATAGTCACATTGTGAAATTGTTGTCAAGTATGTATTGAAGAACCAATCTTTGTTTTTGTTTATCACTTGCATCTGACACCAACGCCGAAATCTGGCACAAAGTATCCGGGATGTGGGAATTATGTTGGGTTGTGTATTTTCAGAGTTTTAATTGGGGTGTGAGGTGCACCAGGCACCACAGTTCCTATGGTGCTTTGGAGAGACCTTGAGGAATGCCTCAAAGTAGCACCTTGGGAACCGAAGCATGTACAGCGGTACCTCGGGTTACATACGCTTCAGGTTACAGACTTCGCTAACCCAGAAATAGTACCTCGGGTTAAGAACTTTGCTTCAGGATGAGAACAGAAATTGTGCTCCGATGGCACAGCAGCAATGGGAGGCACCATTAGCTAAAGTGGTGCTTCAGGTTAAGAACAGTTTCAGGTTAAAAACGGACCTCCGAAATGAATTAAGTACTTAACCCGAGGTACCACTGTAAATGTGTGTGTGAGGGGAGAGAGAGAGAGAGAGAGAGAGGGAGAGGGAGAAGGAAGAAGAATGTGTGTATGGAAGAAGGAGACCATGTGCATATACAGAAGCAGGGGGCCAAATATGGAGGAAGAAGCTTGATGGTGAATAGGAGAGGGCAAGAATGGGTAACTATGGGCTGAGAAACTTTGCAGGGAAGTAGTTGTGGTAAATGAAATAGCAAGCAGAAGGAAGGTTGGTAAGCTCTGGCTAAAGGGAACCAGTCTGAGAGAGAGTTAAGGGGGGAGGACAGGAGGTTGTCTATGGGTAATTTGCACAGTGGAAAGTCAGAAAGAGGTGCTATACTAAGCAACAGAGTAGGTAAGGTCCCTACCTGCCAGAAATTAAGAAGGGTGACAGGAACCCTGAACCAGAATAAAAAATAAATAGGTGCCAAAGGATGAGAAGAGTTCTATCTTTACTTTGGAAGAGTGAGGGGCTCAGCAGGGGGATCTAATGATAAGAACCAGGCTGGGGTTCTTGAAGGCACTTAGTACTGATAGATAGGCAGGTGAGAAAAACTTCACACGGGTGTTATGGGGAAGAGTTAAAATGCTTCTGGAAAGGAAATGAATATGTAAATGCCATGCTACACCTTTCAGTCTATTCCAGGTGCAGTGAAACATGTATTGATATTAGAAAACTACCTTCCCCACTACAAATGAAAGATAAAAGTGATAGGAGATACTCAAAATCAACACCAGCAGTCAAGACAAAAGGCAACAGGAACCGTACAATTGGTTTCAGAATTGAGGAATATACAAGTGCAGATAGACTGGTGCAAAAACAACCCCTATAAATTCTAGAATGCATAGTGGAATAGATGTCAATAACACTGTTTAAAATTCAAAGAAAAAAGAGACTCCATGTGGCTATAAGAATGCATATTTCCATTTTTGTTAACAGTCTGTAATAGTTGTTTACTTTACCAGTGATTTTGTGCTTATGCAGATCTTTCAGACTGTTAGGACAACTAAGGACAGTCAGTAGAGCATTTTATAGATGGCTCTCAGTGTACATCTGTACTAGTTGGGGGGCACGTTCCACAAACAAGTCACTATAATTATATAATAAATTCCCGGCAACAACCTTCTCTGCTGGTATCTACGCAAATCCTAGCACCACTAAACATGTGCAATTTTTATTTTAACAGCAGCAATGTGAACAGTTTTGCGAATCAAAATTAAACACCAAGTGGTTCACTGGGAAAGACTCTCATTCAAGTTCAACTCACCTGCATATGGAGCCATTCCTACAACCGTTGGCGTAAGCCCTCGATAAAATCCTTGCAAACCACCTTCCTTTTGGAGTAAGCCAATGATGAAAAGAACAAACAAACAACAAATATTTAATTGCACTGAGTACAAAGTGCACATATACATTAGATTAGAGTGATGTTTTGCACATGTAAATGAAATCAGTCTTTTCCTTTTGGTCAGGTTTTTTTTTTTTTTTTAAAAAGGTGTCTCTTTATAAGCAAATTTTGTGATCTGATCCAAACTTTCAGGGACAAACCCAGTTGTGGATCTCAGAATGATGGGGGTGGAGTTGCTCCTAGAGGTACACAGGTATACATGTTTATTAAGCATGTGTGCACCTAGTTTGGTGCTCTGAGGCAGCCTCACCGCTCTGAAACTCTCTCCCAAAAAGACAAAACTGTGTCTTCTATTGTACTTCCAAAGAGTTGATGACTTAAGAGTATGCTTTTTTTTTACTATTGCATGCTCTTGTTCAGTTTGTTTTGCCGATTTTGCTGTTTACTAGGAATGGTTTTATTTGTTACTATGATTTAGGGTGCATTCTAGGGCACAGCCACACAAGAGGGCTGACAGATAATCGTAACATTTAAAATATAAATGTTTCTATTGTTTTATGTTGTGAACCACTATCAAATCTCATGAGCAGTATCATTTTCAAAACTGTATTTTTCACTCTGCCACAAACAGCATCTCTCACAGAGTGAGAGATGTTTACACAGAACAGCTGTTTCAAGATCCTTAAAAGCTTGTTTTTTAAAAAAATTATTAGCCTCAGAAACCAGCAACACAATAGCACTAAAACAAAAGAGATAAACAAGCTACCTTTGTATAAATGGTCTTGAATGCATGAATAATTCCAGTGTATGTGTGATCCCCTTTTACTTGGAATGCCAGACGTGCTCTCACCATGTCAAGAGGGTAAGTGCAAATTACTGCAGTTATACCTTCAAAACAAAAAAACCACAAATACGACCTGAACTGGGCAACACAGTTATGACATGCCAATATCAAGAACATCGCTAACAGAAAAACACAAAGGGTCCTTTAAATAGAGGGTGATTTTTTAAACTCAACCTTGTTTTCACATTTGGAGGACTTGTACTTTCATGCTTATAAGTAACTTCTCTAAAGAGTTGGGAACACAGATAATTTTTATGCAAGTAACATGCTAAAGTCAGGGAGGCTGCACAGAGGAATGAATGACGTCATGCAGAACTTTCAGGAATCAGTTAAGCCACACTCTGGTTAAGACCTAAGCTGCTTCCTTAAAATCACTGCAACTTGGAATGACACTTTTAAAATGTGCATGTTTCATATGCTTAAACTAGCACACTATCCCCACCCCACCCCCAAGGAAATGAAGCCAGCATAACCATATGTGTTTGGTACTTTTTCCTGCTTTTGCATTTGGAAGGCTTAAATCCCTTTGTTCTCAAAATGCCTGGGATGAAGGGCACTTGTGTTTTGAATAGCTGAAATCATGTTTTCCCGTCTGCTTCAGTCTAGTTGTTTTTTCCTTAAAGGAGACTAAGGCAATTATCCACCAATGAAGAGTTACTACCAAGATTTGAATTACACAGGACTCAGGAAATCCAGGGTGGAAAGTTTTCCCCATAATGTTTATCTTTGCTACTTCGAAAAGACGCATTACAACAGACTTTTCTTGGCGTTCCCCCCCCCCCCATAGCCTTGATGCAAAGGAATTTCCCCCCCTAGTGCTAGAAGGATGACTATTGGGGGGGGGGTTAATTTTATGCGTCTTTGCTTCTCAATTTGTGTCTTTACTTCTCAATTTGTTTTGTGTTAATTTATGCACTGTGACTTGCTTTCATTTTTAACTGATTAGAGTTTAGAAATTAATTATTATAATTGTTAAGAGTGAATTTCTGTTTAATTATTTTTTGCTGATATTTTATTTTATTTTATTGTGTAGTATTATATTCTAATGGATTACTGAATATTACTTTATTTGATACAAGTCTATTTTAAATATGTTTAATTCTGACATTTCTGTATTGGATCAGGTTGTTAATAACTTGTGCGATCTTTGTTGTTTCTTCAGCTTGTAAACCAACTTGTGTATAGTAATAAAGAAAGGCAGTATACAAATTAAAAGTGAAATGAAATGAAACAAGAACCATGGAAGTTTTCACAAGTTTTCTCTGCATTTCTAATGCTCAAACTACATTGGTGTTAGCACCACTAATACAAAACCTCAAATTCACATTCAGATTGCGCATTTCAGTGTGTTTTCATTCTTCCTTCCATATTAATATTATCCAGGCCACTCTTGCAGTATACCTAAAAATGTGAAGACTGTTCATGTGCTCATTTCTTATATAATACATTAGATCTCCATCTGCACTAGATGTGCCCTGCCAGCTACACCAGGAAAGGTGTTATTGCTACCCCATAATTTCTTGGCAGTGAATTTCCCTTTCTATTTCCTTCTCCTTTTTATTTCTCTCTCTTACCCCTTTCTATTCCTCGGCTTACACATACATTTCAGAGACCATAAATATGTAGTTCCTTGTGAAATTATTTCCATGTGTTGCAGTTTTGTGTACTGTTATGTAGAGGGAAAAGATGCTCTAACCAACTATTTCAATCCATGAGGATTATGACGTAGTTAAAATAGACCTCAGGAGCATTTACCTTGTTATGATGCCTAACAAACTATAATTGGGGTGGGGAGATATTTCTCCCTGTTTAATACTAGCATTCAAGGATACCCAAATGAAATTGATTAGCAATGGACTTGGGAAAGATAAAATCCAAGTATTTCATCATGCAAGACATCCTAAATGGCTTTTTTAAAAGGGGGCTATACAAATGTGGAATTATGACTGGCTAATAGCTAGGGTAAGCAAAAATGCAACCATGACCCTCTGACTATCCAAAGGTGAAGAACACATGGCTTTCTTGTGAACTTCTCAGAAGCACATAGGTGGCTACCACTGGAAAGGAATTCTGACTATATACTTGTGTATGCCCTGCTTGCTACAGCCATCAGGAAAGAGTGGGAGAGCATGTAAACCACAGCTTTCTTGTTCAGAAAGTTTTATAGCCACTTCTGATCATGCAAATGGATTTGGATGCTGTTAGGAGACTCTTAATCTCAGGGTCGCAGGTTCAAGCACCACGTGGATAAAGGGATTCCTGCACTGCAGGCGTTTGGACTCTACAATTCTATGATTCTATTACCTATTTTATTAACTTTAACTGATTAAAGACAACAGCCTTTAGCTTGGACTTTGATTACTAAATTGCAATTTAAAGATTGGCAAGCAAAACAAAAGAATAGTTAAATATACATAAGAAGGCAATACCTGCCATGGATCCAGCCATTAACCGGTGAATATGCCCAGAAATGCCAAGCTTCTGCTTTATCATCTATGAAAAGATCAAATATATAGAGTGAAAAAACAATAATCCTTCAGCACACTTTAAGTGAGCTTCACTGGTCAGCAGATTGAAAACAAACACAAATGGTTTAATGCTTCTGACTACATTTTAAATAACAGTCTCAACACTACTTTACTATATTTCTTATTTAATTTATATCCCACCCTTCCTCCCAAAGGCAACCAGGGTGGCAAAACAACACCCTTATATTTATTTTAAGGTATTTATATACAACTGATATCTTAATAAACTATTTTCATTTTGGTTTATGTTATAGCAATGCCAGTTCTTGCTGTCTGACAGTACTACAGTCTTATTTTTATTTTATTGGTTTATTTATTGGTTTCCTGTAGTGCTAGGATTTGTCATAAACTTGCTTTCTTCCCATAGATCAGAAGTTGTTTCAGGCCCGGGAGAGTCTTTTGAAATCAAAGAATCTTGCAGGCACCACAAAGTACCCATTACACAGAAAAGCTGGCAATGCTCAGACATCCCTCCCATTGTCATAACCAAACAAAGGAACCCAGGCAAAACAACTAAACCACCTCAAAAAATAAAACAAACAATAAAGCAGGCAACATCCCCAAAGCAGACAATCCTCCCATTTAAACAAACAAGGGAAAAAAGTCCCCAGACCAGTAATAAAATAATGAGAGACGTAAAGAGACTTGGCAGTTACCAAGGAGGCATCTGATGGGCACCACTTTGGGGGCTCCAATTTCTGATTTTGATTTTTTTGCGATGTCTTACAAAAGAAAAGTTTTGATTAAAGTGAACACAGCGCATCAAATATGGGGGGGTGCATCATATCCTTCGACAGCTAATTGTCTGTTTTTTTTCTTTTGCTACTTAGGAGGTTTTTTTGTATGTTTGAAAAATGCATTGCAATTCTGCAAACCTCAGGATTCCCCTCCACCCCACCCCTCGTTGCAGTACTAAGTTCCTAAGTGCACCAATAGCAGTGATTCCATATCCCCAATAGCTGGGAAAACCCTTCATCGATCTATAGCAGAGGTTTTCAACCTTTTTGGGTCCACAGCTCCCTTGACCAACTACCGTATTTTTCGCCCCATAGGGCGCACCTAGTGTTTTCGGGGGAAATAAAGGGGGGGGAATTATTTCCCCCCCAGGCGCGGGGCTGGGGCGGGGGAAGCCCGAGCTTCCCCCGACCCCAGCCCCCAGAACAGGCTGCTCTCCGCAAGCCGTGGGAGGGCTCCCGCGGCTTGCACAGAGCTACCCGAAGCCCAGGCGCGACTGCTCAGCACACCCAGGCTTCGGGATGCAGGCAGCTCTCCGCAAGCCGTGGGAGCCCGGCGGGAACTCCCGCGGGCTCCCAAGGCTTGCGGATAGCTTCCTGAAGCCTGGAGAGCGAGAGGGGTCGTGTGCACCGACCCCTCTCGCTCTCCAGGCTTCAGTGAAAGCCTGCATTTGCCCCATAGGATGCACACACATTTCCCCTTCATTTTTGGAGGGGAAAAAGTGCGTCCTATAGGGTGAAAAATACGGTACATTCTTTCTGCGGCACCCCTGAGGAGCTCAGGAGCCCAGTTATGTCACCCCTTGCCCGCAGAGATGGCAGCCCCTCACCCCTTTTCAAACACCCCTCCCTTGTGGAGTGTTCCCTCAGCCTCCTCCCCTCTCCTTGGGAGTCCTCTGGGCAGCTGCTGCTGCTGCCGTCCCTGGTCTCTGAGCTGACACCCTTCCCCTTGCCCCCGCCACCCCAAAGAGAGGTGCTTCCCAGAGGCACCATGCAGCACCCCTAACCATCATTCAAGGCACTCCAGGGTGCCACAGCACACTAGTTGAAAACCACTGATCTACGGAAAGAGAAGCAGCCTGGCAGCTCTCCAGGCGCAGAGAATTCCAAGGGTAAACACCACTAAAGAAAAGGCTGTGTTGTATCTCAAACACTACTCTTATACATGCTGTTATCCATTTTATACCATATGTAAGCATTTGGGATAAACAGTTATTTAGAAATTGGTACAGTGCTACCTTGGTTTACGAACTTAATCCGTTCTGGAAGTCCGTTTTTAAACCAAGGTGTGCTTTCCCAAAGCAGTGGGGGACTCACTTTACAAATGGAACACACTTAACAGGAAGCAAAACATGTTCTTATTCCAAGGCAAAGTTCACAAACCAAAGCACCTACTTCTGGGTTTGCAGCATTCTTAAACCAAGTTGTTCATAAACTAAGCTGTTCTTAAACCAAGGTACCACTGTACTTGCATATTCCCATTGCTCCATTTCATATCGAAGTCGGAAAGAGCCAACTTGTGCAGATTATGTGATTTACATACAAAGACATATTTGACATTTTAATGATATATAGAATGAAATGTAAAATGATTTGCTTAAATAGATAACGTATTTATAGGTCTATAAATGTCCATAATGTAGAGAGGGTAACTGGTATTAAGAAATTCAACAAGTTTTATGCAACTCATAATATATTTCAATTTATACAAGTGATGTCCGACCACAAAATGCTGTGGTATATCCCGAGGCCCCTAACAAGAGTGCTTTTTTTTGCCGCTCCTCCTTTAATTTCTCTTGCTGGGCTCAAGTTTATTTGGCCTCACTCAACCCATCATTACTGTTATACTGTTCAATTTTAGTTTTTAATTAGACTTGCAGAGGTAACAGTCTTGATGTTTACAGCATAAACATAAAAAACTGGAAGTAATTGCATTACTCAAATCACTCTTTTGGGGGGAAAGAAACAAGGCAACTGGCAGTTATACATAATAAATATGTCAATTTATACATATTAACCAACCACAGATAGTACAGCTGACATCAGGGAAGTTAAATGCAGCTACCTTTTTATACTGGCCAAATGCTGTAAACTGAATTGCACCATATGGAAATATTCTAATCATCATTGCTCCATTTCCTTTATAGAATCCCAGGTAGCCCTCCTTTTTGGGAACAGCACGCAATGTAGAGATCACGCCTGTGATGAATAAAGGATGAAAACAAAAAGAAAATGATCAGACCAACCAACAGAAAGTGATAGCTAAACGATCCAACAAAGTACAAGAAGATTTTATCATAAGATAAACAGCATGTTCAGGAAGCTAGGCAGGAGGAATGATAGAAACAGGCTGACAGAACCGAAAAGTGAAGAGAAATGGTGAGTGGACAAATGAGAGACTAAATCAAAATTTCTATTAACAACCCCCCAAAATAGTAACTGGAAGAAGAAATAAAAAGGGAAAGTCGGATCTCAAAACTCGGGAGGAAGGAAAAATGACATCTGATAATGGCATATAAACAGTGGAGGAGGACTTTGCTCAAACAGTCTGTGCTGATATTTACTCAGCCTCACCTAACTTCTACAAACCTTGCTGTGTTCAGGGACACATGTGGTTAGAATGTTTGCAAGCCTGCAACAAATACACCCTCAGCATGCTAGAATCAAATAAAAAGATATATTTTCATTCCACTTACCTTTCTACAGAAAACCCTCTGTTTTTAGTTTATGCACACAAGTGCTATATCAGATTTTCTTAGCAACATTCCCCATTCTCTCACACACATTCCAAACTAAACACCTGTTAAGGGAGTATTCACTAACTGCAGTTTCTATCAGGATATGTATTTAAAAATAGGGGTTTTTTTAATCTACTGATTTAAATGGGGCGCCTTTTTAGTTAATCAAAACATTTTAAAACTGATCTAAAAAATTATAATAAACACAGAAGCATTCTTTTTTGGGGGGGGCTACATTATACCATATTGGCAATTTGGACAAAGTAATATCATATTAGGACCTCTTAATATAGAGTGTCCTTAGAACTTCTTTCATCACATTGTGCTAAAACATTTACCAATTTCAGCTAAACTTGGCAATCAAGTCGAAGTGTGTGCAAACTAGGAGTTTGCCTCTCTTCTCCCAATCTTACACATAGCTACACAGAAATACCATATTTACTTGAGTATAATGTGCCATCAAATCTAATGTGCACCACAATTTTCAGAACCTTGAAACCAAAAAAAGTATTTGCTGGCGAATGTAAATGTGCCACTGAATCTAATGCGCACTTAATTTTCTCAACGTGATTTGGCCAAAAAAGGTGCACATTAGATTCAAGTAAATACAGTAAGTACAACTATGTTCACTCCTTGGTGAGTAAAATAACTCAGTGGGATTTTCCAACATCCATGTGAGGTCAGTGACAATGTTCAGTTGGAGAGGAGAATGAGTGAAGTCCCCACAGCTGAGGGCCTCAGACAAGGCTACTGGTAATCATACTAAGCCAATGTTGATTCTGTCATACAAAATGGGGGAACAAATGAGAGCAGCTTAACCTTAAAATATAGCATCATGAACATCTCCCCCATGCTTTTAAGAATGATCTGAATTTTTATTGGGTTTACTGGCTTCCATTCACTGTGAATCAGAATACAGGAGTCAAACTATACCTTCAATTTTTCCTGGCTATGAGCATGACTAGCATGACTAGCACCATAAAAATATATGGAGAATCATGAAGAAGTGAGTCTCCAAATTCATGTTTAGGCTAAATGTGGGTTCCAGCTCTGAAAAGAATTCCTGGCAACATTAATTTTAAAGAAAGCCGGCCATTTTTATAAAGTGCTGGCAGTGACCATGTAAGGCCCAGCCAATTGATGTGTGATCACTGACACATGGGTCAGAACGGAGGAGTAAGGGAAACGGGCATAACGGGGGCGGAGTGGGGGGTAACAGGGCAGGGTGCACTTATATGCGCTACATGACACATGGGGAGGGAGAATGGAACCCCTGCACAAAATGGTCACTGTCTGTATATCTAACCCGTGGAGAAAAAAACAGTATCAACCCTATCTTTCAAATTCAAGGTTTGCAAAATTTACCGTATTTTTCACTCTATAAGACGTACCAGACCACAAGACGGACCTAGTTTTTGGAGGAGGAAAACAAGAAGAAAAAAATTCTGAATCTTAGAAGCCAGAACAGCAAGAGGGATCACTGTGCAGTGAAAGCAGCAATCCCTCTTGCTGTTCTGGCTTCTGGGATAGCTGCGCAGCCTGCATTCGCTCCATAAGATGCACACACATTTCCCCTTACTTTTTAGGAGGGAAAAAGTGAGTCTTATAGAGCAAAAAATACGGTAACTTTGAAATCTCATTGAAACGCACAGGGATTAAACACAAATTTGCCTCCAAATGCTGTATTTGCTGACAATATTGCAGTAAATTGAAAATGAAATATACTTCCCTTACAAATACAAGAATGCAAAATACACGAAAACTGTCTTACCAAGATTTTTGTAATGACGATTATGGGCTTGTAACAAAATCTTTACTCGATCCAATGGCGCAATGGTTGTTTTGGCACAGCATCCCGCAACACCTTTCAGAGACAAAAATGAACAACTCTGTTTGCTGACTGCCAAATGTTACAGCATGTCAAACATTCAGCAAGTTATTTTTAAAGTTTTATCTTTTCAAGGTTCATCCCATACCTGAAAAGCATGGCCTCCCTCACTCAGTGGGCATTATCTCTCTGGCAAAGTAGTCATGTTATGCAATCTATGCACAAGGTTTCCCATTCTGTTCCATTTTCTTTTAGCAACATAAAGCTGATTCATTGTACTATATATGCTGATGTTCATTTCCAGGAATGCCTCACCTTACAGTGGAGATTCTGTTTCCTAATATCTCCTCCAAGTTGTGAAAAACCTAACACTCCTGGTCATATGAAAACAATAAAGAATCTTATGAAACCTTAACAACAGTGTTTGCTACAACAGGACTACTCTTTTGAAATATGGGCATGTGATTCAGCAGACAGAGAACCCATTATAGGTAGTGTACTTATTTATTTAATTTATTGCAAGTATAGCGGTATCTTTGCCAAGTAGATCAAGGCATCAAATACTTTTTCATAAGGCTCACCAACTCCAGCCCTTCCAAATCAATCACTAAATATTGGTACAGCTCAGCAGTAATTATGGATCAGCTCTTTTATAGTATCTTCTTCTGTTAAAGGTCCACCTCCCACAAAGAAGTTGTATCAAGATGTTAACTCTCAACCATCACCATACCACCGAGCCTTATGCACCATCTGTGCTGTATCATTCAACTTCCAAGCCAGATCAACTACAAATGATACAAAAGCTCGCAAGCAGTTTAGGATGCAATACAGTGGTACCTCCAGTTATTCTTTCCTTACCACTTTACAACTGTCATTTAAATAACCTTTGAACGTCAGATCTTTCAAGGTTAGGGGGGAAAGCAAGCTGCTGTCTTATGCTTATTGTTGATTCTGCTTACAATTAATCTGATAACAGTTATTAAGCAGGGTTCAAGATGTTTGCCTGTAGTACATTACTATGTCTCTTTCTTACCTAGGGAACAGATACAGGTATGCATGTCAAGTTCTTAGGAAATAGACACTATCTTTCAGAGTTTCATTAAGTCTGCCGTATCAGCTCGGTTCGATCTACTATTTATACCAAGGAAGCTCGGGGAGGAAGGAGGACTCGGGGCAAAGCAGAGCAGAATCCGACCCCGGGACAGGTGTCGTGGCTATAAGTATAGCTTCTCCTTCAAGGAACAAGCTCCGCCTCGGTTCTCAACTCTACAGTAGGCAGCCTTGAAGAGCGACGAGAGCCTAACGGAGTCAAGGGCAACGCGGTGGGCGCGTGTAAGCAAAAAACCCAAGACGAGCGTATCGTGGGAATTCCACGGATCAGAGTTAAAGGGATTCCGAGCTTCCCTCGAAAAGGGAAAACGCAGCCGGGCGTCCAAAAACATTGATTTTTCTTTTTGTTGGGGGGGGGGCGTCGTGCGAGCACCAAGCGACCGCCGGCCCCCTCGCCTCGCCACCCCTGCCCACCGATTAAAGAGGATTGTTCCGTGTTTACCTCCGGCGAGGAGCGAGCGGAGCCAGTAGAAGTCCCTCCGCGCGGGCGACGAAGGCAGGCGGGCGCTGGGCCCCGCCGTCGTCGCCGCCTCCGTAGCCATCGGGCCGTGCTGGGTCCCTCGCAAGCGCAGCGGCAGGAGGAGGAAGGGGAAGAGGGAGACGCGGCTGGGCTCGGCCAGCACCCAGCGCCTTCAGCACATGCTGCCGGGCTGGCTCTGCCTCCGCCCAGCCCGGCGGAGAGGCGGGGCTCGGCCGCGGACGCCGAGAAAGGAGAGGAGGAGAAAGGGAAAGAGACGGGCCTCCTCGTACAGGCTCCTCTAGCGGAGGCCTTGCAAGCCGGGGAGGAGCGTCTTCTCCCGCGCCCCGGGCATGGTGCGGGGGCCACGGCCTCCGGGAGCTGCTCGGCCAGGCCCGCGGCGGCGCCCCGTGATCGCGTCAGGAGGCGGCGGGAGAAGCTCGCTCGGCAGCCGGCGGCGGCGCGTCTCCTCCCACCGGCCTCCTCGGCTCCCTTTTCCCCGCCCGCTCCAACTGAGGAGGCCGGCTGTGTGGCTTCAGAGGAAGTGGGAAGGGAGAGCGGCCAGGCGTCCCCGAATGGGCCTCAGGGGGAGGTCGAGTGGGAAAGGGACCCCGAGGGTCATCCAGTCCAGCCCACTTGCATTGCAAGGAAGATCCCGCGGTTGAGAAGGGCGCGTAGATATGCGCCTTCTTTTCTGATGTTCCGCCGCCCCCTCTTCTCCCCCAACAGCCCCCGCCCCCCGATCGGGCTTCTTGGCTTATAACTACGGCAGGACGGGCGGAAATTCCACTGGCAGAGTTGATCATTGCATAGCCTTGCCGCGCGTGAGGTGGAGGGACGACACATTAAAAAAGCAATTGCCGCAGGTTTATATATATATATTATTGCAGTTATGTAATACCCTTTACTAGGCACAAAATTGTGGCAAGCCTTGGCGTTATCCAGAATTCTTTGTTGTGCTTTTCACGTTATAAAAGGTCTTTGTGCTATTCTGCTCTTTGCATGAAAAGAGTTTTCAGCTAAATCAGCACGCCAAGCAGCTCGGTATCATGCCTTCCAACAGTTGGCAGATCTGGGTACAAAAAAGTGCACAGAGTACTAAAAAAAAAGGGAAAAGCCTGCCTCCCTTTGTGTAACATCTTGCCTTAATGAAGAATTTCCTGATTACATTATAGATGTTTTGGTTTTTATTATGTATTTGTGGTTTTATATCTTGATTTTATTCTGTGAACCGCCCTGAGACCCCCTGGTATAGGCCTGTATATAAATTCAATTAATAATAATAATCAATAATAAAGGTGTTGTCCAAAGTGGATTCTGAAGCTATATATAAGGGGTGAGGTGGAACACCCTGTAACCATCACCTTCACATTTCATTAAAGGTAAAGGGACCCCTGACCATTAGGTCCAGTCGTGGCCGACTCTGGGGTTGCGGTGCTCATCTCGCTTTCTTGGCCAAGGGAGCTGGCGTACAGCTTCCGGGTCACGTGGCCAGCATGACTAAGCCACTTCTGGCGAACCAGAGCAGCGCATGGAAACGCCGTTTACCTTCCCGCCGGAGTGGTACCTATTTATCTACTTGCACTTTGACGTGCTTTCAAACTGCTAGGTTGGCAGGAGCAGGGACCGAGGAACTGGAGCTCACCCCGTCTCAGGGATTCGAACTGCCAATCGGAAGATCGGCAAGTCCTAGGCTCTGTGGTTTAACCCACAGCGCCACCCGCATTAAAAAAAATTCTTTAACTTTTCACTGTGATACAAAACTACTCTTTTTTCAGAATCTCTATTTATGCCCCTTCAAAAAGCCCTTATGAAAGAGGTAGAAATAAAGGCTGTCCACACATTACCATTCGTTCCAGCTCCAGTGTGCTTCCACCACTGGTATATTTAGCCACAATCCATGCGTATTTTTCTGTTTCTTTATAAATACTTGTGTTTGATGCACTTTCCCTCAAACCAGCTTCCATCCAGTTTGAAAACGTAAGCCACAAGCTGAGATGTGTACATTTGAGACAGCCATTGTGCATGGGCAGATGACAGCTCTATTGAACAGGAGGGACAGGGGACATGGAGATACAGGTCAGGTAATGTGCATCAAATGAAGATGTCCCCACTCTCTCTCTGCTGTGTACAGCAATGTTTAAAAGTACCAGTACAGTATTTGAAACACAGTGGGGGGAAATTAGTTTGCTGCATTTTAAGCTGCTAATGTGTACATAGCCAAAGATTAGATAGCTAAAATGCAGTTTGAGCCATGCCATACAAATCTCCAAATTCAAAGTGAACAAATAAAAGATTGTGGCAATTAACACTTTAAAACAGTAAAGACATTTCAGTATTTACACTGATGTTCCTTGTAAGGGATAGATAAAACTTTTCTTTGCATCATCAACAGATATAGGAACACAGCAAAGGGGGACTTTCAGATCCAATTCTAAGGGGATACCTTGCAGTCAGTTTTGACCCTTGCTATGTCTAACCTTTGAAGTTATGCACTAGGTAGGTAACTTATTTTGCCTTTTTACAGATGAGGATCTGAAGGTGAGGGAAAGGGATTTATCCCAGGCTGCTTAGTGCATCCGTAGCAGACAAACCCACTCATTCAAGTCCAAGCCTAAGAAGCTGCTCACTGGACCATACTCCACTCTTAAGGATGCTGTTTCAAAACTGCAGAAACACAGCTCATTGGAGAGATCTGGTTTGCTTATGCAATTTGAAGTAGATCACCTTTTTCTGTTCTGTGGGACTGACGTGCTGAAAATTAAAGGTTTCGTGATCCTGTTTCTAGTTTCTGAATGTGACATTTCCCACATAACACTCTAGTCTCTTAAACTACAGTCTGTCCTCCTAGGAAGCCTCACAGAAGTCCCTTAACCCACTAATGGAGCATGACCCTCAACGTGGCAATTGCTGCTGTAGTACAGACATCATTTTGATGTACATGGGAGTATGTTTTATAGCAGGTGTCAGCAAACTTTTTCAGCAGGAGGCCAGTCCACTGTCCCTCAGACGTTGTGGGGGGGGCGGACTATATTTTGAAGGGGGGGGAATGAACAAATTCCTATGCCCCACAAATAACCCAGAGATGCATTTTAAATAAAAGGACACATTCTACTCATGTAAAAACACACTGATTCCTGGACCATCGGAGGGCTGGATTTAGAAGGCAATTGGGCCGGATCCAGCCCCCGGGCCTTAGTTTGCCTACCCATGTTTTATAGGAAGGAAGTGTTGCAAGAAGAGAAAATATACACTGTTGAAAATTTAAGCAGGGCCTATGGGAAGTTCTTGCTTTATATTTCACTCAGGGTGAGGCACTTTCTTAGAATTTCCATCACCTTTAATTCTTCCATCAATGCTTTTCTCACACTCATACTTTTGACTTTATAAAAGGTCTTTGCGCTATTCTGCTCTTGCCATAAAAAAGAGTTTCCGGCTAAATCAATAGCACACCATGTCTTCCAACTTTTGGCAGATCTGGTAGAATTGCATAGAGTACTAAAAAAAAGAAAAGGACATGTCATTTGAACTGCGGCCCCACATTTATGAAACTTGCCCACTCATCATGGAGAGGTGTGTCAAGCCCACTCCCTGCTTGCATTTAGGTGGGCTTTAAATACGTTTCTTTTTCAATCTGTTCTTTATTTAAATGGTGAGTTGGACTTTAAACTGTCATTCATTTCTGTTTTTAAAAAGGCTATGGCTTTTTACTGGTTTAATTGGAAACAGTTGTAGCCTGCTGTTGACACTGGTTTAGACACTAGTTTCAAGTGTTATTACATTAACTGTATTAGCCTATAAATTATTTTATTGATAAATAAATAAGTAGATGTAAAATAGCCTTGGGAAATTTTCATTTCAAAAGGTTATTCCTCAATAACATAAATAAATAAATGCACTCAATTCCTGCACATTTCTGAAAACATAAGGCTTAGTGAAAAGCGAAAAGTGCTATTATTCTGCCCATCATAGTTTTCTATATAATTTGTATATACTTATTTCATTCAGTCATCACTGCCTCCAGTGAAATGGTAATCCTTGTCTGCAAGGTGATGTCAGTGGTTAATTGTTTTCTGCTGGATGCTTTTGTGGGCATAAACTGGTACCCATTCAAATGTTGTGTGTATGGATCAGATCCATTAATGCACATTTACTGACGTATGTGATAGGGATAAAACCATGCATACAAATAAGCATCAAGGTTGTAAAATGGGTTATAAATGGAATAAGAAACAAGGTGTCAAGGTACTGTAATCTCAGTATTAATTCCCATAACTGACAAACTATACTTACTTGTCCTATAAATAATATTTGGCTCTACAGTTCTCTTTATATCTGAATGTGATGTAAGCTGGTGTCATGCTTCATTAGTAGTTCATACTAGTATAGATGTTTGGGGGGGTTGTTTTGTTTTAACTAACTATTCTTCAAATGAAGGGTGGTATATAAATTTGAACAAAACAACCACCACCTTCTGATCTATTGTTACACCTCCCATCCCCTTTTGCAAATACTTTAGTTAGGGTGCCCTCTTAACAGGCAAAATATTTGGTCATACCCAGCGCAGATAAACATGTATCAACTACTTTACAGAACAAAGAGAACAGTAATTAAATCTGAGGGCAACAGCAATGTAATGCTTTACGACTGAAGTCAAAGTGAGAGCAAAGTACTCCCATATGGAAATATGAATGTGGTTATGAATATTCTATGGTGTGGTGCCTTCTCACAGCTCACCTGAATACTTTCTACTATGATGTGAAACAATGGTTAGCTATATACTGAGTTATATTATTTGTCCTAAATTACTTTATAGCTGCCAGCTACCCCGGGGGGGGGAGGGGGAGGAGAAGCCTAGCCTGTTGAATTTGTCTGTTTTTAACCACAATTTGGTATGGATAAATCACCAGGGGAAGTTTCTAAATGCTTATCACCTGACTAATATATGGAAATCGAGCTGCTGTCAAAAGCATGGGGTAAAACAAAAATTGGTAACGGGCACTGGTGATGTTAAATTACCTTAAGTATCTAGCGCTGTTTGTCTTTTGCAAATGGACAACAGAAAACCAGTAGAAAGCTTCTAATAAGCATATTTGTGTTTTAATTGGCGGGATTGGATGCAATTATGTAGTACAGGCAATCCTTGTTGTTTATGTGCATGAGTAGCTTCATCTAGGTTGGTTTCAACAGCTGCAGGAGGCTATGTATATAAATTGTGGTGGTTTGAGCATTGGGTTTAGGCTAGGAAGACCAGGGTTCAAATCTAATTAGGTGAACTTTGGCAACTCCTCCTTTCAGCCTAACAGGATTGCTGTGATGATAAAAGCAGAGAGAACTGAACTGTATGATCAGGCATTGATTGTGTGGTCTTTGTGACTGGCTTTTTACTTCTAGCTCAGAAGAGGCATGTACTGTAAGTTTTTTGTTGTTTTGATGGTGGTCATATCAACCACAATGTTGCAGAATGCAAAGTGCTTGGTTTTTTTCTTAAATTTGTAGCTCAGCTACTTTCTTCCAATAAGCTCTAAATGATGTGTGCAGTTTTACACGAAATCTTTAACCTGAGTATGCATGTTGGTGTGCAGAGATGGATGGGATCAGAATACTATTTTGCACTGTTGGGGCAGATACTTTTCAGCTTGTTTTACCCGAGGATGTGGTTAAATAGCTTGGAGTAGTGAGGCCTTTAACTTCCCCCTTGATCCTCCCCTTCATGGTTTTGAAATCAAGGACCTAGGAGGTAGTGA